GGTACTTGTCCACCTGAGTACAACACAGTATGGACTGGACGCTGTGCTAAATCGTGGATAGAGAAGGGACCTTTTGTGCAATGCAGAGCAACATCAAAGTTTGACGTTCCATATTGGTTCGGCAGGAAACCTCTCTGTACAACTTCTGATGTTAATATTGTGACAACCACGACAATAGTGTTTTTAACGGTGTGGTTCTGTATGGTTCTTGTGGCGTTTGACGTTGCCGCAATTTAGCTCATTAAAATAATTTAATCTCAAGTATGCTGTGTTGCTATTAGTGTAGAAAGGCTTTTTTGAACTATGGTCTTGGAGGAGCAGGGAGAGCGGCCTATGTTCTCAATAACGAATCGGAAGCAACATTGAGAAAATTTCTCCAAAGGTCCTTATCGTAAGGAATTAAAAATTGTCTTAACTCCACAGCAGGATCGACCGTCCAATAGATCCAAATATTATTCGCGAGTACACCCTGTCTAAGAACCATTGAGTCGCCATATGCCCCTTTCAGTGTCACTCGCTTCTCACCCCCAGGCATGTTAGCAACGTCTACGCTCGTAATGTAGTTGTGATTATCGAAAGGCTTCAATTCCATGAGGGTTTGAAGTTTCTGGAAGGCATAAAAGAGCTCCTCCGCAGTGGATCCCCTAAAAATTAGATGTAAATACCAAACAACTTGTTGGACAGAATAACTCACAATACAACAACAAAAGATCTCTTACCTGTTTTGCCTAGATGACATAGCTGAAATAGATGTTTCGTCGATTGTGTGGAAGTTCTCAAACGCCTGAAAGCAGTTTTATAGACTATTAAGATCGTTTTGCATATCGTACTCAAAACCTACAACATGGGAATTTGCCGCCACATTTGCCCACATCGACTCGCATTTCTTCTCCGCGGAATTATATTCGAAGTCATTAGAAAGAAAACTTGGATGGAGTTATTGATTGCATCCTCGCGTACGTAATATATTAGAAAGTATGCTTATTTCTGGGAGGGGCTTCAGGTCTTTACCACCTAGAGCGATATTGAAAAATTCATTCCATACCGCCTTGTCATAAGGAATCATGAAAGAAACCGACCTTTCCTTTGACTCTGGGTTCCATACTATCCATAAATGATGAATAAATACACCTTTTCTAAGAACTAAAGAGCCACCTTGTGCTCGGTATAGAGTCACTGTCTGCTCGCCCCCAGGAACATAACAGGCATCTACACTAGAGAGCTCCTGAAAGTCGTCGAAAGATCTATACTCCTCAACGTTCAGTTTTTGAAAGGCATTAAACACCTTCTGCGCAGACGATAACCTAGAAGAGGCAACAATGATTATTGAATATAGAAGCCCCGGTATTCAGAATTAAACAGTAAAGATTAATACCTAGATGACATTATTTCAGAGATAGTTCTCTCTTTGATTGATGTTAGCATTCACTTTATAGACAACTCAAAGCGAAGATGCTCTATCACACATCATTCAGTTGCGGATCAAAAGGATACAACCGATAAACGCCTCACTCACCCACATTGAGCCGCATTTTCTCTCTTGGAACTTTAATTCGTTTTCTATTCATGCACTATGTAACCTCTCTTGTTTAAAGGCACTCTATGTCCTTTGCTTTGTAGTGCATCGGCAAGTGCCTTGCTTTCATTATCCCTGTTCCTTTTCCAAAAAAAATCGTAAGTTTGCTCATAACAGCTTGATACTTCGGACTGTTTGATAACTTATGCACCTTGCGATGCGGTCTTCTGCCTCCTCTCAACCTTGACAACAGAAAATTTTCAAGTACTCGTTTGGTGCGCGGAAAATTTCCAAACAAATCGCCACCCAATTTCTTCGACTTCCGGTCAAGGATTGTTCTCTGAAATACTTTTACACACTGTCCATACGCTAATCGAAGAAGTATAATCAATTTGTCATTGGAATCGTCTTGACACCACTGAGACCTTTTCAAAAAGTTGTTTTCATACTCTTCCAGCACAATCTTGTTATCAAACTCAGAGTCACTGACAGCCAGATGGTCCTGAAAAATTGAAATACTGCGTTTTCGGCCATTAAAACGAGGATCTTCTTGGAAATACACGACAACACGCGTGTACGAAAGTAACACATCGTTCGCAGGTTTTAAAGTGACTTTCTCTATGACTTCAAATTCATCATACGCTCGATATCGAAAAAGTGCCTGAATCTCGTCAATGGCGTGATACAGCTGAGAAAATCTATTATGAGACGAAAATCTTGCTCAAAATCAGCTACTGCAACAGGAACAGCTCAGACGCGATCAAGCCGATAATATGAAGAATGATCATGCCGACAACGATGGCGAGCGATCAACCTTGATAGCACCGTAGCTACAACATCTCTCAACCTGTATTTATAGCCCGTAGCCTACTCGTATAAACCTGAGTCATTTTCCACCTCTTATTCACGCCTTACAGCTATTGCAGCTACACAAACAAATGAATCTGTGCTGTGTAATCAATTCCTTACACTTTCTTCAATTCTGGAGCTACAGAATTCAGTCTCGGGTCTTGATGCATGGTATGAATTGCCATTTTTCGTATGATCCTGTAGTGTGTTAAAATGAGAGAATTTGTCCATAATCCAATGGTCATCAACATAGGGATTGCTTATTTATATTGAACAACACCTTTGCATGAATATGCCACTCTTCATTTTGCGGCTCAATTGCGGCTCAGGATACATCAAAAACTGAAACTAACTTGTGAAAAGTTGGACTTTTATTCTAATTCAACAATAAACTTGGTTGGAATTCGCCGACTCTAAGAAGTATCATTGTCGCTACGCTTTAGGTACTTGTTATCGAATGTTTTGACGATAGCGCGCTATGCTGTTCTATCGATTCTTCCAAGAGTGGTACTACGCTTCGCAAAGCTAGGACCACTGTCACTTCGCACACCGAGATGAAGGCCGCGCTTCTCAAAGCCAGGATCACTGTCACTTCGCGGACCGAGGTGAAGGCCGCGCTTAAAGAATTCAGCGTCGTGATGAGCGTCCAAGATGTCATCGGACTTAGTACCAGACGGAGCAGTCAGACCATCTGGGGCTGCTGGGGCTGCTGGGGCTGCTAAAACGGCAGCAACTCCAAAGAGTGCAATCATTGGCAGGGTGGAAATAAACTTCATAATGGGAATTTTGTTTTTCTAGACTTGAGGAATTCGAGCTTTGAGATACTCCCCATGACACTCCTCAGGACGCCTTATATAGACTTAATTTCTGCATTCACAAATCAAAGAGGTGTTTTGCGGCTCAATGCGTGCCATAATTTTATTTCATCTGAAAACATCTTTCCACCACGGTTTCGTTCATCCGGCCAAGAAATTAATATCGAAGGTTACATTGACTTTGCAAGATTGCATTCTCAGATATTGTTCTCTTCTTTTCGTTTATGTAATAGTAATGTAACTTCCAACCTACACAAAAAAGCTCAAGATCTGCGAGTCTTCTATCACTGGGTGCAAGACAGATAGATTTCCGAAATGCCTTTTTCTCATTGAAATATCTCTCAAAGAGAACATTTCCTTCACGAACTTGAAATATTGCTATTTTTATCGCGCTACCGAAACGCACCTCGATGAAAACCGAGCTCATTTGACTCCTATCGACAAACGCATAAAAGTATTCATAGCCTCTGACATCAAAACCACGATGGAAGAGAGTGAACGCTCCAAGCGTTTCTTCAAATTTTCTCAAAATCTGTATTATGCGACTGTAGCTTTCGTGACTATTTGGCAAAAGCGTTAAACGTTCAGTACATGGTAAAAAAACCCTGGAAGCAGGGAGGCAATGTAGGTTAAGGGTAATCGCCGCTGGCACTTAGATTTCGAAAGACACACCGACGCTTTGGGGCCGGACGAAAACAGTGTCTGGCCGAAAAAAAGTGTCTGGACGAAAAAAAGTGTCCATACGAATATCCACATGCAAGAGGCGTTGTATCTCTGGGGTGGGATTGGGGCGATGTCCCACAGCTGTCCGCCAAGGCCGCTAAGCGTTGGTGTGTCTTTTGAAATCAAAGAGCCAGCGGCGACTACCCTAAACCTAGAGGGCCTCCCAGACAAAACAAAAAAAAAAGGAAAAATAAACTGATACTTACAGCTCACGTATTGAATGAAGAGGCATAGACATCTTCAACAACTTTTTCCTTGGTCGGAAATCCCGGTTAAATACATTTAGTAACAGATCTTTCCAAGTTGAAAGTTGCATGAAATGAAAGATTGTTATTTCTACTTGACAACCAAACCTTCTAATATATATAAGTAAAAAACTTCCGCGTCGCATGAACTGTGTCAATTTTTGGCTTCTACGCAATGTAAAAATTCGACCAAAAGTTATCAAAAACGGGCTTCTACACCGTGTAATTTCAAATTTCTTAATATTAATGCAGCACTGACGCGGTGTACAACCACATCACGGAATAATTGTACCAAGCGTGTTTTAACAGCGCGCAGTAACATCTACAATCTAGCACGCAGTAACATCCGCTGCCTCCTCCGAGAAGAAGGAACGCAAGGCCAAGTCTGAGGGTGGCAAGGGTCGCAAGAAGACTCGCTCCGAGACTTACTTCAACTGCCATCTTATATTAACAGCTTTATTTGTCTCTTCAAAAATGCAAGCTCCTTAAATTATTTCTCTTCATGCCACCACATGATAGAATATAGATTCAAAAATCGCAACATGAAAGGTAGATCTTCATGGTCTAATTCATTCGCCTTTTTCGCATACAGAAGTTCTTTTCCTTCCATTATTGCTAAGAGAGCTTTGGCATGAGACTTATCCCTAGAAGACAGCCTGAAAGAGATTCTGATCTCAATATCAGAAGCACAAAAGATCGAAATCGATTCTGCAATCCTAAAGGTCATAGACTTAAATACAACATTGACTTTTTCAACGTCTTCTTCACGCAGGATCAAGGTGTCGTGAGGGCTATCTGGATACGCTGACTTTAACCATCTCAAGGTAGAGAATATATGACGCCTCCTAGTCGTCGATTGAAAACATGTTAATAACAGACTCCAGACACAACCCGTTCGTTTTTTTTGTTTACTTACGGTAACTCTTTTTCTAAAGACATTATATGCAACAATGGTGGATTAAGAAACAAGAAACAAGAGCAAACGCTCCGTGCACCTTTATTAATCTTCCTAGAAGCAAACAGGCTTACAACATTTTGAGCCGCAAATTACTTCAAAACTCGCCTCAAATTCACAACATTTGCCACATCAGAATGGGACCTTAGTGAATGGCCGTTATTAGATAAATCTGACTGCACATTTTGGGACTTTCTTGATCACGACGCGGACACTATTACCAAACGCGGCGTGGGCTCAGCACGGTTACACAAGCACGCAATGCAATGCTGTTGGACACGAGCGCTGTTCTGCTGCACAACGCTACCAAATCATAGTTCAGAAAGAGAGAGAAATTCTCGAGAGGCATTCATTCTGGAGAGGCAATAGGCCATCTTATATCTACTTACAATAAAAGTACAATTCCTATTACATCAATCAATAATAGCTATTTTCAAATCTCTTAAATGCAGCCTCTATCTCCATGGCAGTGCCAATATCTTGTCTTGTGACCCTCCCCGATGCAACCGCCTCCTTACTTATTTGTTTCTCCTCCAGAAGGCGTGAACAACGGTTACGGCCGTCTCTTGTGCAAAGATGCCTCATCAATGCATCCTTTCTGCAGAGTAGCTTGGTGCAAACTGTGCATGGAACACGTTCACCACAAGGAGCCACCTTCATATGTCTTTTGAGGTCTGGATGTCTTGTAAATGACTTGAAGCATTTTGCGCAGTGATACCTTAGTGACTTGACTGCATTCCCGCATCCGACTCGACTTAACTTGGATTGCGACGTACAATATGAAATACTACATCCACATAGCGATTGTGCACTTTCAATCTCTTCTTCCTGTGATGGACACTGAGATACACTCACAATTGGCTTAGCCGCATGATAACTCAAGTTGGAGTAACAAGGCAACAGCGGCGTTGGTGGGGGTGATCCTGCTTGCGTTACATGCATAACAGTACTTGTGCTACTCGGCGCATTGCTCGAATTCGACATCCAATCCTCCTTCCATTCTTCGACAACTGGACAGACAATCGAATTCTCATAAGGTTCCTCCACAATTGTAGGTGTAGGATCAACTTTTACAAGACTCTCATCTTGGATAGACCATTGTGGCAAGAGATTTCCTATCGCATATTCAATCCCCGACGGTAGCGATGGCAATGTCACTGGAAGAACGAATGCAGACGGATATGAAGTCCCAAAGCTGATATTCGTTTCAGTTCCTTGAAGAGATAGCTCAGAGCCCCAAAAGACTTTCGTGAACGACATGTCAGAGGCGACATCAGATTCAAAACTTATGAAATTTTTGACAAAGATTTCGCTTGATGATCCATCATTGCTTCCCATAATATCTGGACATAGCGCTATTTCAATTGCAGCATCCAGAGAGTGAGCAACATGAAGGACAGATATCGCAATCGTCGGGATAATTAAATGACTTACCAGGACTCTCTCCTGAATTTGGGCTTGTTTGAGGTATAACATCGAGTAGGCAATTAGCATAGACAGATTTATCTAATGACGGCCATTCACTGAGGTCCCATTCTGAGATATCTTCTAGATCAAGGAGATTCGTTATGTCCTGCAGCGACTTTCGCTCTTGGATAGACCGCGGTGTATGTTCAAAATGATTAAAAGAAAGAAATTGTGACATTTAAGGAACAGGAGGAAAGAATTAAGTGGCACAAATCCGATCGACACCGCCCACTTTAAATGCTGTCAACAACTGCAAGACAGAAAAACCAAATGCCAGTCATTTCAATAATACGGTTACGGTTTGATAACAATACCCGTTATAACGCCTCAACTTCACACAAGAAAAGAGCTTTTTGGATTTGAGCAAATCAAAACCATTTGCCTCCAAACCTAAAGCCTAACATAGACATCAACCAAGGACTTTTCGCGTTCAATAAAACTATGACCGAAGACAAAGAAGTCACGGACGCGTTCAACACAACTCTGACTGAAGACAAACAAGCTACGGATGAGTTCTACTTTACGGGACAGAAACTACACACTCGATTGTGTTAGAGGCTTGAACTTAGTCTTCTCACCTTCGTTCCGCGGAGAAGCCACCTGGTTTCTGCCAACATTCAAAATCTCTTGAACCAATGAAGTGCACAGACTTTTAAACCGTCGAGGCCGGTTCCTGAAAATACCAGTCACTGCAATCGCTATCGGCTTTACTTTGAACTTCTTCCGAGCGTCAACCGCCACAAATTCCCATGATGCCAGTTCCCAAGAACACACCTCAACTTCACGCTTACTGTATTTGAACAAATCTAAACCGTAAGCCTGACTCAAGACAAACAACACACGGACACGTTTACACACTCAATCGTGTCCGAGGCTTGAACTTAGTCTTCTCACCTTCGTTCCGCGGAGAAGCTACCTGGTTTCTGCCAACATTCAAAATCTCTTGAACCAATGAAGTGCACAGCAGACTTTAAAACCGTCGGGGCCGGTTCCTGAAAATGCCAATCGCGGCAATCGGCTTGACGGCTATTGGCTATACCGGATAGCGTTGCCGAATGAAATGACGGGTAAAGCCTATTATTCGACAACGCCAGGTACTCTATCTGTATGTATCTTTCTTTAATATATTCACATGAAATCCAGAAAAAAAAAACTGCTGCTCTGCTACAAAAGGGACTCTAGCCGGATCTCTTGATCTCTATCTACTTGCTAGAATAGGGCGGGTCAGGGCGGGACATCTAGAGTCCCTGGTGTTGTCGAATAATAGGCTTTATCCGTCATTACATTCGGCAACGCTATCCACTTTCTTTGCTAATGAGATATTTTATTTCCGATGAGACAGTTGACCAGGTGTGACGGAAAGGAAGAGTAGCGGGGAAGAGTAGCGCGAGAGAGTATCGCGGAAGAGTAGCGCGAGGGGTTGCGGGGAAGTGTTCCTATCAAACCTAAGCTCGGTTCGTGACAGCTCCTTTTATTTATCCTTTTACATTGCTTGATCGCCATCGTCATCAAGATCAATAGGATTTTGACTTGTACCGTTGGCTCCTCCTGACAACTTGGCGAAAGAACTATCCAAACCTTCAGTGGACTCGGCCTTCACTTCCTCTGTCTCATTCTTGATCTCTTTCTTGATCTCCTCGTCCTTGACATCTTCACTCTTGGGACGCTTTATATCTTTATCTGAAGTTCCATCGATTCCACGTTTACGGCTCTGTTGTTCCTCGTATGCATCCATAACACCTGAATAATCGGTGAGTTTCACTCTCTCCCTCAAGTTCCTTAACAACTTCTCGCCGTCCATAGCCTTCAACAACAAGTCAACGTCATTGGCATTCTTGTAGACGGACGCCCTTGGTACTTTTACAGCCTTGTTGTCCTCATTAGTAGGCCCCGCTGTCACCGGCTTAAAATTCCTCATCATCATAGTGGTAGTTTTAGTAAGACTACCACCATTATTCCTGTGAACAACGTGCCATTTACCTTGCACGTCAACATAGGATTTTTCTTCTAAATCCCCGAGCGCTGCAACCCTTTCCATACCGAGGTCGTATGAATTCCATACGAGTTGGTATATGGTTCCCTGGTACATTCCCTCAAGATGAAAGAAACCATGCTTATTCTCGTTCTCGAATGCTTTTCGAACAACTTGAAATATAATGGACCCTGCAGGAACATACGATTCCGAAGTCGAATAAACGGGTCTTGATGCCATCATCGTACGAAAAGCTGACAGGCAGGAATGGAGGATGATAATACTAATACGGTATGGAAATGGACTTAATTGTTGAAAATCCTCAGACTATTCAGGCGCGCATTTTATAGCACTCACAACGGAGCTTTCTTTCCTTGATTTCTAATCCTGTAGGACAACTGCCAAACTCATTCTTACACAAAACGCCACAAATCAACAGCGAAAATAGAGAAGGTACTCACTTTGGAAATGATAACGAAAGAATCATTGTACACAGCATATGCCGATGCAATAGTTGAAAACACCTATATAGTCGGTGGTCGTAAAAGAAAGATCAATAAACATGGTGACTACTCAAAGCTCGCGCACGACCTTCACAACGAAGATTCCTACCATAACAACTACTTTTACCACAGAGACAACACTCACCCTTAGTTCAAGTCAGACTTCTATCACCCCTTTAGGCAACAATTCCTCAACTGATGCAACAAAAATACCATTCCTAGGTCAACCTACTCTTGAAGGGGCTTACAAATACATAACTATCATCCTCATTTCCTCTGTTGCCTTTCTTGTCTGCTTCACGATTTTCGCGATAATAACATGCCGAACTATCAGGTCAAATAACAAAAAAGATCGGGCCACAAAACTCGCCTCTATCAGAAAAGACGGAAACCTTCAGAGGAACAATTCCTCAAGTTCCCTTAACAGCAATCAAAGAAGCATCGATAGTGTCATTCCATTAGCTTACATGCCTCAGGCAAGAGCCAAGAATCATCTTGTCAGAGCACTCTCTGATCATGAAATACATTGTTTCTCTGAAGATCGTCGATCTACTACAGACTACAACGGTGATCAAGACAACACATATAACATGTACCTCCGGAAAAATGAACAACTACGACAAAGCCCCTCACGTCGTAGCAGCTACGATACTTCCATTGGATCAATTGGGAGAAATGTTGAAGTTCATCCACAAGTCCATCCCTTGTCTCCAAATCGGTCACGCAAGGCTAATGACAAGAGACATCAGAATCAAGCAGTTGATCTACTCGGAGATGATACACACACATATAGTGTCATACGTCCGTCCAAACTATCCGCGGGTCGATACAACCGAGAATCCGACTAGCAAACAGTTCGCTAACAATAGGCTACAACGCGTTTATTTCGATGAGCTTCCATTTGAACTTGATCCTTGAGATTCTGAAAACAAAAATGATGAAATTAAAAGAAGAGTTAGTTGACAGAAATGTAACATAGATCAACTCCTCCTCCAGATTCTTAACAATGAGATCTTACTGTTAGCTGTCATCGCCGAGTTTGATATCCATCCACTTTTTTGTTCAAAAATTGCCCACTTTTCAGCTACGGCACCTTTAACATTCTTAGAGTTTCCACATAAAGTAATCTCAGCGTCTCCTAATGACGAACCACGACTATCATCGCCTTCTTGAACGGTAGATTTCTTTTCTTCTGGTTTCCGCTGGGCGCTTCCTGAAGAAACTTTCAACCCTTCAAGTTTCACCATCAACATTTCGGTAATTGGGTCTGAGGGCTGCTGCCTTTTCAATTTCTCTATGTAGGTGTCTTGAGTAATCTTCATCCTGAGATACTTTATACAAGTCCTCAAGTCCCTCTGCCTTCTTTCCTCCTCATCCGTGGTCATTCGAATTTCACACCCATCAACAATTGGCTCGTCTGATGAATAAATCTTTACCTCGGACGCTACCACATTCATCCTTTGAACGAGCTGTCCATGATCTATATATGTATGAATAGCGTAATCCCCAGAGACCTCTAATGTCTCCCAAATAAGACCTGTCTGATTAAGAATGCTCGGGAATGGCTTTCCATTCTTACGAGACCATCGAATCGTAACAAGACGCTTATCGGAACACAATTGGCAGAGGACAACTGTCCAGCTTGGATTACTCTCCAAAACTTCTGGACCTTGCAGCACTAAGACCTGGAGTCCCGACGTAGGTAAGATAACCCAATCTGTTGAGACCATGATAATAGATGATAAACTTGACTGACCGGTATAGAAAATTTCGGTGCTCAAGGCGACTTAATAAAACACGTTCTTCTTGGCCTAACCCTTAAAACATCATTTCAACCTGATCATTGAAATGAGCGCCGCATTTTAGCACAACTAGACACAAAAGCAACGTAGACAGAGAAGCTGCTTCAGCTTGAGAACTATATCACCTCAACCCTGAAATGCTTTACTCAACATCCAAACCCTTTTAACGTCATTTCAACCTTTTCCTTGTTATGAACGCCGCATTTCACCACAACTTAACGCACAAGAAAGGTAGATAGAGGAGCTGCTTCAGCTTGAAAACTATAATACCTCAATCCTGAAATACTGCACTCGACATCCACAATTACTAAATGAATAACGAAAGGTATTAGATCTCAACTTATAGAGCAGTTACTAGAGGATACATCTCCTTATCATTAAACTAATTCTATACCTAGACCTACCCCAAGGGTGTTTAGAGAACATCCGGATGTCATCTTTCCACCGAAATTCATCTACAACATACTGTCAGAGACTCCCGAGGAAAACAAGCATATAACATGTAATTACATAAAAGACACGAATGTCTATCTCAAGTCTAGAGCCATCCTGACGTACAATCGAGAAGATGGAGATAATCCGGAGATTCTTCCCTGTTATAGAGTCGAATTTCACGCTTGCGTTCTCGAAGGAAAATACAAAAATCTAAGTGTTCTTGTTACAAAACTCTTTTATCCACCGGTTATTAACCCACTCAACAACGTCTATCTCGATACCGGTATGATCGTCCAAGTGTCAGGAACGCTTTCGGCTCACTCACATACCCCGAGAGGCATCACAGCTTTTTTCTATTTAGAAGCAGATGTCATCAAACGAGACATCTGTTTTAGCGAAGCCAGAAAAGAACATCATAACCAGCGACTTGTTAGAGATCCACAATGCACGCTTAATACATCGAAACTTGGGGAATTCCTGTGTTGAATAAAACAGTGCAAAGAGCCGCAATTTTACGCAATCTAAATGATCTCTTATTTTAAAAAGGAAGAATTATCTTGACACAAGAACAGTTTCTTTAATCAACCTCATGGATCTACCAGAAATAAGGCTGAACATTGGCCTCTTCCTCACCGAGCATGACCTTGCATCCTGCGTCCTCGTTAACAAAATGTGGTACCACACTTTCCTCCCATTTCTCTACTACAATTGTGACACGGGAGTGTCCTACCATGCACAACACTGGACTTCTTTCAAGAATTATCTACAACACACACGTAACCTAACAGTTTCATACAACACGCTCAAGACAAGAAAAGATCAGGATCTATTTCTGCAAGAATGCACCAACTTACGACAGCTACATCTCAGGCCAGCGCATTTGAACACAAAGTTCTTCCTCAAACTCATTCATCAAAACCCACTACTTCGACGATTGGATATCTCAGTTGGCGAGGTGACACAATTGCACACAACTGATCCGTTAACAATCGCGTCTTCTGACTGTATGGCCAATTTTCCGGAAATCCTTGCCCAATCATGCCCACAATTAACTGAGCTTGGATTAGACATGATGCTCCACATTGACTCCGAGAAACAATTCTACAAGAGCTTCGCAAGAAACTTTATGCACAAACTCACAAAACTAGAATGGGGTTGGTTCAGGTCGAGCCAGGTGGACATTTCACCATGGATAACGAGAGAAAACAACAACGACATCTGTGATGCTGCTTTCCCAGAATTAAAACAGTTAGCTGTATTCATCTGCGTAATCGACATACCACATCCTTAGGTCCAAGAACTGGTGTTGTTTGAAAACTGTCCGAAACTTGAAGTTCTATCCTGGTTCTGGGATCCAACCCCACTTTTCGGTCCTGCAACCTTAGACCGCACACAAGAAATCCATTCGTTCATCACGACACTTTGCAGCTTCATAACAAACAGCTGGTTAAAACTCCATTCAATAACTCTAGCTATGACGAGAGACGACCATTATCTCTTCGAAGACGAACAAGTTTCTCGAGTACTGATGAGTTTCAGGAATCCTATTAGACAATTCACATTGAAAAATGGCAATCCATGCACGACACTAACATGGCAAGCATTACGCATGCACTTGCATACAATCGAATCTATCTACATAAGCAGTAATACAGGAATGCAACTCAGTAGCTTAGAAATCCAAGAAGTCCTCTCTTCAGGTCAACGTCTCATCGACTTTCGCCACAACTCTGTACTAGACGTAATGGATGTAACCAAGGACATGATTCAATGGCCACGTTCCATTCCTTCCGAATTTTACTTAAAAATCAACTTGATGAGACATCCGCACGACCACTTGTTGAACTTTGCCGTTTTTTCTCAACTCACAAAGTTGACAGAGCTTCAAGTTTTACATCTTACACACCGAGGAAATGGGCCAAAATATGGCATGGATCCAGCCCAATATTTATATGATCCAACATTTCCTGAATGTTCTTCTTTCGATGGCCTCTATTCCAGTTTCATTGAAATACGCAATCATCCTTTAGGCAAGAGGCTGCTATTAATTTGGCCAGGCCTTGAAAGTTGTCATTGGTTTAACCTCTAAATAAATTTATTTGGTCTTGCAAGTTGTCATTGCTTTAACCTCTTAATAAAATCTGTTGCTCAAAAAGTGGACATTCACGATAAATATTCCTTCAACCACCTCTGCAAATCCAAAAGAGTTTGTTTTCTAATGTCACGCCTTCGGGTGTACAGCTGTTTCTCAAATTCCGAATGAAACAACAACAATGTGTGAACACTATTACTTTCGATGTCATCTGAAGCTTGGCCAACTCTCATATCCAACCAAACAATTTGTGACTCCAAAAGTCGAATTGTTTTCGAGATAGTAGTCCTTATATCATCCACAGTGATTTTTTTTTTCGACTTTCTCGACCTGATCTGAGTAATATCCTTCTAATCCAGACGATCCGGAACTGGCTGAGTAATATTCGCATGTAACATCAGGCAGCTCAAAAGGAATATCGTCCTTCTTATTAATTTTAACCTCCATCGGACGAGGAAACTCATTACTTTTCTTCTGATTTACATGGGCTGGTTCCTGCACTGTCCTTAATTCAGCTCCAGAAAATTCATTCCATGACACCTTCGAAACGCTTTCCGTGTTAAACGTGTCAAACAAATCGTACCCCCCGACACTAGTGTCGCTCTTTTCGTCTTGAGAATCAAAGCAACGCTTTAAAGACACGGTTCTCTGCGGTGGATTATCCGGAAAGGACTTAAACCCCTCGGAGTACGATGCGGAATCTTGAACTGACGACTGAATCTCCTTAATACGACTAACGCTTGACTCAAGATCTTCTGAAAGCCCATGAATGATTGGAGTTCCTGGAATACAATCGTCATCAGATTTGGACATAATGGGCGAAAGTCTTGGAGTCAACATTCCAGTACGCGTTCGCACTCGACCAGCCCGACGAGGCCCTGTTCTAGATGACGCTGAAAGAGACCGCGGACGAACTTCGCTTTCAAGAACAAATGAGACAGACACCTCCTTCGGTGTTAACGATCCAGGTTTAGAGAGAGTAGAAGAGCAAGCCATTTTTGTTTTTAGATTCATTCCAAATTCCGAGATTCAACCTTTATAGACTGCCCGAGTTTGTTGTGAAAAATTGTGGCCATTAGAGGAAAATTGTGGCACGAGATAAGAATGAGCTAGATGAGCTTTTCAGAAACTCCAGCCTCTTAACATTCCTCTCAAAAAAGATAGAAAGGCCAAATCGTATCCAAAAATGAAGATTGCCACCCAAACCATCAAACCTGCTTTAATGGCCTTACTTACCTCTTCATTTGGAACCGCCTTCAATCCTAAAGAGAAAACCGCTCTACTTCGATAACCTTGTAAGAAATAAAGGTTGTCACAATAACGACTACTACGGCAGCTGTGGAAATTTACACCGCGGAAATGGATGCGGATTTAATTACTTTGGTAAGGACATCGTCGCGAATCTTGAGTATTGCATCTACCATGGCTCTGATATGAATATGACAACATGCTTCATCTTTGACAACTACGTGGACAAGTACGACATCAATTACATTATCCAGCGAACTGTGTGGTTCGACATTTACAATATCTTTGGACATTCTGGGAAAGGAATGACTTCGCGGGCATGGACTCAAGGCAAAATATGGAGTAATAAGGGCACCTATTCTATTCTTTATGGCGTCTCAATGGCTCAGGGGGACCATGGCACGCTCCCGACCACTCTACCCACTACTCCATTTTACTGGGATATCGAAACCAACTTAGAAACTTCCTTTTGCATGTTGCCCTAGGGACGGATAGAAACAAAGCTGCAGAGCGGGGTGTGGACGCCAAGGATGACACAGGCCAGGGATGGAAATAAACAAAGATGCAGAGAGATCTATACGACGAATAAAATCCTCAATTTTGCATGATGGCATGAAATACAGATACCTGATCCAAAGGCAAACCAAACTGCGCCTTTTTACATGAACTTACCATTCACCCTAAAAAGGGTTGTAATCATAAACTGCTGTGTATTTTTTAAGCACACACAAAGTATAAATACCTTCTCTATTATCTCTTAATTTCGGTATCACTTTACCTTGTCTTGGACTCGATTTGTTATCATGACTTCCAACAACCACAGAAACTATAACAATAGCAGCAGCAGCAGCAGCAATGGTATTAGGGACACCAACAGCCTTAGTAAAAAACTCGTTGAGACTGAATTAGACGTAAGAATTGTGATATTTGACTCAAACATTTGGCATTTCATAAAAGTATTCAAACAAAATATAAATAGTAATGTTAAAAGCATTATTAAATATCATTTTTCGTAACAACGTTAGATGAATCAGGTCGATACGAACCAAGAAGCCGCACCTCCCGCACAGTCCCCAAGACTCGCTATGCCTCAGGGACACACCAAGCCGGAAACAAGAACCAGCGGCGCAAGCATCAGCGGCGTAAGCACAAGTTCCAGACAGGATCGGGGAGTTACTGCCAATCCTGCTGTCATGAACCTATGCTTGTTCAGAGTCAAGATGACCTTCTTAAGCGTGGCAGGACAGAACAAGGGGGAGGAGATGCAGTTTGGGAAACAGGGTCAAGAAAGCGTAGATATATTGAAGTTGCTAGATAAGGAATAAAAGATACAGAACTACGGGATATATACACTAACTCCGGGAATTGAGTAAATGTTTTCCGATTTTTCATTCTTCTTATCAGAATAATTTATATGATGGACCCTCCTTTGTGAAATTCAACCATGTTGTAGTGCTGCCTCCAAAGCGTCAAGCATAGTTCATTTGAACTGCCTACTACATTACTAAAGAAGGTACGAATAAATGTTTGATACCATGTCATTTACTCAATTTCCGGCCCCTGGTGTTTTTATTTCGTACTCGGATCTTTCCCCACCAAGTCCCTACCAAGTCATTATTCTCAGTAGCCAGTGTGACCTCCATTAGCGTTCTTCAGCGCCTCAATCCTTCGCGGCATGCTCTCAATTAGGGTCTGGCAGACTAAAGCCGGAATATTGTTCCATTCGACTTGCAATCGTTCCCACAATTCGATCATTCCTTCAGGAGGCTTAGGATACTTGGCTAGTTGCCTCTCGAGATGCTCCCAGAGGTGCTCTATCGGATTCATATCTGGAGAGCGTGCGGGCCAAAAGAGCAAGTTGTAGTTCTTTTTCTCGAAAAATCTCCTTGATACTCCCGCGGTATGCTTGGAGTCATTATCCTGCTGGAAAATCATACCCTGTGGCCGGATCCCATACCACTCTTGCGTCAATGGAACACACTCCTCAAGGATCTCGACATACAGCTCAGCATCCATTGTCCCATGGATTTGAGAGATGAAGCCTGGCCCGTCATACGTCATGCAACTCCACATAAAAAGATGACCTCCTCCGTACTTGAGCGTCTCGTCAACGAGCCGGTCCTGGTCGCCGATTTTTGTGTTCTTCCAAACCCAGACCTTCCCATCGGACCCGTATCGGTTGGTCCTGGTTTCATCTGTCCATAGAACCCGTTTCCAGTCATCGATAGTCCAATGCTCATACATGCGGACAAAATCCATACGTTCCCTGCGATGATTGGCGGTCAGTTTGGGGCGCTTGACCTTTCGCATTGCCGTCAGTCCCTCCTCCCTGAAGATCTCTCTGACCCTGTTGGTAGAGATGTTGATGCCCAGTTGCTCAGAGAGATGCTTCTGCGCATCAACGGCCGTTTTACGATCGCCGTTTGTGATACGTCGTACGATTGCGCGTCGAGTGGTTGGGGATACCTGGCTTCGACGGCCGGCTTTTGCTGGAGGAATGCTCTGTTTGACTGTTTGCGCAATTTGGGACTGAGAAACAGAGTGCTTCCGAGCAGTCTGTCTTGTGGTCATACCGGACTTTAGGTTCTCGATGATAAGACCCTCAACGATGGAACTGAGCTTCTTCATTGCGTAGGAGAGAAAATGATAGAAGGAGCTACAAGCTGTGAGAAACGGCGAGAATGCAGATGGTAAGGCGAGAAAAGTGTAAACGATTTAAATATTTTGGAATGAGAGGCCGGAAATTGAGTAAATGCAGCAGATAGACAAATACCTTGCGTTCTCCTTGGAATGATGCCAGAATGATTTCAAACTGTACCATACTGGTTAGACGTAGTAATGCTAATTTGGTAATGAAACGTAAGTTCATACTACCTTCCGTTTTAAAATTATGGAGCGCCAATGATAAACCGAGAAAACATTTACTCAATTCCCGGAGTCAGTGTATCCCAAAGTACAGCTGGGAAAGTATCCAAATCCGCCAAAAAGCTGCAAGGAGCTATGGGAGAGAATATCAACGGAATGGTACAAGATACCAGTTGATTTCTGCCGGGAACTCATCAGGAGCATGCCGAGGAGGCTCAGCGCGGTCCATAGAGCGAAGGGCAAGCAAACTAAGTACTAAAGAGGTACCATTTTGAATAGAAAAAAAATCTGTTCTTCGTATTCAAGGAGTAGGTGCAAAACTGATTCAATGATGACGGATGGCACAATCGTCATGCAGCAATGGGTGTGCATACTTCTGGCTCCAAAGCAAGCAGTCCTGTTCGTCATTGGATGGGCTACATTTGTGGTGAATATGACGATGGCTGAGGCATTGGTTCCTTGTAGGCGAGTGCCAACGCAAAAATCATCGCATCATTGAATCAGTTTTGCACCATACTGTAGCTTTACGGCTACATCGATCGAGCCCTCGCTTGCGGAGGGTATGTATCCCACAATATCCTGCGGAGGTGAAGAGGTCTCTAACGGCGCAGATGCACCCTTCTCGACTCTTCGTGACCACATTAAGAACGACACCCGGCTGATGACAAATTCTTAGAGGAATGAGGCTATTGTGGAGACGAATAAAAGAATATCAGCTGTCGCCTTGATGCCGCCACGAAGACCTTACATATATGATATATGTTCCTGTTATCATTTGGGCTCCTGGTTATGATAGACTTACTCCTCAAAGTCGTCGTCCATCAGAAACGACACCAAGTGCCCATTATATGTGATCCTTTTGGCATTCTCGAAAGCCCGTTGTATTTCTTTCCACAGAATGACATGTTGGTCAGTCTTCTTGTCAAATCGAGCAGCAATGGAGATGACCTCCAAAGTAGCCTGGTTCCGGAATTTCTGAGCAAGAGGAAGGCCCGAGTCTGGATTCGACATGGTACGTGATCAGCGTCAAAATGGGGCCGGGGTGCCTATACGGAAGAAGTTGATGAGGGATTGAGTCGGTTCAAAAGTAGGGGAATTGGCGGTGGAGAGAGAGAGAGAGAGAGAGAAAAGAGATTCGATCTGACCTCCGAAGAGGCGAAGCAAAATCGAGGTCATCCTTCTATATTTTTTTTTTAGCATTCTTAACTTCGCCATTTACAGAGCGGTGGCACCATCGGCGAATTCGCTTTCAACTTACCAGCAACCCCTCTGCTGCCTCTCCAGTGCCACGGTTTCTGTCAGTCTGTATGCGTAGTATAGGAACTGAAAGTTGGGGGTGCTTGCTTTTTTGGGAACTATGCGCTATGCTGTTTTGACCCGAAGCATTTACCGTGACATGGAAACGCGCTTTCGGTGCTGCGCAGGTTAGAGCGTAGAAACCCTTCTTATCGCCTAAGATATTAAACATGAGTACGATGACCGGGCAAGGTCTCCTCCTGTTGGGGCTTGACTTGAACTATAATCTACCGATCCATAGCATAGGCTTTACCTAGCACTCTATATCCCTGGCATACGGTATCCAAAAACGCGTCTGTGAATTTGTCATTTAGTTTACCAGTATTTTTAGGATCCGCAATGGGACAGGACGCTGAGAGCCCTGCGCATTTTAGTTTGTGTTGTCCCAAAAATAATTACGCCCAAAAGACCAAGAAGGAAGCAGGGGAGCATCCGCAAAGCGATACCAACTCATCGCCACAATCCAAAAACGACGGGCACCTCATATATACGCGCAGATCGAGGAAGCGACCCGAGGAAAAGAGCTCTATTTTGGGCGCGAATATCGATCACTTCGTTTGGCTCGGTGGCCCCAGGTCACTTTGTGTTTGTTTGTATTTTCTTCGATAGCAGACGTCCTTCATGATAAGAAGCAAGTTGCTTTACGCCTTGATTAACAGGCCCACGATGGGAGCTGAGAATGTATGCAGTAAGTTCTACTCGTGTCATTCGCGCCTTGATTCCCAAACCTTTAAATAGGGCATAAACGAAAATCCGTTCTTACTTTTCGTACACACACATCCAACCTTCCTCCATCTCTTTTCATACCCTTCTCAAGAAAAAGCAACATGTCTCCAAAGACTGGCACGATTCTCGTCACCGGAGGGTGCGGCTACGTCGGTTCCCACACCGTCCTCAGTCTCCTCGAGTCCGGGTACAAGGTCATTGTCCTCGACAATCTCTCCAACACTTCCAGCTCCGCCGAGCCAGCCGTCACCCCCGAGGCCCTCAAGCGCGTCCAGAAGATCCTTTCCACAGACGAGCCCATTCCATTCTACGCTGTCGACATCACCGACAAGCCCGCGCTTGTCCGAATCTTTGAGTCCCACCCTGACATTTCCGCCGTCATCCACTGTGCAGGTCTGAAATCCGTGGGCGAATCCGGTCGCAGACCCCTGGATTACTACAATGTCAATATCGCAGGCACCGTCAATTTGTTACAGGTCATGGAAGACTTTGATGTCCGTCGGATGGTCTTCTCGAGTTCCGCAACTGTCTATGGCGACCCACCCAAGATCCCGATCCCAGAAACTTCCCCGATCGTCGCCTCCATGAGTACCTATGGGCGGACAAAAGTATTTTTGGAACACATCATCAAGGATTTGTGCACTGCCTCAGAATCGACGCAGACGGATTATGAAAAAGCGCAGGCGGCCAAGGGAGAGAAGGTCGAGAAGAGCTATCGATGGAGCGCCACCTTGCTGAGATACTTTAACCCTGCAGGAGCACACCCCAGTGGCATTATGGGTGAGGATCCGCAGGGAATTCCCAATAACCTGATGCCGTACCTCGCCCAGGTTGCTGTGGGAAACCTGGAGAAGCTAACAGTCTTTGGACAGGATTATCCAACCAAGGATGGCACCTGCATTCGGTAAGGATGACCCTTATTTTTTTTATTTTGCAATGAGCCTGTATCGATGCGCCATGTTCCCGTTCTTAAACATTGTTTGTCTTGTGTTCCCACGGCTGTTTCCCAGCGACTACTTGCATGTGGTTGACTGCGCTGATGGACATGTAGCCGCCCTCAAGAAAATCGAGCGCGAGGAAGCCGCAGGCACATTTGAGTGCAATGCCTACAACCTTGGTGCTGGAACAGGTTGCTCTGTCTTGGATATGGTGCATGCGTTCAGTAAAGCCGTCGGACGGGATTTGCCATATGTGATCTCAGCCCGTCGCCTAGGTGATGTGCCCAACCTGACTGCAGACCCCACGTTGGCCAACAAGGAGTTGAACTGGAAGGCCACCAAGACGTTGGATGAGATGTGTGCGGATCTGTGGAGATGGCAACGCAACAACCCTAGTGGCTACAGGACTCAAAACTAGAACAGCACATTCTCAGGAAAAAAACCCCCCGCTGCATTTTACCACAACTCTATTTGCGTATTAGACACTTTGATTTTATTTATATACACTGAATATGATGCGAAAGGATAGACTTGTTTATATGCTGCTATGTTGCTCGAGGCATGCGGATCTTACTTGTTGGAGGGAAGGATCTTGCCGTGGCACTCTCCAAATCCAACACGGACGCCATCCTTCTCGCACCAGCCCAACAAGATCATCTCATCGTTATCGTTCAAGAACTTGCGAGTGATGCCATCATCCAACTGAATCTCCTTGGCGCCGCTCCACGACAACTCAAGCATCGATCCGAAAGAGTCCTCGGTGGGACCCGAGATGGTGCCAGAACCGCAGAGATCACCAGTGCGCATGTTGCATCCGTTGACGGTGTGGTGGGTCAACTGCTGAGCAAAGGACCAGTACATGTACTTCAAGTTTGAGCGCGAGATCACCGAGTACTTGGAGCTCTCAGCAGGCTTCAACTTGATCTCCAAGTTGATGTCGTAGGCCGAAGCGGTCGACTCGGCCAAGTAGGCCATGGGCTTAGGGTCCTGAGCGGGGCCGTTGACCAAGAAAGGCTCAAGAGCGTCCATGGTCACAACCCAGGCCGAGACGGTCGTACCGAAGTTCTTGCCGAGGAAGGGTCCCAGAGGAACGTACTCCCAAGCCTGGATATCGCGGGCACTCCAGTCGTTCATGAGGACGACACCAAACATGTGGTCCTTGGCATTCTCGATCGTGATGGGCTCGCCCAAGTTGTTGCCAGTGCCAACCAAGAAAGCCTAAAATTTTAACATTGTGAACAAAAAAGACAGCGTGAGAAAGATTTGAAGGTTTTCGTGCAAGGACCACCGACCATCAATTGCATCAAGAAACAGCAAAGGTCCTTTTTACAAACTTTTATGTTACTTACCATCTCGAGCTCGCAGTCCATACGAAGGGAAGGACCGTACTGAGGAGCCTCACCCTTGACAACGACACGCTGACCCTGGGGGCGCTTCAACTCTGTACCAGTGATCACAACGGACGAGGCACGACCGTGGTAACCGACAGGGAGGTGGGTCCAGTTGGGCATCAGAGCGTTCTCCTTGCCACGGAACATGATTCCGACATTAGTGGCATGCTCCTTCGAGGCATAGAAATCGGTGTAGTCACCAATGTTGGCGGGGAGGTGGGTCTTGACCTGGGAAATGGGGAAGACCGCGCGCTGGATGAGCTCTTGGTTATCACGGAGGGTGGCCTCGGAGGAGGAGAGGAGCTTCTGGATGTGGTTGCGGGTTGCGGTCCAGACGGGCTTGCCCAAAGACATGAACAAGTTCAATGTGGGCTACATTGAAGTTAATGTGGAGAAAAGAAACATTGTTTGATCTTAGTATATGCTGACAACAATAAAAAAAAATAAAAAAGTAGCTCGATGTTCTGATTCATATTCTTACCTGAGAGAACACTCCCTGGGGGTCGTTCAAGCCCTGGACTGGGGAGAAGAGGCCAGCCTGGGCGAGGATGGACAGATCGACGGCATAGTCACCGATTCGAGTGGCGACACGGGGAGCAGCCTAACAGTTCAAAGTAAAGCAAAGTAAAGCAAAGTAAAGCGGGTCAGCATCCAGATCGAATCAATTGTCTCGCATATAGTTCATGTATCATGCAAAGACCCCTCGCCCCACTCGGGGAAACGAGCTCGCGAGACCTACGTTCTGGGTGGTGGAGATGATTCCGAAGGGAATGTTGTGGATGGAGAAGTCCGAGTCGGCTTTAACCTCAATGAACGACATGGTGGGATGAATGAGTGTGAAGTGGGGGTTGAGGGGAGAAGTGAAGAAGTGGAGAAGTGGAGAGAGAGAGTGAAGAGTAAGGAGGAGAGAGAAGGAAGGGGAAGAAGGAAAAGGAGAAGAAGAAAAGTTGTGGGGACAGACGAGACGGAGGGCGTGTTTGCGGTTCCCAATGGTCGGCCGTAGAAAAACGCCCTTCTGAAGGGGCTTACTGGCCGGTGCTCTCGATGCCGCAATGAACTCTATTCCTCCTCGAAATGACGCCCCTCCGTCAATCCGTGAGAGAGTTTGGGGCAGGAGGCAGCCCATCACGTGGAGGCAGATCCAATCATCGCAGACCTTGACTCCAGGGACCAGGCCAGGGTACTGGCGACCAGTCGCGTTCCTGGGCTGATCTCGGCGGTACCTGGAGCCGCACACCCTCATATCCTCTTCGACTCTGCCAAGCACGGGCAAACCAACGACCCAGCTGCATACAGTCTCATCGCATATCATCAGCTTCATCACCCCATCGTCCCCATCACTCCATCAACCTCAACAACGTCCAGACGACATTCGGTAAAGAGCAATTGATGCGGACCTACCTGATCTCCGCCGCTCTGTCATTTGCCCTCGGCTACTATGCCTGCAACTTTGCCATAATCTCGACCATCTACGACTTTGTCGCCTCTGTTCCAGAGACTACTCACAAGGTACACAAGCATTTTTTCAATTGCCATGCGCAGAATAAAGATTACAAGCTGGCTGCTGCTACAGAAGCCAGACCGGATTCGATGCCAACTCAGAAATATCATCAACATTTTGTTTTTCACAGAGATACCTGTTGTACGCACTCTTGATCCTCCTGGCCCTCTTTGTCCTGATCCTTATTCCTCTCGAACGTATTGCCAACTTTGAAGCACGAAGGGTAAGTATCTCAATCGCTCAGATGTATCTTTTTTTTTCTCAATGCACTTCTCGCAACGGAGTCGATTGTCAGCTTAACGCTCACCGCATCTTCTGTCAATGCCCCCATAGAAACAAGACTATCCGTTCAGGACATCTGCTCGAGAGCATCTGCAAAGACGTGGCAGCTTCTAAGTCTTCACAAGTACCCCGAATCATCATATTCATCCTCGCACTAAAAACGAAGATTTCAGGACCAAACAGATCGGACCCAATAACGAAACCATGAACACATCAGCTGCAATCTCAAAGATCTTTTGGCCTTCGCATCTTTGCTCCCGGCATGTCAGGACAGGCTTCATCATCGGCTGGAACGTCCGGAGCTTCACAGCATGTATCGCAACCGTCGTCTCAGATATCGATGTAAACACCTTATGTCCCCAAAACTAGGCGATCGTCGCAAACATTGGAGGAACACGTACTTACCTCCGGACCAAATTATTTGTCTCTCTGCATTGTCATTCTAGCTTGAACCGCTGGTGTCCGCCCTAGGCTCCCTAACCGCCGATCCACATTTCGCAGCCATCAACCGTGCCTGCGGTGTCAACCCCGTAGTTCTCGGCGTCGCGATTGTCCCCTTCGCCGACGGCATGGACGCCAAGACCGTCGCCAACAGCAACGCCCGTCTCCTTGCCTCACGCTCGCTCCTCGAACACAAACAAACCGCCAACCTCTGGCTTACGATTGAGATCAAACCGACCTATATCCCTTCACTCGTATCGCTTCATTGCTGTGGGTTTCAATATAGCAACGTCAGCTCCGAGACTATTTTTTATAAGCAACCCGACCCGAGGAGCTTCCAGTTCTTGTCGTTGGATCCGTTGATTTTGGATATATCGAAAATTAATGCGTCGGGTGCGTTGTTCGATGCGGCGTTGAGCAGTAGCGGGAGTTCAAACACTGCGGTACAGAAACGGATGGTCAAATCGGTTTTGAGTCATTCGAGGTCTTTCATGTCGTCTTCTGGACGAACGGTTACTGACGATATGAATGTCACTTTGCAGCAGGTAGGTCACAAACAAGAGAATTTCGGTACCCCGCTGGATGTTACGAGGTACCATCAGGCACTGACTCCCCAATCGCCTTTTTTTATTTTTTTGCTTATAGATCAACTCATCGTACGAAATGGAGCAGGCGATCCACGCAAAGGCGAAAAACTTGCTTCGTAGGCGCGCTCGGAGCAGGAGCATGTCTGAGGCTGTACGCGAGTCCGCAGTCGACCTTAGCATCAAAGTTCGCTCAAAACTCGCCATCACCGTCACAACCCTCTGGCCGATGATCCAGCCCTTCACGATCCGCCCGCTCATGGTAATCCTCTTTCTCCTCCGGAGCCTCGTCGAGATCAGTCTCTGGATCCTGAACTGGAAGTTCCCGGCCTGGGCGTTTAATGGGATCGCGATCAAGGATATGACGACGACGGGACAGCAGATCGATTTGAGGCTCCAGCAGGCTTGTTTTTGGCCATGGCAGTATTTTATGGCGAAGAAGAAGGCCTGGACGGATACTTCTGTGACGAGGGCGCAGTATATCAGCTTCTATAACAGTATGTGGTTGGTCGCGAACGATATCATTATTGGTGTTGCGCTCGGATCGTTCTTGATCAGTAATAATAAGTACATGGGCGAGGTCCTGCAGCGCTATGTCAAGGTACAGTTAATGGGAACCAAAAAAAAAAAAAACTCGCTTTTCTTTGTATATCTTCGAAATGGCACCTTCGTCAACGTTTCTTAACTGTTGGAGTTCCTATGTGTTCACAGGACTACACGATCGATACCATATCCGCGGTGCTCGAATGGTTGACCTCCAAGAACGAATACCCTGCCGGACTCAAACTCAACCCAGAGTTGAACCCGTTCTTGGGCCAGCTCTTCAAATGGCTGATCGAGATCTGGGCCGATTTCATCATCTCCCTCCAGCCGATGGTCCCCGTTATCATCAACATGATCGGTCTCTCGGGCGCATTTGGGGCGACCATGTCCCTGTCGTTGATCTCGGACCTGTTGGCCTTCACAACTCTTCATATCTATTGGTTCTATATGGTCGCGGCTAGGATCTTTCATTGGCAGTTGACGATTCTTTATTCGCTGTTTAATTTGTTCCGCGGCAAGAAGAGGAATACGTTAAGGCATCGGATTGACTCGTGTGATTATGACTTGGATCAGCTTTTGTTGGGCACGATCTTGTTCACGCTCTTGACGTTCTTGTTCCCTACAATTGTTGTCTACTATCTCACCTTTGCATTGGTAGGTGTCCTCTGCGCATTTCAGGAAACGGGACGTGCGCCTTTTTTTTTTTAGTTACACGGATAATGCTGACAATTTCCTTGTATTCATCTTCTTGAATGTAGAGTCGAGTGATGGTCATATGCATGCAAGCAACCATGGAGACCATTCTCGCCTGTCTCAATCACTTCCCGCTCTTTGCCATCATGCTCCGTCTCAAAGATCCCGACCGTCTACCTGGAGGCCTACGTCTCGAGGTCTGTCCGGAACGGTTCTTTTTCGACCGCGCTACACCTCTACGATGGGTAGTCAGCTCTTTGAGGTCCGTCTCTGCAGACAGTCCGCACCCGCAACAACTGCAGCAATCGCAACACGATCTGATGGGCAGCAAGGGCGATAGAAGCGGCAGCAGCTCACAACACCAGCACCAACACAATGAATTGGAAATGAGCGGAATAAGGAATGGACAGCTGCGACAGAGGCATGTGAATGGATATCAACAATATCCTCAGCAGCATTCGTATTTCGGAGCAATGCCAGGTCCACGCCACCATTTGCACCATGATTTTGGATCGCATCACGGCCTGACCGAGTCACCGGGTATGCTCTCGCCACCGGTGGCGGTACCTGGGGAAACGATGATGACCGAACCCGAAAAAGAACCCCGATCTGTCAGTTACCTCTTCCTCACCGTAAGACATCATTACCCTGTTTGTTTGTTCGTTTTCTTTCTCATTGCTTCTTTATTCATCCTGGATATGTTTCAAAAATGACGATGCTTATAATATCTGGATATCTGGTTTGCCGTGTATCGAACAGAACTCTCCGCTGCCGATGTCGGCCATATTCTTCCAATACTCTGTCCTGTGGAAACGTCTGTCGTCCCATTACTTCACACTCCACGTGCTCAAATGTCTTCTCTCGGGCGAGACCATCCGCTCCATCCCTAGGTTGCAATACCCCATGTTGCCTGACACTAGGTATGGTTCATTTTTATTCATCTTCTGTACGCAGAAGATTGGTTCAAGAAATGAATCGCTGACATTCTTATTTTTTTTTTTTTTTTTTTTTCAATGGCTACAATAGGAGTCGGTTCACGGTATATGCGATCAAACCAACTCTCCTCCGTTTCTGGGCCTTCTGTGAAGAAACCCTCATGAACCAAGACACAGCACCCAAGCGCTAGGCTTCGACCCTTCAAGGCCACATTCGATAGAGAAAAAGAGAGGAAGAAAGAGAAAGAGAGAGAAAAAGAAAGAAAATCCCAGATGCTATACCATAATATATAACCCATCGTCAACATTCATACCAAAATAGAGAAGCAAACTTTGCAACAATCTTTTAACCTTTATTTTGATATAACGCGATATGTTACACCTTGCTCGCTTGCTTTGCTGTGGTATTCCCCTATTATTCCTCAAGTGTTACATGTACAACCACCGACATTGCGATAGCATTTCAAAACTGTCTTTTTTTTTTTTTTTCCTTTTTTTTTTTTCTCAAGCACCTACACTAGTCTCCTGACCCTTGCTCGCATTCGCGCTCACTTCCGTCACTGCTGGAACAACAGCATTGGTAGCAGAAGCAGCAGTAGAAGCAGAAGCATTGGCAGCAGCAGTATACGCCGTCAGGATGGCGTTCGCGGCCAAGGCCATCATCGGATTCTTCTCCACAGCCTCCAACGCCGCTACGATCGTCATCGCCGCCGCCTTACAATCAACTCCCACCCCTCCCCAGGTCGTGTGCTGCTGGCCGACCAACAACTGTCCCGTCGTGACCCCCACCTGATGAGCCCTCAACGCCGCAATCAGATTCGGATGTGTATGTTCAATATGATACTTCAACCCATTCAGATTCTTGTACCGTTTGCCACAGTCCAGAAACGTGCACACGTACGGCCGCACCTCGGGACTCTCGCCCTCCATGAGCCCGGACCCCGCGGAGGAGGAGGAATGGCCATGTTGGTTGTGGTATTTCAGTCCGTTAGGGTTCTTGTAGGCCTTGTCGCAGCCGGGTACGGAGCATCGGTAGGGCTTGTTCTCGTCAAAGGTGTTCGAGGGGTTGCGAGTCATGTTCTCGAGCAGGGTGTAGACTTCATCTTGTTGACGTATCCAATCCATCGTTGTGTTCGATCCGTTCGTCGCGGTCGCGGCAGAAGTCAGAGGGGACGGTTGAGGTCCAGAGAAGATCGCAAGAGGGTGCTGGCGAGGATGTTGATGAGGATACGACTCTGTCAACAGGGGTCCGATCGGCTTGCCATTCCCTCCAAGCACCACACCCTGCGGCGGGAACATCCCCGCGCCGTTTCCTGGTGAACTCGACGACGGCAACAACAACGGTCGTGACCAAGTCGTGGTCGGAAGTGCTTCGGACCGTGATGACTCAAGGGCCTGACGCTTCCTTAATGGTTGTCCTAAAGATTCAGTCGTCCTGAGAACCGCATTCGGGAACGCTGATGTATCACTGCTGTTGTCATTGCCGTTCTCATCTTCCACATACAAATCCGCCAGTGACACGACCGTCTTGCGCTTCAACCCTGCACTCGCACCCGGATTCTCCGTCCCATGGTGATATTGATGCTGGTATGCAGAAAACCTGTCCATCGCATGCGTCGTCACATTATTAGTGCTCGGGGGATACGGTCCATAATATGCATGCTGTTGATCAAACACTGATCGACTTGCAGCAGCACAATACCTTCTTCTCCGCCCATTCCTTCGCCTATTCGTTGTCGTCGCTGTCGTCGTTGCCGTCGTTGTAGCCGTCGTACTCCTACTCGAATGACTCAAGCTATCCATCATCGACAGCGGTGGCGATCTTGACTCTGCTGACCCTCCAGAATCGGACGAATCACTCCACCCTCCGTCCTCCTCCTCCTCGCCGTTGTCGTTGTGCATCCCAAGGAACACCTTTCCCTCATCCCATTCATCACCATCTTCTTCTCCTTCTTCTTCTTCTTCCTCTTCGTCCTCTTCGTCCTCGTAATCGCAATCGTAGTCACGATCACCATCGACGACGAGGTTACCTTCTTCTTCTTCTTCAAATCGCACGTGGCACTCTTCATAATGCTGTAATAGATCATGGAGGTCCAGGAGGGTGACTCCACAACAATAAAAGTCTCGACAGAACGCTGTCTCGAAATCGCGTGTCTGCAAGATCGTGTTTGTGTAACTCTCAGAGTTTGGTGATGAGATTCCTGATGCTGCGGTAGATGCGCTCGGCGCGAAATACCCCTCGTTATACCGCTGTTGTTGCTGCTGTTGCTGCTGTTGCTGCTGTTGTTGATGTTGTTGACATCTTTGCTGTCCCTGTGGTTGATGAAGCTGCTTGTTGTTGTTACTATTGTTACCACAACCACTACCGGCAGGATGCGACGACGACGAGAAGCGTGCGGGTGCAGCCGCAGCAGAGGCGAGTTCGTTGTCGGGGCTACTCGTAGCCGTCGTTGTTGCTGTTGTTGTCAAAGCAGGAGGAGGGCAGATCGAAGGAGACGGAGGTGGGGAGGAGAGAAAAGAGGACGAAGACAGTAAGGATGGGTCCCAAGGTGAGGGGCAATTAATTGTAGGGTTGCTGTTATTGATCTGGACGTAGAAGGAAGATGCTCGCCGTGTGAGGTTGGACGCAGGGGGCCGAGAGAATCGGGTGTGATATTCAGGTGGAGAGTGGGGAAGTTTCTGAGATGCAGCAGTGGTAGCGGGTGGGGGCGCCATGGTGAAGGATTGATAAAGCATGCGAAGTAGCGAAATAGCGAAATGGATAGGAAAGAAAAAAGTACGGGGGGAAGGATGCAGAACGATGAAGAGACGAAGAGAGACGAAGCACTATCCTGGTTCTTGATCTAATGGATCATCATTTCAACGTCTCCTTAGTCTGCTACCTCGCCATTGGCTGGTTCCCCTTATTCTCCACCATAGCATGGCACACACCCTCTTTTTTTCTCCTCTTCCTCCCTCCAGCAGCTAGCAACTTCACGCCTTCTTTTTCTTCTTTGTTGCTGCCAACCCTTTTCGCTGCGTCTGACCATCCAGCAAACGCGCCTTTGGAGTCTCTACATCCCATGCCCACCCGCATCCCGCAAAGGGCACTCTCCCAGCCAGCTTTCTTGAGCTCCCCTGGTACGTCCTTACTTTCTAACCTCTCCATCCCCCGCTGTCCTCATATTTGTACGCATGATATAATCCAGACCGCAAATGTACTTGTATGTCATCTCAAACCTAGGGCGTGTCCACTCCAGCTCTGTTGCTGCACCCACTTTTTTAAGTTGCGGATTGATCTGTCTTTAGCGCCGGGTTTTAGCTCCTCTATTTGATTCTCTCCATGTCATGGCGATGTTATGTATTGTACGACACACGTGTACATGTCTGGTCTACTGTAACATGTACAGTAACATTACACATTGCAGAAACGATGCAAATCCTCGTCGGCCGTGTCTATACCGTCATCCATCTTCACACTTTCCCCCTCCTCCTCCGGAAAACAGAAACCTAACTCAATTCGCCCCCAATCAGTCTCCTTCTGGATAAAGTTTTCCCTCTCCCCCCTCCTCCTCCGTTCCTTCCTTCCTCCAATGGGCGATCAATTTCAAACGGGGCATTGCCCAATGATGTAGATTGTCCAAATTGAAAAAAAAAAAGAAAATGACACTTAAGAACCCAACCTGTTGGATCAGCGGCACCAGCATCCCCCCCCCCTCCTCGTAGTCCCTGCCGTTGCCCCATGGCCGCACGCTCCATGAATTAAAGATGACCACATCAACCCCACTTGGTGTCAAATGGAGCTGATATTCTTTAGACAGGAAATAAAGAGAATAAACCCTATGTGAGGAACGTGCAGATCGGAGGCAGACTCTTTTTTTTTTTTTTCTCCAAGTGGAGATGAGACAACCGGTATCAATACACATGTTGTTCAGTCAGCACCCATGTTCCCCCCCTTCTCCCTCCCCACTTCTTACCCCGGTCAGCCAAAAGTGATTCACTACTCTCTGTACTCCCTGGACTCTATTAATTCGTGTCTCTAAAAAACACACACACACGCATTATTCAGACGAGACATCCATCCGGAACCCCATGTCGCATCCGGCCTTCTAAAGTGAAGCGTGTCGCTAAAAGACAGAAATGGGGAAGGGGAAGGGGGTGGGGGTGTGGGAGGAAGGGAGAGGGGGGATGTTGTCTCTGGTAAATAAAGAAGAGAATGGAGGTGCAGAGGAAAAAGCGGCATGGTCCAAATAAAGCAAGAGTGCAGTGCAGATAGATCTTCTCCCCTTTTTAAGGCTGTTTGTACGACACTATCGGACAGATGGGCTCACAACCTCTCCTTAGTGCGCATGGACCATGCTCCTCTCTGGATTGAATGCTGTGCAGCGTCTGTGTCCGTATACTGTCCTAATACCGGATATTTTTTTTTTATTTTTGTATAGTGCAATATGATACATGCTGCTGATTCTTCAAGGCGCGTCAGGCGTGTTTGTAATGGATGTACCTGCCACAGGTGTGCTTGCGGCCAATAGCTCCTCCTGCGGGTCCCCATGGATCATCTCGTTCATCGACTCTGCCTCATCTCCCAACGGATCCTCATACGGAATCCCACTCTCGCTGATGTTGCTCAAATCTCCAAACCCATCAGGATCTATAAACGCGACAACATCCAAAATGCAAACCGAAAGAGCCATGTTAGTTTTCTTTTTCTTCTTCTTTTTCTTCTTCTTTTTTCTTTTTCTTTTTTCTTTTTCTTTTTGTGCCGCCCTTCTCTTCATCTTTATCGCGTGCATCTGTCAGTCTCTCGCTTTCGCTTCAACTTACCAAAAGAACCTGTATCAAGATAATTGTTCGCAAACGTAAACTCATCCATATCCAATCCATGTGCCTCCAACGCCTCAATGTTCTTCTGCAGCTGCTCAATCTCCTTTGTAATATCCTCCACTCCCTTCGCAGCATTCGCCCCTGCCTCTGTCTGCGTAAACGACACTGCTGGCATCGGTGCTGACGTCATCTCCTGTGCGTTCGCCATCGATATCGACCTCAACATGTCGTGATGCACTGGACTGATCCCGTTCGGTAACAGCATCGGAGGAATCGTCAAATTCGCAGCATCCAGTTTGAATGGCTGTGTCGCGTAATTGGTGGCTGTTGTTGTCGTTGGAAGAGATGTGAGGTACTCTGGCAAAGTCGCAGTGGCCGTTGAAATCGTTGGCAATGCTGTGTTGGTTACAGGTGGGATTGTGGTCGGTGCTGTTGAAGTCGCTATAGGCGCTGTAGTAGTAAGTGAGGGGGAAGAATATAAAGACACAGGAGTTACCTGAGCCGATTGGTTCGCGTTTGCAAGCAGAGCCAGTGTTGCTAGAGAATACAAAAATGAACAAGCTGGGTCAGCATACGCGAGATTAAAAGTAAATTTACACTCGGCGTGCACAAAGCAAAGGTATATCCCATACCTGGCGTCATTTCACTGAGGTTAAAGGTTGGCTTAGTGGGCAATCCCTGCGATTCCATCCCAGGCAAGACATAGTCCGCCTCCGACTCTACCATCGATGCACGCTTACGCTTGCTTCCAAGCAGCTTCGTCACCTCTTCCTCATGCTCCTCTCCGAATCCCTGATTCAAACCATGTTCGTATTCCTCATTCAAATCGCCCTCCGTGATCGTCAACCTTGGCCTCTTGTTCGGAACAATTGCCTTCTTCTTCTCTCCCGAAAACACGCTTGCCAAGAACCGAAGAATCTTGTCAATCGTCTCCTGCTGCCGCTGGTGTCGCTCCCTCGCTGCGATCGATTCCTGCCACAACGACTGATGGTCTCGCTCAATATTCTTCAAATCGGACGAAATAGCGATCTGGTGCTTCTTGATCGCCGTTACTTCCTGTAAAATATGTCCCAGATCCATCGTCAACGCATCCCTGTCATCGTTTGCATTCGACGCCTTCTTACGAGAGACCAAGCACAGCAAGTCGGGCTGGTTCTTTTGAAAGTGTGGATTACTAAACTCCCACTGCTCAGAGTCCGTATCCGGGAGGAGAACACCTTGTTGCAAATGGGGTACCTTGTGAAATCCATACATGTTGAGCTGTCGTACAAACGATGAAAATCTGTTGTGCTTGAAAAACTTTGGCAGTACTTCCTTTGCAAACTCTACGTGCTTGAGGACTACGTTGGGCATGTCAAAACAAAGAAACGACACATGGTCGGTCAGGATTTCGTATGTCATATGAAAAAGAGAATCGCACTCATGCACCCGACAGTAACCGTAAAACAAGAGGGTGGCAGATCGCACACATACCAAGAAATGAGTGTCCGTCTTCCGACCATTTGATCAAGTTGTTGGATGCCTCGTCTCCAACCATGCTGTTCAAAACATGAAGCAATTGAGTGTCGTTAGCTCGTTAGCTCGTCTCCTAAATGACCAACAGTAGCGTGAGATAGGACGATGGCACGTACTTGTAGAGCTTTGTCAAGAAGGCTGCGACGTTGCTTCGGGCAGTGCTAGATGGTCTGGGCGACTTTTGCATCGTTGGCGAGGGCGAAGGCGAAGGCGAAGATAAGGGCGAGGACCCAGCAGTGCCAGAAGTCGACGGCCTGTTGGTGGTAGTGGCGTTAGACCTTGTAGAATTGCTGTTGCGGCCACTGACGAGCATGTTGTTGGCATTGGGCATGATATCAGTGGATCCTTGGATCTGTGTCCGTGTCAGTGAGCTATTGCCACTGTTTCCACTGCTGCTGGAACCAACACCGGTAGAGGGTGCGCCTTGGATTAAGGCCAGAGCCGAGCGGGGGTTGTTGACTAGGGTCATGGCGGTGCTCGTGGGAGGATGGACGATGGCGTTGCTGGAGCTTGCTGTGCTTGACGGAGCCATGTATGTTGGCTGTTATTGTGGCGGGTGTACTGCGAAGAGTATCGGGGTATGAAGAGGACGGGCAAGGTGGTGTGTTTTGGGAATGATGGATGTTACAGGAGGAGTGGAATGGTAAAGGAAGCTGATGTCGATGCTATGGTTTGTTGGGTTGATTGCCGATCGTGAGGGCGAAGGCGAGTAGTAAGGAAAAAAAAAAAAAAAAAATCAAAATACAACCTATTTTATTTTGAAGACATTTGCATAATAATGATAGTCAACATCTAGGAGCCGTGTCTCGCAATTTTTCTTCCTTTTTATTATTTACAGAGAAAAACTACATGCAAGACCTATTTTTTTTTTCTTTTTTTTCCTCATGGTTGGTTGGCGAAGGGTGTTTGAGCAAATATACAAGTCGAATTGGGTGCAGTAGAGCAAGAGACAAAGTGGAGATGAAGAGTGCAGTGCTTGCCCGCGTCTTTAGTCGACCTCCTCGATCGTGGGCTCAGAGCCGCCGTCACCAGGGAAGCCACCAGGGGCAGCACCAGCTGGAGGAGGTGCACCGGCACCGCCGTAGATCTTCATCATGATCGGGTTCGAAATCTCCTCGAGATGCTTCTGCTTGGCCTCAAACTCCTCCTTTTCCGCCTCCTGGTTGCCGTCCAACCAGGTGATGACCTCCTGGCATGCATCCTCCAAAGTCTTCTTGTCCGCGGCATCGAGCTTGCCTCCGACCTTCTCGTCACTGAGAGAGTTCTTGATGTTGAACGTGAATGACTCGAGACCGTTCTTGGCCTGGATACGAGCAGTCGCGGCCTCGTCCTCAGCCTTGTACTTCTCAGCTTCAGAAACCATGCGCTCGATATCCTCCTTCGACAGACGGCCCTTATCGTTCGTAATCGTGATCTTGTTGGCGCGGCCGGTAGCCTTCTCCGAGGCAGAGACGTTCAAAATACCGTTCGCATCAATGTCAAACACGACCTCGATCTGGGGAACACCGCGGGGAGCTGGGGGAATACCAGTAAGCTCAAACTTGCCGAGCAAGTTGTTGTCCTTGGTGCGAGCACGCTCACCCTCGTAGACCTGGATCAACACACCAGGTTGGTTGTCGGCATACGTCGAGAAGGTCTCGGATTTCTTGGTGGGGACAGTAGTGTTGCGCTTGATCAGGGCGGTCATGACACCTCCAGCGGTCTCAATTCCAAGAGAGAGTGGAGCGACATCGAGCAAGAGAAGGTCCTGGGTCTTCTCAGAGGTGTCACCGGTCAAGATGGCGGCCTGGACGGCAGCACCGTAGGCGACGGCCTCATCGGGGTTGATGGACTTGTTGGGTTCTTTGCCGTTGAAGAAGTCAGAGACCATCTTCTGGATCTTTGGAATACGGGTCGAGCCGCCGACGAGGACAATCTCGTCAACGAGACCCTTGTCGATCTTGGAGTCGCGGAGGACCTTCTCGACAGGCTCCATGGTGTTGCGGAACAAATCTTGGTTAAGCTCCTCGAAACGAGCACGGGTCAAGGAAGTGTAGAAATCAATACCCTCAAAGAGCGAGTCGATCTCGATCGAGGTCTGGGCGGACGAGGAGAGTGAGCGCTTAGCACGTTCGCAAGCTGTGCGAAGACGACGGAGGGCACGAGGGTTGCCAGAGAGGTCCTTCTTGTGCTTGCGCTTGAACTCCTGGACAAAGTGGTTGACAAGGCGGTTATCGAAATCCTCGCCTCCCAAGTGGGTGTCACCAGCGGTGGCCTTGACCTCAAAAATGCCATCCTCGATGGTCAGGAGTGAAACATCGAAGGTACCACCACCGAGATCGAAGATGAGGACGTTCTTCTCGCCAGTGGTCTTCTTGTCTAGACCGTAGGCAATTGCGGCAGCAGTGGGCTCGTTGATGATACGAAGGACGTTCATTCCGGCAATCATACCAGCATCCTTAGTGGCCTGACGCTGAGAGTCGTTGAAGTAGGCGGGCACAGTGACGACGGCATTGTTGACGGGGGTGCCGAGGTAAGCCTCGGCGGTCTCGCGCATCTTGGTGAGGACCATGGAAGAGATTTCCTCGGGGGTGAAGTCCTTCTTCTCCCCCTTGTACTCTACTTGGATATAGGGCTTGGTGCCCTTATCGATGACCTTGAAGGGCCAATGCTTCATGTCGGACTGGACATCCTTGTCGTCGAAACGGCGACCGATGAGACGCTTGGCATCGAAGACGGTGTTGACTGGGTTCATGGCGACCTGGTTCTTGGCGGCATCACCGATGAGACGCTCCGTGTCAGTAAAGGCGACATAGGATGGGGTGGTGCGGTTACCCTGATCGTTGGCGATAATCTCGACACGGTCGTTCTGCCAGACGGCGACGCAAGAGTAGGTGGTTCCGAGATCGATACCAACAGCTATGTGACAAATGTACAAAAGAAAACGATTAGAAATCCGGATTCAAGTCACAAAAGTAATCACCGAGTCGTATGGGAGCGAAGACGCGATATATGATACAAAGGTTTCATGGTAAGACACCAAAAAAAAAAAAAAAAAAAAATGTCGCATTTGTTCATCCGTGTTCAAGCCAGCGGGGGTGCTCAGCTTCTTTCAAACCCTCTTTTCCAAATGCATGTCCATTTTCATGTCCAAGGTCCGCTCGACATTGAAATTGAAAACTATTGTATTGTATAATAAGTATACGCGTCCGCTTGGCCCAAACCTAGCTGTTCAGCACCAGGGAAAAGGAAAATGACTGAGAGTACAAGAACAAAAGAGAAGGATCGACAACGAGGGGAAGGATGAAGGGAGGGGAGAGAGAAGGACGGAATGGAGAGTATTGCTCGCTTACCTTTTCCGGTTGCTTCAGCCATGGTTGTATGTATGTGTTGTTAAAGAGGAAATGCGTGTGAAAAAAAATGAAAAAATGAGAGAAGAAGATAGTGCTGTTTCTGTTTCTGTACGGGTGAGGATGAAGATGAATGCGAGTGAGAGCAAAGGGCGAAGTATGGGTGAGAAAAAGAGAAAGAGAGAGAGGGGGGTGCGCACTGGCCTACTTATATCCACACTTTTTTCCACAGCGTTCGACGTGACATCACACAGCCCTTTTTGGGCCTTATCTAGCAAGTTCGCGATGCATGTGGATCAACCTTCTTGGGTCCATGTCCATGCTGCTGCTGCTGCTGCTGCTCTCAAGAAGCAACCAGCCCGCTGCTGGACAATGAAAGCAAACGGTCGCACCCTTTCCAGAGGCTCCTTCTTTTTCGCACGCCGCCATTCTTTCCTTTTCTTTCCTTCTCTGTTTTTGGCCTTCATTTCCGTCATTTCCTTCATTTCCTTCATTTTATTACTTTACTATTTAGATTGCCGCTAGTCTAGTATGTTTTCGTCTTTCACATCTCTCGTCTTTTCCTATGCCACGTTTACATGCAGACTGTCCAATGTTGAGCAACAATACGCCGCAGCCACTACCCACTGTTCTTGGCTGTCGTTGTAATAGCCATCACAAGCGCCCGCGCCACTGGGCATCCGGAGGAGGCATTCAAGATAATACGGTAGCTGGCAGAAACACCACCACAGATGGTGCTTTGACATTAGTCTTTTAAACGCCTAAGCTGTCCATTACAACTATGGGTACAATCCTCTGGCTGCGTATCCGTAGACGAATAATCGTCTGCTGCACTCGTGAAAGGAAAAAGAGAGAGAGAGAAGGTGCGAAGGAGGAGGATGATCCCCATTCATCCTGGTCTCATACAATTTTATCAACGACAGCCTACCATTCCATTTCACGCCAAGCAACCGACTAGTAGGTAATATTACGTACATTACGTATACACAGAGTCTACTATTCAGAAAAGAGCGTTGGCTTGGAATGAAAGCAGAGCATGCTGTTTCCGTATGATTTATCTGTAGCCACTATATTCGCGCGTTGTTTATTTCTGCAACGTACCTACCCGATATGAAATTTGAGCCTAGTCTAGGCTTATTGCAATCAATAGGTCCCTCGAAAAGGTGAAAAACGAAAGGCGAGAGAGAGACGACTTGACACACAAAAGGGACAAAACACACGGCTTCTCTTACCTCCCATTCACCTTCTCTTGCACATTGACCATCCTTCTTCTTCTTTGTACTATAGAACCACCGCCCCCATTCCTCATTCCTCATTCCTCCTTCCTCATTCCTCATCAATACCGCACAGTTCCTCTCCTTCCTCATGAAGTTCTTCTCTCTTGCAGCGGCTCTCTTGGCCTTCACCGGTACGTAATCCTCCTCCCTATCCGTTCTACCATTACACAGACCAATCTGCTCTATGCTCTCAACTACTTCACTTTTCACTCGCACTTTGTATTTCCCCGCTACAATCCACTCATTCGTTCCTAACAATTCCTAACGATGCATTGTTCGCTCTGTGTGGCCATATTGTAGCCCTCGTCTCTGCGCAGGACGTTGACAAGAGGCTGGTTGATATCTCCGACACTCAGCTGGAGGTCAAGGAGATGCACACCAAGCCCAATGTGGACACCTTCGTCGTCACTGTCCAGCGAACGGATGACCTCCTTGCTGACGACGGCACCTTCCTTGCCGAGCGTGTCATGGCTGTTGCATTTAACTTTGATGTCCAGGATCACGAGGTACGGCTCCTTTGATACAGCCCTCCGTGTTCATATATTGCTCATTTAGCGTGATGTGTGTGATATAGGGCCGCAGTTCCATCATGTTACGCCAACTGTCAAGACACCTAACTTCTTTTTTCCATCTCTCTATCACGTTTCAGGTCCTAATCAACAAAGTCCCTTTGAACTTTGGGTCGCAGGAGAAGCCAGAGGAACCCATCACAGTCACAGTGACTGTCGAGGCTGGTGTCATTGTCGGCCCCGCACTCGACCCCGAGACCAAGGTTGATGACCTCATGGAGGCCTTCGATACCGGCCTCGTGACCGTCCAGGTGACTGCCTCAACTGAGTTTGTTCCCATTGAAGATGGTTCAATTGTCCGCCGTGTTACCCTCAGGGAGACCATTGTTGAAGTCAACGGTCTCGAGATTACACAGACAGACGCTGCTCAGCAGGTCTTCGAGATCATGCCCGACGGCTCCCTTGGCAGCTACACTCCTCTTCCTTTCGGCAACAGCGGTTGCCAGCCTGGCAAGGACTTTGAGGACGCCATGGAGTCCATTGACGAATGGTTCCGCTCGCTCAACTGGCCCGGATTCCTCTGCGCTGGTTTGGTCGCCGTCTCCATGTTTGTCTTCTCTGCTACCTCGCTCCGCTCTCTGATTCAGAAGCGTCGCCAGGCTCGCTATGCCAAGATCCACCAGCACGAGGCTGCGGACGAATTTGTGCAGGTCACTGTCATCGAGGACAAGAAGCTGGATGATGAGAAGAAGGCCCTCAACCTCTAAAGGACTTCTTTTTCTTATGCCCCTATTACCGTCTTGACGGTAAGCTGCAGTCCTCCGCGACTTGCAGCGTCGTTGAAGGATACAAAAAGCCAGCTGCACTCGTCTATGTCTGATTGTCTACTTGTATCCATCTCCATGCCACATAGTCCACGAATATCTATCTATATTGCCCTGCACATTCTTGTGTCTAAAAAATAAATTGTTTTTCGTTATAAGCTGCTTATGTATGATGAGACGGGAACAAGGAGAAGTACAGAATTAAAGATGATGCATCTTTTTCTGCAGCGAGAGATGAGATGCTGTTGTTGTTTGATGTTGTAGCTTCGTTTTACCCCTGCCTGTGCTGCTTCGCCCTTTCTGCTCAGATAGAAAGAGGCTATTGTATTTTTAGGGAGCGACAATGATGAAGAAAGAGCCCATACTCTCGCTCATTCTTTTCTCCACGGACGTAACAAGAACCAGGAAAGGCAGAGGAAAGTTGCCATGAGTATCCACCGCCAGGGCAACTTCTGGCGATCAAAGGGATGGAAACGATCGACCCGTTCCATTTTCACTGTTACTTAGTGCGTCGTATGCGGGAGGCTTCTTGCGTCCATGGTCGACCCAGAAGCAGAGGACATTGGACTAGTTACAAAACAAACAGGAGCTCCTCTTTGCTGCCATTAATGACCAACAGAAGTAGGCTAACCCATGAAGAGTCATGGATAGCTACTTGTTGCCCCTAATGAGGGACAGCACGAAATATGAATATGTTAATGCAATTCGTGTCAGGATCCTGGTTGGATACACGATGAATGCTGAAAATACATTTTTTTCCCTGAAGCAGAGTATGTGAGCATCCATCCCATGTGGATGGCTGACCCTTCGCTTACTATATATACTTATAAAAGACAGCATTTCTTGCTTCCTTCTCATCCTCATCGTTCTTTCATTCTGCTTGCATGCCTCTCATCCATCCTCCACTCATTCATCCTCATCTCTATTTATCAACTCTGTTACCATCATGTCCGCCTCCACCCTGATCCACACTTCTCTTAGACAGGCCTCCAGCAAGGTCCTGCCCATCCTCACATTCCCACGGACCACCCAACCCCTCGCCCTTTCACTCCTCACCTCAAGGCGACTCATCTACTCCAGAGGTAACGTCCTCCTTGCAAGCAAGTCCCTGTCAACAAGATCAGCACTGAATCCCCTTCGACAGTACACCACCTCTTCGTTGGTCGTCAGCAATGAAAAGACCAATGTTAATCAGGGTAGGTTGCTTTGCCACCGAACACTGTATATGTTCCTTCTTTAAGATCTGTCAATCTTTGACATGTTCTCATGCTTTATTGCGCCTTTTCACAATTAGCACCAGCAATGGCTGCTGCGGCCGTTCAAGAAGAAAGCATGAGTGAGAAACATGAACAGAGGTATGTATCTTGTACTTTCAATTCAGGGCTATCTTTCAGATATGTTCCTGAAAAATTAGCAGTGCATGATCCGTGCTCGACATTACATCTTCAATTGCTGAGGACACAACACTCTCTTTGAACTTTCAGTGGCCTCTGCACACAAACACGGACACACAATTTGCTCAGCGCAAGGTGCATTCCGCGGAAGGGACCATAGGGGGAGGCATGGTCAGTTGTATGTGCTGGACTGGATAGATGACCCATGGAGTGATCAAGTGTCGCTCACACAGTCGCACAAGACCTGCCTGATCTTTTTACTGGCGATGATGATGATAGTGGCCCCCCCTTCATGACATCATGCACAAACCAGCAGTACACATTTGCTAACCCTATACATTGCCCTATCTTTATCGCACATAGAATCTCCGAGATCAAGGATGCAAAGCTGATCTTTAACCAGGCGTTCAGAAATGTGCAGGATGTCTGTGGACGAGAAAACATGCGGTTCCCCAAGGAGATCATCTGGTTGATGGGCGCACCAGGATCAGGAAAGGGCACCCACACGCCCGCTATCCTACGCTCCAGGGGCATCACCAATCCTCCGATCTCCATGTCCTCTCTTCTCTCGACACCCGAGTGCAAGGAGCTGATCAACAAGGGGCTTATGATCAGTGACGGCAAAGTTGTCGAAAATCTGCTGCATGCCCTCCTGGATTGTGAACCCGAGGTTGGTGTACTTGTGGATGGGTTCCCGAGAAGCGAAGTTCAAGTCGAGTGCCTGAAGTTGTTTCACGAAAGGATGCACGAGTTGCGCAGGGAGTACAAACACACACCGCTGAAGGACTTTTTCCCACGACCGACCTTCCGTATCTGCGTGCTCTATGTCGATGAAGAAATCTCAGTCAGTCGGCAGCTCATGCGCGGCAGGCTGATTAAGGAGCACAATGCCCAAGTCCTCCGTTCTGGCAAGGGCGAGATCAAGGAAGAGCGTGTCACGGACTACGACGAACTACTCATCCGGGCAAGATACGAGATCTTCAAGGACCACTACTCGTGTTTATTGAAGCTGAGCAAAATCTTCCCCTTCCATCTGATCAATGCTGTTGGAAGCATTGATAGCGTGATGCGCATCATCCTCAAGGAATTCGAGTACCAGTCTTCGCTCGAGTTAGAGCACGACACTTATGAAGCCATCTCCCATGTCCCACTGGCGACCAAGATTGGTATTCATGCCCGACAGGATCTGATCAGGAGGTTGGAGCATTATTGCGAGACCGAGCCCGAGATCTTCTCAAAAGCCGTTCGGTTTATCGATCAGGAGGTATCGCCCATGGTCGCTCGGCACGCCATTAGTGGACAGGCCCTTGTGCGATCTCAGAACCCGATTCTCTCGGACCCAAAGGTTGTCGAGGTGGTTATCAGCATTCTTTCAGAGCGTGGATACGCTGTAACCATGGATGAGCGCGTTCACGAGACACCGAAGCGTATCGACCCGGAGACCTGGGAAATTATTTTGGAGAGAACGCATGTTTACGCGCTGAACGTTCGGTTCCCGCAACACCACATTCAGCCCTTGGAGCAAAAGTTCTAAAGGTGTAAAGAAATTCTCTTATGTTTCTTTTTGCAGTCTCTTTTTTTTTTTCTGTTTTTTTCTTTCTTTCATTCTTTCTATCCAATTGCTTCCAGCACTTTTTCTTATTAGATACATTGCCTCTGCATCCGTTATGTTCATGATGCACCCGCGTATGAACATCAACGCTATTTCTTTTGCTTTCATGTAACAGCACAGGCTGTTCAAACTCTCTCCTCACTTTTCTTCACCAGCAACGCCATTTTGCTACGATAGTCCATCCATATTTATTCCTCAATGTATACTATCCCTTACTCCGACGACTTCGATTTTTGATTCATAAAGTCGCAATGGGGGACAATTGGGAACAGTAGGCCAATACTGCAAAGAAAAAAAAAAAAAAAAAAAAAACGATTAAACTCAATTTTGCACGAAAACAAAAACAAATGCGTTCAAAGCTGATGTATCTTGTTCCAAGTAAGATTCGAGAGGAGTAGTGTCTCGTTCGATGCCTACTGCATATAAATAACCGCCATTGTGAGTTCGTGTTCACAAAAACTCAATCCAAGGTTACGTTTGGCAACTTTGAGCGCGTTTTTTTTATGCGTGTGTATATGTGTGTTTATCGATATATCGATAACCATTCGACGCATTGGTAGCGGTGGTGGGGTTTATTTTTTTTATTTTTTTTTATTTTTTTTTACTGCTCCCAATCCATCAGTGACTATGCATCTTCTGATCCTCTTGACTTCTTGGTTGTCGCAGAAACGGAGGCCACATCATCTGAAGGCAATCCATTCCTCTTCTTGTTGGTCTGCTGCTGCTGCTGTTCCTCCTTGGGCAGTTCTAGACATGCGCCATCGACCTCACCCGGATCGGCCTCCATAAGAAGATCGACTTCATCTTTATCCTTGTTGATCTCGTCGTCTTCGTCGTCTTCATAGATACCGCCCTTGGGTCTATATTTTAGCTCATCCAGCTCTACGTTCTGTGTGGAAGAGGAGGGGTCGATGTCCATGGCCGCAAAGGTCGAAACAGGCTCTGAAATCTGTGTGGTAGAGGGGATCGTCGTTTGTGCCCCTTCATTCGTATCCGTTGTTGCTGCTGCTGCTGCTTCCAAAGCTGATGATGAAGGCTGAGTGTCCTGCTTCTCTTGCTGTTGCTGTTGCTGTTGCTTCTGAATTTCCCGTTCCCGTAGCTGCTGCGCCTTTGTCTGGCCCTTCTTGCTGTTATTAGGCTGTCCGGGTACCTTGGTCCTCAACTTGTTCTTCGTGGCCGCTTCTTGTTCCGTATTTTCGGAAAGAACGCCCTTTTGGACTAGGCGCTCTGTTAGGCCCGTGTTGATGGACTCTTGAAGGTTCACAAGTGCTTGGGCTAGAGCTGTGAGGTATTGCTCCTTCTTGGTTTGAGAGGACACGGTTGTGTCTGAGGATACGTGAATAGGTACCTGGAAGGATAGGGCTTCTGGAGCCGTCGTGAGTTCCGTTGTGGTGGTTTCTGTGGCGGATGCGGCGCTGTAGGAAGCGGTGACGGTCGGAGTAGAGCTCATGACGCAGATTCGGGATGTGTGTGTGTCCGTGTGTGTGTGTGTGGCGATGGAGAGAGAGGGATCTTTGAATGCCATCACTGCGCGTTTCCTGGTGACGGTTGTTATCTGTGCTGGTTGCTGGTTTGCCTCTCTGGTTAAATAAAAGCCACCAGGGGCTCACGGACCACATTTGGTTTTTTCTTTTCCCCTTACCCCTGAAAACCTTCGCTTTCATCAACCCATCAAACGAAATCAGCCATGTCAGCTTCAGGACCAGGACAGGAGGCTCTCCGCGAGGCAGCCCAGGCAGCGGTGTTCGTCCACTCTACAGAGATGCCCAAGGACTCGATCGTGATCAAAGGCCCAGATTTCAACCAGACCGTGACCTTGGACTCCTTACTTTCGACCTTTATCCACTCTGGCTTCCAGGCCTCGGCCATTGGTCGTGCTATCGAGATTATTAATGAGATGCGTCAATGGCGTCTTTCGGATGAGCCTCTCCCACTTCCCACTGCTGAGGACCCCATCGTCGATCCTGAACTGCTGGACCCCGAGTATCGCAAGTCCGTGAAATGCAAGATCTTTCTGGGGTACACTTCGAATTTAGTTTCGTCCGGTGTTCGTGAGGTGATCCGGTTCTTGGTCCAACACAAACTTGTTGACTGTTTGGTTTCGTCCGCCGGCGGAGTCGAGGAGGATTTTATCAAGTGCTTGGCTCCGACATACTTGGGAGAGTTCTCGCTGGATGGCAGTAAGTTGAGAAAGAGTGGATTGAACAGGATTGGGAACTTGTTGGTTCCGAATGATAACTACTGCAAGTTTGAGGATTGGGTCATGCCAATCCTGGATAAGATGTTGGAGGAGCAGAAGGACGAGACGATTAAAGCCCATTGGGCACCGAGTAGTGTCATCAGCAGGTTGGGTAAGGAAATCGCACATGAGGAGTCGATCTACTATTGGGCCTATAAGGTATGTGCTTTTGCTCTTCAGGGCTGTTGAAACGAGAAGGGGAAGGGTACTTTTTATTGATGTGGATCCGATTTTCAGAATTAAATAATCTAACGTCGTTTTTTTTTTTTTTTTTTTTTTTTTTTTTTTTTTTTCTAGAACGACATTCCAGTGTTCTGCCCAGCGTTGACGGACGGTTCTTTGGGCGATATGATCTACTTTCACTCGTATAAGAACCCCGGTTTGATCATCGATATCGTCTCGGATATCCGCGCTATGAACAACCAGGCCGTGTTCGCCAAGAAGACTGGAGTCATCATCCTCGGCGGTGGAGTTGTTAAGCATCATATCTGCAACGCCAATCTCATGGTAAGCGCATCGCGCTTCTTGTCTAATTGACTTTTTCATCATCGTATTTCTAATTGCATTTTTTTCTTCGTCTTTATTTACTGTCCACATGGTCAATAGCGCAATGGTGCAGATTTTGCGGTGTTCATCAACACAGGCCAGGAGTTTGACGGAAGTGATGCAGGAGCTCGACCGGACGAGGCAGTTTCGTGGGGCAAGATTCGTATGGATGGAAAATCCGTCAAGGTCTACACGGATGCGACAATCGCCTTCCCTCTAATCGTCTCGCAGACCTTTGCCAAGGAGTTTCAAAAGATTGATGAAAAGTTTTCATAGAGACATGTAAAGGCTTGAGGCCGAAAAATAATAAATCAATGTATATTTCTATCTAAAGAGCCTTTCTATGTTTTAGTCCGTTCCCCTCAGCTCGAACGGTAAAAAAGGCGCTATGTTCAGCTATAGTGCACACTTTCTGAATCGGAGATTGATGCCTTGTGATTTCTTTTTTTCAATCGTGAAAGCCGTTCAATCGTGAGATAAAAGTCGCGCTTCTTAGACAGCACTCTTTATCATCTTGTATAGGTATATAAACTACTCTGGAAGCCTTTGCAGCTTTTTTGCCCTGTTACCTTCCTTCACAACTGCCTACTCGACAATGAAACCCTTCCTGCGCATTCGAATCCTGGTCGTCCTAGCCATCAGTCCCGCGCTTCTTTGCTCAACTAATCTCAATGGTACTGCCCTGATCAAAAATGCCTTCCTGCCCTATCGCCATAGACGCTGTTCATTCATATTTTCGTAAATCTTGCGCATACTTTCTCCGGAGGATGAGTTTGCCCAGGCCGAAAAGGTATATCTGAATCTTTCAAGGGATAGAACTGTCACCATGCCCGTCGAGCGGACAGTGCCGTGCGATCTTTGGTAAGAGAGGAGATTGGGGATAAAGCTTCCAAACTACCGTGAATAAAGGTACCGGTGGAACATTCAAACACAAATACGCTGTTGAAGGCAAGGATACAAGGTGGCGCTTACTGCGGATGAGCTACAGGCCAAACTTTGGGGAGAAGCAGTTTCAGGTTCTGGAGGATCATATTCCGAAAAAGATCAACAGAGTGGTGCCATTACCTTGTTTATTTGGATGCTATTCAGAGTACACTGGCATTACGTGAACGTTAATCGCGGTGCAGAAGAGGAAGGCCTCGTATGCTTTTTGTTGTAATTCTTTAATGCAAATGCGCGAAGATGTAACGCGCGACCTATATTACTTCTGATTTGCATTTTAAATAGAAAAGCTACACTTTACCACGAGCGCCAAATTCCATTTCCTGGTGGACAAAAGATCTTGAGGGGCAGTTATTTGCACAGCATGTTTTATTCAGATCCACCTTTAAGGCAAACCAAGCATCTTGTGCATGTACTAGGCTATGTCGAACCTCTATGCGATTGCTATTACCAGTGGTTGTACAAAACATGGCGAAGCACCAAAAACGAGAGGCGATGCAGATGGGGGCGAGGTTGGAGATTTGGACCGATTTAGACATGTCTTTTGCTCTTTCGCATCTCTTCTTCTTTAGATTCTTCTTCAGTCGCCTCCTATACCATCACTCTTTTCGACTGCCATTTCGCTTCAGGAACAGTAAGATATGACAACCCCCACCAAGAATGAGAAGCATGTCCAACAGTTCAGGGCCCGGTCGGCGTGCAAGACCACCAATATCCCCACCCAACTGGATATCAAGTCTGGACAGCGCTTTGTACTATGGAAAAGCGTCCTTCTGATTTTCAAAGATGCTGAATATGTCATGGATGGCGACGACCTTGTTCAGTTTATGATGGACGAAAACTACGAAGAGTAAGCCCAGGAACTAAAGGAAGGAAAATAGATGGCGGCTGCAATTGTAGCTGGCCGGTATCTGGCATGCATTTGCTGCTCATTGTTGCCATAGTCTTGTTCCTCTGAGGATTTGTCACCAACTAGGCGTCGTTCTTGATGTGGTCACGAAGAGCGCCGATAAGAGTGCACCTGCACCGTTAGAGACCTCTTCTCCCTCGCAAGATATTGTGGGATACATATCCCCTGTAAGCGAGGGCTCGATCGATATAGCCGTGGAATTACATGGGTCTACCGACCTCTTCATCACAGTCAAAGACATCACAACCAGAACCCTTACCGTCCAGTCCGCTGAAAGGGCCGTAACAACACAGCAGTCTCTCCAAGAGTACTTCCAGCTCTATCAGTCCTATGTCGAAGCCAGCACCACTGGCCAGCCAATCCAGGCAGCGAGCATCAAGAACACAATGGAACAGCGGTTCGGCCTCCTGGATACACAGCTGCAGTCCAGTGACATCTTCCAGGTCTACACTCTGCAGATCCAGCAACAAATCCTCAACCAACTGGCGCTCCTCCAGAACCAGGTCCAGGCGGTACGGACACAAACATACGAGCTTTCCCAGTACCCGATCCCTCGACTGTTCATCGTCCTTCCGAAACCTATGCGACGCAGAGACAAGCTTAGCAAACCCTTCACCAAGCAGTTCCGCTTGTTCTTCCTGTGCGAGTGCGGTAAGCATACCATGACAGAAGGAAGCACGATCCCACACGAGATGCATCTAGCCAAGCACAAGGGATACGACATCGATGAGCCGAGCGAATCCTTTGAGAGATACGGATCCCATGTCCTGACGACCATGAGGCTGCTCAAGTATGGGTACACTATTGCTGACGCCGTTGTGCCACCTCTCGCCTTGTTCAACCTTGCAGACGGGATTGAGACTGTCAGCAAGAGACTCAATGTGGACACGAGTAGCATTGCACCTCTGGTAGACGAGTCTATCAGGCATATCGAGAGTCTACAGGGGAATGGAGGAAACCCTGGCGTAGCATCCAGTTCGATGGGCCTGAATGCAGTCGAGGCGCTCGAGGGAGCAGATCTGAGGCAGCTGGAGTCGTTTTTGCGGGCCAGCGACAAGGGCCGCGACCTCGGCAACCTGTACCAAGTGGTCACAGCTTATGGACATGTCAAGTGGGTCTGCTTGGACCACTACCGTAGCAACTACCGGGAGTCAGCAATGCAGCATTTCAGGGACGTCGTTAAGGCCAATAGCGGACATTATTTCGCTGATTGTGTTAACATCGAATTTGGGTCCAGTATTGTCGCCAAGCAGTTTTACGAGGCGCTTGTTAGGCCTCGCGGCATTCAGTACCTCGATCTTCGCTTGACGTGGGATGTCACATTTGACGAACTTCGGGCTCTCGAGGCTGCTATTAGTCGAAGCAACATTACCAGCTTGCATGTACACCTCGTAGAAGCCAAGGAACCGCTGCTCGACGTCATCAATCGCGGTCGTCGCTATGACCCACTCATACACTTGATGGCTAACGGACGGATCCAGAACATGGCGATCAAAACGAACAATAACGTATACCAATTCATCAGCAATTCCTCGTTCATAATGGCTTCGCACCTCCGAAGTCTCAGTATCACATCAGAGTCAAGATCTCCCAAAGGTCCGCCAAGATCGATCCTTAGAGTCATTCTCAAGCACTGTCCTTCGCTTCAGGAACTTGGACTAGCCACCAACGATATGCACAGCACCTTTGAGGACTTTACCAGCAGGACGTACGAGTATCCATATCTCAAGAATCTGACCCTGCATTGAGATCGGCATAATATCTTTGCAGGACTATCTGGCAGTGTGATCCAGACTGTGGAGCTTAGTACTGAGGACCTTAAAGGTTTCGCGTTTGATGAGAGTGAGGTTCTTAGAGCAGGCTACTTAACAGAGCTCACCACGATAGATACCACAGAAGGCAGAAATAACCCTGTACTGATGGATATCCTTTGCAATAATCCCAAGCTCTCGGCTGTCATGATCCATTGTCCTCCCAGGCGAACGTGTGCCATCGTCAATGCACTCGCACTCGCCAGGAACGCTATCGTAACAAAAGGTGGATCATCTGCACTACAACATGTCAACGTCCAGTGAGCGGATTTAGTATTCAATAACGACCGGGTTGATTCGGATTCCATCGCCATATCCCTGAACTTTCCAGATGGCGCCGCGCTGGACATCTTACCCATCAACATCACATATGACGAGCATGGCTCAAATGATGACTGGGAGCAATTTCCTGAGGAGGAATGCGAGGTGTTTTTTGAGATACTGAGTCAACAAAGATGGTATTTGGACGTGCTACAAGTACACTATACATTCAGCGACGACATGGCAATTATTCTGGACAAGGTCACTGAAGAGCGCGGCTCAAGGATCACGTCGCTGAAGCTGAATACATCTTCACTGACAGCTGCTGGAATCGAATGCATGTGTCGAGTCATTGATCGGTCTCGGGATCTGTCACAGCTCACTTTCGCTTTTGAAGGTATGGGTGAGGAAGATGGGAAGGAATGGATGGTGCTGCTGTTTGGCCGATATGGGAAAAGATTGAACGGCTTGAGATTGGGCACGCTATTGTTTGAGAACTGGATCCCATTAGTCGAAGAGCAGTGTCCGAGCAGGTGGGATCTTTCCGAGCTGGAGTCATTTGAATTGAACAGGCATCTCGTAGATGACCCCCATAAATACACTCAATGGATTGCAGCTATGGTCTCCGCCCCACCTCAGCAATCCGCCTCCTCGCTGCCTTGTCGGTCACTTAACTCAGTCCAAGAGGACTCAAGCACCGCTAGCGATGTATCGAGCCTCAGCAGCTTGACTTCTTCATCCGGAACTCCCTATTTGTGGAGGCCTCTGAGCCGCATCCGACTGAACGGCATTAGGCTCCAGCACCAGGACTGGACAACAGTGATCAAGGCGCTTGATTTCACGGCTTTGGAAATTTTGGATCTTACTTTTACCAACTTTGATGAGGAAGAGCTTCAGGTCTTGGTAGATTGTGTTCCTGAGGAGAGCAATAGGGCTATGCCTTTAACCACATCTCTTCAAATGACCCCTATATTTTATAATGCTGCAATATTGCGATTGGTAGCAGCGCTCAAGAAGAAAGCGCCCTACGCCAGAATTTTTGATATCGATATGATACAACGGCATTTACAATAAACACCTGGCATACGGACACATCGAAGCAAAAAAAGTCCGCGATCCTTCGACAGCTGCCGAGTCTCTTCATTACATGGTTTCATATGATGGATATATCCTATTGCGACGCTTATCATGAATGTAGAGTAATATCTGGTATGGCTATGCACTTGAGTAGCTTGGATTTACGCCGCCTGAAGGATACGTTCATTCTTGATTTGGTTCGAGCTGAGTACAGATAAGCCGTGCGACCAATTTCTGTAGTGTATCTCGGAACGTTATGCAAACATATCTGCTGAGCGCAGTAAATATTTCAGGTGATTTATTCTGCTGATGGTTGCCAAGCAAAAAAAAAAAAAAAGGCAAAGTCGAAGGTTTGAACATACTCAATCCCTCACTCCTCTCCTCCTCTTCCATTACCTTCTTCAGCTACTATCTCGCCTCTGAGGCAGCGCATTCGATAGTTTGGTGCTCGGCCGACAGGCGACACTGGCAGTTACGTCTAACTGGATGTTGAGTCTGACATCGAGTGCCATTGGCATTCGCTTGATATAGGCAGGACAACTACGTGGATACTACGGGTATTCGAGGATTCTGACGAGCGCGACTACACATTGATGGCAGATAAGATGAAAAAGCCGGCATCAGATGAGAGAAAGAATGAGAGAAAGAATGAGGCCGTAAAATGGAGGGTATGTTATTGGGACAAGTGCGTTTGCGTTTACGAGTGACACAGAAGGGCATTGGTTTCAAGTGCTTCGCCCAGATGGCTTGACCGCAGATTATTGGCTGGGACAATTGGAATGCAGACGTAGCCGATTGGAATGGTGTCAGGGATTGTCTTGATGCTCAGTGGTCCCTATTGTTCGCTTAGGATAGAAGACGGGGATCCAAGGGGGGGTCGTGCGAATGATGTGCCCCTTTCTCGGGGGTCTGACTTACCAGCTTCCTTTACAAAATGGGCCTCCTGGATGGGCCTCCTGCAGTAACGCTCATCAACTCATTAAGCAAAGCGAAAAGGCTCTCATTCTCGACGCGTTAAAATGATTACCTTGGCTGATATAAAACCACATTGCGCATCCACATCCCTCCTCGACCAGTCCTCTCTTCTCATCCATCACCTTTCGCCATACTTCTGAAAAAAAAATGTTCTTCCGCAACCACACTTTGACCTTCCTTCTTGCCAGCTTCTTGGTCGTCTGCTCATCCTTCGTGGCAGATGCCGCTCCAGTCCCACTATCGTACACCCCACCCCAGGATCACGACGCCTCAGCATCTCCTTGCCATCACTGTGGCGTGCCTTATGCGCTCACACATAACCCAGGGAATATCCCAAGGTCCTACAGCGGTTACAATGGGAAATATAGAAACTCGGCTACTAGTGGACATGCGACCTTGCCTGTCGAACCCGTTAAACCGAGCCATTTACAGTGAGATTAAGAGGCCGTATTATACAGCTAATACGGACCCCCGTGATATCTTGTCAATAAATACTTCTTCAGACTCAACAACATACCCAACGTTGATGTCTTTTCTTCCTTCACACAGTATTTCGGAAGGTGTTTCTTTCCTTTTTTTTCACAATATTTCGAGCAATACATTCTGCAGTGTCAGGCGAAATCGTTTCATGACTCATGTGTATAAATTCTATCATCCGCTGATCTTTCTATATCCGTCAATGGTAAATCGTTCTTTGTGCGGTTTAGAGCAGAGGGGAGAGTAGGGTGGGATTGGGCGTAGACCCCAGGGGACTCGCCGTCTAATATCCTTCAGCGAATCCGCTCGCTGTTCATAAATAACATCTGATGTCTCTAAGCACGGGCACCACGCTTGGCAACCATGACCTCATCCGAAGCATCGACGCCCAAGGCCTCCAAAAGTCCATCGTGAGGATAGCTGCGACGCTCAAAGTGAGGCTCGGGCTGGGTCTCTGAGAGCAGGTATCCGAATCCAAGGAATGCGACAGCAGCAGCGGCGAGACGCTTGACACCGAGAGAAGCAGGGAAGGCCCAGACGTCAGGGGAAAAGATATTCAGGACCTCATCTTCTTCGGGGACCTAGAAATGGATCATGGAGCAGTAGATAAAGAATGAGTGTGAAATTCTTGTTGACAATGTAAATTCCTGACATGGTGGTTTGATCCGAGTCCTTGATGTTGGGAAAATGGCGGGTCAATTGGTATTGCTGGACTGAATATCGCGCTTGGTTGATGGCGCCCATACACATCTGTTTCAATCAGCCCTTTATTTCGTTGGAAAACATGGGTGGTGTGGGCTGTATCCCCCTGATAATCAGAATGCCAGTGCCGCCCTGTCAGTCGTCCGTGTTCTATTGACTCCTGCAAAAGATCCACAGCATGCTCGGTTGTGACCTTGCAGTGTTCCAGTAAGATCCAGCTATCCCGCATCGATTGGTCAATCTCTTTATGCCTCTACGAGATATTCCTGATTCTGCAAAGATGCTGCCGCCTAAAGCGACCTAATTCCTGAGAAGACAACTTCCGAGATCAGCGATCGAATACATCGGACGTACAGTTTCACCAAAGTTGCGACGATCCTGACGATCCCAGTATCCGGCCGAAGGGTTGCCATCGCGCCACTGCTGATTGTACATTGGCAGGTTGGGGTACGATCCAATCTGGGTATCGCCCGTGATTTTGTCGCCAGGCAGGAAACTGGTCGCATCACCAGGGATGGCTGGGTCGGCTTTGTTGCCGGCATGGCCGTTTAGGTTCACGGTGTGGGCGGCACGGATCTGGGTGAATGGAGCAGAGGCGGTGCTGTTTTTCGAAGCAGCAGCGACAGCGCGAGCTACAGGTCGTGAAGCGCGCAACATGGTTGTGAAGGTGTATAGAGGTGGGAGGTGTTCGATGTGAAAGGTTTGATGATCCCAGAATCGAACCTCACTGCTGGCTGCCGCCGGACCCCGAGGTCCGAAGCTTCAAGCCCCTTAAAATAGATACTCGCAAAAAAAGGTGCAGACTCGAACTTTACTGAGTAGAATCCTCTTCTGCATTTGAACATGAACGAAGACACGACCAATCCCAATGGCCCTGCGAAGCCTGCGAACCCCTTTCGAATGCCCTCACGGCAGGAAATGGAAGAGCGGCGGAGACAGCTCGAGGCCAACAGCAAACCAGCGCTGCATTTCAAACCAAAGGGCATCACTTTGGACAAGGATAACGCCAACCCCGCTCAGTCAACCGCGAACGCCACCAGTTCTGAAAGTTTATTCGACGGGAGTAGCGATAATTTGAACGATACTCGAACAGCTTTGAATGGCACCACTCAGAATTTTGGCGGAGTGACTTCAGCTACACCGATTATTATGAGTTCAAGGCAACATTATCAGCAGCAGCAACAACATCAGCAACAGCAGAAGCAAGAACTCAATCAAAAGCCAGCGCAAAGCAATCCTGTTTCTCTAGATGACGACTTTGGTTTCGACGATGATCTTGGAGACATTATTTTGGATGACGACCTATTCGACATCGAAGACCCACCAAGTAAACCGCAGGAGACAACTACAGCAGCACAGTCATCAACATTAGGGTCTGGATCAGGGATATCTGCAACTGGAACTGGGAATGGTACCAAGGTTGACTCTGCAGCAGCCGTGGTGGTACCTCCACCCTTCATTCCAAAATCAAAGACCACTATTGTCGTTAAGTCATCCCAACGTGGAAACCCCTTGCTTCAGTTCATCAGGAATGTACCGTACGAATACGGCGACATAGTTCCGGATTTCGTCGTAGGCTTGACATCGTGCATCATTTTTCTGAGGTATGGAGGTTTCGGATGTGTCATAGGAAGCATTCCTTTCTGATATACAGGATATGATCGTAAGATGGAGCGCTAATGTCTATGTTCATCTTGGTTATTCTTTACGTGCGCTAGTATTCGATACCATCGTCTGCATCCAGAGTATATTTTTAGCCGGATAGCTGCCCTCGGAAAGAGCTTTGTCCTCCGCGTCCTGTTGATCCTCGTCGATGTGGTGCGTGATGAAACAAATCGCCATCTTGTGCCTGATTATCTAGCGACGAACGTCAAAATAATGTATCATATCAAATACCATTTATCATCATAGGACACGCACCAGCAGGCGATTCGCGAGTTGACAAGAGTGGCACTGGTGAACGATTTCACGGTTATCTGCGCATGGAGTAATGAAGAGGCAGCCCGTTACATCGAGACATACAAGGCATATGAGAACAAGGCGCCTGATGCGATCAAGGAACGAGTCGACAATGATTATCTCTCGAAACTGACGGATAGCTTGACCCAGATCCAGTCCGTCAATAAAACGGATGTTATTACGCTATCATCGACCTTTGGCGTAAGTTCATTCCTTTGCGTTTGCAGTAACTAAACGACCACATGGCATACCGTATACTAAATCGTTTGCACCATCTTGATGTTTGTAATAGTCTTTCAAGAACATCATGAACGCCTCTGCGGAGGACTTGGCAATATTGCCAGGTTTTGGAGAGCGAAAATTGAAGCGGCTAATGGAAGCGTTTGATCAGCCATTCGCAATTGATCCCAAGAAGAGGCGCCAACGGCGCGGATAGATATATTATCCGCCTATACTTGTACACACACACATACGCAAATCAACATAATAAACAAATTCATTCATCTGTAACCTGGCGCCATTTGTTTCCATGCACTATGGTTGATCTTTCATTATTTTTATCTCTATGGGGTAGAAGATTTTGTTGTTAATTTCACCCTGCTGTCGAACATCCTGCTTTGGAAGGTCTTATTCCTGAAGCAAGCTGTGACCGGTCATCTCAGCAGGGACATCCAAGCCCATGACGCGGAGGACGGTTGGAGCAACGTCGCAAAGGGCACCGACGGTACCGTTGAATTTGTGAGTCTTGCTGGTCATGACAAAGGGAACGCGAGCACAGGTATGGGCAGTGTGAGGGGTCGAGAAGTCATCCGACAACATCTTCTCGGCGTTTCCATGATCGGCGGTAATGAATAGGACATAGTCGTGCTTGACGCAGGCCTCATAGATGACTCCAATGGCAGCGTCCGTGGCCTCGACACCCTTGATGGCAGCATCATAAATACCAGTGTGGCCAACCATGTCTGGGGGTGCAAAGTTGCACATGACGAAGGGGAACTTTTTGGTGGCGATCTCCTCCGCAACCTTCTCGCCAACGGCAGCAGCAGACATCTGGGGCTGCAAGTCGTATGTTGCAACCTTGGGCGAAGCGATCAAATCACGGTGCTCGCCCTCGAATTGGGCCTCTGTGCCTCCGTTGAAGAAGAAGGTGACGTGAGCATACTTCTCCGTCTCAGCGACGTGGCACTGGGGGACGTGCTTCTTCGCGAGCCACTCTGCGAGGACGTTCGTCATGGACTGTGCGGGGAAGGCGACGGGGAAGGGGAAGTCGCTCTTATACTGGGTCATGGTGGTGATGTGCAAGTTCTTGGGGAGCTTGACTTCCATGGGAGGAGGAGCGATGCCCAAGACCGAAGAGATCTCACGCATGCGATCAGAGCGGTAGTTGAAGCAGAAGATGGTATCATCGTCGCGGATCAAGCCCTCCTCGTTGACAATAATGGGCCTCAAGAACTCATCCGTAACATCCTTCTTGTAGTTGTCCTCAAGAGTCTAGTATCAGATATATCAAGATGGGAAGCATTAATTGTCGATCAGAGGGCAATTGACTGTACATGCTTGATAAGAACAGCTCTGGCTCAATCGTTACCTGGACGGGATCGTTAGTCTTCTCACCGGTGCCGCTGACAAGGCCGTCGATAGCGACCTTGATGCGCTCCCAGCGCTTATCGCGATCCATGGCATAGTAACGACCAGTGATGGTGGCCAACTTTCCGAACTGAAGCTCCTTGATCTTCTCGAGCAAGATCCTCAAGTAGCCGGCAGCGGAGCGGGGGGAGGTATCGCGACCATCGCCAAAGAAGTGAATGTAGACCTCAGGGACCTGGGCCTCCTTAGCGGCCTCCAAGAGAGAGAAGAGATGGTTCTGGTGACTGTGAACACCACCGTCAGAGACCTAAAGAGTGTGTGGGAGAAAATTAGATTTATTAGATAAGATATGCTTAGACATACGCCAGATAAACACCGCCAATTGCATTGATAACAAACGACTCACCAATCCCATAAAGTGGAGACGTCCGTTTCCGGCTTTAGCGTTCTCGAATGAGGCCTTGATGTTCTCCAAATGGCCAAACTGCTTCTTCGAGGCTGCGAGATCGATACGCACAATATCCTAGATCGATCCAGATCGAGTCAAAGGCATTAAAACATGGGTTAAGAAGATCCCCCAAGACTCAGTGCTTAAAAAGCAACAACTTCTCTCAATGTACTGGGGAAAGAGTGTAGAGAGAGATAGGACATAGCTCGGAGCAATGACCTTATCTCGCATAGCATCTAAAAGGTATCAATCTGTATCCCAGTCCGGCGCTGCTTCAATTACCTGGTAGACAACACGTCCAGCTCCAATGTTCAAGTGGCCGACCTCAGAGTTACCCATAAGGCCATCGGGCAGACCGACGTCAAGACCATGAGCACCGAGAGTGGTGAAGGGGTACTCCTTCTCAAACTTGTCCATGTAGGGCGTGTTGGCGTTGCGGATGGCATCACCACGGGTGTTCTCCTCGGGAGAGATGCCCCAGCCGTCAATGACGATGCAGCAGACGTTGTGCTTGACAGACGCGTTCTGGGCCATGGTGAATGTTGAATGGGATGAGTGTCTTGTGTAGGAAGGTTGAAGGAGAGAAAAATGATCTTGAGAGGGTCGGAAGGCAAACCCAACTGAACTGTTCATCACGTGGAAAAATGACGTCCCGTCCTACGCGAACTGTAGGGTCGCGTCAAGGAAAGAAGGACGCGTCTGCAGGGGCTACTCCTAAAGTTCTCGGGAAAAGGTATCGTTAATTGAATAATGAAAGCGTGTATTAAATGAATCTTTAATAAAAGAGGCTTATTAACCTTAGCCGCTGATCTCAGTGCGCTTCTAGTCTATGGCATTGCACTCTCGATGTCCGTTAAAAAGTATTCGATGTATAGTCATCTTGCGAAAGGAACAGGGCATCACTGGCGCGACAGAAAGCTTTCCTTGAAACCATATCTGTCGTGACATAGATACGCCGGCCTTCTTCAGCACAGATAATTGAAATACCAGGCCATCGATGTTGGATAGGAGGATAGACACCTACGTATCCTCATATTGTCGATCATATCCCAGTTCTCTCCGAACACGCCGGAGCGAATTGTGTTCTAGTCGGCCTCGTATGTACCCCCGGTTGACCATTGGAGAGGATATAAAAGTCAATGATGTTACCCACGCAGGCGTATACGACTTACTTACATATCTTCTGACCAGAACGAAATAAGAGTCATGGATGTGTTTTATCCGTAGAATTTGTGGTTACGAACAATGCTTACATCCATCCTATCCGTGCGAGTTCTGTATGTGTACTATATTGCTTAGGTCGAGACGCTCCACAGGGAAGAAGTTGGAAGACTAGCTTGAATAGGAGCTGACAAAGACAGCGACAGCTATGGATCTGGCGAATATAGTGACGCTACTTTCAATAAAAAAGTTACGCGACACGACAAGGGAGGTCACCAGAACCGAAGATTGGATCCCATCTCCTACCCTACTAAAGCGAAGCCAGTATCTTGATGTTCGTTCAAAGGCGTCTCAGGCCCATTTTATCATCTTTTTATTACTAATCGTGAATATGTCAGCGATATATGGGCCCCGGATCAATAAACGACATCTTATCCCGCGCACCACTCGCGAGCCTTCCCCCCGAACCCATCCTCCCATCCTCCACAGGCACCTTAAAATTATCCGCTGCATTACCAGGCATATTATGGCTTCCTGGCAGCATCGGAGAAATATATCCCATCTCCTCAGGCACGAACACAGGCGAGTCCTGCTGTTGTTGTGAAGATACTGGTGGCGGGTAAGCAAACGGATACAAATCAAGCCCTTCTCCAGCTGCACTACCGCCTGCCTGTGCGTAGTATGGAATTGGCTCAAGCTGGTGATGAGAATTCTGGTGCTGCAGATACGTCGGGTTCTGGAACGGATCCGTTGCTCGATAATGTGACATCGAAGGTGCCGTCGACGCCGCTACAGGTGGATAGAAAGCGCCTCCTTGGTTGCCGGCGCCATGATAATTTGCATTGTAATCATTGTAATCCTGATAATTTCCATTGTCATTAGTATGAGCGGAGACCGGTACGGGCGGCAATGGCGCATCCTGCTGCTGCTGCTGCCGCTGCAGTCGTTCCTTTTCCAACTTGGCCTCTTCCTTCTTTTGCTCCTGTATCTCGATTAGCAACAACGTCTCGGCCTTCCGCTTCTGCCTTCGCTTGTGTGCAAAGACAAGGTACCCAACCACACCCAAAAATGCGAGTCCAAAAATGGTCCCGAACGCGATCGCCACGCCGTTGACCTTATTCTTGCTACCATTTGTCGGCACACTAGGAGGCGTTGGTGGCGAGGGTGTTCCGGGCAGAGGTGTGTACTGTGTAGACCAGGCCCACTGTGAGACAGAAAGGACATATATCGGAGGGACGGAGGGAATGGGTGTTGAGGACCCTGAATTACCGCTAGAGTTCGAACTTGTAGAGGAGGGTGCCTGGTTGGCATTGAATCCGAACAATGAGAGGAACTGATCGCCGATAACGACACATTGATGGTCCCGCACGGGAGAAAGGGGAGTCGTTTTGAGTGCTGGTTGGGACCATGTCCAGGTCCGGGTATCGAGTGCATAGAGGTCGTTTGTGACCTTGTCGTTCGCCACAAGCGAGCCACCGAACATGATAATCGTGTTCCCGTCGGTAGCTAAAGTATCGGATACATAATAGAGCATGCGTTCAGTCTATCGATTTCTCGACAATACAAAAACATGCAAAAACGACGATTGCCTGCAGCGCCAGAACATACACAACGCTGCACAGTGTCCGTATCGCGGCGAGGGAATTCCGTTCGGCGTGCTTGATGTCGCTTTCTGGAGGATCAGCAAAGACAGAAAAGAAAAATCAGTCATGCTCATCGTATTTGGGCTGTTGGCATTCGTGCACAAACTCCGTTTCTGTCCCTACCTGGATAACGACAGCCCCTGTCACCATATCAACGATCGACAAGTTTGCAAACGACAACCCGTTACCATTTCCTCGCGACCCCGTTACCCCACCAAGAACCACGGCCTTACCACCTGGCGATGACAAAGGCACGACCTTGGATCCCGCCACCGGACCCAAATTTTGATTAATATTGCTACCACCATTCCCGCCAGCGGGTGCGACCGACCAATTGAGTGAACTCAACGACCCATCACTTCCAAACGCAATCAAGTCCGCCTCCGTCACCAAGTTCGTCAGGTCCGTGCCCATTGCAGACGCTGTATTCGACTTTTGCGGAAGCCAACCTCCACCAATAACTACACCCAACGACTTGGTCGCCCCTCCCACCGCGAAACCGGGCATCGTCCGTCCTGCAGCCATGAGCCCACCTCCTCCTGCTTTCTGTGAGTTTTGGTTATTAGAGTTAGTCGCTCCACTGACTGCCTGCGTCACCGGAGTCCATGTTCCCTTAGCAACACTATAGGCCATCATGAACCCACTGCCCCCTGCACCCGTGTTCATCGCATCGGCATTTCCGACTGTCAAGAAACTAGCCTGATCAGGCGTGCATGCTCCTGCATGGAACCGTTGGAAGGGTGAATAATCCGAGGTCAAATTTGCCCAAACCGGAGGTTTGGTCGAGCTTGGGGCAGAGTCAAAGGATTGAGAGAGGTCCAGTCGAAAATGTTGGTTGGTTGTAACAAGGTATGTTGCCGAGAGTGAGTAGGAGACCCCGCCCTGGATATGGAGCGAGGATCCCGTTTGACACATGGCGAATCCGCCTACTGGATATGGGGCCAGGGCAGCGGATACGGAGGAGGATGGCCATGCGATTGAGGCGATGACTGCAAGACTGGCGAGTGACTGTAGAGAGGATGCTGGCTTCCTCGTGGTGGGTCGTATACTCCGCATTTGCTGTGCTGGTGTTGGATGTGTCGAGGATAACGTCAGTAGTGCCATATTAATGTAGAACAAGTGTGAGAAAAGAGGAGGAGTAGAGTAGGGCGCGAAAGTATGAAGGTGTGGAAAAAGCGATAAAGTAAAAGAGTACGTACAGTAAACTATATGCAAAAAAGAAGGATAGGAGTAGAGGAGAGAATCAGGAAGCAAACAAGGATTGCAAGGGTTGCAGACCTGCAAACCAGCTGGTTCGGGTTATGAGAAGTGATTAAGGATGGAAGATGAATTTTGAGGAATGAGGGATGAACATGGTCTACTCCCTACAACAGACGGCGAGGGAAAAGAGAAACAGGGGAAGAGAAGGTCTCAGGAACCAGTGGGGCAGGGATTATTTTCAATTTACGACTTGCGGCCCGCCTCATTCACACTACTGAACCTTATTTCACATGGCGCAAGGGAGGCTCTCTCACGGGCAAATGGCAAATGTTTTGTATAAGTGGGTATATGAATGCTCCTAGCGTCTTTATTGCATCCTTGTCAACATCACTTTCCGGTTTTTTGTCGTTGTTGTTGTCGCTTGGTTAAGCTAATGGCTACAACTGTACTTGCAGTCAGTCCCAGCCCCATTCGACAATCTCATGGATTTCCTGTCGCCTTTTGTCTGGCTTGCTGTCGATATTGTTGATACCATCAAAATGGTAGTTCAGCCATTGAGCTGCAGCAATCGCAATGTACCAAGATCGTGGCGAAGATATCAAATGGAAACAGTGGTGGCCGCCCGGTACTTCCAGGTAAGCGATCGGTGTGGAAGTGCATGCTATGCGGGGATAATTGTTTTAGTAAAAATTAGTGGCTAACTCGTGTAACATCCATCGCACAGCAACAGCAAACCTGTGCCGAATTAGCCCCTTACTGTTACGGAAGTGATTCACAAAGTCGCGCGTATGCTGCACTGGAACTAGGGTGTCAATGTCGCCACTAACACATAGACATGAAACAAGCAATTGTTAGGGGATATCTCATCTCCGAAACACTTCAAACTGGGGTCACAAACTCATAACAACCGGACTTACTGGATCATCATGTGAGGAATACTGGGCTCCTTCAACCTGAACCGCGGTGAATGCTCCGTCAAAAACTTTAGATCTACAGCCACGGAATAAATGTGCTTACATGTGAGCTCAACGAACATGAACCAAACATACCACAGTCCATACGATTTAGCATATACATACTCTCTGCGGATTCAGCTGAACCCTCACGCCGAGCAACGTCCTTGATGAAACGAGTCCTGCAGTCGTGGTTGCTGTAATTTTCCAGGTCAACCAAGTTAACCACAGGACTGAGTCCGAGCACTCCATGAACAGTTGTATCCACGTCTTCAAACCCAGGCTGATACTCCGGCAGGTTCGTAGTACTCGCCAGAAGACAGGCCATATGCCCTCCCGCAGCATCACCGGCAACGACAATGTTCTCGGGGTTCCCTCCAAAGATCCGAATCTCATCTTTGACCCATCGTAGCGCGCGTTTACAGTCTATCAGTTGGGTCGGATATCCAGCTTTGGCGCCGAGGCGGTAGTCGACTGAGACTACAATCCAGTCATATGAAATCATTTCTTGCAAGAGCGGTCCCACCAACTTTTTGCTTCCCATCGTCCATCCACCTCCGTGCATATAAAACTATGCGGACCAAAATATATGTGCATGTTAATAACGCTATCAAGGTTTCTGCCCGTCCACATCATATCCGTCCGAAAGCACGCTTACGAGGACTGGTCTATCGTCTCCCGCCTGAACAGAGCATGGTTGATAGATATCCAAGGCCATGTCAAGCACAGATTTCCAGCCATCCGATGTCTGTGCGTTCAATTGCTCTTCCTGTGTCCAGTAGGGGACTATAAACAACAAATGGTGAGATATGTATTGAATGATCCCTGTCAACAGAGAATCTTCGTCCTTGTGATCTTTCCCACATACTGTTCTCATAGATGGTGCAGTCTCTGGGCCATTGGAACGGGTTCAATAGTTGTTGCCAGAACCTCAGTCTACGGTATCACACGCAATATTGAATCGGATTAGGACCCTGGAGCCGCCACTCTATTCAACAAGCACTAGTTCCACTGAATACTCTTACGATGTCAGTCCTGGGAGTTCGATCCAGTCCTTGCTGCCCTTGAAGAGTTGGTCCAAGAATTTTTGTCCCAGTTCCTGAACTTCAAACGCCCGCTTGAAGAGATACAAGAGTCCGATTGCTGTAATGAGATTGGTGTAGTAAAAGAAGCGCACCAAGAGCGACTCCTCTATGAAATGTCCCAAGTCAACGTGAAATGGCAGCAGAATTAGCCTTCTCTCATGAAAACTCTTTCAATGCGACACAGTAGACTGTCCATTCCTTGTCACTGGGCAATTGATACTGCAGAATCACTTACGGAAGGTGCCAGTGACATTCAGCCATGTGTAGAAGCAGGCGTCCATACACATGATCGACACGGGCAGTTCTGACAACTGGATGCTGAGTGCACAGAGGATCCAATTGACCTTCCGGTACCTCGTGGCGGCTCCAGAGATGGCGACCCAGGTCAAAACCATGGTGACAAACGATGCTATTGCGTATGAGACCGCCCACATGGACTTTGCCAGGTACATGCCCAGGCTGATCAGTGCCATGATTCCTGCTTGCGGTGCTGTTGAGACCATAGATTAAAATAGCATACAAGGTGGTCCCAATGATATGCGGCTCCCTTTGTGTCTTTGGACGTCCGAGCACTGGCTGGTACACTATCAACGAGCTGTTTATTCACCGCTGCTAATGGCCCTCTTGAGTCTTGGTGCTTGTTGAATGGTTGTTGACAGAAAGGCTACTGTATTTTGTGGGGAAGCAAGGTTCTTTTTATCCGGTGATTTGTGCCACGAACAATGCAATTGAGAGTGATAAAGGACGGAAAAATCGACAGCTCTGTCTTTTGGTCGAAAGGCAAAAGGTAATGACAACCGTCGATGGCGGATGAATGCACTTCCTGTAATCGGTGGGCCGAATGTCGTTATCGGCAAGTTGAATGGGGGAAGGATCTTTACTGCACTGTGCAACTCAAATAGGCGTGGGGTAATATTTTGTCGTGCTGTGTGAGGTGTAAAGTGAACGTGTGTGCTCAAGATGGAATGACAACCGCCTGTTGGGATGCGGAGGGGCGATGAGGGAAAGAGGGGGGGATCCGCTTGAGATCAGGTCGATCTCGCCTGGCTGTAGCTGCTATACAGCCCTTCTGCAACAGCATAAGACGGTGCTTTTCCTTGTCTCACAGAAACCACATGGACTCAGAAGTAACCCTATAGTGGATATCGAATTGTTGGGTTGCCGGTTTGGTCGCGTTGTGATCGGCTCGTGTCAACAGCCGAGTAAACAATCGTCATCGAATAAAGCAGCTTCTTTGCGTCTTTCGTTTTGCATAAATATTCCCATGGGCTTATTCACAGCCCTAGAAGAGAGATTGCAACGTGCACACTCGCTTTCTTTGACCCCATGCAACGTGGATGCATATCCGATCGAACTGCCCTGCCCTAGACGTTGCCCCTAATTCTGTTTCCCGATAAAAATTTATCGAGCGTTTCCAATGATCCTAATCCTTGGCACGATATGGGTTCAACTGAATCCCTAGACATACGCATAAGACTGCCTGTGAGTGCTCCTTACTGCTTTGGTAGCCAGCGATTGTGGAGAGACAAGGGATGTGCCTCACTTGCATTTTTGCACCGCCAGTCTAATCGCGACACATGGCAGATTTGGCAAATCATCGCCGGTTTAAGGGTCCCTTCACTCACTCGCAGGACACACTGAGCAAGCACGTTTACACAACACTGCAGCGCCTTACGCCTTAGCCCTTCCTCCGTTTGAATCCGTCATAAAAGGGGTTTACATGCGTCTTAGTAAAATGAGGGCGAGGTCTTAATGATGTTTCGAGAGTTTGCTAAAACTGATGAAACTGGTGTTTAAATAGAGGAAGGAATCGTGCGAAAGGTACCAGTTTTCCGAACTGCAGACTCCAAGGCGATCGACTTGTAGGCTAGAAAGACATAGCGTGCTCTCATCCGCTGAGCTGGTCTAGTGCAGTTTCTTGCAACGTCTTTGGTTCCCAGCACGGTAGTCAGAGTTCGTTGTATTATCCTTCAACATGTATCGTTTCTATATCGCATGTCAAGTGAGCGCAATTTATGCTCATTTTTTCATACATACTGAATGGCCACAACAGAGAAAAAGGAGTCGCCATGTGCATGCACATGGAGTAGGCTAGTCTGCATACAGTCGTTGTACACGTTACGTGATCGGAATAAAAGCAAACGATAGGTCTATGCAAAGGAAGAATGGTTTCCGTCACACTAGCCTAGGGAGAAACCGTCCCCACTACCGTGCACGTATCGAGATCTGGGAAAATGACTTGGAATGAGATCTTTTGCGCACAAGCCAGGACCCAATCTTGTCTCGTGAAAGTAATATACTGCAGCCTCCGCTGCTTTGTCATTTAAGAACAGGCCTGCATTCCCTATTCAAATGACGATGACAGCAAGAAAGTGGAGATCTCTTTTCTCTTCGGTCAATCGACCGTGCCTAGACCTCAGTTTTGACCAGGAGCAATGGACGTGCATTGTAAATGTGGATGTGGACAAAGATGTGGCAATAGGCATTTGAATTTGCGGCACAATAAAAAAAAATAGGGCTCTCTTCTAGATCTCTCATTCGTCCTCTTCGGTTGTATCTTTTCTTTTTGTTGCTGTCACTGATGTTTTGTTAAGAGGCAAGTGAATGCGAGCGGCCTCTTTTGCTCTCTTTTTTGTATGGTTTATCCTTGGGAGGAGCACTCATGTCGATTCTTGCTCTTGTGAATAGAAGCATAGATGTCCTGACCAAGGATGGCATGTCCATCGATTCCACTTTGGTGGCAAGATAACAATAACAAGGATGCTTGATATGCACATAAATTCAGACAAATGAAGTAGGAACTTGGCCAATCAAAGAGTCTGGCATCCTTTTATCAGGAACGGGTAGCAGCAAGGGTGTGGGATTAAAAAAAAAGTCTATCGCAGTCAAGAAATCGGAACATAGTCTAAGCGAAAGAGGACCCTTCCTGGTGCTCTGTTCTTGTCTGTGAGACTATATGCGTCCACATAGCTTGCCTACATACCTGTATGTCGCTGAAGATATGTTGATGGGAGAAGGCATTGACGCAGAGGAACTGACATAGAAAGTGAGAGAGTGAGAGCAGTTGAATGAATGAATGATTATGCAGCCATTGGGGAGCAAGCTCAAAGAGGTGCACACGGAGGAGAGAAATCCTTCGAAGGCTCGTTCTCTTCCCGTCACCACCATCCCTCTCATCCCTCTCATCCCCCTCATCCCCCATTCCTCATCCTCCATCCTTCATCTCGTCTCTCTCTCTCTCTCTCTCTCTCTCTCTCTCTCCCCCTTCTCCGAAAAGGTCTTCGTTTCTCTTCTTTTTGTTCCAGTGTCTCAGCCCTACTCCAGCCCACGCCATACCTCCATACCCTCATATCTTCACGCCCTCACACCCCTTCTTTCTTTTTTGGGTTGTTCCTCCGACAACCTTTCCTCCCGTTCTTCCCTCCACTTCTCTCTCTCCTCTCTCCTTCCCCCTCCCCTTTTCTTATCACTTTGCCACTGAGCCGACGATAAAAACGTGCTTCTTCCTGCTGGCCCCCCTTCGTTAATTCGCCTCTAGCACCATTTCCTTTAACGGCTAACCCATTGAGACAGACAGCCAAGGGATTTTCATAGAAGATCGACACTAAGGAGGAAAAGGCAAGCAAAGTCCAGTCTCCACAATGGTCGCCATCACCCGCAACCTCGCCCTGGGGCTCGTCCTCTCCCTCTCACTCTCTTCCAGCCTCTTCCTCGCCTCGGACGCCCAAGGCTCAACAACATCAACTGCCATTGGAACGTCCAAACCCACTTCCACGGCAACAACGACAGGGGGAGCAGCCAATCCAGCCCCTACTTCAACAATCAATGCACCAAGTGCCTTCCTCGGCGTCGCTTCTGCCTCCAACAAGAACTTCATCTTCTATGAGGGAGGTCAGCTCAATTCCGGTACAATTCAGTACACGAGCGAGCTGTACTCACTCGACTTGACAAAGTCCTGGCCTATTTCGAGCCCCGCCTGGACCGACCTGTCTACCCCATCCAGCGGTGTGAAAGGACCTGCAGTCTCAGGCCACTCTGCAACCATGTCCAAGGACGGCACGACTTTGCTCGTCACAGCTCCATCTGGAAATAACTCGCCTTTCCTCTACGAGTACAACATTGCCGCAAAAACTTGGTCGACAGTCAATGCTCCTGCTGCGTAAGTCATCATAACAAAGTTGCGGTGTGGCGATGCAAGCATGCCTGAATTCCTGTCTATTGTAGCGATCAACAGCATCGCGGCGTGACTTTTGGTGGGCGGAGGAGAGAGCATAAGAGGAGTGAGAATCAAGATTTGTATACATCATTGTGCAAAATCCATCCATTGAATTCACCGCAAGAGGAAGAAAAAAGAAAACGATCGAAAGACACATCTTCTTGGGCGCATGGTTACACAATGTATCTGCGTTTTTTGTGCTTGCATACTGACCAAAAGTGCCCCATCCCGTCTTTTCTCCGCTTATAGTCAAGCTGCGGCATGGGCAAACAGGACTGAAGCCAGCTTTTTGACAGATCCCAACACCGGCGCTTCCTACCTTCTCGGAGGTGCCTTCCCAGATGGCACCAGCACCAATGAAATCGACAAGTTCCAGGACGGCACCTGGACTGCGAGTTTGGCTCCAACCCCTGGCGCAGGCACATCGTCCTCGACATCGTTCAATAACTTTAATTCCGGAACCGCACATCTGTACGGTAACAAGATCTTTATCTTTGGAGGATTTAGCTCAACAGCTGGAAGGCGAGGCTACCAGTCCTTCCAGAGCCTGCCTTGGATCGATATTTCAACTACTCCCCCAACCTACGGAACGCAATTGACCCTCGGAAACGTCCCACAAGCACGCCAGGATCATTGCAGTGTGCTCACCACCAGTCAGAAGGTCATTATCTTTGGAGGATATGACGCCAATGCAAAGTCGACGTTCGCTGATGTATGGTCACTGGATATGGTTACTTTGACCTGGTCGCAGACCGTGACAACGAATCCAACAAGGCCACGATACGGCCACAACTGCGATATTGCAGGGGCCAACATGGTTGTCTATGGAGGTATGTTCCGGCCGGGCATGGCAAAAGATATTAAACACGTGAGACAAAAGTCGCCACTTGCTTACATGTTCATTGCGTGTGGATCTATAGGTTTGAACAGCAATGGAACGGGCCCGCAAACAGGTTACTCTAAGGACATTCAGGTTTATGACGTGATGTTGTCAACTTGGATGAGTTCGTACGCGCCCAAGCCGGACACTACGACGATCTCTCAACCCCTCCCCGGTACTGGATCTGCCTCTGGTCTTGGTACAGGTCCCATCATCGGTATTGTTGCCGGAGTGCTCGTTATCGTCGGATGCATCGTTGGATTCTTCCTCTACAAGCGCCGCCAGAAACAGATCGAGATCCGTGAGGCCGAGATGGAGAAGGAGGCCTACTTGGCTTCTTTGAGACCCGAGGGTGGCGACCAGTTTGGCGGCGGTAAATCAGGACATTCCCAACAGAGCCCCAATGCTGCCCGTGCGGCCGGTGCTTCCGTGATCTCGACACCTGGCATGAGCCATGCAGGCGCGTATAATGGCATGGATGAGCTTTTGCTGAGCGGCGCTGCTGCATCCCCTGGCATGGGAGGACAGGCTCAGGGCAATGTCCAGTACCTGATGCAGCATCTACCTGACGGCACGATCGCGGTCCAGCCTGTGTATCTCGACCACCAGCCCCTTCCGATGCAGTCCTCACCCAATATGGTGGGTACCTCTGCTGACACGAACGCTGCAGGCGGTTTTGTGAGTCCGCTCATGACCGGTGGTACTTCTGGGACAGGTTACTTTGCGCCACCACCAAGTGGCCCTGGCGTTGCTTCGCCTACCGGTGGGGCCACGACCGCAACCAGTCCGTATGTGTTGCCGCCATCGATGCAGCAAAAGTCCCCGGTGGCGTATCCTCAGCCGACGCATGATCCCTTTGCCTCACCGGCTTTGCCCAATGCTCCCTTGCCTCCGGGTTATAATCCTTCGGTATCGGCATCTGGACTTGGCAGCCCCCAGCAGATGCCCGAGCAGCTGCGTTAATACAGGCCGTTCGGTTTATTCCTGATCACGTACACAAGTCATGTCATACCCTCTCTAATCTTCCATACTTTCTTACTTAATGGGTGCGATCAGTCTCATTTCAATCGCGCCACGTAAAAATAACAAAAAAGCAAAGGTCAACCATGAAGTTTGCAGGTAGCCTCTATTCATAATGAATTCATAATGTCCTTCATTGGAAAGCAAAATAAAAAATAAAATAAAGAAAAAGGACGATGATTGTTGCTGTGCATAATTTGTATTAAATCCATAAACATGGTTTCGGGAACAAAACCAATTCATGCTTCTACATGTCTTGGTCCCTTTCTATCTGTGCGCAATGTCCCGCAATCCGTCCTCGTGTCCATCCTTTTCCATGCTTGCTTCATGTGAAGTTCTATCTCTCCTTTATGCCTGGACGACCTTCTCCAGCGTCACCAAGTCTTCCAAAGCCTCTTTCCTGGACTGATCCAACTGTTGCCTATAAGCAGCCGTGTCGATCATCCTGAAGGCCCTCCTCCTGGGTTCATGTGCTGGTGTGGGTAAAACCTGATCTTTGTGCAAGGTCACACCGACATAGGTTCTCTTCCAAAACTTCTTGTCCTTGGCGGGGTCCTGATAGTACTGGACCCAACCGGACTCGAGGGCGAATAATGTGTGATCTTTGCCCATGCCGACGTTCTCGCCAGGGTAGAAATGTGTCCCGCGCTGGCGGTAGATGATGTTGCCGGGGATCACTGGTTGGCCTGTTGTTGTTGTCGTTGTTGTCGTGTCATATAATATAGTTTGAAGAAATGAAAAAGCGATTAATTGGATTGTTCTGCAAAAAGACCGTAGGAAACATTGGTAGTGAAACAACTGGATGCGGAGGCATGCCAAAAAAAAAAAAAAAAAAAAAAAAGTGTGCGGATATGCAGTTTTTCTGTGGTTTTACCTCCAACTTTCTTGGCGCCGAGTCTACGACCGGCAGAATCTCTGTTGTTCTTGGTCGAACCTCCAGCCTTCTTGGAAGCATGACGGATCTGGCTCGTAAGCGCTATCCAGTTGAATTGGAGTATTGTTATTGAAGAATCCCTGGTCAGTTCAACTGCAGCGTAACTCCTTATTTCCGTTGTATACAGCAAGTGCAAGCTGTCTGTATATACATCGCTGGACATCTCATCCCGATCAGCATATAAATCGACGGGCGTTGAGTGAAACGCATCCTGACATCTCACAGCTGGATGTATGCTGAATGGAAACCCCAGTTACTCCCGAAAGGTGCAAGTGAAGTACCTGAAGATTCGGCGATGGCTCCGAGACGAGTGAACTGGCGGCTCAGGCCAAGAACCTGTGTTGTGAGGAGAGACATGGTTGTATATATGCGAATCCTGGAACGAAGGTTATGAGAAGCAGGACGTCTTGTTGATGCGAAAAACGGTGATGGGTCTGTCGGCGTCCTGTTTGAATCGGCAGTGAACACTGAACGTGGTCGGCCGGCAGCACTGTCCTTTGAGTGAGCCAGTGTTTACTAGTGGCTTGAATGAGCGAATTGAGTGACTGCAGATCGCATCCCAGGGTGTGCGGTCGCCACTAGAATATTTAAAGGTTGGTACCTGAAGTTGGCATGTGGTTCGCTATAGCATATCCAATACATATGGCTATATTTCAACACGATGTTCACACAGTAGTAATTGCCAGCTAGCTGGTCCGGTGTTCACGATGATCTGGATATCTCATCCTCAGCGCGACGCCGACGACTTCAGGCGTTGGCTGGGTCAGTGAGCGTTCGCTCCTTTCGTTGATCCCTCGCTGGAGTGAACGACTCGATTCAGGCGAGAATAGTTAGTCCCAGGTACCACATTGTCAGTCAAAGGATTCCCCGCATTTTCTGCGTTCCTGAGCAGAGTTTGACAGAGGAGAATAGTTCAAATTTTAAATAGCGGTGTGCTGGTTCGGATAACCTCCTCTGGATGTCCTTTTCTATAGAATGGAAGTCAAGTACCGATAAGCGCAGGCGAGAATGGCGCTTTTGGTATATAGAGCGATCTGCCAGGAGCATTGCTGTCTAGTGACATTCTGACGAGGTGGGGTCGTAACTGTGCTGGGGATGCAGTGAAAAGTGGGAAATACAAAAAAACTGGAGCCCGCTTCTCCACATTTCCGGAGAGGACCCATTTTTTTTCTTGGTATTCTTCCGCTCCTCCCCACTTCCGATCGTATTCTCGCGCTCGTCCGATGCTTCCGACATTACACAAAAAAAATGGGACCTTCCCCATCCAATCACAGCCCAACTATATATTGCTCTGATACAGTTGGTTAGCGGCCCTAACAAACAACTGAGACACACCATCGATATAAAATCCAGACCGTCCCCCTTCACCTCTTTTCTTCTCTTCGTTTTCTTTATCCATCGCATATCCACACCCCACTCCACTCCAGCAATCACCATCGCAATGACCAACGCCGCCGTCAACGTCTACCTCGATAAGCAGGAGTACGGAAAGGACAGAGTCCGTCTCCTCAAGGTCCACCGTGATTCCAAGGTCCACCGTGTTGATGACTTGACCATCCGCTGCCTTCTCTCCGGGGCCTCGTTCACGACCTCCTACACCGAGGCCTCCAACAAGGCCGTCGTTGCCACGGATTCGATCAAGAACACCTGCTACGTCCTCGCAAAGTCCTCCAAGGTCGTCGACACCCTCGAGCTCTTCGCCGCTGAGCTCGCCAACCACTTCTTGAACACCTACGCCTGGGTCGAGGGTGCCCATGTCACCATCATTCGCCACCGCTGGGCTCGCATGATCATCGACGGCAAGCCCCACACTCACTCCTTCTGGCGCGACGGCGATGAGACTCGCCAGACCGATATCTTTGTCAAGCGTGGAGCCAACGGCCGCCGCACTGTCGACCTCAAGTCCGCCATTGCTGGATTGTTGGTCCTCAAGACCACCGGCTCATCGTTCGAGGACTTTGTCAGGGATGAATACACCACCCTCCCCGAGGCTAAGGACCGTATCCTCTCAACATGCGTGGATGCCAACTGGGAGTTCAACATCCCCTCGCTTCAGACCGACAGCCTTCTGCCCTCGATGTCCCAGATCCCCTTCAACCAGATCTACGACTCTATCCGTGATGTGACCTGCAAGACCTTTGCTGAGGATGAGTCGGCTTCTGTCCAGGCGACGCTCTATAAGATGGCTGCTCAGTCGATCCAGAACTGGAAGTGGTTGGACCGTGTCGCCTATGCCCTGCCTAACCGCCACTTCTTTGCTGTCGACCTCAGCTACTTCAGAGGCACCAAGAACTTGGCTGAGCATGCTGATGTTTACCAGCCCTTGTCTGATCCCTCGGGCCTGATCACTGCCACTGTCGCCCGCGCCCCTGGCACTGCTCGTCTTTAAATGCCCTGGTGGTGTTCACAAAGACATGAATAGCAACCATTAACAGAACATAAAATAATAAACCTGTATAGTATCTTTCGCACACTAAATATGATACACTCAATGTCGCCGATCAATATTATTTTTATTTCTTTCGCTACAAAACAGGAAGACAGGTGTTGCCATTGCCTGGTGCCTGGTGTCGTTCATGCTGGATCAGGCTGAGGGAATGGTATGCTTTCGTCCATGCGGATTTGCAATCCAACATAGATGGAGAGATAACTGAACCCGTGTCTGTGTCTGTGTCTCCTGTAATGTGGGAAAAAATAATGAACGCAACTGACGATGTGCTATACTCTTTATGCAGCCCGGCCAATTTTTTTTTCTTCCGCCGTCTTGGTTCCCCGCGTTTGTTCCTATTTGCCCCTGCTAGCCCCAGGAACAGAAGGGCTGTCCGGGGAACCAGCCGTCTTCTCCATCCTCATACCGAACACTCCTCACGGTTCCGCTCCTTATTTTTTTCACCTTCACGCCCTCCTCCACTTCTTTGCTCTCCCTCCTGCTCGGCATTCCTCATTCTTCATTCCTCATTTCTCTTTTCACGTTTGACATTCTGTAACCATGGCCCACGCAGCAACACCTGTCTCACTCCCCCCAATCGAGTTCATCAACAACGAGGCCACGGTCCAAGACTTTGCCACGGCTGTCACACTGCTCTTCGAGCCCGCACCTCCAATCGTCAAGCATCTCTATGCCAAGCGCCCCTACCCAACCTACTCTGCCCTGATCGACGAGACCTCGTTCTTGCTCTCAAATCCCGATCAATACCTGACCCTTGAGGAGCAGCTGGATGTCATCAACGCCCACCCCCGCATCGGTGCCGCCAAGGCCAACCTCTCGGCTCTATCCTTAATCGAACAAGGCTACACGGCTGAGAATGCTGCCAAGAAGGTGTCCGAGACCGCGACACCCTCACAGGACGATGAAGTCACCCAGGCGACACTGAAGCGTCTGAACCAGGAGTACGAGGACAAGTATGAGTTCAAGTTCGTGGTCTTTGTGAACGGTCGACCGAGGAGCGTGATTATTCCTGTCATGGAGGAGAGGATCCGTAATTCAACAAGGGAAGCGGAGATGAAGACGGCCATGACAGACATGGTCTTGATCGCTCGCGATCGTCTCAAGAAGTTGAACATCGCCTAGGCGTCTAGACAAGGGCAATAAAATAATAAAAGTCGATACGACGCGTTTTGCGTGACCCTCAATTGCTCCTTTTTTCCTTTTTTCCTCTTTCCTTCTCTCTTTCTCTGTTGTCGTGCCAAAGTAAGAAGATTTAATATTGCATTTATTGGTCTATAATGTGCTATGTACCATCAATCAAAAGACATGGGTCTAGTTCATCTCTCGGCCGCCAAAGTCCCGCCGTGGACCAGCCACATGAGCATTCCGGGGTGCCTGGCTCACAAAGACATGGCCTTCTATCTCCTTAATATCGTATGTATCAATTACAAAGCGAGTCGAATCGGACTGTCCCGAAAGTGCATCGAATGTCCTAGGGCAACGCATACCGGTTGATCAAGTGTTAATATTCAGTTGGTTTTGATTTTATAAGAAGTGGCAGGATATGAATAGACTAGTATGTCATGCTTACCAGTCGTGAAGCGAACATGCCACTCCGGCGCCCCAAACGATTCCCATGTCTTCGATATCGATCATGGATCCTCGAGACAGCGCTGATCCTTGGTGCGGACAAATCTAACCGTCCGTTCACCGGATGGTTACTTTTTTTTTTCTGCAGCATAAAATGCAACAGAAACCATTCAGTTGGTCATCCCCATCCGAGTAGAGAAGGTTCCTTACGTTGATAAAGGCATACCACTTTTTCCGGAAGTAGCTGATAGCGACACGCTTCTGTGGAGGATACCGTCCAGCAGGCTGAGGGATCTCGATAACTTTGATTAGATACTTTTCTCCGTCTTTGGCCTCCTTGGGTTCGACTACTGCTGTGCAACCAGATCCGCCTGTGCCTGTGGTGTGACACCCTGCAGCCGCCGTTGACGTTGAGTCATTCTGATCATTCGTTTTTGAATCCGTCTCTGGCAAAAAGTCTGAAACAGGTCCTGCATATGCAAATCCTTCTGGGGTTAATGGCGGTGAAGAAGGTGATGGCGTCGAGTTCATGGTCAAAATGGATGTTGGGTCAAGAGTCAAGTTGGAATGAGTGTCTGAAAACTCGGCCTTGTGCCCGCAGCTTCTCGACGCAGATCGCAGTCCTGACTCGGCTAGATCGATGAGATTGTCACTCGTGCGATATTTCAGGTACCATCAAAACCTTATTTTTCTAGAGAAACAGTTGGCGAATCAGACGCGTTTATAGCCAACGCGCGCCTTCCTCTTCAGATTTTTTTTTTTCTTTTTTTTCAGTAAAGAGGTCATGAATGCCGAGTAAATAGCTGCTTTATTAAATTAATAAAGACAGTTTCACCAAAACACTATCGCTAAAAAAGTTCTCCCATTAGAGAGTAGCAAATTGTTAACTGAACGCAAATTTAGATACTTGACAACTGCTCATAGAGTGGCGGCAGCATAGGCAATATCCATAACTGAAGACGTAATTTCCGCAATCAAACAAAGCCGCACCCAAGCTTGCAAGCCTTTTGCATCAGAAAATTGGAATCGTTCACAGTACACGAAATTTCATCTAGTTCCGGTTTCCGCTATATAATAGACATCCTACATCCTTCCGAAAACAAAGGCGTGTAGAATTAGCGGATCCACGACGAAGATGAGGTGGGAGTCCTCATGTATGTGAGATTATCTCGCAACTCAATTCAAAGCTTTATAAAGCCGATAAGAATCGCCCAGTCTCCTGAGATTACGTTCGCTCGAAAGGTGCCGCTTAGAGGCCCAGTGCTCGTTCATACCCACCGTGAAGAACCCCAATGATCATAGCTATTTCTATTTATTTATTTATTCTTTTTTTGGTAAAGTCTCATAGTAGAACGGTGTCGCTTCCATATTCCATAGGGTTTGGAGTTTAAACACTGCTGGTCTCATCAAGAGGATCTCTACAGACAGATTATCAAGTGACAGCGCTTTGGCATGTCTGGTTGTTTGGTTCGTCTGCGAAGCAATTGATTCCTTCGTTGGTGCCTCAGACGTGTTGTCTGCATTATGTTGTGGTGGATTTAGATATCGGAAGGCGAGCGAAGACGGGAAAAGATATCATTAATCTTTATTTCATCCTTCTAGTCCTCGCGACTCAGTAATAATAAGTTTATTGCAAGGTAAACGCGACCGGATGCTTACCACTAACCGAATCGTCCTTCTCAGTCGTTTAGAGAGCATCCATAGTTGGAGTCGTAGCCGTCCTAGAAATCGTTTTTGCTACTGTGACCTCGACGGCGGGGCAGAATAAATCAAAAGCTGTCAGCACTTGTATAGCCAACTATTCACAATCAGTTTAAGCAATACATAAAGCGAAATAGCATGCAATATTACCTTTAAGGCTAAAGGTGGCTAGATACACCGGCCTATCTCACGTCGCTGCTAGAACGCGAGATGGGTAGTCACCTTGTTAGCGTGCAGGACGATCACCGGCTCCTTTTCTGTAGTTCGAAAAATTTGGAGAGTTTCCGGCTGGAAGACGGGGTAAATGACCTGGGATCCCTCCGATCATCCTCCCAGGTTTACCATCCATGCGCGACTATCTCTTCTAGAAAAACTTGGGAACGCATCACACAGCTACATATCACCAGGGAGTCTGCAATGTGGAGCGTAGTGAGGGAAGGGCACCGAACGCAAAATGGTAAGACTCCGCGCTGTGTAGGATATGAAAAAGAAGTCGGATGAGAAAGCCTGCGCGTGGTATACAAGAGACAGCAGTGTACCACAAAACTATTTCCTATTGCTGTATGGATGAGATATGTGTTTTGTTTTTTTATTTTTTAGAACAGCTGTCCACTAGCGTCTTTGACAGTTAGCAAAAAAAAAAAAAAAAACAGTAAGATGTATTGCTTCGTTTCAAAATCGATGGTAAGTAGTAGCGCGTACCCTATGATTCGTGTTGTCCGTCAAAGGTTCCGTAGAATACTGGATCCCTCGACGATAACCCTCCTCGTCTCTTATTAGGCCATGATCTGTGGATCTTCTCGTGCACTGCTCGATCGCGACGGGGCTACTTGCCAAGCAATGTTTAAGGTTCGAGCTTGCGATTTCGTAATATCGGGTGATGGAAAATGATCGGCTATGATTTCGATGTTCGTCTACAGGCACACGTCTCAATTGTAACTTCGCGTCGCATGTAGCCAATGCTGTACTCAGTTTTGCCACTTTCTTATCTTTTTCTAAATTGCTACTATAGAGTACATTTATTATTCCTATAATACAAAAATGGGCCGTTAAGCAAATGCAATGAAAAAAAAGCGACCCCTACTTTCCTCCTTTCTTCTTCACAGCGAACTCCCGCTTAGTTCGGAAAAAACCTGACAGTTTGCTCATGACAGGACCAAATTGCTCACAGGTCTCGATCGATGATCCTATCCAGCCTGGTAATTTCTTACGGATCCGGGGCATGCCATACCGCTTGTCCATCAATACGATGACTGCATAATCACCTTGGTGTCGAATCGCTCGTCCAATCGACTGGTTCACTGCCCGCATACATAGATTTTCATAATACTCGCTGCCAGCGGTCATTCGTAGGGGCGCCGCCTTACTCGCTTGTTGCTGTTGGCCTAATTCCTGCTGTTGAACCTGATCCATGTACCGCATGCGCTCTTGAAGTTCTACAGAACCCTTATTCGGGAACGGCATACCAACCATGACCACTCCTCGTCCCAATCTGTCCGAGAAATTGATGCCCTCGCTCATCTTTCCACCCACAACTGAGAACAAAACTGCCCCTCGCTGGCTCCCTTGGTTAGCAACATCGTGCTCGGGTATTTTATGAATACAATCTTGATACTCTTTCAGGAGTCGGTCCGCGTCGCTCGCCTCCCTGGGCTCGACGAATACTCGTTTCCGTGCTTGTATCCTGTCCATGATGGTGCTTGATGCAACAGCTCCAGAGGCGGTAATGCTCTTGGCCTGCCATCGAGTCAGCACTTGAGCCATGTACGAGTATGAGACAAAGAACACTACGACTCCATCAGGTATCATGCCGAGAATGTTGACCAGCGACTGCCCGACTCCATCCATGATTTGGTCTAGTGTCCGGTTCGCAAAGTTTAGTTCAAGGGATCCTCCTGTCGGGGTCTTTTCCATAACCAAAGTCATCAAATTCTCCTTCGGAATGACATGCCCACAAGAAAACCGGTGGATTCTTGGGTAAGACGGGCAGGCATTGCTGGAGACGATTTCGATGGCAGGATCGGTACCAGCAACCTTTAAATACGGGAAGAGATGGGACAATAAGTCTGACACAGGCTCCATGGTTCCACCCGCCAGAACGACGCTCCTGGCTTCGTCGACGAGGGGCTTGAACACGTTGGCTGGATTCAAGAGCATAAACTTCAAGGTCGGCTTCCTGCTCCTTGCAAATGTGGGCTTCACAACTGTCGGTCCCAGCTGTACCGAGTCGCTTTCATCCTCGTCGTTATTATTAGATCCTTCCTCCTCCATCGTCACAATCACCCGGCCATCGTTGTCGGCATTTAAGAGACTCATCAAAAACGCATCAACCACAAGAAGAATGGGCGTTGTCGACATGCCGGAAGATGGTCTCCGTGGTTGTTGAACGCTGTCCTTGGATAGGTAATTCCTGCCCTGATGGATCTTGACTGTCGTGCTCCCATTTTCCTTGGATAGTCGCTTAGCTTCCTGTCTCTGTAGTGACTCATGTAGTCCTTGAAGTTTCCGGGCCACCCCACTAGTCTCCAGATACGCGTGTGCCTTAAATAGATTGATATGGTCCATTCCGGCGTCGTGCAAGAACTCATTGACCTTCATCACCCTATCCACCGGTCGCAACACTCGTCCACTCGCAGCCTCCTGGATGCGTCCTTGTTGAGACACTGCTGGCTGCGTCTGGTGCGACACTGCTGGCTGCGTCTGGTGCGACACTATAGAACGATCCGACTGCTGAGGTGGACTGGCCGTCCATTTATGAATAAATCCCTCGAGGCACTTCAAGATCCTGAGCAACACACGAATGTATCCCTCGTTGGTGCTCGAGAGCCGCTTTTCATAGCGACTCAGATAGACCTGCAACTGCTCCTGAGCCAGTACAATCTGCTGCAGCGACAGACCCACCGAGTGCATCTGTAGAAGGCTGTTGATTAAATTGTGGGCTTCATCCAACAACAAAATATTGTTCTTGATCATTAACTTGAGTGACTCTCGAGTAGAGGCATGCAGTAGTAGGTTGTATGGCAGTGTCACTAATTGACAGTGTCGAACGGTTTGGCGCGATCCGTAATATGGGCATGTCTCCAGCTCTGCTCCCAGTTCCGCAAGTTCTTCAATGTCTCGGACTCGTGCCAAGGTGTGGTCCCGAAACTCGAGCAGCTTTCCATCGCCCTCAATTGTATCGTCAGTCCTCCACCATGCGCTCTCGTCAACAGAATCGCTACCATCAGTTGAATTTTCAAACAAACCGTGGCGTCTTTTGTTTCCGAAAGAAGCGGAAGGCACGTGAAGGAACTCACAACGCTGCATAGATGGTGTTCCAGACTTCTGCCCATCCAAGCAGGCATCGTTCAGCTTATTGACATTGATGATGGATTCCGCTGTACTGTTGGTTTTCACAGTCGCCTTTTGTCGAAATCTGTCATTGATGCAGAGTGACTTGCGGGATCCCAGAGATACAACATGCAGATGTTCGCCGTATGAGGTCTTACGCAGCTCGTCGATGAACTGGGAAAGCTGCGAATGCGTCCTTGAGCAATAGTAGATCTAATTAGACGAGGTGAAATGTATTTGTTAAATCTGAAAAAAATTAAAAATTAATAGAGCAAAAGGAAAAAAACAAGAGACATGCTACCTTGAGCACGTCTGGCTCTAAGTCCTCATCATCCATCCCAAATCTTGTCCTCCTTGCTCCATGGGCTACTTCTTTGGCGTCAAAACTAATACATACACACGGATCAAATTATTGGAGTCTGTCCATGCGTCTCCACTATAAATTCGTGTACCATGTTTGCTTCACGAACCTTTTCAAGAGCTCCAAAACCTCCTTGGAAACGTTCCCGTACTCATCACCGCTATTCTTTGCCGCCCATCCTCCTTTCTGATTGTCGTCGCTATCGTACTCGTCCACCAAGAACTCGGTATCATCCATGTCATCATCATCTGAGTCTTGGCCTTTCTATAATATCGCAACGACACACCAAAGTCATAAGCACGAATTTTTTTGAGATAACGATCACCAGGGCATTTTACAGCGAATCGCTTAGGCTCTTCGTATTACCTTTTTTTTGGACTGCCCCAAAGTTGGTCTGATCGAGTTTATTCCCGCAGCCTGACGCTTCATCTTTCGCGCCAAGTTCTCTCTCATTTTTCTCTCGCGATCCCTGATTTTTTGCACCCTGGCCTCTAGCTCCTTTCGCTTTGCCTGGCGTTCCTCCCGTTCAATTGCTGCGTCCGAAATCGCGCGGTGTTGCTGTACCCAATCCGGTGTATCGCCAATTTGGTTCTTCGGCCGCCCGCAGGTGATAGAGACATTGCTTCCGCTAGTCATCCCTTCTGCAACTTCCTGCTCCAACTTCATTTTTTCCTGCTCGGCACGTTCGTGCTCTATCAGCCAGCTGACGGCCCCGCAGATCATGCTCAAACTTTTGCCGGTGCCTGTGGGAGATTCAAAGATTCCAACCTTCCGCCGATCGATGCATTCGAAGAGTTGCTGCATAAACTCTGTCTGTATAACGTATGGCGTCGCGTAAGGAAATGCCGGGAAGGATTCAGGGATAGGCAGGGGATCCTGTTCTTCCTCAAGCTGGCGCTCCAGGTCGGCGCTGCTAGTGAGATCCCAGGCGTTCATGGCGTACGGCGTTATTCTGGAAAGTTGCGAGCATACAAGTGACGAGCCTGTCTGAAGAGCTCACTCGTCATCTAAAGTCTCGTTCGTAAGTAATTCCGAGGAGGCCAGGTTGGGGACTTTGCTGGGGGTGATCTCGTTTCAACGGTCGATTGGTGGCAAAACTACCGTGCCTTCCTTAGACACAAAAGCCACTAGAAAATAGTGCCGAGCATTACAGAAATCCAGGCTCTGAAATCTGCTGCCGATGCATAAGGCTACTGCAGATTTCATGAACGCAAATTTTTGAAAAGCATACCTCTTGTTTCTCCACTTCTACGACACGATTGCTCTTTCTTCGCCCCACAATTGATCTACTTGTTTCTTTGACACCCTACCCTTTCCTCCCATTGCCTCTTACCACATATCAGCGGTACAATCATAACATGTTGTCCGGAGGCCGACAGAGTCGAGGAGGAGGCCGCAATGGCCGTGGTGGGAACATCGATCGCGATCAGAACGAACCCAGGGTGACAGGCAACGCTGAAACAGGACTGTTTACCAATGCAGCGCGTAGAAGCGGAGCAGGAGGAGGAGGAGGCTCTGGGCCTGTACGTCAGGCCGCGCGGCGTGGAAGCGGACGCATCGGAGGCGGTACTATGCGAGGCTCACACGCCTTGCCGCCGAGACCAAGGAGAGGAGGCGCAGAAGATCAGGATGGTGATCTGAACATGGGAGGCGAAAAGAAGAATTTGTAAGTGTTGTAAAGGGCGATAAGTCAATTGGATGCAGCTGAGGATCATTCGGTACTGTGCGATCAGGGATGTCTATATCGATCATTTGATGCTGAACGAAATGGAAGCGAAGAATATTGTGGATACCTTTACGCGGCACCTCAGTAAATATTACCACTTCACGCTCAACATCTTCAACAAACTGGAGAGGTACAACTGAGGATATCATAACCACAGCTGAGACAGGATTCTTCCACTCGCCTTTGATTGGAAGCCTTGGATGTGGATCGACTCGACCTGCATGGCAACCGACGATTGTGTTGACCGCTATAGGAGATCGCACAAGGATAAGATCAAAGGCAGGAAGAACCCAATAAACCACTCAGGATCTACAGGATGTTTTGTTTAATACTAATCTCTGGCGCTTCAATATTGAACGATAGCTCTCCGTATCAGAGACCGAAACGTAGCACCAGATCGTCAACTACGGAAACGCTTGATCATGAAGGCACCGTTATTATTTTTGTAAGTAGCTTCCCACGTTGCAAGTCGATCTTTCAGTCGCTATATGACGCTGCTCAGTACTAAGATGTCGGTTTGGCAATTTAGGTTACGGGCCAGAAAGAGGGTTTAACCACGGACTCAGGACTTCACGACTTTTTATCTCGAAAGGCTTCGCCGGCGAAAATTACAATCACCAGCGTAAGAAATTGGACGTATTTTTATTTCCTCTGCTGACATCCAAATGAACATGCTTGTCAACTTTGCAGTGGCTCATTATTTTCTATCTTTTTTTGTTTTGTTTTGACACGTCCCTATAGAAACGCTCCAACGAGACTTCCGGCGTTGTATCCTTTGTGGTGGGGGATATCACTCAAGCTCGGGCCCTGAGAAAATTGACAGGAATACGTTATAAAGGACAGAAGGTACGGCCGCCGTATTTGCTTTTGCAATCAAATGGTCAATTCGATTATCATTACCAACTCTTAGCGTTTTTGGCATCTATGTAAAATTCAGTTGACCATCAAGACTTCAGAGGATAACAAGATCTTGGGACAGGATGGTGCTGGATCGATTGATGCACCACAACGAGCCGCCGTAGCGCCTACTTATGGAACAATTGAAGTGATTCGCAACTTTATAAGATCGCGCTACAGCAGCGGATTTTTGAATCTGGAAAATATGGCTCAGGACAGCATTCTCCGGTCGGCCAAAATCATTCCACCAGGTCAAGCAAAAGGCAGGACAGATGTTGGAACAGTCATGATGAAGGTCGCCGCTGAAATGTTCCCAGAAGTAAGAGTCGGGTATTCTGTTCCACTAAGTTTTAACGCCATGTTTGTAGATATCATTGTTAACCTAGCTGATTGTTATTATTGGAACCATAGACGACAACTATCTCATTTGCCATGAATGGCCTCAGATCACTTCAGCCCATATCTTCTGTTGCCCAATTCTTTCCCAATCTTCAAAACTTATCGTTTAAAGGCAATAATATTCAGTACTACAAGGATCTGGAGTATCTGAGTGGAAACAAAAAGCTGCCTAAGCTGCGCGAGCTGATCTTGCTAGATAATCCGGTTCGAGATCGGGACATTGCTAAAAATAAGGACGATCTGGGCTACCGGAGGTGAGGCTCCTATCTTGCGTTTGCCAGGTCAAATTGTTTTCCATTAGACCAAGCTATGACATCTAACGCTTCTTACCATAGTGCGATCGTAAAGCTCTTTCCCACAATTGAGATCTTGGATCAGGTGCCTGTGGCACCAAAGATATCATTTGGACTTGGTGATATCTTGAAGGATGCCGATGCGCCCGAAGTGGCGGTTCTCCCTGTCCCGACAAAAGGCAACTTTTTTGACAACCCGCAAGCCCAGGAAATGGTTCTCGAATTCCTCACAGGGTATGTAAACCACACCTCATATTCGATGTCAATTTGTAAATGGGATGCGGAATTGCATGTTTATGCTGACGATGCATCTCTTGTTCGCATTCTATGTTTTAGATATCTGAAGCTTTTCGACAACGACCGCAGCCGTCTCGTGCATGTATATGACAACAATGCCACTTTCTCCTATGCCACCATGACGCTTCTCTCGCCCCTTCAGAAAAGCAGAGGAGATAGCGCCGATAATTGGGCGGCTTATGTACCCCAGTCGCGCAACCTGACGAGGATTAAGGAGCTTGGTATGCTTGCATTGTTCATGCATTTAGGAGAAGGCAATACGACGAGGCATTTGTGTGATCTCTTATTGACTTAAAGCATGTGGTTATATCTTTTCTAGATCAGAGGACGAAACGCTTGCTCTACGGAAGCAAGGATATCATTGAGCAGGGCCTAAAGATGCTACCTGAAACCAAACATGACATCAGCGATGCCTCTAAGTTCGTGATTGATGCCTGGCAGACAGGAGAACTTTTACCAGCCCCATGTATCTACATTAATATGCATGGAGAATTTGAAGAAGTGCATCATGGTCGCCAAGGGGTGTTGAAATCCTTCGATCGATCGTTCATCATTGCGGCAGCACCCCAAGAATCTCTGTAAGAAACCCAATCTCTTCAATATACGCTATTGATAACCAGAATAAGTTTCAGCAGCGCAACTGCCACACTGGATGGGACGCTAATTTATTAATGCGATATCGTCATGATTTAAATAGTGCTGCACAGAACGGCTGGAAATGCATCATCATTTCGGATCAGCTTACAGTGCGAGGATATAATGGATCGGAGGCATGGAAGCCGGATGTGGATTTTAACGTGACACCAGCAATGGCCGCGGCTGTGGCAGCTCCATCAGCATTTAGCAACGGCCCAGTTCCTCAGCAGGTCCAAACAGTTCCATCAACCCCTCAAGCGCCCATGCCCGGAGTGGTAAGTCGCTCGCCTGCATCCGACATCGTGTTGAGGAGTAAAGGCGTAAAAGCAAGGATTTCGCGCTGTGGACAAATTCTAACCAATCTTGGATACGCATTTAAATATCTTTAGTCTTCCGATCAGCATGCCCAGGCCCAAGAACTGCAGCATCTGACAGGCTTGAACTACCCATACGCAATTCAGTGTCTGGCAGCGACCGGCTGGGACATTGCCAAGAGTGTCGCGCTGGTCGGCGAGAATCGGGCCAACATTCCTCAGGATGCCTGGCAGCAGCCCACATTCCAGTAATTTGACGTAATAAACGGTCACCACAAACATTATCTTGCTATCATCCTTGTTCATTCAAACTCTGCATTAATGAAAAGTAGGCATCGTTGCATTGCCCCGAAGCAGCACAATCGCTCCAATAGATGAAAACAATGCGGAGCAAATTCAGCGGCGCGCTTAAAGAGTAACTGATCTTCTGATATCAGGCGATAAGGCTTACAATCAGGTTCGACGACTTTGCAGATATGCACGTCGATAGGCCAAATCCATAGCACCTTTTATGCATACACTATACCACCATCAATCCCATATGCTCGACTCATTTCGTTGACAAGTCTCCATTACGTCCATTTTATTGAGATCAAAATAAATGCCCGTCAATAAACATGTCAAGTCCAAACAAAAAACCTCACTGGACAGTAAGAGTTTTTTTCTTCTCAACAAAAATGCTTGCACTTAAGCAGTCTCGCCCTCCTTCTTGAAGACATAGGTCAGTCCACAACGTCCACAGTACTGACGATCGTGGTGCCAAGCCATGAAGATACCAGCGCCGCAGGTCTCGGAGGGGCACTCACGACGGAGACGAGTGATCTTGCCGTTGTTGTCGACCTGATAGAACTTGAGAACAGCCAGCTTGACCTTTCTCTTCTTGTGCTTGATCTTCTTGGGGGTGGTGTAGGTCTTCTTCTTACGCTTCTTAGCACCTCCCAACAGATCGATGTTGAGGTCCAAGGTGGCCATCGCGGGGATGGTGGCGAGGAGAGTCTCCGAAGAGAGGGTCTTGCCAGCGAAGGAGAGGCGCTGAATGGCAGCCGCGATACCTAGAATGCGACGTCAATCCATGGATATGGTATAAATAACTAGTCATATAGCCAGGGAATATGCTGATATGTAGCGAGATAGTGGACGTATACTAGGATTAAAAGCATACCTTCGCGCTCCTGGATCATGGACTTGACATTGCTGATGGAGTCGGCAGCCTGGGCGTTGATAGCCAAGGTCTGGCCGGAAAGAGACTTGACAAAGACCTGCATGGTGGTGGAACTTTTCAAAGTAACTAGATTGTTTTTCTCGGTTTGAAAAGGAATCTACACGGTTGGAATAATATACATATTAGGAGGATTTCTTTCTTTCCAGTTAAAGAGTTGAGAGTATGTTTCGGAGATCATCCTGTTCTTCATGATCACTAGTTAAGAGCACGCACCTTCCTCACTACTTGAAAAGATTGGGAAAAAGAAAAGGATCGATCCAACGATGCATGCAGCATCTACATAAACACACCACCGGGCTCTGTCTCACCAGAAACAAAAAATTTGCAGGTGGCTTAGTCAAAACTCGGCACCCTGAGGCAATTTAGAGTTCTTGGACCAATGGTGCTCCACTGCCCCTTTTGGCGACACGGAGGGAATCCCTTGGCAAGGTTTGTCGACTTTCAGCCTGCTGTGCGCACTTTGTCTTTATTTTAGATGCTCCTCTCCCTCGCCCACTCCTTCTCTTTCCGTTCCCTCCTCCAGCTTCTCACCTCAAATTCAAACACTTCATACACCTATACGCCGCACCAGAAACAGCAAGAGACCATGGCGTCGTCCGCAGACATATATCCGAGTCCGCCTCCGTACGAGGCAATTGGACGCCCTCTTGAGGACCACCTCAACATACCTCAACCTGGCTCGAGCAACCTGACCCCTCGAGACTTCGGTACCATCACTTCACTCCAAAACGACGACGACAGGGACATGGAGGAGGAGCGTGATTACGAAGAATCCAGGCCGCTCAAGATGGGACGGATACCTGACGCCAGGGCCCAGTACACGTTTATCCAACCCAGCGACACAATCAACAACGTTAGTGCAGCCCATGGTCCATTTTCACGCATCCAAGAGCTTTTTCACCACCAACAACCCCACAATCCTGTCCATCATTCCTCTCACTCTCAATCTTCAAACCCTTATTTTAATCCGCCCCCCTCACTGTCAGCAATGCCACCTTCACCTTCATCCTCAACACTGAGACAGCAGCAGGAGCAGCAGCCGCGAAGGAGGGGCTCGATCCTCAAACAATCTGAATCGGAAGGACAGGAAACGAGCTCAGTTGCAGCTGGAACGAGTTCTTCTACGTCGTATGCACCCCCACCCTTCCCTCCACCACAACAGCCCATTCTCCCAGCTCCGTTGGCAGGGGTCCCAGAGACTCCCGGGTTTATGAATGCGCAGGATGTCTCAATCGCTGATTACAAGCGCACAAAGCGTGGTGCGGATTCATGCGACAAGATCCTAGAAGACCCCTACCAGTTGTATCGGTTCTTTGTCGCCCACAATGACCGGCCATCTATGCACGTCTTGATCTGTGGTACGCGATCCTTTTTTTCCCTTTCTTGTTACATTTCTGCATGTCCTTTTCCAATAGCATTTACCTGTTACTTGTATGTTATATGTAATAGGTCATCACACAGAGAAGAGCGAGTCATACGAGACAGATTCGGATGGGAATCGCAAGCTGGTCTCCAGGGACGTGCGAGTGGACGACTTTAAGATAGATTTCGACCTCACACCATACATCTCACCAAGGGGGACTCTTTACACTGCGCCCGATCCCAAGATCGGGAAGACGTCCACCATCCGGGAGGCCATGGAACAGTTCGCAATGGAAAATAATCCGTTCAAGGAAATGCACATGCATAAGGTACCTGGCGCTGCCGGAATGGCTATAGAGAGGACAAAAATAGCGTGCCTCATGTCTTAAGAAAACAGAAGGCAATCGTCTGCTAACGGACAAATCCTCGATGAACGATTTTAATAGACGGTTGCTTGGGATTATGAAGAGTTAACAAGGGCAATCACACATGCGATCCGGGCTGCCCACTACCGATACACCATCGAAATATCGTATCCCTGCACCAACAACCTAGTCATTGTCCGATCTTCTTCTCCGGCGGCAAACTTCATGCGCAATCGATGGACCAAGGCTTTATGCTTCATTTCTCTTGTTGGATTTATCTTGTATCCTGCCGTAAGTCCTTAAATGCCTGGAAACAGGGTCTCTTAGCACGACATTCAATTGATCTATCAAACGCCCTCCTAATCGTTCTGATCTATCGTCTGTCATTCTAGCGCGAGATCTACAAAGCCGTCAAGGATAAAACCCTCAAATCCGAGTTCCAAATGACGATTAGCACCCGCGACTTTTACATGCAGAACTATTGGAATATTGTCGATCAAGTGCAGTACAAATAGTCAAATAGTCTTGTCAGTTTTGTTTTGCAGTGATAGCGATGGTTGTGATAATATATATATATATATTCAAGATATTATCTTTATTCCATTCTAAATGACAAAATGACAAGTCCAAGGGACATAGCAGAAAATATCCATAGATGCAGCATCCGATCTGAATATGCACGTAACGAACATCTTTCCTTCCTTTCATCCCCCTCAACTATGCAGCGCAAAAACTACTGGCGCATCCTAGAAATCCGAAAGCATGTCCTTAACAGCTTCATAGTACTCTGATGAGACATAGTCCTTCATTTCCTGCTTGGTGACCCATGCAAAATCAACAATCTCTTTGTTATCAACCTGGACTTGGCCTGCGAAGATGTGTGCCTTCATGAAGAAAACCTATGGTTGACAAACCCAGGCAAGCCAGAAAGGAATAATGTGAGAACAACCGATTGAGTCCATAAATACGTCCGTGAGAAGCAAATCGCCTCCGGATCCAAATCCAGACAACCACGGAACCTTCGCAGTTGCTACATACCTTAATGCCCTTCACGTTAGCAGAAGACTCGGGCATGGAGCCCACGGGAGGCGAGTACATGTAGTGCCCAATGGGTACACGACCGACGAACCACAAGTCCATATTTCCTCCGCACTCTTCCTGCAATTCGCGACCAGCGGCCTATAAAAACGAGAGAGTATAGTTAGCGTTGATTTCTGCTGATATATTCTGCCATTGAAGCCAGGATGGACTTTGTTCGCAGACACGCCTACGTAAAAGCTCCCATTACCTCCTGCAGGTTCTCGCAGACGCGGACGCCTCCCTGAGGGAACTGCCAGGCATGCTGATCTCTTGGCTTCTTGACAATCAGGTACAATGTCCGTTGCAAAGCCCTCTCAAGCGACTTGATATCGTTGTTGCGATCTGCCTCCGTGACTCTGGCATTAAACTCGATTTTTGTCTCCATTGCTGCGACCCTATCCTCCTCTGTAAGTTCCTCTGCTGCTGCTGCTTCTGATCCTTTTGATGCTGATGATTTTGATGCTGTTGATGATGCTGATGATGATGAGCTTGCGGCTCTCTCTGCCTCCTGCTGCTTCCAACGACGTTCTGCAACCGATCCCTTCTTGAAATAGAATTCTGCTCCAAAAGGAGCGGCATTATCACGCTCCAGGCTCTTTTGGTACGTAAAGTATTCCTTCTCGAACGGAGACAGGTCTCGAAGGATCAAAGGCTGACGAGAAACGACGGCTCCTGCGACGATACGATTGCCACTGATGATCAGATCCTTTGTGGAAGAAACAAGCGCAGAGGAGGTGGTTGAGATATTGGATTTCAGGGGTGCTTCAGCAGCCGAGGCAGAGGCATATGATCTCGCGGCAAGGGTCAGGCGAGCAGGGATAGCTAGCGAGCAGAAAGAAAAAAGGTACCACTTTAATTTTACGATTCGCTCGGCTTTGAAGCCGCCATGCTCATTCAACGGGGGAGGTTCCTGCAATTTTTCATCTCAATTTGCCCTGAAAATAAGAAAAAGATCTCCATGTTGTTGCTGAGCGTCCGTACCTTGAATCTGGGGGCGTGCAACGGTCGACAGCGAACCAGCAGCGGCTCTGAAGACCTGTCTGCGAAGAATAGACGACATGTGTGGTTTTTCCCTTGATATATATAGTAGCCGCGTCCCGAGCTGTCCCTTTGTATATGCTACTGGCAAATGGAATGGACCGTGGCAATGGGTGTCGTGGAAAAGTGAGCAGAGTAGTAGCGATTCGAGCTGGCGAAACGACCGAAGAGTGAAGCGGGGATCCCGGTGGCTTGCCAACCCTCTACTTTTGTTTACGCTCGATCCTCACCAGTCACCCTGCCTTCTTTGGCTTTTTTTTTTTTGCTTGCTTGACCTTGGCGCACACATCTGGAGTAAGACTTTCACTTATCGTCAAGAGAGCAAGCACCTACCATGTTCAAGTTCAACTTTTCTGTAAGAACATATCTGTTTGAGCAGAGACACTATTACCTGAAAGGTCACTCACCTAAAACGCGCACCAAACTAAACAAGACACCACATATCTTTATTTCACGCGGCTAGGCAGACGACCTCGAGTTTGACGACCCTGAACTCGCCAACCAGCAGGACGACGACCAACTCGAAGACCTCTCCAAACCTCTCGAATCGCTCTCTGTCTCATCTTCTCCTGCAACTCTCGTACCTGCCTCGCAATTGGATATCCAATCCAAGTCATGCCTCCAAAGTCTTCCCTTGACACTCCACTATGAACTCGCCCAGATTCCTGTCTTGAACCAGGGCTCTGGTGCAGCAACAGCAATTGCAACCGATACCAGGACCGGAAAGGAAAGAGAAATTGTCACGATCTTTAAGCGTAACCTGGAGGATGTTAAGTTTCAGATCGCACAGGAGGACGATGAATTCGACGCGCTAGATAACGATAGCAGGAGCAAAGATATTGAAGATGCGACTGCAGGGCCTGGAGGCGTTGAAATGCTGGCACTAGCTGGAAAGAGTGATCTTGTCAAGGGTGTTTACGAAGGCGGACTCAAGACCTGGGAATGTGCCTTGGATCTGGTCGCATACTTGGCGGAACAAAAAGAGAACTATGATGGCAAGAAAGTCCTGGAGGTATGTGACGATATCTCTAGTTTCGCGCCCTTTTTTCGTTTGCGTGCTAACTTTTCTCTTCCCATTACCTTCCAGCTTGGGTGCGGGTCAGCATTACCAGGAATCTATCTGCTGACACAATCGACTTCAGTTAAAGTCGACCTTCAGGACTACAATGACCAGGTCTTAAAACTCGTCACCCTCCCTAACGTCCTTTTAAACACTCATGTCCGCCCAGACCAGCAGCCCGCAGAAGTAGAGGAAGAGGAGAAAGAAGATGCCGAGGAAGAAAAGGAAAAAGATCAGGATGCAGACGAGGACGAAAACGAAGACGAGGAGGATGACGAGGAGGAACCAGAGGCTGACCCAGCAGATGGCGACTTTCAAGGCGTGGAGCTAGACCTGCCGGATTCTGCGGAGGATAAGTTGGCACTTATGAAGAAGGTCGAGGAGCAGACAACGTTCTATATGGGAGACTGGTCAGGATTGGTGGACCTGATGGCATTCAAGGGCGACGAAGACAAGTACGACTTGATCCTGACAAGCGAGACCATCTACGCAGAAGAGTCGCATCTTAAATTGTACGCCACTATTAAGAACTCGCTCAAGCGTGGTGGTAAAGCGTAAGTGGCATTTTCTTTTCTTTTTTCTTTTGCAATGTCCTTGAACGCACAGCCGGATTCTAACCAGATTTAATCTTATGAACCTACCATTAGTCTCGTAGCTGCCAAGACATTCTACTTTGGCGTGGGCGGTGATATTCTCTCTTTCCGGCGGCTGATCGAAAAGGACAACGTCTTTAATGTCAAGGTGGTCTTTTCTCTCCAGGCTTTTGTTCGTCGAGAGATCCTCGAGCTTACTTTCAAGGCATAAAGCACGCAAATAACTAAAAAATAATAATTACTCTTTTTTTTTTTTTGGACATTGAGCGGGAGTTGTTACGTAGAGCCATTAGTCAACCCGAAACACATTTTGCTTTCACACTTCCTTTCCCTTATTATCGTGACAGCCTACCGCAGACTGGGTCCTATGGATTTCAGCTGTGGCCTCTGCTCCACCTATATTACCCTGTGTTCTGAAGAATCCATGTCAGTAGGATATCTCTAGTGCTCTTCTGGATATACCATACGAAGATAGCCACGTTGAACTCTTTTTTCTGAAGCAGCAGCCACAAGATTAAGAGATCGTGATCAAGACCCTTGACTCTACAGTTCTGGAAAGACTGGATTTCAAAGTAACTTATGCTGACGCAGCGCGAAAGCTGACTGCAGATGCCAAGAGGGAGGCACCGCATATCGGTATCTTTCTAAAGTTCCTGCAATAATAGTAAATCTGGTGCAGTAGTCCTCTATGGTCATATGCCGACATAATCACTAGGCGCGTACAAGAGTCGTGAGAGGATGGCAGTATTGCATTGTTTGCATTCTAGAAAATGTTATTTTATTTATGCGATAACAGATAATGCAGCGTGAGAGTGTTTATATGTGCGAAAGAGATGCGGCATGTTTGAGGGCGAGATAAAACAAAAAGAAGGGTAGGTTCAGAGCTCCTCGAAGTTATAGAGTTAGCCGCGACGAGAAAAAGCTGACTAGCGAACTTGGGAGCTCTGTCTCCACAGGTACATCCTGATCTTCCACAGCCTTGCCAGAGTCGTCCTCCATATCCACGTCTATCAATGTTCGAGAAGCCAAGTTTAGTCATTTAAACAAAAAAAAAAAAAAAAAAAAAAAAGTCGCATAAAGCAATGAAAGAGCATGCTGCCTTACCATTTACTGTCGATTCACTTTCGCCACTCTCCAGAATTCCTTGCTCCTGTTGTTGTTGCTTCTTCCGTGCCTTAGCCTCCTCCTTAGTGGCCTTATTATGCGTCAACAACTGTCCCATGAATACCTCAAACAACGACGACACCGGTGCCATAACATGTGAAGGTGCATCAAACAACGGGTTGCGGGCCAAATTCTTCTTGGACACCAGACCACGGCCTGTGCTCTCGCTCCTCTCCTTCTTCTCTTTAGCCTTGGCCGATGCTGCCTCAGCCTTGGCCGACGATCCAAAGATATCCGTTACCATCGTCTTCTGCTTCTGGGCCTCCAATGCCAGAGCTCTTGCCTTCTCTGCCGCTTCTTCAGCCTCGGCCTTCAAGTCCTCGGCCGTACGTCCCCCAAGGACTTCAAGATCGTATCCGTGGTTCATGATCAGAATGGGCTCCACCGCATCCGAGGGACCGGCCTTAGCCTGGACTGCGGGATCTGGTAAGAAAGTAATCGCACGAACCTTCTTGTTAATGGTTTCAATATGAACGGGCTTAGGGCTCGTGGCCTTGAAGACGATGATCCTGTGCTGAGGAGTCGTAGTTGAGGCTGGGTCGTTGCAAGTGACCACAAAGTTGGCATTTGTCTGTGACGCCTTCAAATTGTCAATCTTGATTTGATAGCTCCACCAGACCGAGCAAGTCAGCAGGTTCCATGAGTACAAATGATCCTTAGTCGCTGCAATCAGGAAGGGTGAGTTCTTCAAGAAAGTCAAGTGCTTGATGGGACGGTTCTCAGGGGGTTGGGTCAAGACTGCTTGAAGTGTGTTCAGATAGGGGTTCCAGATGGTGATGATCTGATCATAGGCGACCGCAAGAAGGGAGCCATCCGAGGAAAATCCAGCACAGTGTGGGACCATGTCTCTGTAGAATCCAGTTGATCGACAGCTCCAAGCCTTTTCAGCCTCAATTCCACGACGCGCCTCTCCCTGGTGGGTTAGCTCCCAGACCTTGAAGGTTCCGTCCAACGAGGAGGTGACGACCATAGGTGCCTGGTTGCCTTCGCGCGGATTAAAGATGCACGAGGTAATCTCCTTGGAATGTGGTGCATCCACGCGGGTATTCAGAATATAATTGCGAGCATCGTCGTCGTATTCCCAAAACTTGAGGTACAACTCGGGTGTGGTCTCATAGTCATCACGGCCGTCAACTGTCACCATCCAGCGGCCAGTTTTGCCATTCGAGAAGGCGCAGTGCATGACGTTGGGCTGAATGATCTCCTTCTCGTCTGTACGCGACACTTTGTTGCGGGGGGTGATTTCCAGCTCCATAATATGTTGCTCCTTAATCGGATCATAAAACTGAAGAGTTCCAGGCATTCCATTAAGGACGACGTGGCCATTGCGAGGCTCAATCACCAGTCCAGTCGATAGAGGGTTGGTGAGGTGGTTCACATGGGCTATAGGCAAGTAACAAAATTTGGTGGCAATTAAAATTCTGTTCACTCAAAACCAGCAAGCGTCGAACGGCAGCCCAAAGTCAAGACATACAAAACTTGAGCCCCTGAATAACGGTCTTGATCTTGAGGTCCACGCTACGGATGACATTGACAGAGTTGTCCTGATGTCCGATTGCATAGAATCCTTGATCGGGCGAGACAGTGATGTGCTTGATCTCCGATCCTAGTCGTGGCAAGAACTGTTTGAATCCCGTATTGAGCTGCCAGATCACCAATACCGCTTCCTCTCCTCCGGACAGCAGGTAGGTTCCATCGGATGTGAAGGTGAGCGCCGCCACCTTGTGAGCGTGCCAGTGCATGATAGTTGTCACTGGTCTATCCACGTTCTTTCCGAAGCAGTACCAGAGCGTAATACGTCCACGCTCATCTCCTGTAGCAATGCATCCTTCAGTTGGGTGAAACGCGAGACAGGTAATCTTCTCCGGCGTAATGTAACATCTGAAGCGGGACTCGTCATTCTCGGTTACGCCGCCTGCCTCGACTCCGTTTCCGGCTGCAATATGAATGACGTGCAACTTATAGCGCCCTGCCATGACCAAGTACTCTCCGTCCGAAGAAATAGCCAATCCGCCGCAGGCACGGGTCTTGAGAAGGCGAATCAGTCTCTTGCGAGACGACTTAAAGGAATAGCGAAGCAGCACAGAGTTTTCCTTTGCACGAAGACCACCAGCTATTAATATTTGACGTGTCGCGGAATAGTAAGCAACATGGGCATCGCTTTCACGAATGCATTAAAAACGACCCAAAGACTTACACTTCCTTGCTTGGTATTGATGGAAGCGCTTGGTTGACTTCTTTGTCGTCGCCAGATAAACATCATTGGGCATATTCTCGTGCATGACCATGTGTGTGATAGGGAAGCCGATGTCGAAGGTCTTGAGCAGAACCGCATCGTTGAAGTCCCAGAGCTTGATAGTTCCGTCCAGAGAAGCCGAGTAGAGTTGAAGAGAGTTCCGGGGATTAAGGATGACACTTGTCACCGTGTTCGAGTGTCCGCCCTCTTCGACCGAAGACGAGAGGATACGCACGACCTGTCCCGTTTCGACAGAAAGAATGCGGATCGACTTTCCGCTGCATGAGAAGAAGTAGTTCGAGTCTGAGGTGAAGACTACCTCGTAGTCTGATAGACGCATGGTGGTCTAATATTGTTGAAGGAGGGTGAGGGGAGCGTTCGAAGGGCAAAGCAAGTGTTGAGCTTCGCACTGTATTATGGTCAGTGACGATGGTTTTTTTTTTTTTTTTGACATTCAAAAGCCACATTTGTAAACATCTCTTCACTAAACCTTGGGAAGCCAGGTCGTCCTTGGTCTCTCCACCCAACCCCATCACCTCCAGCGCCCATTCCCCCCAGACATACTTCATGGCCGTCACAACACGCAAGAAAGCTGCCCCAGCAGCAGCAACAAAGAAAGCCGCTGCCGCTCCGAAGAAGCTTGCAGCAAAGCGTACAGCAACGAAGGCCCAGGCTGAACCACAATCGGCGGAGGAAGAGTCAGAGTCAGAGGAAGAAGGCCAGGATAGTGAAGAGGAAGGTGATAGCGAGGACGAAGAGGGGGAGGAGGAGGAGTCAGAGGATGAGGCGATGGACGCTACGGACGAGAGCAGCGACGAAGAAACATTCAAAATCCATACCCCCAAGGCCTCTACACAAACCAAGGTCGCGCCAGCTGCTCTACCTACCGTGGCATACGAAGACGATAGCGAGGAGGATGACAGTGATGCAGCACCTGAGGCAGAGTCATTGTCAAATGCCAAAGCCAAAGTTTTGAGTGCCCAGGATAAAGAGCAGTCGTTCTTGTCAAAGTAAGGATAGCGGTCAGAGCTTAGTTCAGCGGGTCAATTGAACTTGATCTGGTATTGTCTCTAACCCCGTTGCCTCTGTACTTTCATTTCTTTGTGGCATTACTCCATTATAGGGTTCAAGCAGAGCAAAAGGCAAAGCGAGTTGAGCGGGAGACAAAACTGAAGGCACAAAAGGAGCTGTCGAAAAAGAAGACGAGCGTAAAGGCACAGGAACCAAAGAAGAACAAAGATGGAGAAGAGTCAAAAACAACAAAGTCAGGACTTCCAACGATGCTACCCATGGATATCCTTGAGTCAGTCGTACAGATGGATGCTCAGGGGTCATCCAGTACTCAGGGATCATTAAAGGCGAACGACAAAAAGAGGAAACACATGAGGCCAGAAGACTTTGCATTGATGGAGCTGGAGGCTGAGTTGAAGGCTGAGACCCAAAAGAGGAAGAAGGCTGAGAAAATCCAAAGGAATGTTGGGTAAGTCACCTTCGAGTCGTTGTGCTTCAGAGTGTCTCGCTCGCGTTCCTTGTAAGAAACTGGGCGAAAATCTTCCTCTTTATGCTAACAGCTGATGTTTTTCTCAACGATGTGTGTTAGACCCGTCACTGTCAAGGTCTTGGAGCGATTACACTTGGCCAAGGGCCATGCAATCCCGGAGACGATTGTGGATTTTAGGAAACAGCATTTTTACGGAGCAAAGGTTCAGCGTAAAGACGCAGTTCTTAACCTGTCGCAAAGGAACAACAGCGCTGCATCGAAGTTCAATCGACGCAAGTAAACCCTGTTTACACCATTCCAGCGGCACTTTTGTATTTTGGCATCACATTCATCGTTATTATTCAAAATAAAAGCATCTTAAACATTTAAAACAGTTGCCTGTGAAGGATGCGATGGCCTTATTTATTATCTATACGCCTTTTCGTATTTTCCTTTGTGCCTAATGTTTGGTTTAGCGTTGATGATATTCCCCTTGATGATTATTGTACATTTCCGCCCTGTATTCCCCCATATTGCTTCACAGCACAACCTCCCGCCAAAGTACAGAGTCTGGATTCAACGCCTTGAAGAGCTCCAGGTCGAAGATCTGGCCAGTTCCCTCTGGGTTGTCCCGCATGAGCCGCTGGCACATCTTGTCAATAGCAATGACCGACAGCACTGTCTGGATATAAGCATCGATCATGTCGTCAACGCCGAGGCCGAGCTGGTTAAAATCTTTGCGATCCATGAGCAACAATCTTGCGGCTTCAGTGCTCCATTCGCCGGTGGGCGACTTGACCGACAAGTTCGTACCCAGCATCTCCCATGAGGTTGTTGCGGGGTCGTCTTCCAGGTAGCGGATCAAGGGCTTGCGAGCGCGGCGTGCGTAAATACAAATCGGGCGGAATCCGTCTTTGTTACCGGCCACCATCATGCGCAGGTCTGTCACGAACGTATTGTTCTTCTTGTTGGGGATCGTACCGACGTGGTAGAACTTGCCGTGCCGGGTCATTGAGGACCAAGAGGCGTTTCCGACCAGAGACTGGACAATGTATTTGTCATAATGCTGGGGCGTGTCCATGAACTCTTGCAGTTCCTGTTTGTTAGTGATTGTGTAAACGCCCTGGCCTAGTTCATAAGAAATCATACCCGTGTAAGTGTTCTGGCGTGGCAGCGATATTCCATACTTAAGCGAGGAAACTGCGATCCAGCTGCTTACCAGCATTTGAATAAGGCACCTTGACGACAGCATGGCCACCCATGCTGTCCAACCACAAGGGGATCTCATTCTTAGTAACGTTGTTGATCGTCTCTGGGACACGAACGTGCAGACCGGAATCTGCCAGCTCTGCATTAAAGAATTCGTATGCCTTGGCAGCCATCATCTTATTGCGGCCTCCTGCCAAGCATGCCACTGTCTGGTTCATAACAACGGTTTTGGTATACAAGGGGAAACGGTTCCAGGGCTTCTGTGTAACATATCGGAAGCATGCTCTAATTGAGTGCCACTCTAAAGTTCACAACATAGAAACGATATCTCTGTCAGACGTAGGGCAGTAGAATGGGTACACCACATCGCAGCAGAAGCCATTCGATTGTCCATTGAGCGTACCCTTCTTGTTGTCGCGGATATGCATAACGCGGTCAACCCACTTGACTGGGGGATCTTGGTCGTACTCATAAAACTCGACGAGCCACACTTTCTCCTTCATGACCTCTGCCAAAGTCGAGGCATATCCGCTAGCCTCCATCATGTTCTTGTCGCAAACGACAGCTAGACCTCCCAGGGACTTGTCAGCCTTGTCGATCATGTCCTTGAATGCGGACTCAAGCACCAAACGGTATCCACCATGCTCCTAAAAAGCACGCAATCAACAATCCGTATATCAGACCTCAGTGACGTAAGGACGTTATTAGGCCTATGGAAAGCTAAGCGTTCTTTGCTCGGGATAGTTACGTACATCTGATTCGGACAGAAGAGGCATCGACTTTTGGCCAGAAGGGCACGAATTAGTCTCGACGATAATCATCTGACGATGGCCCGATGCAGTCGTTACATTGAACAGATCAGAACCTATTGTCCCCGTCGGATTGAATTCAAAAGTAGGAAAAGAAACGCGTTAATTAATCTGCATGGGAAAACAATTTCACTCTGCCCATTTCATCCGCGCTGCGCTTGCGATCCCCATTTTTATCTGCGCAAGATACGCACGATGGTTGATTAGGAGGCGCGTATCGCGAACTCTTTTTTTTTTTGTTTGTTTGCGTCCAGCATGCAGGGTGACACGAACTCTTTTTTTAGCCGTCCGCTTTCTCAGCCAGTGCAGTCTTCAGTTTGTGCTTTCCATAGAAAACGGTTGAAACAAACACGTTCGACCACGCTCGCACCCCAAGATCAATCCAACAAGGAAAAAAGTAGGATTGCATGATAACGACGTAAAACCGAGGGGAAACACTTGCCTGCCCACTGAAAATGCTTGGGGACATAGTCGAGACACTTGCGGAGCACTTCCTCGTTCACCTGGGGGTTTAGATGCATATATCTGGCGATGATCCGCTCGTTACCCAACGAAAAGAAGTAGCCGACCATGGGATGGATCTGAGCGTTTAGGACCCGTGGATAAAAATGCTTCTCTGGTTCAAAATGCTCGTTCGTAACCTGGTGACCATCGGGCGTGGTCTTCTTGGGCTTGGGCTCCAGATAGATGTCGCTGATCTTTTGGGCGGCTAGAGAAATAGCTGCGAGGTTGTTGGCTAGAGCCGCATCTTCGTCCAGCTCGCCGTTGTTACTGGCACCGCTGCCACTTGAAACATGGTCACCGCTGTTTCCACCAAGATTGGCAACATTGGTGCTGGTGAGGGGACCAACGCTGGCGGTCGAGTCGCTCGAGCCTCTACCCTGGCGGCGGGTGCCATTTGACGCACTTGTGCTTCCGAGATACTGGTCCAGCTTGGAGGCAATCGATCCAGCCATGGAGGACAGCTCGCTCTTGGAAATGGATCCGCCTGGGGTCAGTGATCCACCGCCGCGATTCTTTGGGACGGGAATAGGAGCCGTGGCGGCAAAGGCGGCGTCGAGAGGAGGGGTGGTGTTTCCGTCGGCCAGGAAGTGGGATGAACCCTTGACGACTTGATCCGGATACAAGGGTCCCAGAGAATTCTTGGCCGTGTTAACAGCGGACGAACCAGCGAGGGTGTTCATGTGAATTAAGAGGGTGGATTCTGCAGATAAACTTTAATTTCTAGGAAGAGGGGGGGAAATTAATAAGAGATGCGACACAGACAAAAGGATGAGGAGGAATGAGAATGAGGATGGGGGAACGCCAGAGAATGAAGACACAGAAGGCAGGGAGGAGATGGGGAAGGATGGAGGGATGGAAGGAAAGGAGGAAAAGGCGAAGAGGACGAGCAGCCAGAGAGACATTCGCTTTTATTCCTGTGCATAGAACGGCTGCTTACTGCTGTAGCAGCCGGCCGCCAGTGGCAGCAGGCCTTGGATGGAAATGCAACGCCTTTTTTTTTTTTTTTCTGCATCCACGCACCAGCAGCTCATTTTGTTTACCGCCAAGTCGACCTTCTCTCCACCCTGTCCACCAATCAATCCGATCACGCTCGTCAGCACTCCATGCTGCACCGTCCTGATAGGGAGCAGCAACAATTCAAATGGAACAGAAAGCGGCACAGTATGCAGCAAAAACAGAAAGGAAAAAACGTGCTGCATGAAGAAAATTATATGCGTCGGAGGGCTGTACGTCTACTATCCCCACCTGAGATACCACACAGTACACGGAATAGGAGGGCCGAATGAGATAGACACGGCCAGATATGCTGCATTCGCGAGCTCCTGATTTGGTCTCTCTTTAACTGCATCTCATTTGACATTCTCAACATGTTCACCCCAAGCAAAAAGACCTTTGCTCAACTGAACTCACCTGTGTGGGTCTTTTTCTTGGCTAGGAAAGATTCCACAGACTACAGTTGAGGTGTTCTTTCCTGGGATCGTATTAGATGAAGGCGATTTGAAGGACGGATTCCAAGATGATGTAGAGAGTGATAGGACAGAAAGCGAATAAAGATAGTGCGAGAGAAAAGGAATAATCAAAAGTCGAGCAGGCTGAGATGCAAAGGCGCACTCTGTGTGTCCTTTTGTTTAAAATGAACAGCAAACAAGGCGAAACGGGTCTTTTTCACAAACAGCAGAAGGGGCCCGTACGTGTGGTAGACAACGTGCCAATCTGCCTGGCCTTCTTGGATAAGTGGTTTCTGAACTTTTTACACATCAAAGTGTGTTTGCGAGCGCGAATGAAATCGATTGCAGCGGCAGCATGGGGTTTACCTGTGGGCAGCAGAAGCACACACCAAAAAAGGGGGGCTGTGTAAGCCATGCACCACCCCCGAACCCTGAGAACGCAGACAGAGAGACACATGCACCCGAATGTGTAGACTATAGTCTACGACAGCTGCACTCGCTTGCCTTTTCCTACTCCTATTGCCTCGCTTTCTCTGCTGTATGCTTCCTACGATGCAGATGGCTGCAGACATGAGGTTTGGCCAATCAAAATCCTGTAGTTCTATATGACGGCCACGACCCCCCATTAGTTAGGCTTCAGTCGTGCAAGGACGTGCTGCTTTCGGCGCTGATTGTACGCAATGGCGTGTGCTCGTAGTCTCCCTGTCGACTTTGCCTTCTTATTTTGTCTTGTCTTGTCTACAGTAATGGTGGAGTGTTGATCCCCTTTACCCGACGTTCCTCGCTACAGGTTCAGTGATTTGATCCTTTTTTTTTCTGTCATAAACAATTGGTGGCGAACAATGATTCACCACTCTAGTCTTGACCAAATCCCTACACGAAGGCGTACTTCACCTTCACACTCACATAATTACTGGACTTATAATACAATCTATATTCGTAATGGCCACATTTATTGCAAAGTACTTCCTGCCTACATATACAGGAGTCCAGAAATAAATGAAGGACCGTTCCACGATGACATATATTGGCGAGGGTTGCACAGGGCCATGGCGAAGAAGAAAAATACCATGCTCGCTCTTCGCTAATACTTAGTTCTTTATTGTTTCCTGTCACTAACTGCCACTACCGCCTTCCCTCTCCAGAATTAACAGACCATAGCAAACCCTGGCTTGAGCGAGAGACATGATCAGCAACTCCGAGATCCGCTGACCAGTAAAACGCCAGCATCGCTACTCGATTGGATATCAAGGCCGAATAGCATTTTATCCTTTGGAGGGTCGTTTAATTGCCGTTCAAGAACGCCGAATATACTGTCAATGGCGACGAAATCGTGCAGTTTATGATAGACGACAACTTTGAAGAGTAAGGACCGCAAGCAACCCTAGGTTAACCTGCAATGCAGCAGTGCGATCCCCATTAAGAGAAGACAGATGAACAGCATCTGACATTGACCTTTTTGTTTATACTATAGCCTCATCCCACTGAGAATCAGCTATGTTCCAGGTGTCGTTCTCGATGTGATCATGAAGAGTGCCGAGGAAGGTGCATCTGCGCCGTTAGAGACCTCCTCACCCTCTCAAGGTATTGTGGGACACATACCCCCTGTGAGCGAGGGCTCGATGGTGCTTGTCGTAGAGCTGCATAGATATACCGACCTCTCCATCGCAGCCAAGGGCACCGCAGTCAAGGACACCACGACCAAGGTCCTTGCCGTTCAGTCCGTCGAAAGGACCGTAATAACGCAGCAGTCTCTTCAAGAGTACTTCCAACACTACCAGTCCTACCTCAAAAGCAACGTCTCCGGCCAACCTATTCAGGCAGCGAGCATCAAGGACACAATGAAGGAGCGGTTCGGTCTTCTAGATACGCAATTACAGTCCAACTACATCTTCCAGGTCTACACTCTACAAATCCAACAGCAGGTCCTTAATCAACTGGCCCTTCTCCAAAATTACGTCTAGGGTATCCACACCCAGACATACGAGCTTCACCAATACCCGATCCCTCGAGTGTTCGTCATCCTTCCAAAACCCATGCGACGCAGAGACAAGCTCAACAGATCCTTCTCCAAGCAGTTCCACTTGTCCTGTGCGAGTGTGGCAAACATGCCATGACGGAGGGAAGCAACATCCCGCATGAGACGCACCTGACCAAGCATGAGGGATACGGTATTGAGCAACCAAACGAGTTCTTTAAGAGATACGGATCTCATATCCTGACGATCATGAAACTGCTCAAGTATGGATGCACTGCCGCCTGTGTTGCTGTCCCGCCCCTCGCTCTATTCAACCTTACAGGCGAAATCGAAACTGTCAAGAAGAGTCTTGATGTCAGTGTGAGCACACTTGGGCCTCTAGTGGACGAAGCAATTGCGTATATCGAAAAATTGGGCAAGGACAATGCAGAACTTGACACAATACTCAGCAAGATGGATCTGAATGCGATCGAGGCGCTTGTGGGGGCGGATCGAAGGCAGTTGGAGTCGTTTCTACGCATCGACGACAAGGGGCATGACCTTGGCAATCTGTATTAGGTTGTTACTTCTGAAGGATATGTCAAATGGGTTTGCTTGGACCACTACCGTCAGCAACGCGGCGCCTCAAGGATGTCATCGAGGCTAGTGGTGCATATTACTATTTCGAGATTGGCTATGGTGATGTTATCCTCAGCTCTAGCATCATCGCCAAGCAGTTTTATGAAACACTGGTTAAGGCCCGTAGGACCCACTATCTCGTTGTTCGCTTAAAGTGGGATGGCACACTGAAAGATCTCCGTGTTCTGGAGGCTGCAATCAATCGAATCAACATATCTAAACTTTACATTCAGGCCATGGGAGATAAAGAACCTCTATTCGATGTCATCAATCGCGGTCGTCGCTATGATCCACTCCTACAACTAATGGCCAACGGATGGATCCAGAATATGGAGATCAACACAAGCGGTAGCTTTTACCGGCGTGTCAGCAAATCCTTCGTTATGACCCATCATCTCCGAAGACTTTGTATCGTATCCAGCTTTTTGCCAGGCGAACCACTGCCAAGCTCTTTGCTCGCGAGCATTCTCAAATACTGCCCAGCCTTGAAGGTGCTATATCACGATCGGCAACATACACGCTACGTTCAAGGAATTCAAGCGCGGAACATACATGTCTCCGAACCTTGAAAAGCTGTTCCTGAGGCGAGAAAAACACGCTATCCCCTTGGCTTTATGTCACGGTGCGATCCAGGCCGTGGACGCTGAGATTGACGCTCTTTGTCAGAGTTTAGCTCTGACAGTACTCCCCAAGAGGGCAACAGAGCAGCACCGTTAGTTATATATCTTTTTGGGACCAGCCTACCAGACTCCAATGATACAGTAGCTTCACATTAAATATGCATGCTTCATCGATGACTATGAATGCGGCATCTTGAGCACTTGCGTCGTTTAAATACGATGAAGTCCATGACCATAAGACCCCGACAAATATAATTTTATCATTAAGAGAGGTCGAAGGCCTCTTAATTTAATTTTTAATTAAGTACAAGGAGTGTCAGGCCGCGGCTCACGCCTCGGGTCTGACATGGCATAAAGTAATGCGCGGCTCCCTGCACCACCCTGACTCGTGGCCTCATCCTTCCCATCCTCGGTTCCAACGTTTTGATGGCGAAGGAGTAGCTTGTCGCGTTCGTTCCATGCTTCCTCTTTGCCTTCTTTTTGCCTGAAACTCAAGTGGAAGAAAGCGAGTTGAGTGGTCGGATGGCCGCTGCCTTATTTTCTCGCGCGTGTCTCTGCTCCAGTTCTTTGGCGGCGAATGGACAGCTTGTCGCATTCGCTTGAATTGATCCCTGGTCCCTTTCGGCTATTTTTTTTTTTTTTTTTTTTTGTTGGCATTGTGCGTGTCTGCGCCAACGTCTTGGGTGCGCGTCATGGTCGGTCTACTCGATCTGCTCGCCCTATGCGACTCTTTTTTGTTCTCCACATTGGTAACCGTTCTCGCTTCGTTGTCTTTCCGCGCAATATTCATGTCTACTGCACCTCCTTTTTCGCACACCCTGTTCAGCTCGGTGTCTTCTTTTCTCTCCGCTGCGAAAGAGAGGTTGAGGATACTTTAATTTTGGAAGCTTTATCTTCTTACTGTGGGGGAACTTTAAGATCCATAATATGCCTAATAGTTTTTTCAATTCGCCTCTTAAACGCCACAGTCATCTCCAGCAAGTCTGCGAAACCGTAGACTGAAATTATGTTATCCGGGACAGCGCCAGTGTACACGCTGTACACCACGACGATGCCCTTTATGCATCGAGCTTCGAGGAACTCGACCTTGAGTCCCGAGAATATAATTCCATAGACACGCAGAGCATCAAGCTGGTCCGAGGACATCTCAGGGAGCTCTTGAATAATTTGGACGAGGGATCTGTAAAGAGCCTTCTCCAGTTTTTCCAAGTCTTCCTTGCGAGCTTTGTAGTTCGTGTTTCGATTTCCCTCCACAATTAGTAGATCCAGTTTATAGGAGCTGTGTGTGAGGATCGCGTCGTGCCGCACGGCTGGGTCTCCGTGGCTCGGTTGTGTCTTCCCGACATGGAATTCCGTACCCTCGATCCTCTGAAAGATGCCAAAGATCGGGCAATATATATATCCCATAAGCCATCCTTTCATAGGGTTTGCACTGATACATGTCGTGTCCCAATGTAAGCTCCTAAGAGCCACCATAATAAATAACACCAAAACAAGTCAGCGTTTTTTTCTATCGGATATCATTTCCATTCAACGCAATCATCAAGTTCGATTAGACACACATTTGATCCATGGCCATCCAGATAAACTCGATCTCAGCATTGAAGCCTTTCTCAGCATCTTTGGGTCGCATTCTGCCGAACATGTCAAGCAGGAGGTGGTGGAGCGAACTATTATTGGTGGCGTGTCTGAAGTTTTTCGCAGGAGGATTGATATCCTCCAGGTTGTCGTCCTCCAGTTTGTAAGCAGTGATTGTCGTCTGCAAACTGTTCCAGTTTTTGATGCTGGCATCCATTTGTTTTGGGGTTTTTGTAGCGCAGAATAACTTGTACTTCTGTATCTGGTTGTTCTGATTGCGCTCCCGTTCCTCATGCTCGTTCCGCTCGTTCCGCCTCCTCTACTCAGGGTAAACCGCAAGCTCCTCCCATCCTCTAAGTGCATTAGAGCGTCCAGAAGGTCCTTTTGCCTTATTTTCGGATGGTCGACTGTCATCACTCTCATATGTGCTGGAGTCACTCGCATCGTGAGACGAGACACTTCGCTAGAACACCCAGACAGTGGAATAATGGCTTTAGTCAGTATGATATGATCGACTTTAATTGAGGAATATCGTTTCGAATGGCACAAATGTCTAACGGCTTACCTTCGAGTCGATTTCAGGTGCTTCCTCAAGCTCCACGAGTTTAGGCTGAGGCTCTTGAAGATAACGCTCGCACAAACTGACAATCACGGTCGGTGTCCAGTAACCAGCCTTGAGGATCTGGAGGTTGCTTTGCCAGGATTCGAAAGCAACATCCACATCTAGGGTGGAGTCACTTTTCTTGAGGTGCATGAAGAATTCTGCAAAGCGCCAGTAAGAGCATATTGACGTCTTGAAGTAGTTGTGAACGTCGACATATCTTGATGGGGTCCAGCTAGTCAGCATTGTGGAAGGAATGTTTGAGAAATATGACTGTGACCAGAATCAATGAGAACAAGAGAGGGTAAATAGGTTATATGCCACAATGTTCGATGATGTGGAGGAGTGTTTGGTGATGTGAAGGAGTGATGCTCTACACGGAGCGCGCTTCTTGTATACCAGTTGTGGTGCTATGCCCATGTAAAGTGCCCAAGACTTAAAAGTAGTGATTCTCACCGGTGAACGGTTAACCACGATGAAGAGGTTTTTTCGCCGGCCGGTGAGTAAAGAAGTTCACCGGTGAGTTCCACATATGCATGGTGATAGCTGGTTCACTCACTGAATTCCACCAGAGTGGTGAAATAAATATATGCGGCCGACTCTTTGTTCGCCGGTGATAATCAATCACCTGTGTCCTGCAGAAAATATATTGCCCAAGGCTTAATTGACACCGTCCAATGCCCGAGTTCTGAAACTGATAGGTACCCCGTAGATGTGGTCTTTCTCCTCTCCTACGCTAATGATGATAACGCCATAAAAAACTCTGCGACGTACAGTCGAAACTGGTTTTTAGGCCGCATTCTCAAATGAAAACGCGGCCTAAAGCTTCAAAGTTATGGAGCCGATTTACATACGAAAACGGCTCCAAAAACCAATTTCGACTGCACTTATATTTGGACCATTCGTAGTCAGCAATTGCAGACCATTCTGACGTGTAGCAGTTGTAGCAGTAGCTGTGATTGAGCAGATAATGATTTATTCAAGAAAGCTGGATTCAATAAAAATACACAGTTTTTCAAAAAAAGACAATGAAGCAAAAAGAAAGCGCATTAGATCAAATAACAAAAGCACAGAAAACAACAACGAAATAGTAATAGAGAAAATTGAAAACAAACTGAAATGAAGACCAAGCAGAAGGATTTAAGGCTTCTTAAACAAAAAATTGGTCTTGGTATCTTGGGGAATGCTAAAGTTCGTTCGCAGAGGGTATTCGTAGTACGGGTCATGCTGTGCAAGATCAGGACAGTTCTTGGGTGGGAACTTGTTGATCGTCGCAATCAGCTCGTTGACGCGAAGTGGTTTCGTAATGTATTCATCCTAAAAGATTAAAAGAAACAGTAACTCCGTTAGCGAACTTGTCCATAAAGAAAATATGCTGCAGCAAAAAAAAACTAATAGATCGGAAGAACACCTACCATTCCAGCAGAAAGACATTTCTCTCGGTCGCCAATCATGGCGTGTGCTGTCAAGGCAATGATCGGCAGATGCTCGTTCTTGCCCTTCAAAAGCTCCAGCTTTCGAATCTCCTGCGTCGCCTCAAATCCTCCCATAATGGGCATCTGGACATCCATTAAAATCAGATCAAAGTGCTTAGTGTCGTAGCACTCGACAGCCATCTTGCCGTTCGATACAATCGTGACCTTGTGCCCGAACTTCTCAAGGATTCGAACTGCCAACTTCTGGTTGACAACATTGTCCTCGGCCAAGAGAATATGCAAGGGAATGGCGTGCTCAGCATCCGAGGGGAGGGCAGAAGCGGACTCGAATGCCGGCAAAAGCGCGTTCATCAAGTCGGGCAGTTGAACTGGTGGGTTGAAGTAACTGGCAATACCCAGCTCCTGACAGACCTTCATGCTGATATAAGGTGTCGTCATGGATAAAAGCACAATTGGCAGGAATCGAAGCATTCCAATCTCCTTAATCTTGCGGATATCTTTGACATTGTCAACAATGATCACATCAAACATGGACTTCTCCTGGGCCGATGTACTCGGGCCAGAAAGCGGGACAATTGCGGCGGCTTGTTCGAGCGATGCCACATGTGTGGCCTTGAACCTGAGCTCCTCCAGTGTTTTCATGACAGAGCGCGAAATGACTTCGTCGCGCATCGTACCCATGTAGAGGATGTGACGTCCAATATAGGGCTTTGTCTTCAAGTTGATTTGGTCCCAGGACATGGTACCTGTGTTGAACCGGACCGTGAAGAAGAACTGAGATCCTTTTCCGAACGTACTGTTGACCCAAAGATCACCTCCCATCAAAGTAACGAGACGCTTCGAGATGGATAGACCGAGACCAGTGCCACCGTACTTGCGCGTAGTCGAACCATCCGCCTGGCAGAAAGTGTCAAAGACAACCTCGATCTTGTCGCTCTGGATTCCAATACCCGTATCCGAGACACAGAACTGGAGCTCAACACCATTATCCGTCTTGTTTTTGCACACGCAGTCCAGGACAACACTTCCTTCTGTTGTAAACTTGATAGCGTTTCCGATGAGGTTGGTGATAACCTGGCGCAGTCGCAAAGGATCGCCGACAAGCTGATCTGGGAAATCATTGTGGACGTTGTAGATGAGATCAAGTTTCTTCTGGTGCGCCTTGACTGCGAGCGTCTTTAACACACCAAACGCCTGGGTTCGAAGAGAGAATGGAGCCTGCTCAATCGTCATTTTACCAGCCTCGACTGAAGACAAAAAAAAATCGTAAAACGACCATGGGATTAGTGCGCGGAGCAATTGTAGCTATATATCAAATTAAAAACTCAAGACAATTGCTCTTACTCTTGGAAATATCGAGGATATCATCAATAATGGTCAACAGAGAGTGGGCCAGATGACTGACAATCACCAAGTTCTCACGCTGCTGTCGAGTAAGTTCTGTCTCCAAGGTCAGACTGGTCATTCCAATAATACCGTTCATAGGAGTTCTAGGTAAGCAGAAAATACAGCGCATTAGCAATCCGAACCATCAACTACATTTTTGCGTACAATGTGAACGCAAAAATTTCCTTACCTGATCTCATGCGACATGTTAGCCAGGAACTCAGACTTTGAGCGGTTCGCCAATTCTGCTGCTTCACGAGCAGCAGTGTTCTTCTGGATACTCTCACGGAGATCATACACCATCTGGTTGATCTTGGTCTTAAGAGAGTCCATCTCACCCGAGGCCTCCACAGTGATGAATTGTGTAAAGTCACCATCGGTGGCGGCAGTTGAGATCGAGGCGAAAGCACGCACTTGCGCAGTCAAGTTGGAAGCCATGGTGTTGACGTTCGAAGTGATCTCCTTCCACGTTCCACGCACATCTTGGACCTGCGCTTGTACTCCCAACTTACCCTCAGTGCCGACCTCGCGCGCGACACGCGTCACCTCATTAGCGAACATCGATAGTTGATCCACCTACCAAAGACAAAAGCTCATTAGTTCTTCGCTTAGAAGTATCAAAGAATAAAGTGAATATGCAAGAGCATCGCCTTACCATCGAATTAATAGTGTTCTTCAGATCCAAGATTTCACCCTTGACGTTAACAGTAATCTTCTTGGTCAGGTCCCCGCGAGCGACGGCTTTACTGACGTCTGCAATGTCACGCACTTGAGTTGTGAGATTGGCTGCCATGGTATTCACGTTCTCAGTCAACTCCCTCCACGTACCACCAACGTCTTCAACCTCGGCCTGGCCGCCCAACCTGCCCTCAGTACCGACTTCACGAGCGACACGCGTAACCTCGGCAGCAAACGTCCTCAACTGTTCAACCATGGAGTTGACAGTCTTCTTCAACTCAGAGATCTCGCCTTGGGCCTCAACATCAATAGTCTTACTCAGGTCACCACAAGCGACTGCTGTCGTGACTTCGGCAATGGATCGGACTTGAGTTGTAAGATTGGAAGCCATGGTGTTGACGTTATCAGTCAACTCCTTCCAGGTACCATCAACGCCCTCAACCTCGGCCTGGCCACCCAACTTTCCTTCGGTGCCGACCTCGCGAGCGACACGCGTGACCTCGGCTGAGAAAGTGGACAGTTGGTCCACCTACAACATAGAAGACCTGAAATTAGACATCCGCACCATAGCCCAAGATACAACACATTTGAATACAATATACTGCCAGTTGTCACATACCATAATGTTGATCGTGTTCTTCAGGTCAAGAATCTCTCCCTTGGCGTCCACTGAGATCTTCTGGGTCAGGTCTCCCTTGGCGACGGCCTTGCTGACATCGGCAATATCACGCACCTGGGCTGTCAAGTTGGCGGCCATGGTATTCACGTTGTCAGTCAGTTCTTTCCAGGTACCATCGACACCCTCGACCTCGGCTTGACCACCCAGCTTGCCCTCAGTACCGACCTCGCGAGCGACACGAGTGACCTCGGCGGCAAACGTCCTGAGTTGTTCCACCATGGAATTTACGGTCTTTTTCAGCTCAGAAATCTCACCCTGGGCCTCAACATCAATCGTCTTGCTCAGGTCTCCGCAGGCGACGGCGGTGGTAACCTCAGCGATGGATCGCACTTGAGTCGTCAAATTGGCAGCCATCGTGTTGACATTGTCCGTAAGCTCCTTCCATGTTCCGCTCACATCCTTCACATCCGCCTGACCGCCAAGCTTTCCTTCCGTACCGACCTCGAGACTCACACGAGTTACCTCTGTCGCAAACTCTTGTAGCTGGTCGACCATGATGTTGATGGTATGCTTAAGGTCCATCATCTCTCCCTTGACCTCGACAGTGATCTTCTTGGTCAAGTCTCCACGAGCGACGGCTTTACTGACACTGGCAATATCACGCACCTGTGCTGTGAGATTGGCAGCCATGGTGTTGACATTGTCCGTGAGCTCCTTCCAGGTACCATCAACACCCTTGACATGCGCTTGACCTCCCAACTTACCCTCAGTTCCAACTTCACGGGCAACACGCGTGACCTCAGCAGCGAACGTCCTCAACTGTTCTACCATCGAGTTGACAGTCTTCTTCAGCTCAGAGATCTCTCCTTGAGCCTCAACATCAATGGTCTTGCTCAGGTCACCACAGGCGACGGCGGTGGTAACCTCAGCGATGGATCGTACCTGAGTTGTCAAGTTACTAGCCATGGTGTTGACATTGTCCGTCAGTTCCTTCCATGTTCCACTGACGTCTTTCACATCGGCCTGACCACCAAGCTTTCCTTCCGTTCCGACCTCGAGACTCACTCGGGTGACCTCGGTTGCGAATTCTTGGAGCTGGTCCACCATGATGTTGATGGTGTGTTTAAGGTCCATCATCTCTCCCTTGACCTCGACAGTGATCTTCTTGGTCAAGTCTCCACGAGCGACGGCCTTACTGACACTGGCGATGTCACGCACCTGCGTTGTCAAGTTCGCTGCCATGGTGTTGACGTTGTCTGTAAGTTCCTTCCAGGTACCGTCCACTCCCTTGACATGAGCCTGGCCTCCGAGTTTACCCTCGGTACCGACCTCTCGAGCGACACGAGTGACCTCGGCAGCAAATGTCCTCAGCTGCTCCACCATGGAGTTGACAGTCTTTTTCAACTCAGAGATCTCGCCTTGTGCTTCGACATCGATAGTCTTACTTAGGTCGCCACATGCGACAGCGGTAGTGACTTCGGCAATAGACCGCACCTGGGCCGTCAAATTGGCGGCCATGGTATTCACGTTGTCGGTCAGTTCTTTCCAGGTACCATCAACACCCTCAACCTCGGCCTGGCCACCCAACTTTCCTTCGGTGCCGACCTCGCGAGCGACACGCGTGACCTCGGCTGAGAAAGTGGACAGTTGGTCCACCTACAACATAGAAGACCTGAAATTAGACATCCGCACCATAGCCCAAGATACAACACATTTGAATACAATATACTGCCAGTTGTCACATACCATAATGTTGATCGTGTTCTTCAGGTCAAGAATCTCTCCCTTGGCGTCCACTGAGATCTTCTGGGTCAGGTCTCCCTTGGCGACGGCCTTGCTGACATCGGCAATATCACGCACCTGGGCTGTCAAGTTGGCGGCCATGGTATTCACGTTGTCAGTCAGTTCTTTCCAGGTACCATCGACACCCTCGACCTCGGCTTGACCACCCAGCTTGCCCTCAGTACCGACCTCGCGAGCGACACGAGTGACCTCGGCGGCAAATGTCCTGAGCTGCTCCACCATTGAGTTGACAGTCTTCTTGAGTTCTGAAATCTCACCCTGGGCCTCAACGTCGATAGTTTTGCTCAAGTCTCCGCAGGCTACAGCAGTGGTAACCTCAGCAATCGATCGTACCTGTGTCGTCAAATTGGCAGCCATGGTGTTGACGTTATCCGTGAGTTCCTTCCAGGTGCCATCGACGCCCTCGACCTCGGCCTGGCCGCCAAGGTTTCCTTCAGTTCCGACCTCGCGGGCGACACGGGTGACCTCAGCGGCAAACATCCTGAGCTGCTCCACCATGGAATTTACGGTTTTCTTAAGTTCAGAGATCTCTCCTTGGGCCTGTACGTCAATAGTCTTACTTAGATCTCCACAGGCAACAGCAGTGGTAACCTCAGCGATGGATCGTACTTGTGTAGTAAGGTTCGATGCCATGGTGTTGACATTGTCTGTTAATTCCTTCCAGGTTCCGCTCACATCCTTGACAACAGCTTGACCACCGAGTTTACCCTCGGTACCGACCTCAAGACTCACTCGGGTTACCTCAGTGGCGAATTCCTGAAGTTGATCCACCATGGTATTGATGGTATGCTTAAGATCCATCATCTCACCCTTAACTTCAACGGAAATCTTTTTGGACAAGTCACCCTTGGCGACGGCCTTACTGACGCTGGCAATATCACGCACCTGTGCTGTGAGATTGGCAGCCATGGTGTTGACATTGTCCGTGAGCTCCTTCCAGGTACCATCGACACCCTTGACATGAGCCTGGCCACCTAGTTTGCCCTCGGTTCCGACCTCACGAGCGACACGAGTGACCTCGGCGGCAAACGTCCTGAGTTGTTCCACCATGGAATTTACGGTCTTCTTCAACTCAGAGATTTCGCCCTGGGCCTCAACATCAATCGTCTTGCTCAGGTCTCCGCAGGCGACGGCGGTGGTAACCTCAGCGATGGATCGCACTTGAGTCGTCAAATTGGCAGCCATCGTGTTGACATTGTCCGTAAGTTCCTTCCATGTTCCGCTCACATCCTTCACATCCGCCTGACCGCCAAGCTTTCCTTCCGTACCGACCTCGAGACTCACACGAGTTACCTCTGTCGCAAACTCTTGTAGCTGGTCGACCATGATGTTGATGGTATGCTTAAGGTCCATCATCTCTCCCTTGACCTCGACAGTGATCTTCTTGGTCAAGTCTCCACGAGCGACGGCTTTACTGACACTGGCAATATCACGCACCTGGGTCGTCAAGTTCGCTGCCATGGTGTTGACATTGTCCGTGAGTTCCTTCCAGGTACCATCGACGCCCTTGACATGAGCCTGGCCACCTAGTTTGCCCTCGGTACCGACCTCACGAGCGACACGCGTGACTTCAGCGGCGAACGTCCTCAATTGTTCCACCATGGAGTTGACAGTCTTCTTCAACTCAGAGATTTCGCCTTGGGCTTCGACATCAATGGTCTTGCTCAGGTCTCCGCAGGCGACTGCAGTGGTAACCTCAGCAATGGATCGTACCTGCGTAGTAAGATTTGATGCCATGGTGTTGACATTGTCCGTCAACTCCTTCCAAGTTCCACTGACATCCTCGACAACGGCCTGTCCACCGAGTTTGCCCTCGGTACCGACCTCTAAACTGACACGACTGACCTCAGTTGCAAACTCCTGCAATTGATCCACCATGGTGTTGATAGTGTGCTTAAGGTCCATCATCTCTCCTTGGACCTCCACGGAAATCTTTTTGGACAAGTCACCCTTGGCGACGGCCTTACTGACGCTGGCAATATCACGCACCTGTGCTGTGAGATTGGCAGCCATGGTGTTGACATTGTCCGTGAGCTCCTTCCAGGTACCATCGACGCCCTTGACATGCGCTTGACCTCCCAACTTGCCTTCAGTTCCGACTTCACGGGCAACACGTGTGACCTCAGCAGCGAACGTCCTCAACTGTTCCACCATGGAGTTGACAGTTTTCTTTAGCTCTGAAATCTCTCCCTGCGCCTCGACATCGATCGTTTTGCTCAAGTCACCGCAGGCGACAGCGGTGGTGACTTGAGCAATCGATCGTACCTGGGTCGTCAAATTAGCGGCCATGGTGTTGACGTTGCCAGTGAGTTCCTTCCAAACTCCATCAACATTACGAACGTTTGCTTGTCCGCCCAGCTTTCCTTCAGTGCCGACTTCCAAACTGACACGACTGACTTCTGTGGCGAACTCCTGAAGCTGGTCCACCATGGTGTTGATGGTATGTTTGAGATCCATCATCTCTCCTTTAACCTCGACAGTGATCTTCTTGGATAGATCTCCTCTAGCAACAGCCTTACTGACGCTGGCAATATCACGCACCTGGGTCGTCAAGTTCGCTGCCATGGTGTTGACGTTATCCGTGAGTTCCTTCCAGGTACCATCGACGCCCTTGACATGAGCCTGGCCACCGAGTTTTCCTTCAGTTCCGACTTCACGGGCAACACGTGTGACTTCAGCGGCAAACGTCCGGAGTTGTTCCACCATGGAGTTTACGGTCAGCTTCAGCTCAGAGATTTCGCCCTGTGCTTCGACCTCAATCGTCTTGCTTAAGTCTCCGCAGGCGACTGCAGTTGTGACCTCGGCAATCGACCGTACTTGCGCCGTCAAGTTGGCAGCCATGGTGTTGACATTATCAGTCAGCTCCTTCCAAGTGCCATCAACGCCCTTGACTTCAGCCTGACCACCGAGCTTTCCCTCCGTGCCGACCTCGCGGGCAACACGTGTTACTTCTGCTGAAAAAGTGGACAGTTGGTCGACCTATGATAAAGAAGATTCGTAGTCAGTTATTTGCAACATAGATTAAGATACAACAAATGTAAAAACAGTATACCGCCCGCTTATACATACCATGATGTTGATCGTGTTCTTGAGATCGAGAATCTCTCCCTTGGCATCCACTGAGATCTTCTGTGTCAGGTCACCCTTAGCGACAGCTTTACTGACATTGGCAATGTCACGCACCTGTGTTGTCAGATTAGAAGCCATGGTATTGACGTTCTCAGTCAGTTCTCTCCATGTACCGCCGACGTCTTCAACCTCGGCCTGTCCTCCCAGTCGTCCCTCGGTTCCGACCTCACGGGCAACACGGGTGACTTCAGCAGCAAACGTCCTCAACTGTTCAACCATGGAGTTGACAGTCTTCTTCAGCTCAGAGATTTCGCCCTGTGCTTCGACCTCAATCGTCTTGCTCAAATCTCCGCAGGCGACTGCAGTGGTAACCTCGGCAATGGATCGGACCTGGGCTGTCAAATTAGCAGCCATGGTATTCACGTTATCGGTCAACTCTTTCCAAGTACCGTCGACGCCCTTGACATGCGCTTGACCTCCCAACTTGCCCTCAGTACCGACCTCGCGAGCGACACGCGTGACTTCAGCGGCAAACGTCCTGAGCTGCTCCACCATCGAGTTCACTGTCAGCTTTAGCTCAGAGATCTCTCCTTGAGCCTCAACATCAATGGTCTTGCTCAGATCACCACAGGCGACGGCGGTGGTAACCTCAGCGATGGATCGTACTTGTGTCGTCAAATTGGCAGCCATCGTGTTGACATTGTCCGTCAGTTCCTTCCATGTTCCACTGACGTCTTTCACATCGGCCTGACCACCAAGCTTTCCTTCCGTTCCGACCTCGAGACTCACTCGGGTGACCTCGGTTGCGAATTCTTGGAGCTGGTCCACCATGATGTTGATGGTGTGTTTAAGGTCCATCATCTCTCCCTTGACCTCGACAGTGATCTTCTTGGTCAAGTCTCCACGAGCGACGGCCTTACTGACACTGGCGATGTCACGCACCTGCGTTGTCAAGTTCGCTGCCATGGTGTTGACGTTGTCTGTAAGTTCCTTCCAGGTACCGTCCACTCCCTTGACATGAGCCTGGCCTCCGAGTTTACCCTCGGTACCGACCTCTCGAGCGACACGAGTGACCTCGGCAGCAAATGTCCTCAGCTGCTCCACCATGGAGTTGACAGTCTTTTTCAACTCAGAGATCTCGCCTTGGGCCTCAACATCGATAGTCTTCCTCAGGTCTCCACAAGCGACAGCGGTAGTAACTTCGGCAATAGACCGCACCTGGGCCGTCAAATTGGCGGCCATGGTATTCACGTTGTCGGTCAGTTCTTTCCAGGTACCATCAACACCCTCAACCTCGGCCTGGCCACCCAACTTTCCTTCGGTGCCGACCTCGCGAGCGACACGCGTGACCTCGGCTGAGAAAGTGGACAGTTGGTCCACCTACAACATAGAAGACCTGAAATTAGACATCCGCACCATAGCCCAAGATACAACACATTTGAATACAATATACTGCCAGTTGTCACATACCATAATGTTGATCGTGTTCTTCAGGTCAAGAATCTCTCCCTTGGCGTCCACTGAGATCTTCTGGGTCAGGTCTCCCTTGGCAACAGCCTTGCTGACATCGGCAATATCACGCACCTGGGCTGTCAAGTTGGCGGCCATGGTATTCACGTTGTCAGTCAGTTCTTTCCAGGTACCATCGACACCCTCGACCTCGGCTTGACCACCCAGCTTGCCCTCAGTACCGACCTCGCGAGCGACACGAGTGACCTCGGCGGCAAACGTCCTGAGCTGCTCCACCATTGAGTTGACAGTCTTCTTGAGTTCTGAAATCTCACCCTGGGCCTCAACGTCGATAGTTTTGCTCAAGTCTCCGCAGGCTACAGCCGTGGTAACCTCAGCGATAGATCGTACTTGGGTCGTCAAGTTGGCAGCCATGGTGTTGACGTTATCAGTCAACTCCTTCCAGGTACCATCAACGCCCTCAACCTCGGCCTGGCCACCCAACTTTCCTTCGGTGCCGACCTCGCGAGCGACACGCGTGACCTCGGCTGAGAAAGTGGACAGTTGGTCCACCTACAACATAGAAGACCTGAAATTAGACATCCGCACCATAGCCCAAGATACAACACATTTGAATACAATATACTGCCAGTTGTCACATACCATAATGTTGATCGTGTTCTTCAGGTCAAGAATCTCTCCCTTGGCGTCCACTGAGATCTTCTGGGTCAGGTCTCCCTTGGCGACGGCCTTGCTGACATCGGCAATATCACGCACCTGGGCTGTCAAGTTGGCGGCCATGGTGTTGACGTTATCGGTCAGCTCCTTCCAGGTACCATCGACACCCTCGACCTCGGCTTGACCACCCAGCTTGCCCTCAGTACCGACCTCGCGAGCGACACGAGTGACCTCGGCGGCAAATGTCCTGAGCTGCTCCACCATTGAGTTGACAGTCTTCTTGAGTTCTGAAATCTCACCCTGGGCCTCAACGTCGATAGTTTTGCTCAAGTCTCCGCAGGCTACAGCAGTGGTAACCTCAGCAATCGATCGTACCTGTGTCGTCAAATTGGCAGCCATGGTGTTGACGTTATCCGTGAGTTCCTTCCAGGTGCCATCGACGCCCTCGACCTCGGCCTGGCCACCAAGGTTTCCTTCAGTTCCGACCTCGCGGGCGACACGGGTGACCTCCGCAGCGAAGGTTCGCAATTGGTCCACCATGGTGTTCATAGTCTCCTTGAGATCCAGAATCTCGCCCTGGACTGGCACACTAACCTTCTTGGTGAGGTCACCGCAGGCCACAGCTTTGCAGACTGTCGCAATGTCTCGCATCTGGCCAGTCAAATTCGAGGCCATAAGATTTACATTGTCCGTCAATTCTTTCCAGGTTCCGCTGACGTCTTTGACATGCGCTTGTCCGCCCAGCTTTCCTTCAGTGCCGACTTCCAAACTGACACGACTGACCTCTGTGGCGAACTCCTGCAGCTGGTCCACCATGGTGTTGATGGTATGTTTGAGATCCATCATCTCTCCTTTAACCTCGACAGTGATCTTCTTGGACAGATCTCCTCTAGCGACAGCCTTACTAACACTCGCAATATCACGCACCTGCGTCGTCAAGTTAGCAGCCATGGTGTTGACGTTCTCTGTCAGCTCCCTCCACGTACCACCAACGTCTTCGACCTCGGCCTGACCGCCCAATTTGCCCTCAGTACCGACCTCACGAGCGACACGAGTGACCTCTGCAGCGAACGTCCTGAGCTGTTCCACCATGGAATTTACGGTCTTCTTCAGCTCCGAAATCTCACCCTGCGCCTCAACATCAATCGTTTTACTCAAGTCTCCACAGGCGACGGCAGTGGTAACCTCGGCAATCGACCGCACTTGCGCTGTAAGGTTGGCAGCCATGGTGTTGACATTGTCGGTCAGCTCCTTCCAAGTACCATCTACGCCTCTCACGCGTGCCTGTCCGCCCAGTTTGCCTTCTGTTCCGACTTCGTGAGCGACTCGAGTGACCTCGGACGAGAACGAACGAAGATGATCAACTACACGGACCCAAAATTGCCATCAAAGAAAACAATGAGTATATACCACGTGTAGTATTTTCCGCATGAACAAAAAAAAAAAAGTGGATATTACACGTCAGTTCGAAAGAAGGTTAGAAAGCGAGTTATTAGGACCAAGGATGGTTCTGTGATGACAAAAGAATCCCAGAAGACAGTTGTCAAGCCTACGGGTTTACTTACCCATGGTGTTAATAGTGGTTTTCAGAACGAGGGTTTCTCCCTTAGCATCCACCTTGATCTTACGACTGAGATCACCGTGAGCCACAGCTGTGCAGACAGAGGCGATATCACGGACCTGCTCCATGTGGTCTGCTGTCATGGTGTTCAGATGAGTGACAAACTCCTTCCAGATACCGCGATCGTCCTCCATGTTGGCTTGCACACCAAGCTTGCCCTCAACTCCTTGAGCAGCGACCTGAATGACCTCCTCCGTAAACTTGGATAGCTTAGTTACCATTTCGTTGATAGAGATGTTCAACGCAGACTGGTGACAAGCGTTGTTGTGACACTCTATCCGAACACCAAGGTCTCCTCGGACGACGGCTGCTGCCACCAGGGCACATTGGTGAATACATTGAGCGCAGGGAACGGTTCCAGCTGCTGCTGCTGTCGTTGTCGATATGGCCACGGCGGAGCTGTCGAGGCTTGTTGGAGAGCAAAGAGGAGAGGAGCGCAGATCTTTTGAGGATGCAACGGGGGGCGAAGTTGACGCAGTGATGGATGAAGAGATGAAGGTCTGACCGTGCCCAGAGGCCTGACCATTCAAATCCGTAGGTTGGACGAAGCAAACAGATCCATTATCGGTGGCATCGATTGAGTGTGCTGCTGAAGCCGAGGCAGCCAACCTAGGTTGGACCGGGATGTTTGAAGGGCTTACGGGCAACAGGGTATGGATGGACCTTGCTTGCGATAGCGTCTGCATTGGGTACAGTGGCCGCTCCTGCTGTATGCTTGTATTGGTCGGAGGATGGTTGACGAACTCCCAATTACCCTCGTTCCACCTGGAGGAGGCTGGGATGGGAGGTGAGAGCGAATCAACGGGCGGTGTAAGGATGGGAGGAGCGAGAGTGATATCCGAAACAAGTGAGTTAACGGGTTGGAGGGTCTTGATGTATCTGTTGTGTTTTGCGAGCTCATTCTCCAGTCTGAACATCTTTTGAACGACCCGCTGTAAGGAGGCATCGACCTTCTGGATATAATGTGGTGTGGAGGCATCGACAAAGTCGAGTGGCAATGGGTTTGGAGAGACAAACGACTGTGAGACAGGGTCGAGGTCCTTGTCCTGGACGAGTAAGTCCAGGACAACGCCTACGTGACAGATATATGCCTCTGCCAGCGTAGACATTGTTTAAGTAGGGGGAAGAAGTGAAGGTCGAGGAAGAAGAGGAGGGAGGGAAAGAGAATAGGAAAGAAAGAGGGGAAAGGGGGGATAAAGGTCCTTTGGCTCCTGGGTCCCCTGGGGCTGCTTCCTTTTGCAGAAAGTCCAGCTGGTGGCGATAATGGCTCTTTTGTGGATGGATCCCGTCACTCTAAGCGCACTCTTTCGAGCGGAAGGGGCTCAATTGGCTGTTGAGATGGATAATGGATAACAATTAACAACAGGGAATGTGGGTGGCAAACGAGGGGTATGGCAGCCAAGTCGATATGTGCAGTGTGTGTATGTGTGAAGTGTTGATGAGTGAGAAGAGGATCGGGAGTGGGGGATGAGGCGGAAGATGCTGCGGGGAGGATGAGCGTGATGAGAAAAAGAGAAAAAGAAGAAAGGGACAAAGGAAGGAAGAGATCAGGAGAAGGAGGCGGGGGGAGGGGGGAAGAGAGGAGGAGGGGGGAGGGGGGGAGGGAAAGTAAAAGCTGTTAGCAAGAGAAAGAGAAAAATAACAAATAATAATAAACCAGGGACAAGCGAAACGCATCATCATCACACGCCGCTTGCCTCTCTTCTGCAGCAAAGAAGAAAACCCTTTGTTCTCTCCCTCGTATATCATTCTCGCTCGCGCGCGCTCTTTCTCTCCCTTTGGACAGTTCGACAGAAGGGAAGATAAAAGAGAAAGAGCGAAGGGATGAGAACGAGGGCAGTGGACTGGACCGCTTCCATGGTAGACAGACTAAACAGCGCAGTGAGATCGCTGTCTGCTGTACCCTGTTTGTCCAGAATGTCCTATCCAATCCCCACATGGCCACGCAAGTCTTTCTCCCCCTCGTACTGTTGCTGAAAATGATCTTCAGGTACCGATTTAAAATCGTGTGCACAGAACCAGAGCCAAATGCACAACGAGACATTGCGTACATGCTTATCGGTTAATCCAGCCTCTACTCTACCCTTCGGCTCCCAACAGCTCAGAAAAAAGAGGGCATGTCTTGCCAAATTATCTCATCCCATACCGCCTATAGTCCTATACCATGCCATATCATACCATGCTATGCCGCATGTCCCACAGCATGCAAATGGTCAAACAGTTTAATGTTTGATGACCTTGGCATGCAGAAAGTTTGGGGGAAGAGGCCGAGACAGGCCCATTTTGCCTTTTCTTTTTTGCTTCTTCCAAATATGCAATGCATCCCTACTCCTCTCTGAAATTTCCTCCACAGGCAGACGGGGCCTGCTTCGTACAAAGGGAATAAACCTACGAAGACAACAGTGGTTCGAAACTGCAGCGCGTGCTGACTGTCGCGATAAACAACCACACGTAAGGGAAACATAGAAGAAAAAAGGCACAAACAATTGCAAATAAACCGACCGAGGATATGCAGGGGATTCCATCTCATAGCTTTCCTGTTTGATATCTTTCTGTTCAATCCCATCTTTTTTTCTTTTTGGTGCGTGTTGTTATTGCTCGGCTTTGCATAAACCCGTACTATAACGAACACTTATGGAAGCGAACATACAGAGAAGATGCACGCAAGGTAATAAGGCCAGACTGCAGCACAACAGTAGCATGCCCATGATCCTCTGCACCTCCTTTTCGATGCATGCAAGGCATGGGCTGATTAACTTTCAGATTCATCATCCACGCGTGCGTGTGCGCGGGAGACATAACCGCCCTAAAACATCTCCATCCCTTCCTCTACCCGTACAGCGATGGGAAATGTAGCCTCGAACGAGGGAGCACCTTTCCTGAGGGAATGGCATGAAATTGGGAGGGATGCTAAAGCAGCGCAGAGAGCCCCTCGGAAATTGTACGACATCCAACATGCAAGAGCCACGAGTTCACCCTCCCTATAATGGTAAGAGCATACTTGCCGAAGATAAGCGTACGTTCCATTTGCTGCAGTCTGTCTGTTCTCCTCGCCTTTACGCCATCTTTTGAACTCTTTTCGAAGCGACTCTTATTAAACACAGGACATACCATAGTAGACGCCCTGGTTGTTTTCCTCCCAGAAGCCTTAGCCCAAAAGTACCTCCTAGTGGCCCCATCAATGGCCCCAGGGATCTGAGAGATGAGTAATTAGCCCAGGTTCATTACTCTTAAAGCGAAGTAAGAGTGATCTACTCCATTAGTAGAAAAAAAAAAAAAAAAAAAAAAAAACAGACTAGCAGGTGATTTTTGGACCTTGGCGATCTCTATACTAAGCGCCACCATAATCCAGGGGTGAGACTCATGCCAAATCAAACCGATAGCAATGCCCACAGCACATTGTGATACATTGGCTGAACCTCCTATTCCTGTTATAGGCTATTGCTATAGAACATGAGCTGTGGATTTTTGGACGCCGCGCCCATACCGCTGCGGACAGACCACTCCCCGACAGGCCTCTGCGCTATTCTGCGCATGTATGCATATTTGGCAGGGCTGGCTACATGTGCATGCAGATAGATTTGTTGCTTGAAACCGTAAACCATAGAAGCCCAAGGGTAGTATTCTATTGGAGCAGCGGGAAATCAATGTTAGGCCCACAGGCAACAACATGCACGCATGAGGAATAAAGATGCTTCACACCAAAAAAAAGCCATCAGAAAAGGGCGCAGTACCAGTACGGTAGGCTGCAATACAGACTTGATCTAGTGGCAAGTAGCGGATAGATTGCTGTGGCTCCATCCTTAGTGTTATTGTATCGGCACATTGAAAGGATACCCAATATAGACTACTTTCCGGAGATTATGTGCATTAGACTGCATGGTATCGAGGGCATAGACATATCCAAGGTTCAAGACCTACACTATAGAAAGGCTTTAAAAATCTATTCCATCCACTTCCTTTCCCGCCAGGTAGACTACGACCAGCAAAAACTTTGCGGAGAACCGCGCATCATGAAGCCTAATCGCTGCCTCGCTATTTTGCTCCACTAGAATGAAATAGCGTCGTTTGCCGAAATTTTCTAGCGTGGCTAGTTAGTATATACTATATAAAACTGTCTACTCAAGCTAGAGCGTGCTAATAAGAACTATGGAGGTCTACGAGCTAGAAGTAAAGCCAGCTCCAACGCACAATGACGATGATGACGCAGAAGACTGGGGCAATAATAAGTACTGCAGTATATTCTTTTTTGAAAGTGTGAGCAACAGGCGCATAGACTATAGACTCTATTTTCTTGCTGCAGCAGGTTCAAGGGTTGTGTAGGTAAGCTACGAAGATTCGTTGCTAAAAAATTCAGGAGTCTATGTACAAAAACTATCCGACGCTGAGGAAGATACAAGTGAAGCAGATGGATCTTGCGAGATCGACAGACGAATGCAGAATTGGGGAGCTGGGAAAGAAGCAAACGAACGAATGAATGCATGGATGAGCGAACGGAAGGATACAAAGCGCGAAGTATGAAAAGATGAGGCGGAGCAACGATCACGATCCTGAGTTGCCTTTTTTGTTAATATTGAAAACGTTCATCGTCGGAAGGCATCACGAAAATAGAGACAGAGGAGGGAAGGGTGGTCGTACAGATCAGAGACATGGCAACGTAACTCTCAGTGCGATCGTACCAATCGCTGCACATTGCACAGAGAACCCCCGATGGTTTGAGCAGTTACTAATGATAAAGATAGAATGCAAAGGAGATTAAAGTCAGAAGAAGATGAAAGAAGTGGCAGCGCAAGCTAGAGAGCCACTTTTTTTTCTTGTGCAACAATCGTGCAAGGCCTCAGGGGTATGAGAGCAAAGAGCGCGCTGCTTTTTTTTTTTTTTTCAAAGTCATAATTTTTTGGAGCCATGCTGACATTTTATGGGGGAGAAATGGTAAGTAAACAAACAGAAGAAACTTAATGGTACCGTGCTAAATCGAACAGAAGGGATAGCTGGATGTGGATGTAAAAGAGGAAGAGTGCAAGAAACGTGCACTGAGATACAAAAGCTTTGGTACCTTTTTGGCCAAGATGTCCGATTTCCTCTGCTCTCCATTGGTTCAATTGCTTGCGTGTCTTTGTAGTCCGAGAAGGTGGTAGGGCTTTATGCGCGCTGGGTCACAAGGTCAGTAAACCCCTGGAGCACAAACATGGTTGGCGATGAACTAACTCGGACTTCTTCTGGGAACTATTTTTTTTAGCTTGGCGTTACAGGCCTGTAGAGCAGACGTCGCCCACGCGAATGCACGAAGCGCAGAAGTCTGATTGACTGTTTTTTTTTTTTTTTCCTTTCTGCAAGGCAGCCAAAAGCTCTCGCATCATGTAGCAACCCCAAAAAGTCTTTACTGCCGCTTTTTTTTATTTTAATTTTTGACAAACTATACCCAGCCCATGTCGCAATGTTTTTTTGTTTTGTCCGCGGGATCAAAAATTAGTGGAAAGATCGCTCTTTGTTGATGCTCTCTCTTGATTTCACCTAGTGTAGCTGCTGAGTCGGTCATGGTGCTGAATAAGGCAATCGAGGCCAGAGAAAACATGAATACAGAAATAAACTTTTTGTCCATATGATGTGTGCGTCGCCCTAGTTGTATGATGATGCGTTTTGAATTCCCCTTTCAAGCACTAGCGCTATTTCCAAGAGAGAAAAGATGTGCTGTGTTAAATGGATCAGCAATGCCGGTATGCGTGCCCTCCCCCATCGTCTGCATCTTAAGTAAAAGAGACACATACTGACAGATATCCGATTCTTGATGTTCTGTAAGGAGACGAGACGTGGTGAGAGGCGTTCGATGTTCGTCAACTAGCTGCAGAATTTGCCCTTGGCCGTAGTATCATCTCCGAAAAGATCTCTTGTCCTGTTCCTTTACGTCCCCGTGGGTCCTAGTTATCAAAAAAAAATTGTTCTGTTCCTTTCCGTGTTTTCATTCAGTTCCCACTGCTGATCACACCTTCATCGCCACCCAAAATAATCTGTCCTCGAAAAGGCAACATCTCGCTCCGTCGCACGTTCTGCAACTCCGATAGACCCTACACTTTATTTCCGGTAGATATATCTTTGATCTAGTATTACTGAAGTGGGTTACCTAAGGGAGCCAATTATTCTGTTCTTGAACAGGTAGCCAATCTTCTTCCACTTTCGACGGCCTCTTTCATCCGTTTGTCTCCGTGTTCATGAAGTAAAGGAAAAAATAAAGAAAAAAAGAAGAGTTTAAATTTCGTTTGATGGATTGTCACGCTAGTACATCTTATACATGTAATTGAACAAGGGACAATGGTATCGTGTTGGCACCCACGCGCCTACGGAGAATAGAGGGACGCTACACCAATGACCCACAGATTCGTCGTGTTTATCCGCAATGAAATACGACGCACTGAAACACGCTCTACGCTGAGTGGTGCATTTGCAATTAGAGGAAAGTCTATCAGAGATTCCTCCACCCCGATCTCCGTCGTGCTTAGCTACTTTTATGTCCTATCAGGAACTCTGGCATATCTCCTTCCCTTTACCTTGGTCTTTTTTGCTCTCACCGTCTGTTCTTTCCACGTCTGACTGACGAGAACCGATATCAATGTGTAGAAGTACGGCGCAAGCGGAAATGTCTCTTTCGGTGCTCACTGCTACTCCTTTTTTTGTGCGTTTGTTATTTTGATGCGTTGCATTTGGTTGATTTCCTGCCACTCGTTCCCATCTGTCCCCTGCCTTTTCTTTTATTTCTCCCCTATCCTCTGATCCTATCCCCCAATCTTGCACTTCGCAATGTCTCTCTTTCTTTTTTTGGAATGAAGGAGACAGAGATTGGAGGGGCGCTGGGACAGAGTGCGCGCGAAAACTGAGGACCCTTGAGAAGGAAGATGATATCCACATGATGAGTGGTGGTTGAAGTTGTAAGCAACTAACAGGTCAAGTGATCGGGAGTCGAGGGATAAAAAAAAAGGAGCTGTGGTATGGTATGTCGTCGTCGCTTTCTTTTTCTCGCTCCAACTTGCTGTGTTGAGTAGCGTGCGTGTGCGCGCGTCCGTATATGCTGTCATGTCATAGCAATGTTATTGGCAAGGTCTATCTTTGGATGCTTGAATGTTCTTGAAATAAAGAACCCAACTGAATGGATGAAGGATAAGGGACGCGGGGTATAGCAATACAGTAACGCGGTGGTGCAGAAGTGAATGAAGTACATGCAAAGGTTTATAGAGCACATACAGTTAATTCATTCGTTTCCGCCTCTACCTCCCGCCTGCTCTTCCAACATCTCCTCGGCAAAAACGAGGTCAGTCAGCACACACACGTATACATGTAAAACATACGCATACAGCCAATACAAACATGCACGACACACCTACACGCAAGATACAGTTGACATTCAGACATTCATATAACAATGTATGAACGTTTGTGGATTTGCTACTACTGTAGCGGATGCTACGAGTGAATACATGTCCATTTGTCCAAGCCGAGTTAGCCCCCGTCCAAGCGCAGAGAACTTGTCATGCCCTGTCTTGGCCTGCCCTGTAACGGTTGAGTAGTAGCCCTCCCTCCATTTACTCGCACCCACCCCGATCCTTTTTTGGATCTCATTTTTCGCCTCCTCTGGTTGGTCAATTCCCCTTTTTTCTCCGTCGATGGTTGGTTCCGCGCTTTTTTCCTCTCCACTGCTTCGGTATTATATTGTACAAACTGTCCCTATTGTATTAGAGAGATCTATTCAATGTTGCTCGTCTTCCCTTCTCTTCATCTACTCTTTTCTCCTTCTTCCATTTCCCCTCCTTCGTCTTCTCTTCTTCTCTTCTTCTTTCTTCGTCTTCATCTTCTTCGTCAAAGACTTCTTCAGCTCCACCGTCTCTGTCACACCTTGTCCTCCTGCCTCCCCCCGGTCTAACTTCCTCGCTCGCTCCCACTCCGCTTACTCTATCTCGCTCTATCCTACTCTATCCTCTACCTCGCTCCACCTCACTCCCACTCCTTCCCTTTCCCTCTCTCTCGTCACTCTCATCTCTCCTGCAGCGTCTGTCGCCTTTAGTTGCATCCCTGCCAATCCAACCCAAACACCTTTTTCGCTGTCTAACCTGCCACAAGGATTCTAAAAAGGTGCTAGTCCACTTCTGTCTCGAAGTTTAACTGAATCAGATTATTTGTCCTACTCCACCTACAACTCCCCTCTAAATGGCATCCCATCGCACATCATCACATCATACCCCGCACAACTCTCATCCTCTTCGCAATCAGAAGGTCAATCAACTGATCCGAATCTAGATCTGATTGTAAAGTGATCACACACCCTTGTCCCTCCATTTCAGGGCCGCCTCTTTTTTTTATTATTATTATCATTAAACAACCCTCTGTTCATTTGTCTTCCCCTAACGCACACCCTTTTTTTATACTCAGATGAGGATGCCATTATGGTTCTGTCCTATCCCCGCCCACGTTTTTTCCATCTTTCATCTCCCGCAATTCCATGTGGCTTGAATTAACCGATCTCTTTTCAACTGAATCCCGATCCCCCAGATTTCGACGCCTCGGGCTGCACCCTTTAAACCATCTGGCTTGGTCTCATCGGATCTCTGTTGGAATACAACCGTACAATCTGCAACCACTTCCCCCTCAGCAAAAAGAGCCGCCCATCCTGAGTTCTCTGAATCAAAAAAAGAGGACCAAAAAGCGTCCCATGGCTGTCCAAAGTCTACAAGAGTCGGTGATCACAGCCGCAAGTTCAGATGCAATAATGACTGCAGCTGAAGGTTTTCAATGCGCACTCGGCGAACCCGGTGCTAACGCAGCCACGCCCGGCAGTGGCGTTCCCGACTTTGTGAAGAAGCTTTACAGGCAAGTTGAGCCACTTAATCTCTGTGCTCTGGATGATCTACGTATTCTGTCTGCCTGATCCCTCTACCACTACATTGGTGCATTGGTACATCGATGCATTGCGAAGGAGTAAAATGAAAAAAAAATCTGACACAGCCACCCGTACCTGACCCAAACGAAGGTCTGCAATCTGACATCGAAAAAATTTTCATTTTTGTCTGAACAGGATGCTTGAGGAGAAAGAGCACGACCTTATAGTTTCGTGGGGCAGAAGTGGCGAGAGCTTTGTCGTCAAGGAGCCCAACGAATTTGCCAAGGTGATCCTGCCCAGGCATTTCAAGCACAACAACTTTGCCAGCTTCGTGCGCCAGCTCAACAAGTACGATTTTCATAAGATCAAAACCACCGAAGACTCTGCAAGGCCATATGGCGACCAGGTATGAGCCCTCACTCATCCTTGAGTGCATGGCGCATTAGGATCTCTGTGCTGCGTAAGCCATGACATCTAATCTCTTTTCCTCTCGTTCGCCCATCTTCATTCTGCTGATGCAGGCCTGGGAATTCCAGCACCCAAAATTTCAGATCGATAAGAGGGATCTTCTTGAAGAAATCAAGGTGTGTATCGAACATGATGAACAGCTCCCTCGGCCATGAATACCTCAGCGAATTGTTACTTACACGCTTCGCCCTGAAATCACTCCAATTAGCGAAAGACCCCGATCAACAAGAAAACATCTGCTGGCCAGACCTCCATCTCCTCCCCTGACCATTCCTCTATGGCGGAGGATTATCAGGCACAGTTGGATCTCATGGCGAAGACTCAAACTGAGATGCATGAGCAGCTGGGAAAGTACAAGTCGAAAATAGAGACTCAAGATAATCTCTTGCAGAATCTTCTCAAGGTCCTCGGCTATCAAAGCTCTGGTATATATCATCTGTTCATGCTCTCGCGCCCACACTTGACTGATTTTTGAAAAATGGACTAACATCGCCTCTTTCTTTAAACAACGCTCTTAGAAAATGGAACGATAACGACAATACACAACTCAGGGACCTCAATGAAGGAAGGCAAGACCCTTAAGTCCAAGGCTCACTCTGCCTCGCGTTCAAGATTGTCTGGTCAAACAAACAAAGCCGACAATCAACAAGCGCAACAACATCTCGCGAACACCGCGTTCGCTCCCTCCTCCTCGCCGCCTATGGCGCAAACCATTCATCCCCTCATGACTGGAGGGACCGTATCCACGATACCAACGTCTACATCCTCAATGCCGACCACGACTCTCCCCCCTACATCCTCCATCTCTTCGACCTCGGCCTTCCAGTTTGCTCCAAAACTGTCTTCTGCCTCTTCAGGTTCATATTCACATTCACCCATGTGCCAGAACCCCAGCTTGGACGCTTCCAAAAATGTATCATATCAATCATCGCGGGCTCAACACAACTCGCAGCACCCAATGCAACGCCATAATGACCAACAACAACATCAGCAGCTTCCGCATCATGATAACTACCAACAGCATTTCCAGCAACAGCGGCAACAGCAGCAACAGTTCGTGTCTAATGCTCCTCTCAGTGATCAGAATGCAAGGCCTCAACGGCCTAGCATCAGCATCCCAAACTGGTCGATGCCGCCGAAAGTATTGCTTGTGGAAGACGATGATATCAGCAGACGTTTGAGCTCTCGTCTACTTCAGATCTTTGGCTGCCCCTTTGATGTGGCGGAAGATGGAGTGGCCGCTGTTGGAAAGATGAGCCATCAGAAGTATGATATTGTGCTCATGGTAAGTTGTTGTTCGCGTCTTGTAATTGCTTACAATTGGATTCAGCGAAAAAAAAAAAGAAAAAAAAAAGAAAAGCATGAAAACTCATCACGATGTGTTATTGTATGCGAATATCATAGGACATCATGATGCCCAAGTTAGACGGTGTCTCTGCAACGACCCAGATCCGCCAGTTTGACGCCATGACACCCATTATCAGCATGACCTCGAACACCACAACTAATGATATAATGACCTACTTTGCGAATGGCATGAATGACATCCTCCCAAAGCCATTCTCCAAGGCCAGTCTGCTCAACATGCTTGAGAAGCATTGCCAGCATCTGCGATACCTAAAGCTGGGACCCAGTCTTATGGGGTTCGCTCCTAGTGGGTCGGATTCCAGTTCGGGCGAGCAGGAGAGTCGACTCATGCTGTCTCACCGCCAAGACGAACAATCTGGTTCAGAGACCATGAGCTTTTCCTTGTCGGGGTTCCAGGGACAAGAAGGGCTCCAGCTCGTTTCTGGAGACAAGGGTAGTAGCCCAGACCATCAGGGTCACCAGGGCAATCAGCGAGACGACATGGACAACCTGGGCCTGAGCCTGCAGCTTGGCCTTGGAGGCATGCTCATCCTTAACGGAGTGGACTCGTCCCTAAGCGGAGGCGTGGACGAGCAAGGAATGTACCCTCGACAGCCCCACCAGGGCGGTAGGAAGCACGGAGTCGACCCCAACGAGAACAATCCTCAGTCCAATTATGGAATGTCGTCGATGGGTTATAACGACATGATGGATTCTCTCAGCCACGATGACAGTTCCAGCTCGTCCCTTTCTCCAGATCAGACCCATATTCGGCTGAGCCTTGTACATCCTTCCCAACAGCAGCAGCCGCTCCATCAGAATATGCAGGGACACCAGTCCAGCCATATGCCCTCGCCACCAAATTCCGGCCACCCTAACATCTCGACATCCTCGTCCAGGTACACGACCAATATGACCAACCACACCTCCTTCACCTCGGGGTCCAGCCCCTCAATGATGGAGCCTTATCTTACCGGACTCGAAGGCTCATATTCGCATCAACAATCTTCATCACAGCAACATCATGTACAGCGCCACGGAAGCATTACATTGCTATCTATTAAATCCAACGATGGCATGGCTCATGCAATCGGCCTGACCAACCGCAACGTTGACTTTCATGACGGACTCGGTCTTGGGTATGGCATGGATCAGAGTGATTCCATGGATGCTCATGGAAGGAGGAAACGGGCCAAGATCGAAGAAGTCATCGAATAGTTTATTCCTCAACCTCTGTCTCCCCTTCTTCTCCTTTTGTAGTTATTGTAACCTTTCACGTCCCCACTTTCACCTCTTCCCCCCATACATACTGTACTATATATATTACATACATAAAGAGAAAAATAAAATTCCGATTTTAAAAATCATAATAACGTGACGAACACCCCGGATAGAATAATTTAACAGCGGTTCTACTGGCTTGGTTGATAATGCATCCTTGATAGACAAACGCAAACATAAGATAGTTCTATTTGCTTGATTTTTGCTGAAAAAAAAAGTAAAGCTGCAAGGAATACTTTTACTTCCTGACCACACAAGTATATCACAGCACTATGTACTCTGAAGACCTCCGATGGCGAGCAGTTGTCCTTTTTAACATTATGGGCATGCACGAAAGCGATGTCACTACTTTGCTAGGGGTCTCAAGGCATTCTATCTTGAAGTGGGCCAGTGAGTAACAAAGTCAGTCGATGTGGCAAGAGTGACCAACCATCGTACCGTCTTTCTCACGTAATCTCAGCAGCTATGTTCAATACAACAGGCAGTGTGATGGCAGATAACTTCCGCCAAGTTCGACCCCGATGGCCAGAGGAAGTTTACGATTTCGTTCGCAAGTACACCGCAGACCATCCTTGCTTTTTCTTGGAGGAGCTGCAGGATGGCATTCAGGCTGCCTTTCCAGAATTGACCAATACCTCAGTGCCGACTCTATGTCGTGCCCTGCGACATGATCTCAACATGACAAGAAAAAAGATACAGAAGCGAGCTCGCGAGGCACTTCCTCAAGAGATTGCGGACTTCAAGTATGGACTCAAGCCTTTTTTCAGTTACCAGGAGCAACTGGTCTTTATTGACGAAAGGCATGACAGGAAGCTTTGCCAGATGACGAGCGTAATGAGTAAGAGTTATCGGCCCTATCGCTTCCAAATTATCTTGATCCACTGCGTCGGCAATGAGTGTATGCGCCGCGTCCAGTCTTGCGCGAGTCGCGCGTTGGATAACGTTGGCTCTTCTTCCTGTACTACTGGCAACACCACCTCCAGTGGCCGTAAGATACGCATAAAGGTGAACAAAGACCTGGGTAGCATCACCATCCAGGCGTCGTGCCTCTGTACGCCAAGCTCTGACAAGCCGTTCTTTAAAGTTGCCCTCGTCCAGCTCTTGGTTGTTCTTCTGTGCGCTGTTGTGTGTTGGTTGGATGTATGGCTTTCCGCCTCCTGGCCACTTGAACCCGTTGGTATCAGCAATGCGGCGTTTGATGCGTTCCATTATCACCAGGAATGAGTCCTCGTCTAAATTATGTGTCCAGCCTTGAGGATCAGGAAGATCTTTCGTGGAGCGACATCGAATCTGGGGTTGCCCTTTGCGGGGGTGAAGCTTTATCTGAATAATCTGTGGTATCTCGAGCTCCGATGGGGAAAAGAGGGATGAAGAGGAGGCCGCAGGGGATGCCATTGTAAGGACAAAGGAGTTGTCTGTGTGAAGTTTTTTCTATCGTGCATGTGCCAGCTTAATTTAAAATTCATTTCGACTGGGTGTCACTAATAGTTGACTCAGACCAAATAGTTTAAAATTATTTTATTATTTTTTATTGAAAGGCACAATACATACTATTAAGACTGGAGTAAATACACTTTTTTTTTTTTTTTTTTTTTTGTGGGGGATACATCTCACTTCTAACTTCGTTTCCTAAGTTCCTATCATTTTACAGATAATCCGTGCGAGGAGCAACACCCTTCTCGGCCATGATTTCCTCCACGGGACGGGCCCTTGTCTCGGGAACGAAGAACCAAATATAAAGGAAGCCGGCGGCGGTGATAGCGGCAAAGAGAATGAAGGTTCCGTTGCCGAGACCGTTGTTGAGCGAGGGAAAGACCAAGCCGATGACAAAGTTCGTACCCCAGTTTACGGCGGTGGCGACTGAGGAAGCGGGTGAAAGAGCGTAGGTCGGAAGCAACTCCGAAAGCAGCAACCAGGGGATGGGACCAAGACCGATAGCAAAGAAGGCAATGTACAAGAAGACGGAAACCACGACCAGGATGCCGACGTCAGTATAGGCACCAATGACCAACAGGATTGAGGAACCTGCGACACCAGCCAATGAGATCAACAAGAGTGTGCGGCGACCGGTTCGATCGACCAGGAAGACTGAAGCAAGAGTTGCGAGTAAGTTGCAGGCTGAGGTACCAACGGTGATGTACTTGGCATTATCAGCACCAAAGACGTCACCCAGGAACGAGGTCGAATAGTAGATTAGACCGTTGATACCCGAAGCCTGCTGGAAGAAATGAACTATGATACCGATGATGGCAAGACCCCTGCACTCGGACGAGAATAGGCGGAAAATACTGTAGTTATGAGGGGCGCCGGTGGCGGTAGCCGCGACAGGGGCCTCGGGGTCGACCTTGTAGGAGGCATCTTCGAATGCAGAGTCACTGGCGGCTGGGCGGCCACCAGCGGTACCAGAGGAACGTCCCAAGAGCAGCTGAACCATGTCTGCGAACTCGTGCTCGACATCTGTGCTGGTTCCACGCAACTTCTGAAGGGAGTGTCGAGCTTCCGGGAGACGATTCTTGGAGACGAGCCAGCGTGGGGACTCGACCAAGGACGGGAGCATGAACAGCTGGATCATGGGAGGGATACCGTTGATGGCGAGGAGGATACGCCACAGGGGAGGACGACTAAGACCCAGGCCGATCAAGTTGGAGATCAAGATACCTACGACGATGAGGAGCTGGTACATGGTTCCCATGGCTCCACGGCCCTTGATGGTGGAGATCTCTCCAAGGTACGTGGGGGCGACGACACCACCGAGGCCGCAGGCGAATCCGACGATGATACGACCGACAATGAACTGGGCCTGATGATAGGTCAATCCAAGGAGGAGGGCACCGACGATGAAGAAGAGGTTGCTGATGAACATGGTCTTACGACGACCGTAGATGTTCTGAACCGTGCCGCCCGACAGTCCACCGACGAGGGCTCCCAAACAGAAGGAACCGACAGCAAAACCCTGATCAGAAGAACGGACGAATGGAAAGTTGGAGAGTTAGAAAGTTGAGTAAGATCTTACAGGCAGGACTCTGTATTGGGAAATCTTATCGGGCAGCCGTGCCGTTTCGCCAGTGGTTTTGCCACCAAGATTCGATGTTTCGTGTAACAGGACACTCCACACAGCACGGGCAGCACACAGCAGACCTGCGCACAAACAGCATTTGCCCCGATAACGATATGCTTCACAAACAAAACAAAAACAAACAATGATGATGATACAAATAATGCATAGTGGGTGAGCAAAATGCGTAATAATGAAGCGTACAAATAAAATAAAATAAAATATAATAAAATATAATAAATAAAAAAACGAACGACAACAACCATCGACTATGATGTATGTGATGTTGTGTGTATACATACCCAGAGCAGATCAGAGTATTCAAAGCAATTGGGGAAGCCGCCTTCATTCGTGTAGGGCTGCTCACCACAGGCGCCATCGAAACCACGGATGGATTTCTCGGGGACGTTGGGGGAGCCGATTACGTAGCCGATCGAGAGCGAGGTTAATGAGGCCACTAGACCACAGTAAATCATGTAAGCCGGGAAGCCGGCCTCTCTTGAATCCATGGTGAAGAGTCTCTTGTTTAATAGGAGTCAGCAGAAGCGCACGAGGGACTGTATGGGTTCAATGGGGGTGGACGAATAGAGGAGGGGGATCGAGAGATTAGATGGGGTGGGGGATATAGATCGCGTCTAGTATACAGTCAAGAGGAGGATGCGATTAAATGGTGAGGGATGGATCAGAAGGAAGGAAGGACGAAGAATGAAAGAAGAGAGGGAGAAAGAGAAAATGAGGGGAATAAAAGAAGAAAAAAGGTGGAGAAGGCAGCAAGAACCACGAGACAGAACCTCATCGGGTAAGTGCCTCCTGAGACCCCAGAGGTGCGCCTGCAATAAACCTGGTCTGGATTCGAATTCGCAGCGGAGAGGAGATGTCCACCCAACTCTCCGTCCACCATTGGCTGGACCCCACATGTCACGGATGCATTCCCCTGGGTATCCGCATCCTCATCCTCCAGCAGCCCCCAGTATGGGTCCCTTGCCTTGGAAGGACGGCAAAAAGGTAGCGGCGGCAGAAAAATTAATAGTACTTCCTAGAACGTACCCTCAACTCCGTGGGTTATCTTTGGCCGACCCTGTCATCATCGCACAGGAGGTAGACTACTACTCGTCCCCAGATCCAGCAACTGCAACTCTACAATTGAGCCCCGCTCCCAAGATACTTCTCCATTGCCTGCTCTGGATAATCGACCACATCTATCATGCATTCGCCATGTTGACACCAACCAAATAAATCAATCCCCCATGTTCAATGTCGTATGCACAACACCCAACACAAATGCGTTCATCTAATTTGCTATGCTCGCTCCCAGTCAAGGGGTCCTCTTCTACCAAACAAACATGTAGAGTATACAGGATCGGTCATTGAAAAACAAACGCAAAAAACCAGTAGAAGACGACTATCTTTGTGCGTCTGGAATGTCTCACCCTGAAAGGAAACTGTATCCGAATCTGTATATATGATCCACTGCACGACCCAGAGCGGGGGATGGTCGGTGGAGGTTGTCCACCGAACAAAACCTGGCAAATCAGATTTTACAAATGTCAGGTCTTCCCCCACCCTTCACGCTTGGCGATTCGTGAGTTCGGGTGTTGTATCACCAACCCCAACAGAGAGGAGGGGAAGGGATTGCTGGTGCCGAGAATCATCATGCATTCAAGACCAAGAGGGTCGCTTTCTTTATCTTGACAAGGATGGAAAGCGGGGTGATAAGAATCCTTCAATCATCATTCCCTCTCGGTTTATACATTCATTATGCGGCAAGAGACGCCACATGGCATGGTGCAAATACAGGTTCTCCGTCACGCTTTCCCTCCCACATCATCGCCTATCATTTGAGAGTCCAATTGTGACCAGTGTATGACAAGTCTGCACGTATAAGTCCGTCTTGCAAGTGCTTCTTACTCCACAACCCATACTTGGTGTGTTTTGGGAGCCAGCACAGCAATTGAGTGTGCTTTCAGACCTTTATCAAAGACCTTCTTCCTCCAATGCTGAGTTTCCACCTACCCTGGCATAGGACTTGATTTGCTATCTCGCACTGCGCGTTGTCAACAGTGAGTAGATAACGACTGCGAACCTTACTGTCAATTATCTCTCAGGGCGCAGTTGACCTTACGGGTAATATTAGCGACATATCCGTTGACCCTTGGGGAACCTGGTGGCTCTCGGCCAGTCACAAAGCCGTTCCGCTCAAAAGAGACATAGTGTGTCTGTTAGGGGATATTTTTATTCAGAAATGCTGTGTCCCCACGCAGTAAATGCGATAGACAGGCTGCAAGTTCTTTTTTCTGTCCACACATCATGTCCAACCCTATTTTTATTAAGGATTTTCGCCCAGGGCGCACATCCTGCCATACATACAGTCAGTTTTGTTTATCGTCAAGGTGACAAATGTGGAGGAAGGTGCGTGTCAATGCGCAAAGAAAGAAAGGGGTGGGGGAAATGAAAACAATTACTCACATTGTTGATGTCCGAGGAGGGAAACACCATGCCACACTGCTTGAAACTCCAGTCAAAGATGAGAATCCGCCTGTATCCTGCCGGCATCGTATGATGTTCATATGTTCATATGTTCATAGCATGACCGTACAACTAAATTCTTTCAGTCGCCAGGGCTCTCTTTGTAGATTCTTAAATGTTGTAAAGTTGGCGAGGGGAAACCATAGTATGCAACGTCGTGTATCCGTTCCCATATGTTTAAAGTCGTATGTCACTCCAAAGCTTCATCTTCAAGCCGAGCCATGGTCAAGCTCGTGTAGTGTGTGTATGGTGGGAGAAGGGGGGGGGGTTTGTAAGTTGTGAAAATAAGCATGGATAATACAATCCGGCCATTGCTCCATCTATTGATTGTCTAGAAGATGGACCTAGCCTTGTGGTAGTGGTTTGCATGCTTCATTTCTTCGTCCTCTTTACGTGATTGTTGCATTTTAGTTTCTGGCGTGAGATGACGATGATCTTTAGGAAACAAATAAAAAAAGAAGGCGGTTAGAACATCAGATGATTGACCATAGCGGATAAAAAAGGCGCGAGGAATAGCATGAAGATGCGCGATCAAAGACGAGTGGAGGAAAACATGTCTGAGAGAAAAAGACGTGTGTGCAAGCCTTGGCTCCTTCAGGGGTATTTGCTCATGTTTCCTTTAATCCATACCATCGACGCGCTACATAATCAAGGTAAGAGTCTACATCCTTGAAAGCCGTGCAGGGACCACTTCGCCCAGTTTGATCATCACACATAGCCTTTTGCCAAGGGACCTAAGGTTGAGGCCAGGGGCCTACATAAGTTCTTGCGCGGGACCGGTTGCAGCGGCTGACAGAGTCCCGCGTCTAAAACGGATGCTGGACTTCTACTTTTATTGAATTTCACCGCCTGGAAGGAAGCGAGCTCGAGGGGTTCTGTCAGGGAACCCAAGGTTGAGATCTAGATCTTACGGCAGAAGTCCGAGAGTTTGCTCTGGATACAGCGCAACACCATACTGTTCAAACCCGCCGGTAGCAATGCCTCTCTCCCTTGGCACTGGGTTTGGATCAGCTGGGCAAAACGCCAAAATTGAGACGCTGGTGCTCTCCGTGGGCTTGTTGGGTGTCATGTCATTCCGTTTATTGCCACTTTTGCAGCTGAACGGTCATATTTCTTATGAGTACGGCTTACTGGTCATATTTTATTACATTTGTTTGAGGCATGGAGTTTCGGAATGTAATCAGCAAGGAGGTAAGAGCCAGTGTCCCATATTATGATCCTAGCATCGGTCTCAACGTGGCAACGCTGCCGCTGCGAGGATGAGTAGGAAGAACAAGAGGATGGGGGAGAAGGAGTGTCTTTGCCGATTGATGAAGAGGGTCGTGCTAGAATGTAGAGTGTCAATTGCAGGACGATTCCTCTCCAATTTCAACAGCTCACTAATCCTCTGTTTCTAAGAAGAGAATAAAGTGGCAACCTTTCTCTGTTTGTCCCTTAATTCCCTCCTACAATTGCCTGATGCAGCATCATTCTCCTGGTTAGTGTGCCAGCTCTTTCTCTTGTATTCTTGCCCAAACTGAAGAGCAGACTTTGGCAGACTTCAGACAAACATACGACCGGTGGATAGTGACAGAAGATCAGGCAGAGGCATCACAGGCATCAGGCCACTGGCTCAGTAGTCCAGGCAAGAAATTTTTTTAAACATCAGCTCTCTCAGGAACACAAAAAATATCAGGCCATCTCATTTGCGATCCTCTCTCCTGGGCAAAATGGTGCCACTCTACCGGGGCATGCACATGAACTGCCTCGGCTGATATAAAGCAAACGGTCGCATCCGCCTTCTTTGGTACGCGATTGCTGTCCACACGCCCTTTGTTCCTTCTCTCCTCTCTTCGCCATTCTCTCTCTCCACCCATTCTGCTTGCTGTCATTTCCTTTTCCGCCTATCCTTCTGTCTCTCTCGTATTCACAGGACACTTCTGCCAGCAAACTAGTTCGCCTACTACTCCACTTCTGTACAACTGGCGACCAAGAAGACAAAGGACACGCTTTTGCCAACCCTCCCCCCACATTTCATCACACTACAAATCAAAGAACGCATCTACACATCCACGGGAAGCACAGCGCCTTGACCCATTCAAGAACTATCCCGCCTCCTTTTTTCACGGAAACCTAGCCCTTTGGAAGAAAAAAACATAAAAAAAGAGTCGTTCATTATCCCAGTCCGTGGTTTTATCATATGACGGAAAGCAGAGCATTTGCGGCCATGGTCTCGTCGCCGACAAAAGGCGGCCTGACCTCGGCTCCTTCGAAATCCGCTTCCTCTTTTCGTTTCCCCACCTCCCTCCCTACCACCACCTCCTCTTCTCCTTCCGCTTCATTGGACACTCACGCATCTCCCTCGACCTTTCAGCAGCTTTTGTCATATCTTCCGTTCCTGTCATCCTCCTCTTCCAGCCGATCGACACCTAGCATCAATTCCTCACGTCCGCACACCTCCTCACGCCCTTGTTGTTCAGCTCGAACCTGTTTGTCCTACTGTTGTTCAACCCCGGAGACGCTAAAGTCTTTTTCACACTCGGGGCCCTCTTCTACAGTCAATCTTCGGCCAAAGAACTACTATTCTAAGCGACAGCGATTTATATCGAGCAGTCAGCACGCCCATTCCATGTTTTTGCCGACATCGTCTGCTTCTCATTCGGACAGCGGGAGCGACAGGGACGAACTGCAGCAACTAGATTCATCTTTTGAATCACTCCAGCGACATTCACCACTTTACAGGCGCTCACGTTCTGCAAGTACAAATAACTCAGCGACAATAACCACTACCACAATAACGACCACTACCACGACTACAGCAAGGCCCAGATCCTCGACCCACTCTATGGCGCCTTCACCGGATTTGTCGCCTGCGGAGACCAACACGACGATACCCGGAAACAAAAGTCGACGACCTGCGCTCGGATTAGTCGCGGATGGACCCTATCTGTTTCTGTTCGACGTTGCCCTGTCTCTTTACTACCCTATTCGAGCGTTGATCCTCTTTGTGCTCGGCTTTGTCTTCTCACTGATCATTGACCACCTACAAACTCAACACCAGCTCGTGGAATATCCAAGCAACGTGCCTCATCTCTGGGACACAGCCTCGTGGCTTCCTCCGACCTGTGGAGCGTCCGCGGTCCTGATCGGCACTATTTATCCACTCGGGGATTACCTCTGGTGGGGCAGACGCGTCCGGCGCAACGGTCGGGACTGGTCCAGTGTTATGAGGTAAAATACCTTGGGTTGGGGGATCACACTCGGCTGCGAAAACATCGAATGATTACTCTGAGACCGTCCATCTGTACTAACCGACCATCGCTCTCTTAATTTTTTTTTTTTTTTTTTTAAAAAAACAGATGCTTGGGTGGATTCATTGGCGTGAACTATGCAGCATCGAAGCTGCCGATGACTAGCAGTCTGCAGGTTTCCTGCACGCTGGCGTTGATTTCGGTGGCACTCTGGTTCCTCTTTGACAGGACGGTCCATGGGTTTGTGATCTCGCTGACAGTTGCATCCATGGGGACGACGGTTGCGTATTTCTTGGTCCTGAATGGCTGGTATAGGTATGTGCTTTTTATTGCTTGTTTGTGGTTTTTTATTATTATGATCCGCATCTCCTTTGTCCTCCGGGGTGAGCATTTTTTTTATTTCATTTTATGCTGCATCCCTCGGGCATGCAACGACCAAGGCGGCCCCTCGAAGACTGGGTCTTGGATGCATTTTTTTTTCTCGATTCTGGAGTGCGTCAGCCGTGAACTTCGGTGCCATGGTTCACTTGTTCGGTTCCTGGAAGATTACATAAAGAAAAAGGAATACTGTCTTGGAGTTGACAACTGAACTAATACAACTTTGTTCTCTTGATCGCTGTAGCTTTACGCGGGCAGACTTTTTTGGCGTCGGATCATGGATTCCTTGTATTTTATACTCGTCCTCGGTCTGTTTTGGAAGCATTGGCAGGCAGTTGGACGTTGTTCCTGAGGCATGGTATTATTCCAACGGCACCAATCGGATTCATGCAAAGTCAGAGTAATCGTCAGAACCTCGAGCAAAAAAAAAAACAAAGAAGATCAAGGACAGGAATTCAGATGCAATGAAAGGACATGATATCGAGCCGGATTGAGGCATCCGCCTAACATTCACAATCAGCGACATGCCATGCACGCTTATACATCAACATTGTACACTAGTTTTTTATATCGACACCGCTGTTACAGCCTCTAATACAACCGCGACAACAAGCACTCCAGAGCTAAGCTCTGGTTCCGATACTCTGATTATACTCGGATGTTCACGATGTTAAAGGATTCAATTTTCTTTGGGTATGGTGGGGCTGCTGAGCAAAATCAAAGAAAAAGAGGGAGGGGATAGAGGATCATGTAGGCGCACAGGGCGTATGACAAGTACAAATGACACGAGATCGCGTCCAATGCTCCTCATCGGATGTTGATCCAATGATTTCAACGACCTTGTTCTCTCATTCGCCATCCTGACTCACACCCACCACTGCGACCCAGTGTTTTCTTTGATATGAATAACAAGAAAGTAAACTACAGTCGTCTGCCAGAAGATGACGACGACGACGGCGTCAACAACGCCCAACCACCACCATACACACCTTCAGAGGCTCCATCTTCTCCCTACATCACACCTGGGCCAGCAGCGCCCTTCGGCTCCCCCAATGTACCCAGCTCTTCTTCCACGGAACTCTACCCCACGCTGCAGTATATGAATCCGCAACCGTTCGTCCAGTCAGGTATCTCTCCTTCTTCTGGCTATCAAGCGCCGCCGCATGGCCACTTGCATCAGTATCCCCAACAGCTGTATCCTCAACAGCTGCATCCTCAACAGCTGCATCCTCAACAGCAGCAACTTATGCCTCCACCACACACCATATACCACCCGCCAACGAATTCACAGATTACGAATGTCGTGGGACCTCCCATGATTTTGATGCGACCACCTGCGAGGATCGAGGAGTTAAGGAATAACCCCGGACTTGTGGTCTGCCAGCACTGTCGCCATTTAGTGCAGACAGAGACTTTGCCCGAAAATGGTAAGGTTTTACAATCCAGGCACATTAAGAAAACAACGTGGTCCACATGGGCTCTTGCGCTAATCAATCGCCATCCTGAAATCTGCGCTTTGTATGTTGTATTATGTGTATAAAAATAGGATCGTGCACGTACCTGGGGGTCTTGATCTTGCTGCTTGCAGGAGTCTCGTCATGCGGATGTTGTCTACTTCCGCTGTGTATGACCTCGTGGAAGGATATCATGCACTCGTGTCCGAACTGTCAGGAGGATATCGGGCTGTATTCGCGGAGCAAGGGGAGGACCTATCCGGTCAGGCGCCTAGACTGAACAAGGAAGGGGTCTCCAAAGGATTCCTGGGCATTTGCCAAGTATACAGCTTAAAGTCATGTCCACTCTATCCAATAGTTTGCTCCGCACTCAGAGAAAGAGGGTCGAGATATTGTTGTTACTTTCAGTCTTGTAAAAAGATAAATTTTTGCAAACGCAGAATATCCACTGAAGACACACGCATGCATGCTGCAGTTATCGACAGCTGTTGAACACGGATCTTACTAACGTTTTATTTAAAGGTAGCAGATTAGGACGCTTATCTTGTCTCCAAAAACAAAAGTCCTTTGGCTTGAGTGCTGGTCAGCCATTACGCTATATGCCGACACACGAGAGCGTTGCTTTTTCAGCGTTATGAATCCCTGAGGTCTCCAGATTGCTGGACATGCTTCTAACTATAGTTGGAGTTCATCATGCCTTACTGCGTTCGATGTGAACTCTTGAAAGAAATGGATGGTTAAAGGACGCATACCTGCACTCCTCCCTCGCCTTCACATTTGTACCGCCAACCATTTTGTCATCCTTCACACAAAGAGTCAGTGCTATTGTACTGTTGCTCTGTTTGAACGCTGCACGGTATAGATATGCAGTGGCCTGGAACCATTTAGCGCCTACCCCCAAATATTGCTCTTCAACCCATATTTGCGTGGACAAGGCATTGCATTATGGTGGTCGTTGATGAGAGTAAGTTGGGTGGAGCGGAGACCATGACCGCAGTCCATTCTTGGTGCTCGCTACCTGTATTGGACGGCCAGCGGCAGTGGCCTGGGCTTACGAGGTGTAGAATTGTAAGTATTTCTGAACCCTCTCAGGCAACTGCAAGGCGTGGATCTTCCTGCTGCCGTTGTTGATCGCTAATGTGAGGCTGAGTTCCTTGTTGCGGTCCAGAGACAGTATTCGCTGTGTGCTGGCTTGAAGGGTACATGTCTGCCACGATTTTGGATGTTATTGATGGTGGACCAAGGGTAGAGTCGGTCAGGGGACCAGAGGAAGCATTTCATTTTTTGCTTGGTGTCTCTTCAAGGCCTTGCCGAGTGTTATTCCTGTATGGTACTCGATTTTCCTGGGTACCGGCCTGTATTATGTCAATCAAAGGTCACTAAGGCCGTTTTTTGATGATCCTTGATGATCGCCATCGCTATAGCAGTCATTTGCCGTTCTATAACGCGAGCTTATTTTTTATCATTATCATCGGCCAAGAACTCGACGAAATCCTTGCTGTTCATAGCGCACTTGGCATCTTCAAAAACCGGTCGAGCACTTTTCCACAGGGTACAACGCTCTTCAGGCTTGTGGTTGACGCGGGTGGGAATGATGACGGTATCGGGGGCTGTTCAGCATCAAAACTTTTGAAAAACCTGCTGATCCGCGCCGAAGATTGCCATGTTCAGTTGTTGGTGGCAGTTGAAGTTGAATATTGAAAAGAGAGGGGATGGGAAAGGGAAAAAAAGTGTGCGTGTATGTGTCGACGACGGAGATATTGTACATCATCCAAGGTGTGAGGCAAGTCTTTTATGCGCTGCAAAGAGTGACATCCAACAAGGAAGAAATACTTGATATATCTTTACTCAAAGATACTGAAGCCAGATCTGGTACTGCAGCAGCCTCGACACAATTGACTTTTTTTTTTTGGAGGCTAGGCAGGGACCGAATAAGGACAAGGGTCGAACAATGGCCTAAAATTAAGGGTACCTGGGTATGGGCTCCATCTAAAATGAAGACAACAGAGGGTATCCGAAAGCACACCCAACCACTCAGTCACTCAGTATCTCGACGAACAGCCGTGCAGGAATTACGAGAATAGCATCAGGAGGGTCATGAGCATCTCGATCGACTCGAATGAGGGCGGACCGATTGAGGGTCTTTTTGGCAGTCTTGTTGAGCAACGTGTCGGGCATCGGGAATTCGACCAGGACGATGAGTTTGGACACGGGCGGCGCCCAAGCGAGGGCAGCGACAGTACCCGCTCTGATACCGATGACAGGCTGCTTGGTCAACCCTCTCAGAGACAAATGAGACCCACTACAAGGCCGAGCATCAGGGACTGGCTGAGAAATCCATGGGTCCCCTGGCGACAAGGGCCGGTAGCTGGCTCGCATTCTCACAGGACACAACTTGGTAGCAGCCATCATCGCGCTTCATGGTGGAACAGAAGACTCTATAGCCGTCTCTCTCACGGACTCATGCTCACAACACGCATAGCAGAAATATCACCATGGCGACTAATACCAGATACAATCGGCTATTTACGGTCAATCATCTCGACATCAATAGCTGCTATCGTCAGCAGCAAACGACGGAAAAGCTGGTTTCTGAGTCTTATCTTGATCTCGCTTGTCTTGACAGTGTTCTCGGGAGGATATCTCTTAAGCCAGCTGCAGCACCACAAGGATCTTGGACCGCCAGCTACCCCTATAGCTGGAATCGGTAGCGATATGGTGCTTGATCCGGGCTCTGGACCACGACGAGATCGCAATCGCGGGAAGAAGTATCAGTCGCCCAAGAAAGTGCCGAACAAGGGGAATGATAGCCCGAAGGATCCTAGCAGTGGCACGAAAACAAACCCTGGGTCAGATGGCAAGGACGAGTCAACAGAGGTGGAACAGCATAATGGATCGATTGGCGGCAGCAATAGCACAGGGATCAAAAACCAGCCAGTCAAGACAGCACCCAGCAGCTCGACAGCCAGGATATGCAACCTGGAAGACCTTGCGAGCGGTCAATGGGTTAACATCAAAACACAAGGCAAAGCCCCAGAGTGGAAACCGGACCAAGATTTGAGCTGGACGGGCTACGGTCGCAATGGATGCCGATCTAACATTTGGAACGAACGCTACCTCCTGACACCATCCGTTCTCGATAATACCACCACGCTCTATGGCACTGATTTGCTGCAGGCCGATCAGGAGCACGCCTGGCATCTGAAAAACTACCACTGGCAGCCGGACCAAAGGCGGGACCGACAAAATCAGCGTCAGAGACAAGGACAGCCAGATCTGGGAGAATGCAGGCTGCCTAAGTTCGATGCGGAAGACTTTGTGGAAGTGTTGAAAAGAGCACCCTTGGTAATGATCGGTGACAAGTTCTTGGAACAAGAATACCTCGCCATCGAGTGTCTGATCTTGGGGATGCAGAACCAGCTTTTGAGGGATTATCGGTCAGAGATTGCTGGATCCGACGTCGATGACAAGGCAGCGCTGAACTCATTGGAATATCGGATCGAATCCGAAAGTCCGCCTGTTGTCGAGTTCAAGATTGCTCCTGGATCTGACAGCCCACCGCACTCAGAGTCAAGGTCATCAACAGGAGCATCCAAGAGTCGGTCAGCAATCTACAGAAAGGCCAAGCCGGGACAGATGCGACTTGTTGACAGAATATCCAACCTGACGCTCGTAACATTTATTCGCTCGGACGTTCTCTGGGATTCAGGGATGTTGATAGGCCAGGTAGCGAAACATGCTCTGAAATCTACTACAGAGCTCTCCAACTTGGACACCGGTGGGCTCCATCCGGATTGCAAGCTTGTAGGAACAGTGCCACTTTGTGAACCAGCGAGCATTAGTATCCACGACGATCGGTCAAAGGGCTCTCAGAAGGTGAAGAACACAGCATCTCGATGGTGGCAATGGTTGGTAGGAGTGAAGGATACTGGATTATCAAGTAACGGATATGACCTAGGTGGGGCTTCTGAGAGCGAAATGTCAGTCGGATCGGACTTGGACCGCGATATAATCAACCTAGAGTGGGCGCAGAGTCTTGATGATATTGTCAAAGACTCGGCTGCGCATCGAGAACAGGTATCAACACGAAGGGATTCAACTGAGGGTGATGCTGAGCGCAAACCTGTGGTCTTGGTCAGCAACGGGCACTTTTGGGAGTTCGATCCACGGGTCGCCATCAGTCTTACTCAAGAAAGGAGTAACAGGAAGATGACCAAAGCGGATCAAGATCAGGTCAAGGACAGCCAGGATAAGCGCAGGAAGTTGTTGCGGCAGCGGTATACGATGGTCATGACCAACATGCTGGACTATATCAAAGCGAATTATCCAGATCTGAGGGTCATCACCCAGACGAGTGTTCGGCACAGTGCATGCGAGCCGGCATCGCTGAGCACCGCCGACAAGGCTTTTCAAGATGCTAAGGAGCAAGAGGCTGCCCTTTTGAATGCTCTGACCAAGGTAAAGTACATATAGGTATGCGTACAGCAGCAGACCGTTATGCGATGGAAGCCATCGCGATTATGGACTAATGGCCTGTGCTTTCTTATGACAGACCGTAGTAGCTCGGATGCAGGATCCTCTTTACTCATTCATGGACACCACATTCCTGCGAGTCTTCAAGGACTCTATCGCAAACAATCCACACTGCAGCAGCTTCATGATGCCAGGTAAGGGAATTGGCCTTTAGCATGCCATGGTGGTCTTGAGCTTTTCTTCAGACAACATTTATTGACGCATTGTTTTGTCATGTTCTTATTAGGACCCTTGGATATCCTGGTGCATCATCTCTACGGAGAACTCTTTAGGCTCGACCTGTAAATTGTAATAATAGTAATAGCAATAATAATAATAATAATAATAATAATAATAATAATAGTAGTAATAATAATAATGAGTGCTATATTCCTACGTCCCTGAACACTCTACTGCGTTGCGTTATGGGTTAGCCAACTGTGCAGACAATTCAGGTTCCAGCAATGGACGCGTCGAAAGGATCAACCCAGTTTTCAATCACCAAATGCCTACTGCAAATACAAGGAGGAGCTTAGCGAGGAAAGCCCCGTCCACTTTACTCGTTAGATGATATTAAAAGTTGATAAAGGACGAGGTCAGGGGCAGGGGTTGCAACGGGGGTACATAGGGATGTGTAAGCAGGATCGAATGCCGTGTTGGTCACACGAAGACGAGGAGTTTTTTTTGTCATACAAAAATCCACCTGATGTCGATGCCGCTGTTTATTGTTTGTTGGTGTCGCTGCACTTTGCCCCTTTTTTGTTCCTGTCCGCCTTGACCCTCGTCAGTTCGTCACCGCGCCATGCGGACAGACAGGGACAGCAAAGACAGGAGTAACTCTTGTTCCACCTCCACCTCTCGCTCGACCTCCCTGCCTACTTGTCGTTCTACACTGCAGCCCATCTCCTCCTCTCACCCCGAGCTTTGCCCTCGACACTCTTTTACCATCGCACTATCCGCATTGCACACCATCCATCCCACTCCTGGCTGAGCCCAGGATATATCTGACGGCAAAATCATCACTCCATTTCGCGAAGGCATTGCGCTGAAAAGTAAAGTGTGAGGTGCTGTGCAAGGACCATGTCAACCACCGCGACAACTCCGCCCTCAAGCTCTAGTTCCAGGGCCAGAGACAGGCTCCCCCAACCAATATCGCACCAACAGCAGCTGTCCTTACTCCAACAACACCAGCCATTTCCCTCTTCCACCTCCTCATTTTCAATCAGACATTCGACCTGCTCCTCAAGCCTGCTTGGCCCGAACGACTCTGCGAGAATATCTCTCCTGCAAGGAACCAGCGCAAGCTCCAACGGCAGCAGCAGCAACTTTAATTTCTCCAGTCAATACAATGGCCAGCCATCCAGTTTCGATCGTCGAGTGCCACCACGCAACTACAACCTTTTTGACCCTATAACATCGTTATCCTCTAACGGCGCAGGGACACAGGGTGCTAATGGCGCATCAAGAGCCGGTGGAAGGACCTGGATCCGATCGAGGGGGTCAGCTGCTCACGACGCGTTCCTTCAGGACTCGGCATCTGATCTCAACTCGCTCTATACCATCGATAGCACAACCCCAGCTCTCACTGATCCGGATGACTCGGTGGACGATGGAGCGTCGTATTTTGGGACATCCGGACAGGATTATTTGCTGAAGCAGAAAAGAGCTTGGCGGTCAAAGATGATATGCTGGTTGGACCTGATTATCCTAATTGTGTTCACAGCAATGGCTGGCTTACACGGACCAGTGACAGGCGGAGAGGGACAGGCACCAGAAGGAACATGGACATGGAGCTGGGAAAAGGTAGCATGGCCATTGACAGTCATGGCTATCGTACGCATTTCGACGATGGCATTCACGGTTCGTTACAGTGACGGGAACTACAATGCCGTGGTCATCTTTATTTGCGTGGTATGTATCATACTATGGGAAAACAGGCCAAGTATGAAACCTTGTATTATCGATCTTGGTCGATTAATCCCTGCCTTGCAATAACCCTACTAGCTAATTACCTTGCGTACAATGTTCGAGGTCAACATGGTCATACAGCATCGTCTCGAGATCACTGCTACGCTCATCGCGCAGTATGCTGTATCTGTGGTCCTGACACAACTTCATTGGATCTCATATTCCGCTCACACACCCATGTCTGCGACTCTTGCTTATGCATACGATCCACACTTGAGCGACAGCATCACATTCTCGCGCGAGTCCCGATATATCGGAGCAATCTCTCATAGCCGGACACAGGCATTGCGGCGGGGTACATCATACGGAACAATGGGCAGTTCTCCGTTTGATGCCGTGCAGGAGCAGGATGAGGAACAGGAGGATGACCCAGATATGTTTATCAAAGTGAATATCGACCGCAAAAAATCAACCTCCGTTACTGCTCGCACTCGTGAGATGGATGACGGAAGCGATGAAGACGATGGTGGAGCTGGCAATGGTGATTTTCGTGGCGAGGGGGATGGCGACGAAGATGGCGGAGAGGACCAGGACATGGCCACGTTACTAGCATTTCAGGATGCACGGAGACAGCAGGTCTACGCCTTCTCGCCCACAGCATCCTCTTCGGTCATTCCTCCTCGATCCATTCTATCGCCTCAGGCATTACCTAATGACTCTTCCAATATGAATCGGGCGCCGCTCTCATGGACACTTCAGAGACAACAGGACTCCTCATCTTCGTACGATATGCGACTGGCGGCAGCAGGTGCTTCGGGTGCGGCAGCTGTATCTGGCGGATTGACTATGGGATATGCGCCGAGGAAGCGATCCTTGCGCTCGAATCTCGATCCCAACGGGACAGGAAGGAGGACATGGACTGGTGGCCATAATATCATTTATTCGGGCATCTTTGTCGAGGACTCGGATGATGAGATGGACCTTGGCCAAGGAGTAGGAGACGTCTCTGCGGTATTACAGGACGATGACCAAGGGGAAGGAAATGGCACATACGACTCACATAAGCAGCTGGAATTCGATGATACTATCAAGGCGGAGCTCAACGACACCACCATGACAGCACTTGATAATTCAAAAGAGAGCGAACCGCTTGCAGATGAACTACAGTCTGAAGTAAAAATCGACATTAGCCTCTCAGGATCAGTCATTACTGTAGAGGAGCCATCACAGACGCGACTATCGACACTTCTCGAACCCGTTCCTGGTTTGCTGGATGATCATGTGGAGCATCGAAGATATCCTCATTTTGAGGAGCCGGCTGTTGAAAGAGAAAAAATAGGCACAGCGATCGATGCGTCAGAAGGAGGTATGACAGTGTAGACCGCCAGCCAACGTGCCAACGTAGTAGCACGTTAGATGCAAACCAAAGGCTAACTGTATCGTTTTAATAACTAATACAGATACCGGACCAAACGGAGATGTTGTCCCGGAGGGCCACCAGCACCACATTCACGGCCTGTCCACTCTCAAGCTCAACATATCATCGCAAAAGGAGATCATGGCGGTACTGTGCGAGGAGGACAATTGCTCCGAACATCAGTTTCAAGAGGGTCCTGCGGCTGAATTGGAGAACGCGCTTGGTCCAAGATTCACTGGCGGAAATGTTGTTCAGCTGGACATCAAAGAGAGCTCCACGGCTTCTCTTGAGAAAAATGGAGAGAGTATCAATGATTTTGGGGATTCGTCTTTGTTGGGCACCATTCACGGAATCCCCGGGCAACATTTTGAACCTCTAGATGGAATCAAGCTCGATATTCAGGGACCTGCGGTTGACGGTGACAGGAATCACGGACAGGATGATCAGCATGGCCATGAGTCGAATGAAGGCCATACTCAGGAATGGATCGGAAGAACGACACTAGAATTGGAGGTGGATATCGACCCTACTTCGGGGAGCACCCTTCCAGGACCTAAGATAGAGGGAACCAGTTGCCCAGACATAACAGAAGCCATCGGAGAAAATCTTAACGAGGGGGAACCAGGGTATCGCAGGATACATATCCACCAAAGAATCGAGCACATCGTCATGGATGAAGAGGACAAGGTCGGTGGCAACGACATTCGGGATACTGGTACCATACGTCAAGGTCATACTCACCCTTCGGCTATCGCCATTGGTGGAATAGTCGTAGTGGATGATCCCTCGACGCTCACCATCCAGCCAACTGCGATTATGCCGACTTCGAATCCAGGACAGTGGGTGCATACTCAGGACGCAGAGCGACCGACAGGTGTGATCACCTGGGGTGTTGTGGATGATATCCCTCAGTCCTTTCAGGATGAAGTGATCATAGAACCTGCACCGGGGCCAGCAGTTTACATCCCATCTCAAAGGACAGCCATCGTGGAATATCCTCAGCCAGGAACAATCGGAATTGTATCTCCTTCTCAGCCAGCTGTTGCAATTGACCCGCCATCAAGACAGATCGTTATTCCGCCGCGACAGCCTATCATCCAGCATCCACCTATACCGCAGCCTCAGCCTCGCGTGATTGTTCAGCCAAGGTCGGAACCTGCAGTCTATATGCCCCGGCCTCGTCCTGTTTTAATTCCTCCTCAACCTGTTCCGCAGCCTGTTCCACAACCTATCCCCGTCATGCGGCCTCCTGTAATGGCACAGCCGCTACCGCGAGCCTTCGTTCAGCCTCAACCACAAGTCATTGTACCCGCTGCGACCGCCATCGTTCCTGGGCCACAGATCGCTGCGCCTGGGCCTCCCCTTGCGCAACCCGTTTATGGAACATATGAGACCATCGTCCCCGGAGTTACAGGCGGCGCAAGAGTAATGCAGGGAGGTATGGCTCCTCTAGGTGGTGGGCACTCTGTCGCCTCCATATATGACGACCGATCTGTGGTCTCCATTTACGAAGACGACGTGCATTCTGTGGTATCTATCTACGACGACCGCTCTATTGTGTCCATCAACGAGTTGGAAGACGTGCGGGCAGTAGTACCTGTTGCCGGCCCGGCAGGGCGACGACCCTGGATGCAGGGACAGCCTATTCCTGCAATGACCCATGGTCATCATCTCGCGTCCGCGGCACATGTTCCAAGGCAAGCCAGATCGCAAGCTATGCATCCTATACAGGCTGATGATATCGATGCCTACTATAGATCAGAAGTAGACGGTCGTGAGATCATTGGGCGCGCGAGTCCTCTGAAATATCAGTCTTTCGACAGCCGAAGCGCGTTCGCAGACGGTCCTATTGTTAGCAACCGGCATGAACATCGTGCGGACGAAATTAAAGTCGAGTCGCAAGCCCATGCCGTTTCTAGACACGAGTCATTTCCCTCTGATTCGGCCAACACAGAGCTATCGTATCAAGAAGTTCAGGTGCAAGAAGAACCAGTCCAACTACAGGAACTGGCTATAGAGACTTACTTTGATACCACAAGGTCGCAGCTAAAGGTCAGGGAGCAGCAGGGCCAGCTTCTATTCGAGATGGCTCTTCAACTGAAAAAGAGGCAGCAGCAGGTACAGAGGAAGGAAAAGCAGGAAAAGGAGCTAGCACAGCTGCCACTGCTTGAGACTTCCCAACGAGCACAATCACAGGACCAGGACCAGAGCCAGACCCAGACCCAGACCCAGAGCCAGACCCAGACCCAGAGCCAGAGCCAGAGCCAGGACCAGGGCCAGGACAGGGAACAGCAGCATAAGCAGTACCTTCCATCTCCTCCATCGTCCAGTCGAGCGGCTTTTGAGGCCCCAACCTCGCCCATCTCGTCCATCTCCGCATTATCGCGATCCATTCAGCAGCATCAGTCGCCTCCAGTTCTTACCTTTCCAAAACCACCTCAAAGCCCACCTCCGGTTCGACTCTTGGCGAACAGAGGAACCCATCTGCCACCGACTCAACCCCGAAGTATTCCCATCGTGTCTCGATCCCCTGACCGGCAACACCAAGCGGGGCATGTCAGTAAGACAGCATTAGCTGCAGCCGATGCCGATGGAAGCGACGTTGAGGTTGTCTTTTCAACGTCAACTCAGGACGCTGAGCACATCATGCTTCAGTCCAGAAACCAAAAGCAGAGCATCCCAATTACTGAAAGATTTGGCGCTGGAACAGCTGATAAACCACCTTTGCCGCATTCATCCTTGAAGGCTAAGGCTGGCCAGCGAGCAGCCACGGCACGAAAGCTTCAGAAGAAGCAGCACATAGCCCCGATGAGCCGTCATCATTTGCACCCTTCATCGTTGCAAGAGGGTATCATGGCGTGCTGGAATAATGAGTTTGCAGCCTCACTCGAAGTTTTCAAAGAGCATTCGACGGCCTTCCCGAGGTGGAGTCTTGCAGCGGCAGAGGTAGGTTGCCTTTCAAAATAATAGTACATAGTCACTAAGCGCGGATGAGTTCAGCGCTAATGCTGTATGTTGTTTCGATAGGTTCATGTCGTGCGTCAGTTGATCAGTGGGCAGCTCTCCGAGGCCGACTCAGAACTCATGGATGCGCTTCAACTCTCAGAAAAAGTCGCATCCCGCATACTGGACAGGAGACAGGAATTCGTAAGTAACAAACATCAACTGGCCGGAGGCTGCCAGCACTTATGGTTTTCAAAACTGAGCAGTATGCCGTTTTCCTTTACTTGTCTCGTAGGATGCAAGCTTTATGAGCTACCGATCGATATGCAGTGCTGATGCTACCTTAGTCACGTCAAATGACAACACCCTCCGACAAAACTACAAGTGGGATTGCGAAATGGCCTTCTACGACACCTTGCTCTATCGCGGTATTCTGCAGCTGACATCGGCCTCAGACACCAAGGGAACGTTTTCAGACATCAAGGGTGGGCTACAGCTAAGGCGTGCGTGGAAGGGATATATGCGGATCAAACAGGAGATGGAAATCGCTAAGGAGCGGTGGCAAAAGCTGTCAAGTCTGGTGCAGTCGCAATCCAAAAGCGGGGGCCATCAAAAAGGAGCGTCGATTAACGCTGGGCAGAACCACAGCGTTCAAGCAGCAGTAGAGGAGGAGCGATCTGCTCACTCGACCAAGAACGCTCGCCCTGGCAAGTTGACCAAGACTGTAACAATGCCCATTTCTATCCCTACTGGCACATCCAACAATCCGCCGGCGAGTTCCAAGAAAGGCGCGCCGCTATCGACATCTCAGCCATCTGAGGGATCACGTTGGTCTATCTTCGGTAAACGAAGCAGCTGGAACCATTCAGCGGCATCTTTGTCGACCTCTCCAGCAGATTCCCTTGAGTATCCTCAGGAGGGTGAGCGCAGCGGCTCCTGGTTCTTGTCGTCGAGCCCATCTACTTCCAAGGGTCTGGCGAGTATTCTCAGGGACCAGACCAAGGCTGCAGAGGATATCAAGACTGCTGTCAAGGTTCTGGAGGATATTGAGGACTACATGCGCTATGGAATAGGGCTGTTTTATTTCATTGTCTCGATCGTTCCAAAATCGTTGTTGCCTGCACTTAAGACAATCGGGCTGCAGACGAATCATGAGCAAGGCATCAAGGATCTGGAAGCAGTCTTTACCCGCAAAAATGGTCGAGGTACGAATGTTGTCCGGATAGCTGCCTATACTTGAGCAACAGACGATGCTCTTACTAATGCTTGAACTGACTTATCTCTACCTAGCTCCGTTTGCGGCGTTATTTCTATCGATCAATTACCTGTTCTTGCCCAGGGGAATGAACGATCCATCCATATCTCTCGGAAGAGCAGGAGAAATCATCGATGAGTGCCTGAAGACATGCCCGTAAGTCTGCCCGATTGTAGGATCCATACTGTAAGAATCAGTGCTTTTGGTTCCGTCGCTTATGTAAACGTGTTGCTCTCGTTCAATAGCAACGGATCGAGTTACCTTCTGATGGCATGTCATCATGCCCGCAAGACAGGCAATATGATCCCTGCTGCCCTAAACCATATCACTCGAGGCATCCAAACGTGCGAAACTGCGGGCATTCCTTCTATCAACTACCGCTTCGAGCTCGGATTAACGTTCTTCATCCACCAAGAGTTTGGCAAGGCAGCCGATATCTTCGAGATTCTCTGGAGAAGGTTCATCATTATTAATGCTATGCCAATTGGTGGGGCCGTAGGGGCTGCAGCATCAGCTGGCGCTGGCCTAGGACGGAGAAGAAAAGGCCGCAGCAGCAGCATGAGTCAACCCGCCAGAAACGACCCTGCGACTGGAAGCGGCATCGGTGCCTCATTCGAGACGGAAGAAGACGAGGATGATTTTGAACTAGCACCTTTCTGTGGGCTGTGTTTGATCGCCAGCAAGATGGTCATTCGGTTAGGACAGGATGGATACTTCGGATACGGCAGGGATGGGTTCGGACACCTCAGCAGCGACGGAGGCATGTCCCCAATCTCTGGTCTTTTGTTTGAGAATGGTGTCGGATCTTCAACGCCGCTCAACTTTCCGCGACCAGGACCTGATTCGGATCTACTAATGGCTGCCTATGAAGTGATAGCTGTGATGTCTGGTTCTGAGCAAACTACCACCACAATGACTTCAGGCGGCAGCATAATCTTGGAGCATTCCAAGTCATCCTCCACTCAGTCGACGGATACCAGTGGAGGCAAATCCACGGCCACTTCCCAGATGCTCCCTTCGTCTGCTCCCACGCAAGCAGGAAAGGTAAATTGAGGTCCTTTATGAGTTCAAATGAACATGGACAACTGTCGAGACCTTTATATTAACATTAAATTGGATACTTCTTCCTGCTCAGCTCAATCGTTTCAATAAGTTTGCCTGGAATCAGTGTCAAAAGAGTCTTCAGCGTGGGCGTATCTCGCCATTCTTGCCTTTAGTGATTCTGTACCTTCGACGCGACCTAGCATACATGAGACCCGGTGTGCTCAGAAAATATCGCGTCCTTTTGGAAACCACCTGGAAGGTAGGTTTCTCTCAACACGCCTTACTCCTTGTTGTCGATGATACGCTGATACCAGACCTAATTCCTTTATCTGTACGTATTATATAGTCTGTACAACAAACGGCGGACGCTGACTCACAAGCGATCTACCTCTTATTGAGCGCTGTCGTGCACCGCCAATTGCTTCCGGATGATGCTACGTTCGTATACACCGCCCTAACCGATTGTCTGCTGCTTGAAGCGACTATTGAGAGCGAGCTGTGGGTCATCCCGCACTGTCACTACGAGGTAATTAAAGCAGTAGAACAAGAAAGATACATTATGAACAAAACTTATCGTCCACCTAAACGCTGTATTTATTATCTTTGGATCACTAGTTGGGCGAGCTGTTGTACAAGCAGCTTCATCTACCACAAGCAGCTCTGGAGCAGTTCCAATGGATTGTCAAAGGCCCTAGCAAAGAAACCCGGCCCTCCAGCATATTCTATAGCTCTGCTCCCGCCAGCTCCAATCCACGGCTCTCTGTATTCGGAGGCGGCTTTCCTTCCGACACAGTGACCAATCTTGTCGAAAGCGTCGCTGCCACGCAGGCCGCACAAGCTACAGTTTCGAGTGGAGGTCACTCGAAGCATCCGTCGACGACTTCTAATCATCGTCTCAGTCAGTTGTTCCCGCCTAGTAGCGGTAGCGCCATCCTCGGATCCTCACCGAAGCATGTTTCCTCAATAGCCAACCCACCTAGCCCGATGGCATTCTACAACTCGAGATACAAAAAGTTCGAGTTCTCACAGGCGCTGAGACAGAGAAGCTCGATTTGTGTAGAGCAGCTTCAGAAGGAAATCGATGTCAACACAAGTGGCTCTTCCAGCACGCCTGCGAGTCGACGTGCCTCTGTGTCTGGGAACGGAAATACTGCTACGGATTCGACTGCCCTGATCAATATTGCCCATACTGGAACGGTCAAAGCGGACAGCGGAAGCACGGCTATGGAGGGGGTTAAAGAGTCTCAGGGGGACGCATCTAAGAAACGCAATTCCTCGCAGTCAGTGGACCTTTCGGCCCAGAACATAGGAAACACAAAATCGCCTAGACTGTCTACGGAAGGCTCGGTAAAGGCTACCACGGCTGGATCAACAACTGCGGTTGCTGCGGACGCCAGATCGATACAGGGAGAGACATCACCACCGACGGTGCCAAATGGAGGTGATACCATGCAAGCAAAGCGCTCCTCGAGCGAGAGTTCCGCACACCCTCTTCTTCAGCAGGGCTGGAGTACTAATACCTTGCCTAACATCTTGTCGGACGCCCAGAGGAAACGAGGTAGCCAACAGTGGGGTCTGGGAAAACAACAACAGCAGCAGCTTAGGCCAGCGCAGTCCTCAGGTGGTGTTAAGCATTAAGAGATAGACAGTAAAAATAATATTTCTTTTGTGTCCAATCGACCTTTTCGCTTCGCCTTGATCTGCACAGAAGGGTGACTGGAGTGGACGAAAGCCACCAATTTGTTTTGATTTCTAGCTGCTTTTTTTTTTTTTTTTTTGGAAGGTTGAGCAGACCACTTCATTCACTCGGCATCACCTCTTCCCCCATCCCTCTCTTACGTTCGTAAAGCTCGGTTAGCAATGGTGAAGAAGGTTATCGACTCGCGCATCCACACGCTCATCAAGAATGGAGTGCAGTCCAAGCATCGCACGTTCTTTGTTATCGTTGGAGACAAGGGCAAGGACCAGGTCGTGAACCTGCACTGGCTGTTATCGCAGGCACAGGTCACTGCCCGCCCCTCCGTTCTCTGGTGCTACAAGAAGGATCTCGGCTTCAGCAGTCATCGTAAGAAGAGAGAGGCCAAGATCAAGCGCGACGTCAAGAGGGGTATCCGCGAGATTAACGAGGAGGATCCATTCGAGCTGTTCATCTCTGTCACCGACATTCGATACACCTACTACAAGGAGACTCAAAAAATCCTCGGAAACACCTACGGCATGTGCGTTCTTCAGGACTTTGAGGCACTAACGCCGAACTTGCTGGCAAGAACTATCGAGACTGTCGAGGGCGGTGGAATCATTGTGCTTTTGCTCAAGAGCATGTCGTCGTTGAAGCAGTTGTACACCATGTCCATGGTATGTGTATCTCTTTATGGAGTGGATATTGGTAACTCAATCTATCATCGGTGCAGGATCTTACTAATACCACGCTCGACCCTTTGCTTTGCCTTCACTCCATATAGGACGTACACTCAAGATATCGCACAGAGTCACATCATGATGTAGTCGCTCGATTCAACGAACGTTTTATTCTCTCACTTGGAAACTGTCCCTCATGCTTGGTCGTCGACGACGAACTCAATGTTCTCCCTATTTCTTTGGGCAAGAACGTGAAGCCGTTGCCAATCAAGACCGGAGAGGACGCTATGACAGACGAGCAAAGGGATCTGATCAAGATCAAGGAGAGTGTTCAGGATCAGCAACCCATGGGCGCACTTGTCGGCACAGCCAGGACCAAGGATCAGGCAATTGCTGTCATGAAGTTCATCGAGGCCATCGCCGAGAAGACCCTCCGTTCAACCGTTACCCTGACCGCCTCCCGTGGTCGTGGTAAATCCGCTGCACTCGGAATCGCCATGGCCTCAGCCGTCGCTTACGGATACTCCAACATCTTTGTCACTTCACCCAGTCCCGAGAACTTGAAGACATTGTTCGAGTTTGTATTTAAAGGATTCGACGCACTTGGGTACGAGGAACACATGGATTACGATATTGTCCAGTCCACCAACCCAGAGTTTAACAATGCCATCGTTCGTGTCAACGTTTTCAAGCGCGATCATCGCCAAACTATTCAGTACATTCAGCCTCAGGACGCACATACCTTGGGCCAGGCCGAGTTGGTCGTTATCGATGAGGCTGCTGCTATCCCCCTGCCACTCGTAAAGGCGCTTTTGGGCCCATATCTTGTCTTCATGGCTTCGACGATCAACGGCTATGAGGGTACGGGTCGCTCTCTCTCCTTGAAGCTGATTCAGCAGCTCCGTGAGCAGTCGCGCGGATTCGTCGGCAAGGATTTGAACGCCGCAGAGTTGGCGAAGAGCAAGGCAACAGGAACTGCAGCGAGCGCGAGGACGTTGAGGGAGATCGAGCTGAAGGAGCCCATCCGTTACGCACCAGAGGATCCTACAGAGAAATGGCTCAACAAGTTGCTATGCTTGGACGCCACTGTTGTTCAGAAGAATATCTCGGGATGCCCCGCCAAGGAGGAGTGTCAGCTCTTCTACGTCAATCGCGACACGCTCTTCTCATACCATCCCGTTTCAGAGACTTTTTTGCAGCGCATGATGGCCCTCTATGTCGCCAGTCATTACAAGAATACCCCCAACGACTTACAGCTGCTGAGTGATGCTCCCTCTCATCATCTGTTTGTGCTGCTGCCGCCGATCAAGGAGGGCGACCGATCTCTGCCTGACCCTCTGTGCGTTCTTCAGGTGTGTTTGGAGGGTGAGATTTCAAAGCAGACGGTGTTGAACAGCTTGAGCCGTGGTGTTCGTGCAGCAGGAGATTTGATCCCTTGGTTGATTTCGCAGCAATTCCAGGACGACGATTTTGCATCCTTGTCGGGCGCTCGTGTTGTTCGCATTGCGACCCATCCGGACTATGTCAAAATGGGATACGGCTCTAGGGCTTTGGAATTGCTCTCTCAATTCTATGAGGGCCAGTTTTCGATGTTGGCGGAAGACGATAAGGAGAAGCCCGAGTACAGCATGACCCGTGTCGACGATAGTGAGCTTGAAGGAGCGTCCTTGATGACGGATGATATCAAGATCAGAGATCCCAAGAAGATGCCTCCTCTTCTGTTGAAGCTGAGCGAGAAGAAGGCGGAGAAGCTTCACTGGCTCGGCGTCTCCTATGGGTTGACGGGCCCTCTTCACAAGTAAGATTTTTGCACTGGGGAAAACTCACTTTAACGTTTTAGATAAGGATCATCTTGCTAAGTGGTTTACTATTTCTGATTATGTACTCGCAATAGGTTCTGGTCCAAGGCAGGATATGTCCCAGTGTACCTTCGCCAGACTCCTAATGACTTGACGGGTGAATACACCTGCGTGATGCTCCGCACACTCGAGTCATCCCATACACAGACGCAGTGCGACCCCATGTGGCTGTCGTCTTTTGCCAAGGATTTCCATCATCGTTTCCAGAGCCTACTCTCCTTCCAGTTCCGCTCCTTCTCTGCCACGCTGGCGCTCTCGATCCTTGAGTCAGCCCGGTCTGCCAAGCAGGCCAACAGTGAAGGGAACAATGGCGGCGATAGTAGGAACCCTACAGACCTGATGGTCAAACTATTGCGTGGGGGTCCTATCTCAAGGGAACTGGTCGATACGCAGTTCACGGCCTATGACCTGAAGCGTCTGGAGAGTTATGCCAACCAGCTGTTGGACTACCACGTTATCCTGGACTTGCTTCCCCAGATCGCCAGCATTTGGTTCGACGGCAGGATTGACGACGGTGGATTCAAATTGACCAACATCCAGTCGGCGTTGTTGTTGGCTCTGGGATTGCAGCGCAAGACCATTGATGACTTTGAGGTAAAAAAAAAAAAAATGCTGTCAATGACTATACTCCAACGAATGCGAGCGTTTGTTCCCTATTTCGGTCCCTGTTTTTGCTAACGTGCATTTCCCTGTGCTTTTTATTTTATTTTTTGTCGCATTTTATAGAAGGAAATTGGACTTTCGGCATCACAGCTGCTGGCCTTCTTTATCAAGATGATCCGCAAGTTCTCGGATGTGTTCAAGGAACAAAAGACCCGTGCCTACACTGAGGAGATCAATAACAACCGGGCCGCGATCTCTGCACAACAGACCAACAAGAAGAGCGGCAGCGGCATCAATAAGATGAAGCGCGATGTGACCAAGGAGGAAGAATGGGACCCCAACACTGAAGATCTGGATGACGAGCTCGGAAAGGAGGGTCGCTTACGGTTGCGTGAGCTCCAGAAGGCGTCACTGGGTGATGTGGAGAAGATGTACGCGATCGCGAAGGACGAGACCGTGGACTGGTCGATGGCGGAGGCCCAGATTGATAAGAAGGGCAAGTCAACGGTGGTGTCGGTCAAGAACCCGGATTCGACCAAGAAGAGGAATCTGGTCAAGGGCGGCACCGCAAACGAGGTCTTGGAGAAGGAGTCCAAGGAGTTTGTCCGTGGAAAGGCATCGCGACGGGAGGGCAAATCTGCGAAGAGGCGCAAGGTCTGAGGAAAGAGACTGGAGGATCTACAGGTTATCATCTAGAGCGCCCTTATTTGTTCATATTATTATCATATATCAGCTTTTTTTCTTTGTTTACTGCATCATAATAAAATCAGCATTATCGCATTCTAATCGGAATATTGATGATGGAAAAATAGTATGTGGAGAGCTATGGGAGGAAGGACGTCTATTGGATGAAGATGATGGCTGAATGGACATATCGGGCACGGATGGGAACCTGCAGCGGCGTTCTTATTGGACAATGGGTGGTGCTGTGCGATACAGGAGGAGGGGCGATGAAACCAAAGAGAAATAGAGTTTCGCGTGGTTCAAGGAGGTCGGATCATGTCTCGTGGAATGGACGCTTGTGTATAGTTTTTTTTATTATTATTACTACTATTACTATTGTTTGCACTCTTTGCGAGCCATTTTGTTCTCGCACTGTTTCTATTGAGGGCAATCAATGCCTGAAGGGCTTTCTATTGAGCAGCCCTAACTCGATCGTTCATCGTTCGTGATATCTGAACGCTCATCCATCCTACTTCCTGGTATCTTTTTTTTTCTCTTTTTCTTTTTCGTGCTCTAACAGTCGTTTACTGCGACTTTAATTGGGCCAAGGATCCGGTGGGTAACTTGACAAAGGTGTTGCTCGCATCATACAGTCCCGCTGCAGCATTATACCAGGCCAAGAGAGCGGTGATGACTCCCAGGGCGCCTCCGAACTTGGTCACCATGTTGCCGGCAGACAGGTGTGAGAGGTGAGCGGAGGAGAGAACAAAGAAGGTGATGGTGAGGATGAAGAACATGGAGGAGAGGGTCATGGTCGAGCGCACGGTGGCGATCCACATGATGAAGGTGAAGATCCCCCAGGCGAACAAGAAGATGCCCAGGGCGTTGTCGAGGGTATGGTCTGGGGTGTTTGCGTAGGCGGAAACGACCCCGAATCCGGGGATCAGGATCGCGGCGTACGAGAGCCAGAAGGCGCCGTAGGATCTGTGTGGTCGTTGTGTGTTAAAGGTTATCGTATATGTTCATTGTTAATAGATTTCAAAAAATAAAATAGACTTGACGCCAAAGGAGACGAACAGGCTCTCGTTTCAAGAAACGGGGAAAGGAGGGGCGACTATAATCATTTCCCTTTCCTTCTCCGTGATCTGTTTGATCTCGAATTAAAACATATGATGATGAAAAAGAAGAAGAGAAAGGAAAAAAAACAGTGCAGAAGCTTACGTGAAGGCAGTTGCACCAAAGTTGTTGCCGACCTTGAACTCCCACATTCCAGCAAGGATCTGGGTAATGCCTCCATAGAACATCGCGAGACCGGTGACGACAGTAACAGGTCCACCAGACGGAACGCCCGCACCCAAGTTAAAGAGTGAAAGGACAACTGTATATTGGTAAATCCAAGTCTCTGGTTAGAATCGCAATAAGGTTAAAGTGCGTGTGCAGGTTGTCATACGAAAACAACAACTAGTTTTGCGCAACAACGCAGACCAACAGACAAATTAAAAGACACTAGAACACTAGAACTTACAGGTCGTTAGGGCGAATGCACACAGACCCAGGGGACCAGGATTGATTTTGGGGGTGGCAGGCGCCACATTAACATGGTTGTTTTGGCTCTTGTAGTCTTCAATGCCGGACATGATGTAGCGGAGAGTAGTGAGATGGCGATGGATGCAATGAACTGCTGGATGAGGATAATGAATGAATGCGATATAGATGAACGGTAAGGAAATAAAGAAAACAAAAAAGGAAGAAAGAAAAGAAGTCAGAGGACATCCGCGATTATATACAGAGAAAGGAGAAAAGAGCGGCCCCCAAGTGATGACCATAGACAGCACTCCAAGGACTACCAATGATGGTCGCCCCGCTTACACGGTGGGCGAGAAGCCGTTTTCGTTCTGTGGATGCTGCAGGTCAGGACAGCTGCAGCCAGTGTGCTGAGTGGATCCAGCCCAGGTTTATTTTCTATCGATCTGACAGCAACGTACCCAATTCTCTCTGTCTGCACCAGACAACCGACTTGATTTGGACTAGAAAGGGTCGTCAGGAAAGCAGTGGCCTTTATGCTCCATCACACCTCGGTCAATGACCAACTGTGATCCCGCAGTCTAAGCAATCGACTAAGGCACTGGTTTACAGCAGCCCCGCACTATAAAGAAATATAAGCTCTTCTATGGGACACACACACAAAAGCACGTACGAGAGCAATCATCAACGGTCGAGGGAGAGAGAGGGGAGAGAGGAGAGAGAGGGGGAAGAGAGCATGGGTGATAATAACTCGCAGCGAGATCGAAAATAAAACACGGAGAACCGAACTGGCTGCCGCCCTACTGCAGCCAGGTCCTTCCCAACGACTTGTCCCTGAGCTGTCATTCGAAACCCAAAGCCCAGCGCCCGTTACGCAGGGGGTGAATAATTCGTTCGTTACATAAGAACCACCCTTTTCTGCAGGGATAGGTTGCTGCATATTAAGTACTATGCTCAGTGTGGCATGCGCCAGGAGCAACAACAGGAGCAACAACAGGAACAATGACAGGAACAACAACAGGAGCAAGCAAGCAGGTATAATGCAATCCGTAATATGTCTGAGGAGCACTTTGATGCTGGAAACATGAATAGCTATCCAATGAGCCGATCAACGTCGCGTTCCTTTGTTGCGTTCCATTTCTGCGTTCCTTTGTCATGTCCCGCCAGTCTAGATCTTTAGCCCTTTCCACAAACTCAAGAGGGTTGAATGAACATAGAGAGTTGCGGATGTGCTCCGTTGTTTACACTCGGTCGTTTTAGGCCCAAAGGTAGTTTGGATGGCTAGACCACAACAAATTTCTCCGAAGACATGTCGTACAGTCTGAATAGACCAACTCACGTTCCAAGAAAGAAAGAAAAGTTAGAAATGCCCTGGCATCCTCCCGAAAAGGAAGAGAAAATGGGAGCGGCCTAACGGCACTTGGTGGGTGAGGTGCTCGTGCAACCATGAATCTCCTTTATTTGATTCGCCAGGAATTTGTCCAAGCCCACGAAAGCCGATTCGATCCGCACCCTACAAGCTACTTTGAGGCAAGATCATCATGAACAACAACAGTACATGCTGCACAGTACGTTGGGAGCACTGTGCGAGCTAGACTACCGCTGTGCCCTCCAACCCGATGTTCACATCCATACCGCAATATACCGGAAAATGCTACAACCCCACAGATCGCTGCCCTGTCGGTCATACGAAAAAGTTTGATTATCGCTCAGGCGGAGCCATGGGTTGAATGCACCAAGACGCTGTCGAAGAGCGTACTGCTAATGGATGGGATGACACATATGGCACGAAGGGATATTTAGTTCGGTCAAAGAGTGAGGGGGCTGCGTACAATAGGATGATAAGGAAGAGAACAGAGTTATCCCCAGGGCTGAGGTTGTGGACCTTGGGCTAAGGTTGTGAGGGCGATAGATAGACTATCAGCTAGGGCACATCCTGGCGACATCCAGAGGCTAGAAGCAGGTCCGATTGGCCTGCCCAGCGCATGAATCATATGACATGGTGGTGGCCCGCAGGAGCGTTGCTCATGGAACCCAAATGCCAGCATCTGCATCCTACTGGCAGAACCTTGGTTGGAGGGAGGGTATTGGGTTTAGAGTGTAGATTTGCTAAACGAATACCCGCTCCGCTTCGATCTCTATGGCCGATATGACTAACAAACAAAGGGTGTAGGCCACCTATGCTCCACCCCACCCACGCGCTATCTTCTGCCGACCCTATAAAAGGGACTGGTCCCAGGAGCCATAATGCGCCTCGTCTCTTCTTCTTCCTCCATCCCATCCGCCTCCTCCTCGTCTCTATCTAGCCGCAGCAGGGTCTCCTACGCAGCCAAAAAACCCTCTTCCTCATCCTCCCACCTCCCCACTCTCCTCTTTCCCCCTACACACCACCCACTCGACCGCATCATGAGTGCAATCGGCGAGAAAACTGCCGTCGGCTATACCACGGAGAAGATGGAGAGCATCGACTCCGAACAAGGCTACAGCCATGCATCAGAACAGCTCGACCCCGCTGCCGTGGGCAGACTCCGGAGAAAGATCGATACCCATCTTATCCCTCTCATCTCCGTCCTCTATCTCTGCTCTTTCCTGGATCGAGTCAACATCGGTAAGCGCGCCACCGCTTTTCTTTTCTTCCGCTCAAGACAATGTCCTTGGCATGAACAATTGGATAAACCCCCCATTGCCAGTCTCTTACCATAAATGAAATTCTCCTATGCCTCATTTTACGATCAACAGGAAATGCAAAGGTCGCTGGTTTGGCCACGGACATTGCGCTGACTGCAAGCGAATACAACTGGGCCCTATCCATTTTCTTCATTGGGTAAGTGAACCACTAAGAATCATGCAAATACTCTCAGGCGCGCTACTTTAGGTTGTTTAGTGTACACATACACCCAAACACTGCATGTTTGTTTCGGCATGCTCCTCACACTAACCACAAACGTTGTTTTCTTTTGTACACGCCGTTTCAATCCACCGCACCAGATATGTCATTTTTGAAATCCCTTCCAACATCCTGCTCAAGTTGATGGGACCCAGGAAGTGGATTACTATCGTTATGATTGCCTGGGGCGCTATCATGATTGCTATGGCCGCCGTCCACAATGCCGCTGGATTGCTTGCTGCCCGTTTCTTCCTTGGATTGACTGAATCTGGACTGTTCCCCGGCTCTGTGTATCTCATCTCACTATGGTACACTCGTTCTGAGCAGGCCCTGCGCAACGGATTGTTCTTCAGTACCGCAACCATGGCTGGTGCTTTTGGAGGTGTCTTGGCCTACGGAATTGCGCAGATGGAGGGTGTTAGAGGTCTTCATGGTATGTTCCTGAGTGTGCATTTGCAAATGGACTAAGAGAGAGAAAAAAAAAGAGATCGCTGTTGAAGCTCGTCTGATCGCTGACACACTTTCAAAATGATATGCTACTTTAGGATGGCAATGGATCTTCATCTTGGAGGGTCTGCCCACCGTGCTGTTGACGATCGTTGTGTTCTTCTTCTTGCCCGACTTCCCCGGAACGGCTCGCTTCTTGAGCACAGAGGAGAAGGACTTGGCTGTGAGGCGCTTGGTCATCGATGCTGGTCCAGCTACTCAGACAGAGTTCTCATGGAAGCAGTTCCGCAGCGTTTTCACCGACTGGAAGGTCTATATGCACATGATCACCTATATCCTCAATGCCACGCCACTCTATTCGCTTTCGCTATTCTTGCCTTCCATCGTCCAGGGCTTCCACTTCAAGTAAGTATCGGGGGGAGGGGGAGGTTTTCCCACATAGTGACCTGTAGAACATGGCTGAGAGGCGGTATTTGCACGACAGCAATCTGACAAGCATACCTCTTTGTTTGTGTTCTTTTTTATAGTCCTCTGACAACACAGGCCATGACAGCGCCCGCCTATGTGATCGCCTGTCTTTTCACCATTGCCTGCGCTTTCTCCTCTGATCGCTTCCGCGAACGTGGCTACCACTATGCCATCCCTACTTTCGTCGGCTGCTTGGGCTACATTCTCCTGATTGTCACCAAGGACTCGCACACTGTGAGCCGTTATGTCAGTTTGACGATCACTGCGAGCGGTGTATTCTCTTCGGTGCCTCCTATGCTCTCATGGTTCACGACCAATATTGGAGGCCATACCAAGCGTGGAGTTGCAACTGCTGCCATTATCTCCTTTGGAAATATTGGAGGAGCGATCGGCGGACAGATCTACAGAGCATCGGATGTAGCAGACGGATATGTTCGTGGTCACACCATCTGCGCCTGCATGATGGGTATCTCTGGTCTCTTGATCCTGGTGATGAAGTTCTTGTTGGCCAGAGAGAACAAGCGCAGGGCCAACTTGACCCCTGAGGAGTTTGCTCGGGAGGCCGAGGGCGAGGACCTGTGCGATTACCACCCTGCCTTTGTCTACTACACGTAGATGTTCAACGGCGCTTAACATTACTCTGTAAATATAATAAACCGACGCTGGCACAATGAACATGTTGTGTTTAAAGATCTTCATTGTCAAAGGGATATATGTGTCATACCCCTCCTTGCTTGACTGAGAACAAGAACATCGCCAACTGCATTCTGACAGGTGTCCGGTTTTTTTCTTCTAAAAAAAAGAAAAAAAAAAAAGGTCAACGCCGTTTCTTGAAGGGGGAGCAATGAAAACACCCTCTATGGTTGTCTATCATTAGCACTTTCGATAAATGAATGGGATCTACTAATGAGAGTTCTGCTCCTTCTTGCATCATTTATCCTCTATTTCCCACTACCGTGGCCTCATCATCATGCCTTCATCTGTGATCCAGCACTCTCTCCAACAAAAACAGTCATTTCATTTACAGACACTCTTCTATGCGGCTTCCCTCCCTCCTCCCCAAATGCTCCCAGACCATTGCACTTTCCGGACTCTGCAGAACCATTGGCGACCAAAGCTGAGGTCTGGAACGATTTATAAGCGCAGACACGGCTGGACTACACGATCGACCGAGACATTCGACCAGAACTCGGGAAGTGGTGGTGCAAAAAGGTGAGGTGGGAAGATCAACAAGTTGCCCTTGTGCCGATCCCTGTACGACAATACAAATTGTCAAACGGATTAAAGGACTATTCTATCGATACTAGTTTATTTTTGGAAGCGGTCCACAATATGATATTCAGCATTCTTCCTTTGTATGCGCCAAGTTACATCCATGGGTGGACGTTGTCTGCACAGCGGTTCGAATCCTTGTTCTTGTTCGATCAACTCGAACGGAGGAGTGCTCCTGCCAATCTTTGTGAAACAAACAAATCCAGCTTTTGTCTGTCTGTGGTGCACAGGAAGGCGCGCAAACATTCTGCTCGTCATACTCCCAGCATATACACACATTCAAATGCTCCCACATCCTGCCATAGCCATCACCGTCATCATCTCCATTTCCTTAATCGAGAGGGATGTATACCACAAACGGATAACCTCTGTCATGAGAAGCAACCATGCATACGCATTTGGTTCTATACTTTTTTTTTTTTTTTTTTTAATTTTAAATTGTGCTATAGCATCACCATATGTTCATGGTCAGGCTATCAACGTCGGTCATCCTGTTCCTTATTCTTGGTATCAAATATCTGCTCTGACGGACGAGACTACTTTCACTTTGAATTGAAACCAAACCATATACTCCTTTCGCTTTTTGTATTTTGCAACCGAATAAAAAAAAATGCATTTATTGTACTTTATTACAAAACAACCCTGTTTGCAGGCGATTTTCGAGAAGTGAAGAAAAGTAAATTCTAAGGAGCAATTTACTTCTTGCCACCGGCCTTCTGGGCAGCCTTGGTGACCTTGCCACCCTTGCCATCGGTCTTCTCAACGGACTTGATGACACCGACGGCAACGGTCTGACGCATGTCACGGACGGCGAAACGTCCCAGAGGGGGGTACTCCTGGAAGGACTCAACGCAGAGGGGCTTGGAGGGAACCATCTTGACGATGGCAGCATCACCAGACTTGATAAACTTGGGGAACTCCTCCATGGCCTTACCGGTACGGCGATCGATCTTCTCGAGGATCTCAGCGAACTTGCAGGCAATGTGGGCAGTGTGGCAGTCCAAAACGGGAGCGTATCCGTTCGAGATCTGACCGGGGTGGTTCAAGACAATAACCTGGGCGTTGAAGGAAGCAGCCTCCTTGGCGGGGTCGTTCTTGGAGTCAGAGCAGACGTTACCACGGCGAATATCCTTGACAGAGACGTTCTTGACGTTGAATCCGACGTTGTCACCGGGGATACCCTCAGTGAGGACTTCGTGATGCATCTCAACGGACTTGACTTCAGTGGTGACGTTGGAGGGGGCGAAGGTGACAACCATACCGGCCTTGATGATACCAGTCTCGACACGACCGACGGGAACTGTTCCGATACCACCAATCTTGTAGACATCCTGGAGGGGAAGACGGAGGGGCTTCTCGGTGGGGCGGCTTGGGGGCTCAATAGCATCGATGGCCTCCAAAAGGGTCTTACCCTTCTGGGTACCAGACTTGATCTCCTTGGTCCATCCCTTGAACCAGGGCATGTTGGTGGACTCCTCCAACATGTTGTCTCCGTGCCAGCCAGAGATGGGGACGAAGGCAACGGTCTTGGGGTTGTAACCGACCTTCTTGACGAAGGTGGAAACTTCCTTGACAATTTCCTCGAAGCGGTCCTGGGACCACTTGGTGGTGTCCATCTTGTTGACGGCAACGATGAGCTGCTTGACACCGAGGGTGAAGGCAAGAAGAGCGTGCTCACGGGTCTGACCATCCTTGGAGATACCAGCCTCGAACTCACCAGTACCACCGGCGATAATGAGAACAGCGCAATCGGCCTGGGAGGTACCAGTGATCATGTTCTTAATGAAATCACGATGTCCGGGGGCATCAATGACGGTGACGTAGTACTTGGGGGTCTCGAACTTCCAGAGGGCAATGTCGATGGTAATACCACGCTCACGCTCGGCCTTAAGCTTGTCAAGAACCCAGGCGTACTTGAAAGAACCCTTTCCGAGTTCAGCGGCTTCCTTCTCGAACTTCTCGATGGTACGCTTGTCGATACCACCGCACTTGTAGATCAAGTGACCAGTGGTGGTGGACTTGCCGGAATCGACGTGTCCGATAACGACGACGTTAACGTGAGTCTTTTCTTTACCCATACTATTGGGAGGGAGGAAAAAGGCACGTTGGCGGACGAGTTAGATATGATTCACACCAGATGACCTGGGTAAGGTTTTGGGAAAAAATATTTTGGGGAAGGAGGCATGGAAGAGGGGTACAAAACACAACAGGAGGGGCAGCGGTGTGGGAGGAAAGGAGGACAACGATTGGAGTCAACGCAGAAAGGTTGCTATCCAACTGTTACTCCCCTTCACTCTCGTTGCGCTGGAGATAGAGCAGGCCGAGTAGGCAGCATAGGGCTCAATGAAACAATAGCGAGAGCAACAGGGGAAAAAATTCTCGCTCGGGGACGATTACAGAGCGGCAGCGATGGCAAAGACGAAGGAGGATGGATAGATAGAGCGAGCGAGAGGGACGAATAGATCGATGGATTGATGGATGCAAAGTGCAAGAGAGGATGGATGGAAAGCCCAGGGTTGGTCGGGCAATCCACTGGCAGGGTCCTCGGACAACAACTTACTTGTTAAAACGAAAAGTTAAAGTGAAAGGAGGAGCACACGGCTGCATACTCGAGGCAGACTTATATATGCTTCGGTGACTGCTCCCCCTTCCCACTATCCTTGACCAATCGTTGGGCAACGAAGGGGTCGCCCGTCGGTGTTTGTAACTTTTTTCTTGATTTGTTTATTTTCTATCTTTTTTCTGCTTCAGCTTCGGTTTGGAAGGCCTTGTTGGTCGAGAGGGTTCTGGCGACCTCCTATCCAATGCCAGGGGATGAGTCCGCTCCTCTTCCTCCATTGGTTTCTGCTTGTGGGTTTAGGTGGAAGGAAAGCTGTCTGCATCAATCGCCGCTCTGATTTAATCTATCCAATCAAGCGTAAAGAATAGAGGACAGGCAAGGACGAAGGATGCTGCCTTGTCTACGCGACCCTAGATTGCTGCTGCGCCCCTCTCTGGGGTCTCATTATGTGCCACGCCTCCTCTTAGCAGATGTGCAAGATCGGTTAACCATTGAACATAGGATGACGTATCGGCTAGGGATACGTAGGGTCAAGACTCAAGGTGATGTTAAAGAAAGGGAGGGAGTTTTCTACTAGACCTGTTGGTCGCTGACATAACCTGCATTGGCCGATGGTACACCCGTGAGAAAGTCAGCGATCGATAAGTGGATGGATACCAACGAAGAGCGACTGATGGCCACTTAAGCATGTCTTTCCCCCTGTTAGAGTAGCCCATGGAAATAGCATACTGTGCACGCCACAGTCCACAGCATGCCTTGCGGCGTGCGCATCTTTTCTATGGCGGAGAAGAGGGTCATGATGTGTTGTCAGTCCGTGCCCACCCACAACAGTATAGTGTAGAATAGTGCTCACTCACTCACTCACCCACTCACTCCGCCCGACTGCTTTCTCTGCTTGCTGGAGAGTGACCCCCTGGACCAGCAACAACAGCGGCGATCGCACACACGCTCATTTCGTTCGTGACCCTTTCAGCCGACATCCCTCCCCCTCTCCTATTAACTCTCATACCCATAACACATAAACTGTACTTGTAATGGCCCTGGCCGAGGTCAAAGAACCCCCTCCCAAACCAACGCGGATTCGTGCCGCCACCACTACCACCACCAGTCCTTCGAAATCAACTTCCCCTGGAACAACAGCGATGATCATCACTCAACCCCCTGCCCTCTCAAAGACCCCCATCCCCCTGTCCCGACCTGCCCCCAGGATACCGGTCTCAGCACCCAACCCAGCCCCACTTGCTCCTGCAGAACCCGGAAAGGGCCCCAGTCTGGTCGAAACTGCAAGAGAAGAAAAACAAGACCTCATAGCAGCCAGGAAAAAAAAACTCCTGCCTCTTCCAGAACCCGGGATTCCCTCCAAGACCACAGCGCCTCTATCCCTGTCAACCAATCAAGGGTCAGTGGATGGGATCAAGGGTGCTGTAGCCAGCAAAGCTCCCCGTGATGCTATCCAACGCGCCTCATCCGCACCAATGCCGCCACCAAAACCAAAGAGGATTTCCCTCGCACCTCAGCCCAAGGCGAAGCCATTGAGCCTCCAATCCATCCCTCTTCAACCCAAGGTCGAAGCCTCTACACGCGCCACGACCGCACCAGCGACAGCAGCAATGTCTTCATCGCCCCCTGCAACCCCTAATTCGATACCCAACGTCATGCAGTCGCAGGAAACAACAAAGCCGAAAACGCCCTCGAACTCTGTTCTCGCGTCACCAACCCAACCTGTGCTACCACCTGCAAAGAAGCCCAGGTCTGCTGAGCATCCTACCGATGGATGTTTGATCCCGGCCGACTCGGAATCGCTACAGCAGCGGTTTAAGAGCCAGATGCGGACTGTACCATCGTCGTCCCCACCTCCGTCCATGTCCATGTCGCATCCAAATATCGGAGCAAAGACAACACCCTTGACGCCAGAGAAGACCAGCGATTCTGCTGCAGGAACGAATCCTACGTTGATCGGTGCGCGTTCTCGCTTGCGATCTACATCGGATGCCAAGGCTGCCACGTCTCTGGCGGTAGCGATTCCCTATACAGCGATGAATCATGCTGCAAATACGTCTTCATTAGACGACAGTACAGGATTCGGGTTTGCTGACAGCAGGGGATATGCTGGTGCCTTGGTGTCGCCCACCTTTCCATCACCCACATTTAGAAGGAATGGCTCATATGACGATGACGCAGACGATGGATCGTCAGGGGTAGTGGCGGCAGAGCGATTGGCAGCATCTCTACACAAGATCCAGGTGTTGGCACAGGGACAGACCGAGCGCATGAAACAGATCAACTATGCGGAAAAGAGGGCCGATTTAGCAGAAGTTGTGCAAGAAAAAAGTTCGCTCTGGAGGGCTCGGGGCGCCGAGTGGGGCGGGATCGCTAAAAAGGCGTGGGAAGATCGCGGTGGGATGGGCGGCATTGCAGGAGGCATTGCCGATCGCTGGAAACGACGAGGTATGCACGCGCTAAGAATTCTAGAAATCTTTGGTGAGCACATTAACATCCACATGTTGGAGTCACTAAGTCCGGTTCTGGTATCTTTTGCCAATCATATACTGCTATTATCTAGGCGATGGAATGAACGATGGAGCGCCTTACCATTCACGACCTGGTGCCAGTGCCGTTATTTTTGGTCTGTCTTTGGAGGAAGCTGTCAGGGTCTCGAAGATATCCGCATCTACTGGAGTGCCGGCCATTGTCACACGATGCATAGAGTATCTGGATATCATGGGAGTGGAAGAGATCGGACTCTATCGAGTGTCAGGGAGCACCACAAACGTGAATCGACTCAAGACCATCTTTGACGGCGGTAAGGAAAAGTTAGAGAGATGTTCATGGAAATAGGAACCCATTCCTTTACTTATCGATTTATCAAACTACCATTATTACTACTATAGGCGACGATTATGACTTTTTACAAAAGGGCAACGAACCACAGAACCCACACGATGTCGCTACCCTGCTGAAACTTTACCTCCGCGAATGTAAGTTGGGTGAAGCCTCAATGGTTGTTTGTACGTCAGCTTGATTACCACAATTACTAATGCTCGCTCTTATCGTCTTATATTGTAGTGCCATCGCCGATCATACCCTTCGATATCATGCCCACATTCAGCAGCATCGACTTTTCAGAATCGGACCAGCAGCCAGCACAGAAGCTTAAAGACGCGCTTCGTCTATTGCCACTGGAGAACTATATCCTTCTTGCGACACTATGTCAACATCTCTCCAACCTTGCCGATTATGAAAACTACACAAAGATGAACATCTCGAACCTCGGACTGATTTTTTGTCCGACTCTGCAAATTGGTTCCGTTCTCTTCAAAAATCTCCTCGGTGGTGATGGTGGCGAAGAAGACCGTCGAAAATGTCTGCTGGCCGTCTGGGACGATCTGGCTATGAAGCGTGAGGAAATGGAGAACCTAGAGATGATCAAGGATTTCGAGATGGGACTCCAGTTTGAAAAAAACGGTGACCGCGCCTTCATTGACGACTCTAGTCGGGAACGAGAGCGAGAACGAGAACTACAGCTGCAACAACAGGAAAAGGCCCAGGGACATGATTTGGGACGTCAAAGCTGGGAGGAAATCGACCGCGATCTCCTGAACCTTAGTTCATCTCCGCCACCACAAACTACAATAGCATCATCACCGTTCCGCCCCATGGGGTCTTCAGGATCGAAGCCATTGTCCTCAATCCAAAATACCCATTGGTCTGGCGAAGCATTCGACACTAGCACAGTCAAACCATCTGAACCACCTTTAGATCTGTACGACGAAATGATGAAAAAGGAGTTGACGGAGGCGACGAACACTCCACTGATCGATTTGAGCGCTGAGGTCGAAGATCCGGAGACAATGGACCCTCGATGGCGGAGACATGCCCGTGAACCAGCAATGAATCGACGATCAGAGAGTCCGCCTAATGTAAGAGTCGCAAGGCACGAAAGGTTACCAGCGGTGTCACTGCGCTACTAAGAAAAAAAAAAGGGAATGAATGACCATAATTGTAAATAAACCCGCCGAATCTTATGGATACAGCGCGTTGATCATGGCGATGAATTTATTAGTGAATGGAAAGAAAGAGTATGCTCTGCGATGAAGGAGGAGGGAACACGAAAGGGGGGAGGAGGAGGGGGGGAGGAAAGGAGGGAAGGATTCTAGCTAGTAACATGAGGTAAACAGTTGAGCAGTAATGTAGTCGACCTTGTCGTGGGCATGAGTATGTTGATGAATTTATACAATGGTCGAAACACCAGTGCCTCCGGTGACGGTACTGGAGGCCGGGGTTTGACCGCGGATGGCAGCAATTCCGTAGGCGATGGCTGCGAACGTCAAGAACAGAGCCGAGACGACCTGGACGGTTCTATGGCCCACACCAACGGCAACCCACATCAAAACCGCGAACCTATTAACGGACGGTAAATTAAAAAAAAAAAAAAAAAAAAAAAGTGTGTGTGTGAGCGCACAGCCCCGGATTTATGTCTTTGCCACCAAATATAAGGGGGATTTTTTTTTTTTTTTTTTTTTGGCGGCGTCATATATAGATTTCCACTCCAAGAGACCGCGTATAAGTTGATCCGATCCCCCCTAGGCGTTTACTGACATCACTTACACGAGGTAGGCTGCGGTGCGGAGGTAGGAGTTTTGGAACTTTGACATGTAGCTGTCGCTAAAGATAGAGAGGGGGGGAGAGGAAGGGATATGAAGACAGTCGAGGAATTGTGAGTCGATATGGTTACGCTTTTGCCTTGTCTTGCCTTGTCTTGCCTTGTCTTGAGTACGCATTACATGTCCTTCAAATATCATGTCGTCGATTCAATCCTCTTCATGTGCAGTCGGCTTTTGACAAATACGTACAAGTTAACGCTTGTGGGACAGCACTACCACGAAAAAAAAAAAAAAAAAAAAAAAAAAAAAAAAGACGGAAAAACACACGGATGAGGATGTCAGTTCAGGAACACATCGTAACAGCCTTGGAAGTAAAAAAAAGCCCAAATTTTATCTTTCCTCTTATTTTTTTTGGAGGGCACTAGTGAAGTTGATCTCCTTACCTTCATGCAAAGAGGGATCTCAATAAAGACCAACAAGAAAGCGATGATCCTATCCACAAGATCCAACACAACAAAGAAAAAGCCCCAAGAGCCGGAATTTGGTTAGCCAAAATCTACGATACCGCGCACACAACGGAGAGAACGGCGTCCTGTAAGTTCTTACCATCCCATGAGGGACCATCCAAGCGAGAAGTTGATGATGCCAAAGATGATCAAGGCTAGCGTTTGTTTTTTTTCCCGCGCGAAAGAGTCGGTGCAGTGGTTTTTTTTTTTTAGTATCCAGTGAATTGTGTTGTGAGTTTGGCATAAATGCCTTCCTCCATCCTTTGTTCACTTGCGGTCCATTTTGCTACCACATCCGTATTACTGCTGCACATACCGATAATAGAGATCAGACCACACCTATAAGCATCAATAGCAATAAGAGAAGGAGCACTGGGTTAATCAACCTTGACGTGACACAAACCCTCAAAAAGTTCATTTACAGTACCATTGGCCGTAGAGGGAGAAGTTTCCAGAGCGGAATTCGTCGATAAGTGACATCTTGGCGGAACGAGGGGTGGTGGTGGTAGTTGAATGTCGAATGAGAATGAGAATGAGAAAGGGAAGGGAATGAGAGAATGTTAATGAGTCAAGAGAACAATGTTAAGAGATACAGCTGAAGAACGATGTCATATTCCACACCGACGGGAACATCCTCTGGAAGCGGCCGGTCCTTCCGGCAGTCGCTTTGATCCGCGTTCTGCGGCATTTTGGATTTTAATACCGCCAGGGCTGTCTTCTGAAACAAGACCAAAAAAGAAAATGTTTAGTCAGTGTCTTATGGCGACTGCACACACCAGTCCAGCGCTACACGAAAACCGCTGATGTTCACGCGTCGGCGATGGCGCGTCTCGACCTTGACATCGCTCCGCAGACTTCTTGCTTTCCCACGTTCCCATGCTTCATTCATTTGCAAGTCATACCATGGGCCCCTTACGTGCCTGCTGCCCTTCATATGTATCGTATCGTATCGTATCATTCGAAACATCTTGCAACAGATGATCCACTCGGTTAGTTACTACGCATTGACACGCTAGAAGTCCACTCCAAGATACTGTTTGATCATCAAACGGAACAACCAAAGATGCTCAAGATCCGCAAGAGAGTTTTGTATACACTTGATGATGAACTGCCAATTGACATTGCCCAACAAAGATTTGCTCTTTAAGTAGTTCTGGATTGGCGAGAAGCGACTGTTGCTGTAGGTTCTAGGCCGACTATGTGTTTCCATCATCTCACGCGATGCCTTCTTCTCCTTCTCCTCTGTAGAAACCTACAGTAGCGTCTATCAGGTTATAACAATCAGGATCACCACGAGTAAGACACTAAAGAGGAGGATAAGGAGCAGTAAGCAATCGAAAAATTCAAGGAAGGTCATATCCGCTATTGCTGCAAGTTGCTGGATAGGTCGTCAACTAGGGGAGGGCTGAAACTGCGCCAAAGCGCGGACTTCACGAATAGATCCTGACATAAAGAGAGGCCTTTTAAACAAACGTGCTATGCAGGCTGAAGTCGGCGATCAACATCAAGATGCAATCTATGTAGGAATTGATCATTCTGGCAGGATTTTGTTCCTTGATATCACAAAGCGAGCAACCTCCTTGTCCGGCGAGCACCGCTATATAGCCAGGTACTCCAACACAGGCAGTGGATCGCAGGAAGCCAAGGATCGGAAGACGTATAGACGACATCACAGCTGACGGCACAATATCTCAAGTATGGCGCCCATCCGTGGATAGGCACCTTGTACAGTCGAAACTGGTTTTTAGGCCGCATTCTCTTATGAAAACGCGGCTTAAAACTTTAATTGGATTGAATTGAATCTCTCCTTTCGTATGTAATTCTCGCGCTTTCTCCATCCTGACATCTCATGAACCCACAAATCTGCGACAAAGCAAAACCGAGCAAGGCAAGTCTTTCCCTTGCAGCTGAGCACAGTTCTGCCCTTGTATCCGACCACAGTGCCCCCAATCCCTCCTCGACTGTCGAGGAGTTTAGCTGCGGTTAGCGATTGGGAGTCATTGCGAGGATGCAGCGGTTATTTTCTCCCTTCCATCAGCACTCCCAATCCCTCCTTGACTGCCGAGGAGTTTAGCTGAGGTTAGCGATTGGGATTGTTGCGAGGACGTGGAGTTTTTTTGTAATCGTTCCATTGTAATCAAACAATAGCTGAGGTTAGCCTACTCCCTCCCATGCTCGTGAGGGAGTGTGGCTGTGGCCCGTTGATTAGGATTGTTTGCAGCTGGCTCGTGCTTTTAGAACCCATTTTTACTCTATGCCACTTTGCAATCAAACAATAGCTGAGGCTAGCCCAATCCCTCTCATGCTTGTGTGGGAGTGTAGCTGCGGTTCGTCGATTGGGATTGATTGCGGACAGGGGCAAAATGAATGGAGACTCGAACAATGCCATAACATGGATATTACACAGTTTATTAATGCACTCTTTTCTCTCTCTTTTACTATTACTACATGTTGTGGGGGGGAGGGAAGGAGGAGGGTATGGGCGATCAAGGTCATCCGGAACAAGAAGCGGTTCCATTGTAAGGCCGTAGTCGAGTGCAATATCTTGAGCCACTTGATCAAATGGGTAAGCTTCATGGTACATTTTTTTTTCCGTATTCTTGCTAGCAATGAAATCAAAAAAGTGCCAATCTGACTTCGGCGTGATTTATTGGACAATCATGGATGGTGTACATACAAATAGGTTCGCAAGCCAGTCTTGAACTCGACACGATCGAGGGGACATTGCTGCTAAAGATGAAGTACAAGGGGCGGGTGAGTGGGCTGTATTTTCCCGTTCCGAGACGCGAACGCCTTTTAATCGGTCTGACCGTGCTTGATGCGGTGTTCTACAGAGAATAGTTCGCAAAGATTAAACACGAGGCTAGAAAGCATATGCGACAGATACGCGAAAGAATGCATGAAGAGACACCTACTTTGGCTACGGTCAAGGGGCCCAGGGCCGGCAGCAGCACGGTAACGTCGAGTCGGTCGTGTGGTAACTTGAACCGTCCAAGGCTCTTTGGGACGTAGATGGCCTCGTGCTCCAGGTTCATGATGAAGACCTCGCAAACGTTGTCTAGAAAAGGTAGATGTGTGTTATGTGTGAATAGCGAGGGGTATTAGTACTCTTGCCATCACATCATGGGAGGGTGGGAAGGTACATAATACGCTTCACACTGCCTTGCACTTGTTCTGAAGCATACTGTTCACGAGAAACCCGACTACTGTCACGTCCTGTACGTTTGCGTGAATGAGCATGTTAAGTGCAATCATCATGCAAGGCAATTTACGGGTATCATCCTCGGCATCTTCCTTGGTCGTCTTTGGCTTCTTAACCTCCATGATGGCAAAGCACAGCTGGCCGGCCTTGGCAAAGAAGTCAGATTGTAGCACTTTCTCGTAGCCGTTTGGGACTGGCAGTTGGCCGCGTTGCCTAGGATAAAATAAAGAGAGAGTTGAGTATACATGGACGCGGACAAGGTATTGCAGATAGTCAAAAAAAATGTGCATGAAGGGTAGTCTTACCAATGCTGTTCAGTGCGAGACATCTAGTCGCGACATAAGACCTTTGACTAGAAATGCCTATTCATTTTCAAATACAATCGCTGAATCGAAGTTTAGACCATTAAAGTGCGTATTACCCATCCCTCTACAAACCAATGTTCGCCGTTCGTCAATATGACCTCTAGTTTAAAGGGTTTGAGCTTCAACGATTTCTACGTACAGTCGCGACTAGATGTCCCACTATACTAGGCCCAAAGAACTGAAAACGGCGTCAATTATTGGCATGACCGACTGCTTGATGTAAGTATCCTCAATTCGTGCCAGTCCTGTTCGATCCTGCCACGGAGCATTGGTAGCGGTGTATGCGGCCAGGATGTCTCCCACCAGGTCACTCAACTCCAGGCTTGTTCTTCCCAACGTCGCCTTGAAGTCAAGGTATTCTTTCGAAGCTGCAGCGAGCGCGAACTTGACAAAGAGGTTGACTTCCTGACGTGGCGCTTCTGGTACATAGATCTGGACAAGTCTAGCCGCGATTTCGTTCAAAACAATGCTCGATGAACGCCCTCGTGAAGATGAAATTCAGCGTCCTAGGGGAAGAGCAAAGGTGTTACCGCCGTCAAAGACGAGTACACAACTATCAAACCCATAAAACATGCTCAGCGACTTTCAAAGGGGTGTCATGAACTTACAAAAGGTCGTCGGTCTCATGCCTGATGTTCTGCTGGGACATGTTTGCGCGGCGTGCACTCATCAATCTGTCTGATACGTTCACGCCTTTGCTAAACCAAAAGTCACCGATCAGCCTACTTGATGGCTCGCCTGGTCCATGGATATTGCTCTTTCCTTCTTGAAGGATAATCGACCCGAATGACGTTCTGGTGCTGGACTTGTGGGAATAGTCATCGTCACTTGGATCTGAGGGGCTGAGGATACCGACAGCATAGAAAACCTCATTCTCCTTCTGCTGCTGCTGCTGCCCCTGCTGTTGCTGACAGTAGCTCTGCACCTGCTTGAGTTCCACGAGCGCCCGATGGAGCTGATGGCGGTCGACTGCCTTTTGCAGCTTGGGCGAGTCTTTAGCGGCTGACATGATGTTTCTGATCTGATGAAAGCAAGAGAAACAAAGGCAAGTTGTTACCTGAAAGATGCCTAAACTGACAACTGAAACAACAGTTACGAATGTACCCGCAGCTTCCTTAGAGGCTCCTGCTCCTTCCAGTAGTCCTTCAACGCAGCCTGTTCATTCACCCACAGTTCTTGCATCCGCTTTCCAATTGCCTTCACCTCCAAATCCTCAGACGAAGCCGCCTTTATAGCAATCGCAAGGCACTTGGTATGCAGGTCCGATTTATTCGCAAGGCCGCGGGCCCACTGAGCGAAAGCGACTGGGCCAAGGTCGAGAGGGCTGGCTTTTCTGAATGCGGCAAGAGTGTATTGGACTTTTGGTGACATTATCGGTTGGAGTTTTCTAAATTAACATTTTCAATGTCGCTTTCAAAAACCTGGACAGAGCGGGAAAAACGCCTCCAGGAAGCAATGCAAACCAGGCAGCGGCTACAGCTTCAGTAATCTATCGCACCCCTTCGTGGCAAAACCTCGGCAGTACACAGCGCAGAGTTTGTTCCAGCACCAACACCTCTTTCAGGACCATCGTCCAGCACGATACCTCTACAACTGTCCACTGGTCCGTCATTGTCAAGCATACCATCTCTATCGCCATCACCATTTCTACAACAACCCCCCCCTCCAAGCCAACGCAGATCAGGAAACAAACAACACGGACTCTTCCTCAATCAGCGGATCCCCAACATCTACACGCAGGCCTGCTGCACAGCCGCGATCAGCTAGAGGGACTCCTGCTCACCGGCAACACTACAATAAGTTCACCACCCAATATATGGATACGCGCGCCATTTTGGAGTCAGCTTTGACCATTACTAGTCAACACACACACAGACTGATGGGCGAGGTCAGGCTGATCAATAAGACATGTATAGGACTATCAAGCAACGTCAAGAGGATCGATGGGATGTACGCCGGATTATCAAGCGACGTGTCCGCATTACAGAGGCGAGTGGAAACTACGCGGATACAAAAAGAACTTTGGCCGAACTCTCCGACCGAACAGAATGGATGGTATCGGCCATGATGCAGCCTCAGCAAAACATGGAGTGTAGAGCCCAGCAAGTACATAAGGACATGGACGAACTCAAAGATGATCTACGATCAACAAAGAGGAAGCTCGAGGATTTGCATGAGGATGTGCTTCGTACAAAGTATACAACACCCTTGTTCAGGACTAATAATGGTGATAACTATTTCCAGCTTCAACCACCCACTATGCAATGAGGCAAGTCTTATCAAATACAGATCTGCTATATATCATTGAGACTGCAGGCTATGGACTACTCTCCTCGACCGCCCTGCTGCATGTCCTCTCGGTCGTCATGAAATGTGTATGGTGCAACCGTCACCACCCGGCTCTGGTTCCACTGCTCACGTGTAGCAAGGTACTCCTCCAAGGTTGGTGGACCCATAGCATAAAATCCCTAGATAGAGGAGCCACGGCCAACACAGATCTGTATGTTGGAAAACAAGACGCACAGAGGATAATACACTCCCACAATAGACAGTCCTGCTCGCATATTGTGGGGGATGCGGACATGGGACCAGTTGTTGGTAAGATAGGCAAATGCCCACTCCACACGAAGTCGTCCATTTCTTATTCCTCCATTGAAAGCGTCTTGCTCGTCTGTAATCTTGCGACCACGGAAAGGGCCGAGGAGGCTGATAGTACGCATTTATCCTTCATCACCGTAGATGATCATTGTATTGCTGGCAGGGTCAATGGAATGCTGGCGCAGGTAATTCAGGAGTCTTGAATCTAGCAGCATCGCCGAGTCATGTTGCCGACTTAGGAAAGGTCCACTCAACTGCGCAATAATCCCATCAGAGGCCATGATGCCTTGATACTTGAGGGAGTGCTGCTTCTTGTGGCCGCTATAGGGAAAGTCTTGGTTCTCCTCTGGATGGCATACCTCCATGTGGGTGCCGTCGACAAATCCCCAGCAGTTGGCAAGGGAAGTGTTCTTGGTGTGTACTACCTGTGCAAAACGCTCCAGATACACAGGCGTTAGTCGGGCATGGTCGAAAAGAAGCAGATGCTTCCAGTGTTGATAGATATAACGGGAAACAACACGGAACATGGTTGATGAGATTCCTTCCATCCGACCGGAGACAGTAACCATATCCGAGAAGCGTCGCGGGTATGACAGTCGATAGAGAATTAGATTAAGCCTGCACAAGGTGCCTAATGAGCTGTGATTTCCCAGTCTATATCTGAGCGCAATAAAACTATAAAGATCGCTTACAGTTTTATTCGTTTGTAGAAATGGCGGGAAGTTCACTCTTGTCAGTTTAAAGACTATTTATACCGTAAGATGAGCGATCGTTCCTTTTTTTTTTTTTTGTTCTCGACTTTCACCAAGTCAGACACTTTACAATGTCCACGATAATAATCGTAGAGGAGCATAAGCAACTGATCTCTGGTGAAAACAAAAGTGGTCCATACATATTTTAAACAGATACTTGAACATTCTGGCGATTCATCACAAAATAAAATGCGATATCCTTGTCATCTGCGCAAGCAACTCAGACTACGCTGGCTCCACAGATTGGCGCTATCGAGAAGCAACTAAAAGGTCATCCTCATTCTTAGGCAATGTGATAATTTCCGGAGCAAATTGTCCATGCTTGAACATCTAAATAGCAGGCCACAAGATGATTAGACGACGCGTCTGAATGGATTGGTCATTGCAATTACCGAACCACGATGGCACTACACACCACCAGATCAATGCAGCAAGCAGGTCAGAGACAGTAGATCCGACGCGGGCAGTGCAGTCGGCGTATGTAATCGGTCGTTCCATGTTGTTTGTATCCACGAAAAAGTCGATCTGGTCTCTGTCCAATCGCAACGAGGCACCTGCGCTTGTCCCTCGAACGAGAACGCGTCTCCGAGGCACACGGCATGCGCTATGGATGATCCCCTCGTGGTGCGGTGGAAACATGCAAAATAAGAAAGACCAATTGGTATCAGCGGTTTGTAGTGGATGATGCGCATTATGCAGATAAACATCCTGTGTGTGTATGTGTTCATACCTCGCCGCTCCTTCTCTTCGTCCCTTTCGCTGGAAGCGTATTTACCGAATTACCGAATACTAAGAATTGTACTGTAAACACAGGTCATGGGTGTGAGTGCAAAGTAAAAGAGCGCAAGGGAAACTAAACGGTGAGGGGAAATAGCGTCTCTTTCACTCTCTCCATTCGGTCTCCCTCTTTGAGGGTTTGAGCAGGAGCATAAGCCCAGACGATGAAGACGAAAGATGGCCCATGGCTCCGATTGCTTCTATATCTTCTCGGCGCTGAACCTCCGTTTCGCCTCTTTCCCATCAACTCACCTCATCACCTCCCACCCATCCGCATTCCATCCCGCCACATCCCACTCTCACCCCAACCTCGTCCCATACCCGCTCTTTCTCTTTCTTTCTCCTTCTGCCCCTGCTGGTCACACCTCCCCTAGATATATACCACTCCTCTCCTCATGGATAAGAAACGTCAAGGTAATACAACTTTGCTATTCCTCTGTGATGGTCATTGCCCTCAGCGCTGAATGAACCTCCCCATGAGGTCCCTCAGGAAAGGAAGCAGTAATCGCGCCTCCTGTGGAGTTAATACTGACTGAAAGAACACTCGTTTTTCTTTGCCACTGTCCTGCTTTCTTTGTCGTCTCTCCCCCTCTACCTCCCTTTCTCTCTCTCTCTTTCTTTTTGTCTGCTTTCGCGCACACTCTACATACCGCCCGTCTTTATTTTCGCTTGAATAGTCGCAGCAAAGCGTTTAACCAACAAGAACAAGCCTGCGCCTGTTAAAAAGAACCGCAACAGCTATCCGGCGGCAGTTCAGCTCCACAAGCAAAAACCCGTGCCTTCCCACACTTCATCACAAATGGCATCCGCAATAATGACGCAGACCGAGATCGATATCGATATCGATATCACGCTCATGTCCAGTGTCAGCCTGAATCTCCAACAATGCACAGACGTACCTGAGAAAGGCAATGGCCCAGAGGGCCAGAAAAAGGACGACAGAGTCGACACAAGGCATGACAAGGACGATAAGAAGCACGACAATGACGCATATTCGATTTGCACAGACGAAGAGGAAGATATGGAGGACTACAAGAAGGGCGGTTATCACTACATTGCCGTCGGAGATGCCTTTAATGAAGGTCGCTATGTAATCCTGCAGAAACTCGGTTGGGGCCACTTTTCGACCGTATGGCTGGCAAGGGATACAATGTACGTTCTGCATGAAAGAAAAGTCCATGACTGATGCCGCTGCTTAACTCGATCTTTGTTGTGTGCCTAACTGGCCTTATTCTTCTTTTTCTTTCTTTTCTATTCCATGATGCTTGCGGCATTGTTTATTTTTTCATGCATTTCGCATTCATCGCAGTAATAACCGGCATGTGGCCCTCAAGGTTGTCAAGTCTGCTACACACTACACAGAGACCGCCCTAGACGAGATCAAGCTGCTTGAGAGGGTGGTCAACGCCAATTCTGATGCGCCTGGACGGAAATATGTTGTGGAGCTGCTCGACCATTTTATGCACCATGGACCGAACGGCACGCACGTTTGCATGGTCTTTGAGGTCCTGGGCGAGAATCTGCTCAGTCTCATCAGGCGCTTCCATCATCGGGGTATCCCCATACACCTGGTTCAGCAGATCATATACCAAGTCTTGATGGGTCTGGACTACATGCATCGGGAATGCAATATCATCCACACGGATCTCAAGCCAGAAAACGTCCTGGTCTGTGTCGAGGATGTCGAGAAGGTCGTGCGGGGGCTCTTACGGGACGCAGACGAGACCTGCACAGCAAATGGAGACCTGCCAAGCGGCCGATCGGGCACCACCAAAGTTATCGGCAGCAAGCCTTTGACGCATCGAACGCGCCCATGCGCCGAAAACTCCCATATCAGCGCACCATCCTCAGCGACTGCAGACTCTTCCTCAGCTTCCACACCAACCGATAATCAGGATCATGACAGTAACCGCACCATGGTCGATACAGCATCGTAAGTGTCTTTGAATGGAACATGGCGTCTACCTGATGACTGTGGTAGACACTTGTCTAATTCGTATCTGTACATTGTTGGGGCTCATAGATGCAACTTGACCAGGACAATGAGCGGCATCAATTTGGACAAGACAGCACCTGCAGGCAGGTCCTCAGATCGGGACACATCTACCACGTCCGAAAAGATAACTGTCAAAATTGCAGATCTGGGTAACGCATGTTGGGAGGACCATCACTTTACAAACGACATCCAGACACGGCAATACCGATCGCCTGAGGTCATTTTGGGGGCCAAATGGGGAACAAGTACCGACGTCTGGAGTGTGGCATGCATGACCTTTGAACTGATCACCAGCGATTACCTTTTTGATCCTCAGAGCGGACCCTCCTTCAGCAAAAATGATGGTAGGATTTTTTTTTGCATTATTCTTCAGCCCATGTTGTTCGTCAAACCCTCAAGCGTCTTGTTTGCATCTGCACGCACTAACGAGTCTCGCTGTTGACGCCCACGTGCAATAGATCATATGGCTCAGATCATCGAGCTGATGGGCCACTTCCCCAAGAAACTGGCCCTGAGTGGGAAGTACTCTCACGAAATGTTTAATCGCAAGGGCGAGCTCCGGAACATTCAGAAGCTGCGGATGTGGAGGTTGGAGGATGTGCTGCGCGAAAAATACGTGATGCCATCCAAGGATGCAGAAATGCTAGCCAGTTTCCTAGAGCAAATGCTGCTGCTGGACCCCGCACAGCGAGCGACGGCAGGCAAGATGACACAGCATCCATGGCTGCGCTACACCCCAGAGGAGGAGCAAACGCAGCCATCGTCCAACGGCGAGCGGAGATGGTCTGTTTGAGAACAGTGGAGTATTGGATCGGCGGTTTGGCTGGCGCAGAGAGTAGCACATCTACTTGTAGTAGCTCAATTCAGCGCTGTCTACAATGAAGAACCAGTAACCAGGTCTTGTGCCTATAGCAGCGATATTTCTCTCGCTACTCATGACTACCACAGATGTATTAATATGTGGACAGACTACAGCAGCTCGCGACGCGACTGGACGCGACTAAACGCGAACCCCTGAACCCTCCTGTTTCTGGTGTGGCTTGTTAGGGGGCGCGCGTGAAGCTTTCCCACAGTCAGCATCACAGAGGTGCATGTAACATACCTACTAAAGATCGCACACAACAATGAACCCAGCAAACCAAGGACCTCAACCCTCGGGACTTCAGCCTGGAATAAGGCAGGAGCTATCTGTGCAAAGAAGCACCCGGAATCAATTCACCGAGAGAGCCGATCAGGATGAGGACTTTGCCATGGGAGGACCATCGTCCCATGACCACGACCACGATCAACACCAACACCAGCAGCAGCACCAACACCAAGAGCACTCACATAGCCATGATCACGACCATGATAATGGCCATGGACACGGACACGAACATAGTCATGAGCATGGGGATCACTACGAAGACGACGATATACATGAGGAAACACTGCACTTTCATAAGATCATCAAAGCCTTCTCACAGTACAAATCCAGCGCCATGTATGCGAACCATCGTCGACGAACAGATTTCTATTCCCTGCCAGAGCGGCAGCAGAAGTACGTGAACACTACGCCCTTGTCCTCCATACTTGGTCATTGAAACCACTCTTTCATGCGGCATGATAACTAAACCAACCTCTGGATGGGATTCCATCATTGTTTTATTCGTATTTAGGTTGCTGCCTTCATATCTGGAGAGGATGGAGAAGGTGGACGAAGCGATCGAAGCCAACTACGAAATCATTAAGATTATCTGCGAAGACCAGCAGATCTTCGTGAACGAGGATCGTCCCCTGGGCAAAGTAACGAACGGCCAAAGCGCAACATCAATATACTCATTGCTGAGAAAAACTTCGCACCTAACCTGGTTATCATTCCCCGTTTATAACGATGTATGATAGCTGGATATGAGTGATAGGGCCAAGAACGCAGCAGCGCTTCGCATTCGGCAACAAGATATGGAGAAGGTTCAAGGGACCATCAAGCAGTTCGTGCGCGATTGGAGTACAGGCGTAAGTTACCACTCAATTGTCACACGCTGCCTATAGTACACCAGACGAGACGATTCCCTAAAAAATATATTGCTCATCCCTCTTTCCTACGCAAACCACAAACAAACCATAGGGCAAACCCGAGCGTGATGCCATCTACGCGCCCATGATCCAAGAGCTCAAATCTCGATTCGCCTCCGTCCCCGTTGACCAACGTGGGCAAATCCACGTCCTCGTCCCCGGCTCCGGGCTTGGTCGCCTAGCCTTTGACATCGCCCACGAAGGCTTTAGTGCGCAGGGCAATGAGTTCTCATACTACATGCTTTTGGCCTCGAATTTCGTCCTCAACAAGTCCTCCCGCGTGAACCAGTACAAGATCTATCCCTATATTCACTCGTTCTCGAATATTGTCCGGCCAGAGGATGTGTTGACGGAGGCATGGATCCCGGATGTGGACCCGACAGAGATCCCTCGAGGCACGGATTTTTCCATGGTCGCGGGCGACTTTTTGGAGGTCTATGGGCAAGAAGAAGAGAACTTTGGTAAGTGCTTTTTTTTTGTATACTGTCAACTCGCTCTGTGGGCGAACCATTAAATATTGGATTCCCTAACAAGTGAAATTTCATTATATTGTTTAGGCAAATGGGATGCGGTGGTTACGTGTTTCTTCATCGATACCGCCAAGAATATCGTCAACTATTTGGAAACGATCCACAAGATCCTTAAAAAAGGCGGCATATGGATCAACGCAGGTAAGGCTTCTATCCTCACTGCCGTTGCTGCTGCTGCTGCATGTTGCTTTGCTTATGTTTTTCCAAACATGCATGGTCTTATGCATCAGCATAGCACATTCGTCCTGGGAGTTCCACAAAAAAAAATCCTAGGCCCACAGTCTAACGACATCGGCATAGAGCTCCTAGGTTTATTCTATACTCAATTCAGTCGAGGGGTCTTGACATGAACCAAAAATAGCGAGAAAGAAACAACACGGCGAACAAATTGAACGCCCACGACCCTTTTTTTTTTCTTGCCAAACGGGCTATTGTAGGATTTGGGTTTGGTCCAGGGACCGGAAACTGTAGTCCCACTCTTGGTCCAGAAATAACCAAAAAAAAACTCGACGCGGGTCACTCGGCGTTGAACGAACATTGCGATCTCTCCCTAAATGATTGACTATAACGAAACTCCTTCAAATTGAAACCCCCTCCCTTGTAGGACCTCTGCTTTGGCATTTCGAAAATACGGCGCACGAGATTTCGATCGAGCTGAGTCTTGAGGAGGTCATTGAGCTGGCCAAGACGATTGGGTTCAAGTTTGAGGTACAGGGAACGAGAAAGAGCACGTACATGGCGAATCCGCACGGTATGCTGAAGTACGTCTACGAATGTGCTACATGGACAGCCGTCAAGATCTAAAGCGTCCGTTTCCCGTTCGCACATAGACAAATAATAAAAGAACTAGAGGCCGTTTTTTATTTTGCAAAAAAAGAAGGGGAAACGAGAGGAGAGGAGATGGAGGTTCCAGAAACTCAACAATGCTGGATTGAAAAAGAGGCGACAGCAGCAACTTATCCAATGCGAGTGTTGTCCTTCCAGAGATGATTGCCCTGATTCCAGACCTTGATGACCCTCTCCTCCAACGTATGCTCATATCCCAGCACCGAAACACTTGCTGTATCCAAGACCAAGTTCTTGCCCTGGATCCCATCCATCCTCAACCATCTCGCCGCAAACACCCTCAAGAAATGTCCATGTGCGACTACTAACACATCCCTCAATCCCGCGTTCTCCGGAATCCTCACAACCGTCCTGCTGCTCTTTGACAGTTCTCCCTTCTCCTCCTCCTCTTCTTTACGCGCGATATTCTCCTGCAGATCCTTCTGTGTGTTCAACTCCTGTCCCGTAAACGGCATCTTCAACACCCTCGTCTCCCTGCCCTGCGAATCCTGGCCGCGCTGATAATTATGAATCAACTCAATGATGGCATCCGCCCTCGCGGCGACCTGCTCAACCGTCTCCCCATTCGGCACATTGTCTCCAAAGAGTGACCAGTCCGGTCGGGTCTTCAAGATCTCCTTTGTCGTCATACCCTCGTAATCGCCATAATCCCACTCCGTCAACAACGACGTCGTTCGGGCCTGGGTCCTCAAAAAGCACGAAGTCGGATGGCCGTGGTGGGTTTCCTCCTCGTGGCGTCGTTCTTTGGCGAGCCCGCCCAAGCGGAGTTGTTCATAGGTCTGTTGAGCGCGTTGGAGGGGAGAGACCAGGACCAGGGAGATGTTGTCGATGTGGACCATATCCTGATACCGGTTCTCGAATATCCTACAGAGAGAGAGAGAGAGGGGGAGAGAGAAGAAAAGCGCAAGCCCAAAAGAGATTATCAGTTACCATGACACCCTTCTTTTTGCTTTTCTTTTTCCGTTCCTTGTAAGGTCGATCGATGGTGTGAACTGATCAGCTTCTTTACCGTGAAGAAAGTAGTTTGGCTTGCTCGACTCCACTGGGCAAGAGCGGGACGTCGGTCAAGCCGGTATGGCGTCCGTTCTGACTCCATTCCGTGGTTCCGTGCCGAACGAGATAGACGCGAGGATACGGGCTGTGGACTGTTGAGGGAGTCGTCATGGCCAAAGGTCGTTTGCTGAACAAAGAAGGAAAAAGGGAGGATCGTGAGAACATCAATTGCGAAGAGAAGACAATGGCGCTTTCTCCTTTTTATACGTGTATTTTTTTTTCTTATGCATTGTTGGACGCAATTCTTTAGCGGACATGCCATGTCCTATGGATGATGCGCTTTGCTGTGTCCTGATCCTGTCATGACCCTACAGGATATGAGACCGTTGAGAGATGACAAATGGGCATATGGTCGAGAACCCGTGGGGCTTGGTTCCTGAGGAGGGGCGCGCCCTGAACGTCCGATTGCTCTTTGTCACGCACTGGCAGGACTGAACGGGTTTCAACGCTTAGAAAGACGATAAACGCGCAAAGATAAAAAACACGTTCTACTGCACCTACACGCCATTATCATATTTCCTTCCCCGTAGACAGACAAAGCAACTCCACTCGGGAGGACATTGACAAATGCGGTAAAAATACATAAAGAGGAGTCCGCCTGCCATTTTACCTTGTTTATTCGCCTGCTGCAAGCGCGGCTGAAATGTTGAGCTGGCGACAGGGTGGACTTGGAAGGGCTCTCAACTTAGGGTTCATCCACCCACACACACAAACGCGGTGACTAAACAAGACAAGTGAAGTCAGTTCAGGGTGCCCCTGACCAGGGTCAAATGGATGAGTCTTCGGTGGATTTTTGTATTTTGTATTACAACGATTTCATGGCAAGAGGGGCTGGTTAGGGCAAGAACCGCTTTATTGGTGTGATGAAGTGAGAGAAAATCGAGGGAAAGTGAATAAAATCATATGCAAGGCTTACATGATGATGGGTTTAGTGCGAGGATGATCTTGCGTATTTGGAGTGGGCGTGCGGACTGTGGTAGTTTATTGTGCCCTACCTTTGAAATTGCTTTCCCCCGCCCCCCCTTGTAAAGAGCCTCGCCAGGGTGGATTTGTTCGCGAATAGAAGTAAAGCTTTGTTCGGAGACCCGGAGCAGATCCAACAATTTTAGTCAAGGCCAAGGCAACCAAAGCAACCAAGGCAACCAAGGCTAGTGGAATTGATTGCGGTTACTGACTGAGGAAGTGCAACCAGCGTTTGTTTAATTAGAGCCAGTGATAATTCGTTCCCCGAACAGCTGAAAACAACCAGGGACTCATTCTTTACATGCGGTATACAAATCCTCAATGGCTACCAAGACGGTTCACTTCTCTTTACTTTGTTTGTCTCCTCTCTTTCTTTCTTTCTCTTCTTCTTCTTCTCCTCCTCCTTCCCTTCTCCCTCTTCCGCAATCATTTTCTTTCTTACATTCTCCATTCAGCTCTTTGCACGCTGCAGCCCCCTCCCCACTCTTAATTAATTTAACACTTGGTCTGAATTCCAACAGCATCCTTGTAGATCGCACCCTCGTCCATGTCGCATCCATCCAAACCCGCAGCATCCTACTTCAGGACTGCCGCAAAGATCCTGCGTCTGCAGAAAGTACTCAACCGACCCAATGGCTCCTCCAAATCAAATCAGGAAACTTCAATATCCGTCCCATGCATGCCTATAACACCCAGTTTCCAGCACAGCAATGGCAGAAGGCTCTCCTATAGCCATTACATCCACCATCATAACCAGTACGCTCACCATCACGATACTCACCATCATGCCTATCATACCCATCATCATCACCATCAATCTGAGCACTTTGACACACCTTTCTGTGCTCTACAACATCGCCGTAACACCAGCAACAATCCTCCAGCCATAGTACACGACCCGACTGGTTCTGTTGCATTCAAGCCAACAGCACACATGGATGCAGTGACCTCATCTACAAAGCTACGTCGACTATCTGGTCCTCCTAGCATGTTGGCGGCCTTCACGATTCATCACTCTCAAATAGCATCCCCGACCTCCTCTTCCATTGATACACACACATCCTTGATCCGTTGCAATTCCATGCCCAACCGCCGAAGGAAACGATTCTCCTATCAGTCAACTGTCGCCCCGTTCTTTCAGCAGTTCGATTCCCGGGAAGTGACCACAGTCTCAGTCGTTTCTGTTGCACCTCCTCAACTGCCTTCAGTGTCTCGCCCCTTGAATGCCACGACTGCATCGGGGTCTAGGAGTGTTCAGTCAGATTCAGTTCAGGAGCAGCAGCTCACATCAAAGTCAATAGCAATACTACCGAAGGAAGGTGGACATACCCCACATGAATACTCATCATCTCGATTTGGCACAGAGGAGCTGGGGCAAGATGTCCCGAACTATCTGAATTTCGTCTCCGACCCTGCGGCCACCTCCAAATCTCAGGCAAGCCCATCCAATCCAAGCGAGAGTTTCCACGCAACAAATCTGGATAATCCGAGATCCTTCATTTCCGGTACCGACATTGATACCGCACCGGCAGATCCAGATATGGCTGAGGTGGATACAACGTCGACTATGCAACATATCATGGGAAACATCAGGGCAACAACAAGCGCTGCGTATATGAGCCCTAAAAGATCCCTCACCAATTCCAGTCTGGCCAGCAGTAACGGCTCTGTGTTCTCAACAGCGACGATGCCTTTGGCGGACTCGAGCATGTCGATCCAGTCACATCAGTCCGAGTCTTCGATGCTTTCGGCAGCCATGACCGCCAGCGGATTGCCATCGATGGACATGATGATGGATCATGTCGACCGAAGGCTGGCTCTTGACAGTCAGGCACAGCTGGTGGATAATGCACACGTGGGAATGGCCCATGTGTCGTTCGTAGACAAGCATTTGATTGCGGAACCTTGTTCTGCGGCGATCGAGACCTGGGTCAACTAAATCTCCTTTATTTTTGTTCATAAACGACAGGCGTGCTGGTCCATGCCCATGCTTATATCCCAGTTGACATCCTGTAAATATCCTATACTGAAGATATACGGCATCCCAATAATAAAAACAAGAGAAAAAAAAACGGCAGCCATAATGGTCCTGAATGCTGACACAACTGCCTGCTGCAGAATACAACGTGCACTTTAAGGGAAGCGCGAGCCAGGTTCGATGTGCTCTCGAGGCTCAGGTGAACTAACGGTCGCAGTGCTCACAACGCGTCGAATGATAGTTCGTTCTCTCCAAGCCGCACCAAAGGCGCCTATTCCTCATGAATGTGCTCTCATTTTTCTTTTCTCTTTACATGCAGCCTTAAAGATGCCCTGCTGTTTTAATGGCAAAATGCATTTTGTTTGGGAACACAGGTTTTGCGGACAACAGCATCCAATACTTCCGCCCTGTGCTGTTGTGTTCATGCGCTGTTCTTCGGCGCAAAGGATGTCTTCGCTCTCCTCATAAGCGCTTGTGCTCTTCTTCGTTGTGGAGTGGGCAACTCGTCAAACAAACAACAGCAGCCTGTGCCCCCGACTCTTTAAATAATCGACTCTGACAAGCGGATATCGGCTGACAAGGCTGAAATGCATATTCATCCTCACTTGGTCTCTGGCATGTAACTTGGCGGCGAGGGTGAATAGGACTGGATGCTCAGTACAACCCGCCGCGGACTCGTAATTTATTCCTGTGTGCTTTCTGTCTTTTTGTTCTTCTTTGCTCTTTCTGCCCATCTCCACACGCACCCACATACACTTGTTGTTCGCACCCACTCCTCCCTTTCCACCCTGTAACCCGCCTCTCCTCCCCTCCCCACCTCGATCTCCCTTTTCTTTACGACAAAGATGCGTTTCACTGCTGCTGCCTCTCTGCTCGCATTCGCGGCTACAGTCCTGGCTGACCCATGGAAGAACCTCGGAGGCGACTTGGCCTATATTGGCCCCGCATACAATGCCACCTTCAAGGTCGGAGATACCATCCCATTAGAATACACGTTCTACACCGTCAAGATGGCCAGCGGCACTGCCCCCATCAACGGCACTGTCTCCACCAACGGCACTGTCTCCCCACCAGTTAATACCGGCACAGGTATGCCTCGTAGATTTTTGTTGTCACTTTATTCCAACAAACGAGCTCCCGCCCAGTCTTCCATCCCTGGAACAGGAAGCTGTTGACCCATTACTGATTATGTATGTGCTTTTATTGCGTCGTAGCTACTCTCACTTCGTTAGCCTGGGTTGGGGAGACCGGCAACAAAACCCTTGAGGTGGCATTCGACAATGGCCGTACAGGTGGTCTTGCTTCATCCTGTTTGCCGACCGATGCATGCACGGGCACGTACTATCCCAAGCGTATCGACCTTGTCATCCCCTCCGGTGTCTATCCCAGCAATTACACTGTAAGGAGCCAACTGAGGCATCAAGCGTTTCGTCGCTTTATTTCCTCGTCGGATTTGCTTGGCTGCTTGCTTTTGTATCTCCCCCACTTTTACTCTCTCATTCTGAGAAAGTGGAAGCTCTCTCGCGAGAGGAACGTGAAAATTAATTTGATCGACCAACGGCCTGCTTCTCCACAGCGTGAAAAGGAACCATTGATTCTCAACCCTATCAATTTCTTTTACTACTCTATAGATTGTTCTCGGATACACATTGTCGTTGGCCGGTAACAGGACACTCCTCTACAAGCAGCCCGTTAACATTGTCGCTGCCACTGCTAATGTGACCTCGCCTACTGCCACGATCGCCAATGCGCCTGCTGTCCAGGTCACCCTGCCCGTGTATGCTCCTAAGAATAGCGGATTGACCACCCAGGTCCCCAAGGTCATTGTGGGCATGACTGTCTTGGTCGCGTCTGCCCTCTTGATGTTGTAGACGAGAGATAGAGGAAACGAGCATAGGTTGTAGATAGAATTGCCTGGGCAGGACGAGAATCGATCCAGCGAATAAAATCTAGCCAATCGCGCACCTTGAAGCGAATCCAATTTTTTTATTAGCACCAAGCCACATTTTCAATCCATTCTGTTTGCAAGACACAAAAACAGCGCTGCACAAAAGAAAGCAGGCCACAGCAACTCGAAGGGTTTTTTCCTCCTCTAAATTTACCACTTCGGCATAATTCCATCATGAGCTCGTTCGAAAAAGTAATTGGCCCGAAGCGAAAACAAACGCATTGCAACACCAAAGGAAACAGAAAACGGGATCGAAAACGGGATTGATAGAAATTCATTTCATGGCGGAATCAGGATCGACAAATTTGGCGACCATGCATGAAGGATCTCTGGCCCAGATTCAGTCCGTCTTGCGTCAAGGATCCCTCCTCATGACCCAGGCTTGACTCATTGTGGAGGGATTCAGTTGGAAGCAACACCGATGAAATATACCTCTGCCCGGGAGCAAAACTTCATTAGAGCGTCGACATCCACGAACTATACATCATTTCGATTTTTTTCAGTGGAATCTATGATTCAACATTCACAAATTCAGCACCTTACATTCTGCACAGGATTACCCGCTGACAAAAACGAAAGCACTCGACAACTCAGGATCTTGCCACTTCATCTAGACGATCTCAACATGATTTTCACGGGCTTTTCATCAACCTGGACTTTTCATCAACACATCCTTGCTCAGAGACCCCTACATCAGCTTCAGTACGGTGCCCGTATCAGCGACAAATGAAGTGTGTAAACCAGACTGTTAACATACCCCGTCCTTTCTCTCTAATTGCTTATCTGCTCTATCAGGTGGTTGTCATCGACGGTAAGGGCCATCTCTTGGGTCGCCTTGCCTCCATTGTTGCCAAGCAGGCCCTTACCGGTCAGCGCGTCGTTGTTGTCCGCTGCGAGGAGTTGAACGTCTCTGGCTCCTTCTTCCGTAACAAGCGTAAGTGGCATAAGCTCCCATTTGAACAAACGGGCCCCCCTCTGAAAAATATTTTACTCAGCGCTGGATGGGCTGTTACATCAGGAACACGTCGCAGCGACTGGTAGCAACAGGAGATATCTACATCGACATTGTTGCTTCTGAGGATCACATCCGGGATGAACAAATTTACAGTATCCGAAGCAATTTGAGCATGGAACCGTTGGTTTGAGGCCACTCAAAAGGCGTTGGACAATAGTCATCAACAAAACGGTACTGATGAAGGATAGCTGCGACAGCCTTAAAGCCAGTTTTATCGCTTCTCGATAATGCATCCTCTCAGAACCTGCTCGTGTAGCGTGGAAGCAACAAGATCCCGAAATATCAGCTCGCCTGCAAATTGAAATGAAAAAAAAACAAACCTAACGTCGTTGCCTTGTTCATGGAAAAACGATTAATAGTGAAGTACCACGCTTTCCTCCGCAAGCGTTGCGTCGTCAACCCCGCTCGTGGTGCCTTCCATTTCCGTGCTCCCTCGCGCATCTTCTACCGTGCGATCCGCGGAATGACCCCCCACAAGACTGCCCGTGGTGCTGCTGCTCTTGACCGCATCAAGCTCTTCGAGGGTGTTCCCCCACCCTATGACCGCATGAAGCGCATGGTCGTTCCCTCGGCCCTCCGCGTCCTCAAGCTCAAGCCTGGCCGCAAGTACTGCACCATCAAGCGTGTCTCGCACGAGGTCGGCTGGAAGTACAACGATGTCGTCGCCAACCTCGAGGAGAAGCGCAAGGTCAAGTCCAAGGCTTTCTACGAGCGCAAGAAGGCCATTGTCAACGTCCGTGCCAAGGCCACCGCCACCAAGTCCTCGGAGTTGGCTGCCGTCCAGAAGAAGATTACTGCCCTCGGCTACTAAGTCCATTTTTTTTTCTTTTCTTTTTTGTTAAAGTCATCCTTTTGTCTTAATGAAAAGAAAGAAAGAAAGAAAAATAACACGTATTGTCAATTGTAAGAAGAAAAGAGTCCCCTATTGTTTTGATATATGATTGTAAAGGAACTGAGGATTGAATTATGTGATTCGATGGGTCCAGGAGCTTTGGACATAAAAAGCTGTCGATTTGGGCGCTAAAAAAGAACAACATGACCGTGTCCATGAAAAGGTGTCCTTTCTGAATGGTAGCAACAATGGAACTCGATCGCAACTCAGGATAGGGGGGGGGGGGGAGAATAGGGCAATCGCTTGATTTAAGTGAAGAAACACTTGGGTGCTTTACAGATCCATTTCATGGATAGGAATCAAGGGTGATCCTCAATATGCACATTTTAATCGAAAGGAAATGAACATGAGGGGAAGAGGAGGGGGGAGAAATGTCGTTGCGCTGCGCCCAGAGTTCAGACAGTGCCAAGATTGGATTGTTCCCTGTAGCATAGCTTGCCTTCCCTTCAGGCCTTCAAGAGATTTGGACCTCAAACGCATGCTATGGTTTCCTTCGTATGTCAATAAACCCCATAGATCGACAAAATAAAGCGCTGCTGCTTCTGATTCGGTCATTAGAAAAAATAAGTTCGATCCAGGTACCGAAAGGTGTGTACCTTTGCGCGAGCATGCGTCTTGCTGCGCAAATGAGACCAGGCCCATCCATTTTGCTGCTGCTGTGGAGGAAGGACCATAGGATAGCTTTCTTGGGAATGTCGATAATTCCCAATCTCCATGTGTGCATGTGCATCCTTATCGAGCCATTCCAACAATTCATTTCTTTTTGATAGCACGAGTAAGACCTTTTGGGGGGTCTATGCAAGGAGAGAGATAGAGCTGGCTACAGCAACATATGCTTGTTGGCATGTGCGTTGGCCCTCCTGGACCTTGCCTCTGCTTCTCCATAGAATAAAAAAGACGAAAAAAAAAAAAGAGCGATGCTCAATGATTATGGTCCTCTTTTGGGTGATACACATACTGCAGTTCCTGCAGGTTCGATCGACGCCCTCCCCCTTTGCTTATCGCGTCGGTCTTTGTCTTCCATGGTCTGAACGTCATTTCCCTTTTTTTTGGGCTCTCGAGGCACAAAAAAAAGCAGTTTCTTGTGGCCAAGGTTGTAGAGGAATACAAGGTTGTAGAGGAATACATGCATGTCTGCGAAACAAACAGAAAATGGCTCATTGTAAAAAGGGAAGGAAGAGTGCCATTTCCGAAGCAGAGATACGAAATAATGGGCTGTTACGATTTTCATGTGAAACAGCACTCTGGGAACTGTAGGACATCTCCACTAGGTACCTTCGTGGAGAGTGTAAACCTATCTTGTGGAAGAAGAAAGATACTGGAGGTGTGAGCATCACGATGGCACTGCAGCTGAGTGTTCATACTCCACCATCCTCCGCTACTGGTACCCATTAGAGTACAGTATTTTATCCAGCGTTTATGAATCTCACCTGGTTTTGAACAGCCGCCTATCCGGCAGCACTGCGCCTACTTGAGGTATTTGTACAACATCACCGAAAAAAAAGAAAGTTCTCATCCCACCTTGGTTTCTTCAACGCCCCGCTCCTCCGAACCACCAGTTAGGATCTCTCCAAACGTGCGGCCTCTATTAGAACTTGCCGAATTGAGCCTCATTTGCGTGCGTGTCTTCGTGTGGCGAATGTGTGCCTGAACCTTTTTTGTTTTTACGCCCATTATTATACACATGGTGGGATCCAAAGATGGGATCTCCTCTCGGGCGGGCGGCACATTTTATTGTCCTAGCCTGACTAAAAACCATAATAAACGGGAGCGTTTCGTCTGATTTTGTCATCGCGCGTCGATGTTTGCAATGGTGCGTGATCGAATATTCGAATATTAGTCCCCTAGATACTCTGACGTTGCATGTGTACGTTTGTTGTTTCTCTTCATGGTTTGACAGCTCCAATGCTGGAACTACAAGTAGTCTAGGTGTAGCAAAAAATAAATAAAAAAGCTTTATTACCAAGCGCAAAGCGGGCCTAGATTGCAAGGCACACACTTTTTTTTTTCGCTGTTGTTGTTGTTGTTGACGGCCGATCTCAGGGCCTCATTGACAGACTATTTAACCTCGGTATGGTCATAAAAAGACTGCACAAGAGTTATTCTAGGATACCAGGGAGAGGATACGGCTGCCAGATCATATTCACAAGCTAATGGGGCGCCACCGTACGTTACAGGTCTCCTTTCGCACGAGGTCCTCTTATGAGCTGAATTAACGTTCTTGAACGCGCAGGCAAATGGGCTTAAGAGCTAATTCTCGATCCACCGAAAAAAAAGAGGATGGGCGCGACTGGATTCACGGCTGGATGGGCGAGTGATGTCAAGGGTACCGTAGAAGGAAAACATTGGTTCTCTGTATCGATATGGTTCAGGTACAGTTCAGGTACATAGTTGTTTTTTTTTTTTTTTTCATGCAGCGAACGACTTCGGTCTTTTCGTTTTTGATAGCATTTGTAAAAAATACGCCGCACTTGTGGGGTGCGTGGGACAAAGATATTCTTTAATTCTTTAATACTAAAACCTATGAGGATAAACGATAAACAGGGAGGCCCGGATCTATCCAGATTCTTAAAATAACAGTAACCGCTCCCGTCACCCATGAAAGACGATAGGCGGAGAAAGAGAGAGATTTAGAAGAGAGCCCCATATTCACTTTATTGGGAACTCCATACCGGTCTCCACAATTTCAACCCACATCCTCCTTTCCAGCCCCACAGTGCAAGGCCTGAGTGTCAATGCACGGCCAAGCCCCGATCCTTGATCCGTTCTGAGACAAAACTTCCATACGGATCCCACTCTTGAGTTTAGATCCTGGTCTTAGTTGTGCGGACGCGTCAAGTGCGCTTGGTGTCAAATAGAGGGTTGGAGAAACTTTTTGGGTTATAGACATGTGCTGTATGATATTGACGGATAATGGGATTAAAATGAAGGGGGGGATGGGATTCCTTGGTTGCCGACCTGGCAATTCGTTCGTGCAATGTCACCCAAAGATGTGTGTGTTTTGGGTCACACGGCCATGGTCTGGAAAGAGACCAAAGAGGCTAGGCGCCAGCAATTGCTTGCTGCCATTCATTTGTTTATGAACCTGGAGCTGAAAAATACGGACCAACAGACCTGTTTGAATACATCCACTTTGTGGTTGTTGTTGTTGTACACTGTGCGTCGTTCGAATGCAGGAACTCACACTCAAAAGAAAAGCAGGCGCCCCAATCATGTAGTCCATCAGGGGATTGTTCCTAATATTAACCATGCGTTTCTGTTTTGGCAGCAAAGAGATAAAATAAAAAGGGGTGGAGGAAGGAGGGTCGACTTTGTGCATTACCTTGTGATTTTAATAACCGGTAAACCGAAGAGGGAGTGGAGCGAAATGCACGGCTGCAATATAGGTTTACATGAAGTATCAAACAAACAATATCCAGTTTAAGAGCATGTTTAAACGATCGGTTTGTGAACGGCTCTCATCCTTGGAAATGCAATTCCCCACTGACCCCCTGACTTTCTCTCCTCAGTCTACAATTAAAAGCCGCTAATCATGCAGCCAGCATGCGTGCCGACAATAGCCCTGAAGGCGTCAGGATCGACTTGGATCAGCGAGAAGACATAATACTGTCCCTCGCCTTTACCTTTTTCTGCGAGGAGCGCGAGCGGCCGCCATCGCTGCAGGGCAGTGTTGCTCTGGGATAGAGGGGACGTCAGTCGCTACAGAGCGATTATGCTTAAAGGGGTATATATTCATGGTCCCGACTCTGATTGGACGGACTTGCTAGACCGACGGGGATTCAAAAAGAAGGCAGCTTGGAGCAGTGCGCCCCCTCCGCTCTCTTGACGCTCCACAACGGCCGTGCTTAGAGACCATCGCCCGTAGACTATTTTCTATTCCCATTTCGGAGCGGTTCTCAACAGCAAAGTGGTTTTGTGGGCGTGATTGCGGGATGTGGCCGTGGCACGATAGCGATTAGCATTATTTCTTGGTCCACGTTTCTTTACTTCTCTTCTGTTGTAGAACTTCGCCCTGAATGGGTTGGTGCGATATCATTGTATCACTATATTTAAAGTCGGCCTAGTTTGTTATCAACGGTCATTGTACAAGTAGACTTTTCCGTGTACAGACGTTTATTTTCATATGCTCCGTCCGATAGAGTAGCTGCAGACTGCTGTTTCAATGGCAACCAAACCGCCTAAGAGATACGCCATTGTACCTGCAGCCATGTCGCACAATCTAGCATCCGGTATCAACAATTTTTGCGCAATCTTGCCTCCCTGCAACGAAGGATCCTGAGAGAAGGGTCTACGGATTCGCCTCTTGAGGGAACTTTCATATGAGATTATCGGGTGCTGGAAAGAGGCAGAAGATGGCCCTGGCATTGTTCCATGCAGACGCTATTCCTCGTCCATAAACAGCACACGGGCGCTAACAGAGAGGAACCATAATTCCGTGCCTGAATTTATTTTGATGAGGCCCAACAAGCATTCCAGTCATTAACCTTACAGTCTCCTGGCGAATCATACCAGAAGGGTCCAGGAATAAATCTGTTCGTTGTTCGTGTTGCCCAATCAGCCGATCGGAGCAATAATATAACTGCGTATATTAAACGAATTCTGCTGACTAGCGGTGATCATGATGGTGACGACGATGATCTGGTAGACTATACACGGAGAAGATCAGGAAGGGTATCCAGCCTAGCAGCATATGCTTGCGATTACACAAGAAGATTCTCGCTGGTTCTTTTTTTACATTTTCTGTTTGGGCGCACCATCACGGGTACCGTTTTATTGTGTTCGATCTGTTAATGTCTACAGGCATATGGCCCTGCGGCCGACTGGCATTGCGCATTGCATATTACACATTACAATTGTTGGATAGGGTTCATTTTTATGGTTGGTGGATTACACATGCTTGTGAATGAGAATGGGGATAGGTTTTTACGGGCGAGCTGGATGGGGATTTGTTTGTGTGCGCTGGGTGTATATGCTCTCAGGCAAACAAACAAACAAACAAACAAACAAACAGGCAGGCAAATAATATAATTCGAATTATTTCACTACCGCATACGCGCTCTCCTTTTCAGCAGACGGACATGGAGACACAATCGAATTCGCGTCGTGCCTGCTTATTCAATACCAGAAACACTAAGAAACAAGGTCTATCATACAATAAACCCTATTCCACCTATGTCTGTCGACTAGAGACTGCAGACTGCAGACTACCGGCCATAGTCTACTGCCTCTCTTTCTTGAGAGCACAGGGAACCTAACCTTCGACCGTACTCCACTACTGTATCCGTTATTGCTGTATAACATACAATTGAGCCGTCGCCAGTGTGGATTGGGCCTTCCTGGCTCAGCACACCTGCTCCAGCTCGCCCGCTCCACTCCCCCCCCTTCTCTCCACGGCTCAGTCGGTCCGTCCTTTCTTTCTTTCTCCACCCGCAGTATATAACGTCCCCTCCCTCCCACACTCCCCCTCTTTTCTTTTTTCTCTCCGTCGTCGCTTGTCCCTTCCAGTACCCCATAACGTTGCTGTAGATATCTGTCCCGTCCCTCACAGTTCTCTGCACACCCCCTAGCCGCAACCCCTTCCCTTCACAGCCAACTCCCTTCTCTCTCACGCCACCAACCCCTCCTTCCCCCTACCCTCCCTTCACGACATCGGCACTACACATAACTGAAGACCCCTCCCCACGACCCCTCCTCTTCCTCATCTCCTACCCGCAGTCCCATTCACGTCCCACGCGTCTCTAAACACACACATCCCCCAACAATGGTTAACGCTCACGACTCTCCCTCGAAAGAGGTCGAGAACACCCATAATCTCCCTTATGACGAGAACGAAGAAGATTACCATGAGTTTGATGAGTACGATGAGGTGACGAAGCCCCAGTCCCAGCCCTTCTACAAGAGGCGCAAGTACTGGATCTTCTGCGCCATCATGACCGTAATCATCGTCGCAGTTGCCGTGCCTATCGCCCTCTTCGTGATTCTGCCTAAGGTCGCCCAGTCGATCATCAACAAGAGTAGCATGTCCTTCAAGAGCATCCAGATCTCGAGCCCTACAAACACCAGCATGGTCATGGCCATGAACGGTGCCCTCTCCGACACTGGCCCATTCTCAGCTACCATTAAGTTTCCGGAGCCCATCGAGGTCTACTACAACGACGTTTTGCTCGGTTCCATGAACCTGCCTGACACCAAGGCCAGCGGTGGTCGCGGAGATTTGGTTGTCCCTGAGGCTGCCTTCGCCATCAACGACCAGACTGCATTCGGCAGCTTCTCTGCTGATATGGTAAGTCACATTTCCTCTCACTGCAATTCCTCCCAACGGTGCAATGACTTTGTGCCTGCATCCATCCATCACATCCTGTATACTCGTGCAGGAACACAACAGGGCTTGTGATATCATACCAGCTCTTAACGAGTCTGGGGTTGCATAGCAAAATAACCCACCCACTAGATACACATACAGCATTCCAATGTCAACTCCCTCTCTCCATACAACACTCTCCCTTACGCATACCTACCTCCTCTTTCTATGTGCACTAATAGATGAACAACGAGAAGTTCACCTGGGTCTTGAAGTCCAAGGTCACCATCGTCGCCCTTGGTCGCACTGTCAGCAACCTCGAACTGAACAAGCAGCTTGACGTTTTGGGTAAAGTGAACTCGCATACATATATTTTTATTTTATCCTTATTATGCGCCCAACAGCCATCGTAAATTAGACTAACGGGTTGGTGCTGGCGTGTTTTTGCTACACTTTACAGGTATGAACGGTTTCCCCAATGTTAAGATCCTCAAGTTCGATTTGCCCTCTGATGCTCCCAATGGCCAGGGCATCAACTTGTCTATCGATACTGAGATGAACAATCCCTCGCCCATTGGTGTGTCCCTTGGAACACTCGTCCTGGATATTTCCTTCAACGGTACCCAGCTTGGTCAGGTCAGGGCCACTGGCGCGTCCATCTTGGGTGGCCAGGCCTCTGTTCTCAACCTGACCGGTATCATGCTCCCTCAGACCACTCCCGAAGGCCTCAACACCGTCAGGTAATTAATAACATCTTGTAGCTCTCAGTCCGTGATTTATTCATGTAAAAAACTACGGCACATACTAACCATCCATCCATCCATCCGATCTATCTTTTCATCTTCACTCTCACAGCGCTCTGTTCTCCTCCTACATTGCCGGTCTTTCCTCGGAGACTACCGCCAGGGGCGTCTCTGTATTGCCCGATGGTGTTAACGAGGTCGGCTGGCTTTCGGCTGGTCTCAAGTCCATGGTCCTCAAGGTTCCTCTTCAGTCACCCGTTCCTCTGAACATCATCAAGTCTATTGCCCTTGGACCCATGGGCATGAATTGGACCGGCACTGATGCCTATGCTCCTTTGGCCAACTCTCCTGGAGTTGTTGCTGGCTTCGAGATGCCCTTCGGCTTCTCGCTCAACGTCACCCAGGTCCAGAACAACATGACGGTCCTCTACAACAACAAGAGCATGGCTATCCTCAGCTCTGAGCAGTGGGGTCCTGCCGTGACCAGCAAGGGCGAGAATGGTACTGCCATCAACTTTGCCCTGCCCCCTACTCCCTTCGCTATCAACGCCGACTCGCACGCAGACTTCGATGCCTTTGTTAACAAGCTCACTGTCGGTGACAGCGAGGCCTTTGGCGTCGAGGGTTTCGCTGGCACTGTTGCCATGACCCCTATCGGTGAGGTCCGCATCACTGGTATTCCCTTCAAGTCTGATGTCTCTTTGTCCGGTCTCCAGGGCCTCAAGACCCAACCCACTGTGATTAACAGCTTGACCGTCATCGGTGGTATCCCCGAGGGCCTCCAAATTGCTCTTAACTTGACCATGGGCAACCCCAGTCAGCTCTCGATCGACACCGGTGTCGGTGACAGCGCCGTTGTCACCTTCGCTATGCAGTATGAGGGCGACAATGTCGGAACTGTCATCTTCCCCAGCTTGAGCTTGGTGCCTGGTGAAAACCAGCCTACTGCCGGTGCCCTGTTCACCCCCACCGGGACCCAGGGCGGTCAGAACCTCTTGCAGAAGTACATGACCAACCAGGTTGCGACTGTTACTATCTTGGGTTCTTCTTCGTCCTCTGGCATTGCTCCTCTGGCTGCTGGTTTGATGGATATTCAGTTGCAGTCTGACATGCCCGGCAACCCCGCTCAGCTCCTCATGGGCACTTCCTTGACCATCCTCGACGACACTGGCAAGACCGGTATCGCCATGGCTAGCGTCACTGTCAACAACCCCTTCATTCCTGCTCTCACCATCAAGTCAATCAAGTCCACTGTCCAGTACAATGGCCGCCAACTCGGTGCCATCGATCTCCCCTCGACCACTATCACCGTTGCCGGTATGAGCCAGCAGGCCTCACAGCCCTTGCCCCTGTCTATGGATTTGTCCATCGACTCACTGATCAGCCTCATGATCGATCAGGCCAAGGTCAACAACTTGAACACCGCGCCCATCATCGCCCTCGGACAGATGGCTAAGGACCCCACCGTCAAGATCTCATCCTCGGTCTTTGCTGGCTTCAACCTGCCCACGTTCGTCAAGGCTGCCATGGTTGGCCTCAAGGTCGATGTTTCTATGACCGTCGATGTCATGGTCGGCGAATACGCTACCTCGCTCACCCTTGTCCAGAACGGCGTTCCCACTGCCACTGATGATACCATCTTGAAGCTCCTCCCCATCGTCGGTACCCCGATTGCCCAGGCTATTGTCGACTTGGCTACCTTGAGCTTCTCGAGCGTCATGATCAACAGCCCCGCCGAAACTGATTTCACCACCAACATCAACGGTCTTATTGCCAACACTGGTCCATTCGATGCCGAGATCTCCTTCCCCAGCGGCTCTGGTGTTGCCTGGATCAACGGTGGTTCCAACGTGGACATCGGTCAGATCGCCATGCCCGCTGTTCAGGCTAAGGCCGATTTCGGTGCCCAGCTCGCTTTGACTAACGTTCCTTTCCATGTTACCAACGGCGGCAACATGGGCGACTTTGTTGGTTACTCTTTGAAATCCGAGTCCTTCGAGTGGTTGGTTACCGCCGAGAACATGGTCGTCACTGCCATGGGTGCTCCCATCCCCGGTATTAACATGAGCAAGAAGGTCTCCCTCAAGGGCTTCAACGGTCTCCAGGGCCTGGCTATCCAGAAGTACGATCTTCCCTCGAACGACCCCAACGGTATTCACTTGGTTCTCTCTGCCACTCTTCCCAATCCTTCGAACGTCGGTATTGAGATGGGTACTGTTGTGTTCAGCAACATCTTCGAGGGTCAAGAAATTGGTACTGTCCAGACTGTTGCACTTAAGCTCTTACCTGAGGCCCTTACCCCTATCAACATGGAGGGAACTTTGGTCAAGCAGACGTCTGAGGCTGGTCTCGATGCCCTCGGCAACATGTTCCGCATGGCCTTGAACGGCGGTACCCCTAATCTGATCGTCAAGGGTCAGTCTGTCACCCCTGCCAGCGGTCCCGTCTCCTGGTTGAGCTCTGCCTTCTCTAGCTTGACCCTGAACGTCACTCTGCCCAGCATCGGCAAGCAGGACATCATCACCGGTATTACCCTCAAGACCATGACCTTGGACTTCACTGGCCCTGATCCCTACAGCGTCATGACTTCCTCCGACAACATCGAAGCCACGTTCAAGATTCCTTTTACCTTCCCACTGAACATTGTCCAGGTCGCTGAGGACATGAACATCCAATTGCCCCTCGGTAACAACGTTGCTAACTTGAAGCTCCCTCTCGCACCAGCTCAGACCCTCAGCCCTGGTCTCCTCAAGACCGCTTACTCGGACCAACCCTTGAACGTCAACGACGGTGCCCACGGTGTCTTCAACGCCTTCTCCAAGGTCTTGACCACCGGCCCTGGTGTCCAGTTCTTCCTCGCTGGTACCGCTGACACTGTTGCCGAGACTGCTGCTGGCGATGTCAAGATCCCTGGCATTGCTGTCAGTGTCTCTTCTACCATGGTCGGTATGAACCTGAACGCTGGTGGTGCCCAGATCACCAACATTTCGATCACTGGAGGCACGCCCGAGTATCTCGAGATTCATCAGAACGTCGTTCTCCAGAACCCCTCTGGCTTGACTGTCAAGGTTGGTGATGTCAGCTTCAACATTGCCTACGCTGGCAACCTCATGGGTACGGCCGTCGTCTCCAACATGGTCCTCACCCCTGGTGTCAACACTCTCCCCGCCGTGTTCCACTTGGCTCCCTCTGACAGCCATATTCGTGATGGATTCTTGAGCGGTTTCGTTGCTGGTGCCCAGTTCAATTTGGAAGTTTCTGGTAGCGAGGAATCGAGCAATATTGAGTCCCTCAAGGAGGCCATGGCCTCGATCAAGATGAACTCCATCATCTCTGGTATCCACGACAAGTTGATTGCCGCTGGCAGCGCTGCCCAGCCTAACATCTGGAACATGTTGCAGCTCACTAAAGCCCGCCAGACCCCTGTGCAAGTTATGATTTACAACCCCTTCGACACCCCTCTGTACGTCAAGAGCATGCAGGCCGCCACCTCCTGGCAGGGCAAGGACTTTGGTGTTGTCAGCCAGGATGTCGGCTTGACCATCCCTGCCAAGGGCACTGTTCTCTCGCCAACTGTGGTCATGGTCTCGCCTGCTGGTGTCGACTTCATGGCCGTCCTTCTCCCCTTCATGCTGACCTACCCTCAACTCCTCATCGGCGCCACTGCCAACGTACCATTCACTATCAAAGCAACCATCACAGCTGCTGTTGGCGGTGCTAACGGTTACGTCGGAAACGTTGCCTACGCTCAGCCTGATACCATCATTGGCGTCAAGATTGATGGTGATATTCCTCAGGGTTTCAAGATCCCTACCATTGGTTCCACGACTGTCTCGGCTAATAGCACTGCTAGTCCCACGGCCACGACCGAGACTTCCACCATCTCCGCCACTACCACTATCTCCGCCGCTACCACCACCACCACCGCCACCACCACCACCACCACCACTGAGACCACTACGCCTACCGCCACAACCGAACCAACCGAACCAACCGTAGTGAGCGCTCCATTCAAACGCCAGGTCCAGATGCTTGAGTCCGGTCCCTCGAGCGCCGACCCTGCTGTTGTCGAGGCTTGGCTCAAGACCATGGTCAACATGATCGCCATTGACGAGGGTGTCGCCGCTCCCTTTGTTTAAAGGCGACCAAGAGTGAGAACGTGTAACTTATATCGAATATACATTATTGTTTTGTTGCTGCCCCTGTTTATTTATTTCGCGCGCATATACTTCTTTGCATGGCTGCTTTCCACAACGGCTGCGTTTTTTTTCTTTCTTTCTTTGAGTGACTTGACTCTTTTTCTACTTTTTTTTTTTCTTTTTCTCGAATATTTGACTCGCTGGCCTTCTTTCACGACCTTTCTTCCCAGCGTCTGCAAGACTCGTTTTAATGATCCTTGCTCTTTCCCCCCCATTTTTTCTTCTTCCCGCTGGCCTCTTCGTTCTTATGCCAGGAGTCTTGCAAAAATTATTTCGACTTTTTTTTTCTCACCTCTCATTTCATGATCATTCCGCCACGCCTTTATTATATACCCAACCCTGTACAGTAATTTTAATGATAATATTCTGTCAAATCCTTTGTCAAGCACCTTCCTTCTATCGAAAAAGACCTCCCGAGAACAGAAAAAAAGAAAAAAGAAAAAAAGAGCTCTGCCATGAATTTCGAGGGCGAGCAGCTGAGCGACGGGAGATCCACGATACATTTATTTTAATGAGAGAAAAAAAAATCCAAGTATTAAAGAAAAATGAAAGAAACTACAGCGCGCAAAGTGGAATGTATATGAACGTAGACAGCCTGAGAAAGAAATAATACAGCATCGTTCTTCATTACATATATACATACATATGTTTGCTTGCATATCGGCCGTCGTTTGTTCTTCCTACTTCTGGGTTATGGATCTCGTCGTTTTCGTCTGCAGGCTCATCAGGAGGGAGTGCGAGCATGCATTAAGCGACGCAAAAGTCATGGTAAAGAAAGTGCTGCCGCCAGCCCGTTCAGGCTCCTCTTTCCACCCGTAAGCATTTGTTTTCGACTTGAAGATTTGCGCGAATGATGGACCACAGGGCGATGTATACCCAGACGCGCTGTAGCGCTCGAATTCGTCATAGGGCTTCTTCGCTTGTTAGGACTTTTAAGACGCGTCGAAGACTGGCCAATGAGATGAGTGGCAAACCCTCTTTTAGTAATAACTGACAACTTTGCGACAGCAGGAGGCGGTTGATATGGACGCTTGCTTCGTTGTAATCATGTGCAACCGTCTGGCTCATGATGCGGATTGCATAGCCGGTGCCCCAAAACGACAGCAGCCTATTGCTACTGCTGGCCTTGGTCTTGAGTTGGACTATGTTGATGCGCTTGACGCTATTTATCATTGTGAGATAAGACCAAGTTGGCGTGGTGTATTGTTGCCGGGCTCTATAGGAACTGACACCAAATCATTCGAATTACTTTCCATCTCGTCCAAACTGCTGCCTGCTGTGCTGGAACTCTCTTGTTCCATTTCCATTGACATCGTACTTTAGTCCTTGGGCATGACAATTTCATCTATGCATTGCATGTTGATGAAGGCACCGAAAGCAGCTCCCTTTCTGGTGGTTAGCAATACAGTGTTCATGGCGTTCGTCCATGGAGATCTAACCGCGTTCTCAATGTCAAAACGTCCAGCGCTCTTTAAATAGATACTTCATGAATACCGATCACTCCAAGTGCAATGCAATGCAGGAGCCCTGTGGATATTTGTCGAGCCTTGCGCCTCGTATAACCATGGCAGTCTATAGGACGGAAAAGGGCGTTCGAAACTATGGCCAAAGGGCATGGAAAGTGGCAGAGAAGAGAGTCTATCTAGGCTTTCTAGAATCGACCAATGTTTGGGCGAAGTCAATTGGCACTGACGAATGACCCTTCATGTTATAACGATTTTTAATATTATTATTATTTTTGGACTCACATTCCAACTCTAGGGTTGTAGAACAATAGGGTTTGACTAATGATGATTCTTCCCCACACATCATCATGACCGGAGGGTTTGCACGATGAGAGGATATGCGAGTATAGCTATCCTCCTCCACAGTGGGCTGTTTGACACCTATATGCCTCGGCTGTTTGATACCACGTATAAGGACATCATCGACCCATCATTTATCCTTCGCCCAGTCGTCCAGTTCCGAATTATAACGCAGCAAACTACCTCTTCTTCTCAACGAATTCCACTTCTCCTTCCCACTTGTCTACCCTACTCTATCTCCTTTTTCATCTGCTTGTCTACAGTGCTCTTTACCAGTAGTCTTTTTTTGATGCTCATTCTTCACAAATAGCACACTTCTCGCCTTAGTGAATAGTGCCCTTCATCTCCAACCTATCCATTCCAGCGCCTCCTCACTCTTTGTCCTACCCCTCTCTTCATATATCTCTTCCTCCTTTCCTTCCATCTCCTCGTCTCGATCGTTTAAATGGCATTACCACCGAGCTCCGGGTCTCTGGACCAGATCAGCCAGGATCAGCTGCAGCAACAGCAGCTCCAGGGCCAACAGCCCCTGACAGCACCTCAATTGCCCCTTTCTGCACAATATTCTCCGCAAGACCAGCAACAGCAACAGCAACAACAACAGCAACAGATGCCAGCCAAAGCATCTTTTCAGTCACCAAATAGCAGCAGTGGTGCCGCCCAGTCTCAGGCCCCTACAACCATTCTTGACACACTTCGCAATGCGGCCTCCAAAACCACGGACATGCTAGGTATCGGCTCTAACTCTGATCCTAACATCGTTATCAACGACAGCAGTAACAGTAACAGCGACCGCAACGTCAACGTCAATGATGGAGATGTCAACAGGGGAGCTGCTCTGGCAGGTAATAATGGCAGCACAGGTGGATATGGGAATGAGCAACAGCAACAACCCGTTTGGACTGGTGGTGGTGCTGCTTTATTACCGAATGAGAGCAACAGCATCCCACACGATTCGCACAGCACAGCCATGTCCTCTGCAACGACGACGACCGCTCCTGTCGTTGTTCCTCCTCTCCCCCCTTCTTCTTCGCCTCCCACCCCCGCCGCTGTTCCCGAATCTGCCTCTGCCCCGCCACTCCATCCGCTAGTCTCTGCACCCGCCAACGTCCACATCGCTTTTACCACTACTCAACCCACCACAGCCGTCCAAAATAACTCCAACGATAACACCACCAACGCAGCGGCACATCCCTCCACTACTGGAAATCCGGTGATGAATCAAACACAATCAGATCTCATGACCATGGAAACATTCCAACCGAATGGAGGGAGCGCGTACAATCACGATGCACAGGAATTCACTTACCCACCTCAAGCAGGCGGCCCAGGTAGTTTCCCAGAGTCCTATGGCGCGAATGACCGACAGTATGATTATGGCAGCGAGGTTGGCACACAGGGCAACGACGGTGGCGACGATGCCTATGAGACCAACATCAACTTCGTGTATGCTAATGAGAAACGTCTCAGCGACTTTCACGCCCTGTTTCGCAGTGTCCCCGAAGACGAGAAGCTGATCGAAGGTATGATGCATCCCTATCCCGCTCCAAATCTCCTGTTCTATTTTACACATATGCGCACAACAACGCCGACTATCCACATTCCTTGAGGTGTTTTACAGCAAGAGTCAGGACACACACATTACCATCAAATATAACAACCACAGGCGATTTGTTTTTAGCCTCTTGCGAACGCTGGGTTCAGGTCAAAGAAGAGTCAAGACAAAATGTTCAATGAATGGAGGCCAGCTTGCTGTGGTTCAAAAGTCGACCAACCTTAATTACACGCGGACTGTGCTTTAATTAAACCTCGCCTTGCACCATCGACCTTGGCGTGGCCACGTATACCACAGGATTCTATCCATTTTGTACTCGCCCGCTTCTTCTTCTTTACAGGAAACCAACATGTATTGTCAGGAGTAATGGATCAGCTCATGTATCCCATATATCCATATCTCCGTTTGGCCATCGCCTGACATCTGGGCCGATCGATTTAATCCGTGATCCATGATATGGCGAATTTTACTCGGCTCTGATCCTTTCTCAAATTTAAAATAGATTACGGTTGTGCTCTGCAGAAAGAAATCCTTGTCCAGGGCAGACTCTACATCAGTGAGAACTATGTCTGCTTCAATGCCAACATCTTTGGATGGGTCACCAATGTAAGAACTTGTCAATTCCTGTGTCTGGTGTCAGTCAATCAGTCAACCAAGAAGAAGAAGAAGAAAAAAGAAAAAAAATAGCTTCGAAAGAAATCCATTAGGATCATAAAATAATCCAAGATGCCTTTCATTTGTTCAATGTCATAACAATTAGCTGGTTATCGCCTTCTCAGAGATCACAGCCATCGAAAAGCGACTCACTGCGTTTGTGATCCCCAATGCTATCAGCATTTCTACCACCACCAACACAAAGGGACACTTCTTCGCGTCGTTCTTGTCTCGGGATGCTGCTCACGACCTGCTGATGGCCGCATGGAGAAAGTCGTTCCCGTGTGCGGCCAATGCCTCTGCAGCCAGCAACAATGTGTACTTTCAAAGAAACAGATCCAACGTTACGCTGAACGATGACGACACCGACACCGAATCGTTCACTTCTGCAAGACCCGCTTCAGACTCCAGAAGAAACCGACATAGGCGGTCGTCCTCAGCCTCACAGAACTGGACCGCAGATGAAGCTGACTGGGATGAGACAGAGGACATGGATGGCAAAGTTACCACAGATATTAAACATCGACGCAGGTCCAAGAAGGCAGTAATGAAGAAAATCCTAAAAGGTAACGAACGGTGCGGCTGACATAGCAGGCGCCAATGTCTTTGTGTTGTTCTTGGATTCTAACACCCGTAACGTGCTTTCAATAGAGATCATTGAACCTATACTGCCAGATAACGACAACCATCACGGTACGTTATTCTCGCTTGTCAAAGCAACATGGTTTGAGTAAAGGGTGCAGCTTGAAAAGATTAGTAATCATTACGATCCATAAAATATGTAGAAGGCCATACCGGACGACCTCGATCAGTATCAGAGTTGCCGCCACCACCATCTTCATTTGAGTACTCGGGGTCTGTTACCAACAAGTCACTAGATTTGAACCCGGTCTCATCAAACGGCCCTCAATCCCAAGCAAGACCAGGATCGCCTCCCAGATCCCACGCCAATGGTGCGGCTGACGGGGACGATAAAAAAACCAAGGGGGGAAATCGAGTACCGACTACCTGCAAATGTTCGAAGGACGGCCGACACTATGCCAACACATACATGTCCGAGACATTCCCAGGATCAGTCGAGAGCATATGGAAGCTCATATTCGACTCGGACTTCAGCAAAGGCTTTTTGACCAACGAAGTCATGAAAGGCGCGGACGTGCAGGAAGAAGCATGGCAAAAGGCTGACAATGGAACGACGACGAAGGTTACAAAGTACACAAAATGGCTTGGAATGCCCATCGGCCCCAAAACGACCAAGGCCATCCTGACAGATGTTTGTGAGCATAAGGACTTTGACGAGTACGTGACGACAGTGACGACAACATCGACCCCAGATGTACCCTCTGGAAACAGCTTCACGACAAAGTGCCGTACCTGTATTACCTGGGCAGGTCCCAATCAGGTCAAGGTCCTGGTTACTGGCGCGGTTGAGTTTACAAAGAGTAGCTGGATCAAGGGTCAGATCGAGAAGGGCGCCGCGGAGGGTATGACGACGCATTATAAGGAATTGAATGCGAGCATGCGGAAACATATCGCCGCTCATCCAGACGAGTTTTCAAGTGGTGCTGCCGCTGCTTCTGATGGTACTGCTTCGCCAAAGCACAGGGGTCACTCCTCACCACGCGCACACTCTCATGTTCGCCAACAGAGGGCCGAAGGAGAGTACCAATCGGGCAAACCATCGACATTTACAGAGGACGCGAGTACTGAGAAGGCTTCTTTATCAGCATCAGCATCAGCACCAGTGACAGGAACTGGTGCCACCTCAGGAAAAACGAGCGGTGTGTGGTCGACCATCACTGATGTGTTCACTTCATGTATGGGCGACGGCGAGAGCGTGTCCCATCTGGCGTTGGTGGCGGTTTTGCTCTTGGTGATGGTGGCCAATATTTATATCTGGCTCCAGATCTCGCATGTTACCTCGCAGATCGAGAGGATGCAGGATAATATGTTTTCGCATCGATCATCCAGCAGAGATGGAGTGCGGGCGATGCACAAAAGCAGTGGAAACGAGAACAATCCGTTTGCAGATATTGCTGGTGGACTTGGCGATGAGGGGTACACGCAAGAGCAGGAGGAGGCCATGTGGGCATGGCTGACAGAACGAGAAGAGCGACATCGGCGGTACCAGCAAGGGAGCGCCAAGGACTGGATTCGGACGAGAAAGACCGGTAGTGCCGACAGGAGCTATGACGATGATGACAAACAAGCAGCGCTCAAGGACTTTTCTGCGACCGAGGCAAAACTCCAGGCGAGGATTAATGACCTCCAACAGCAACTTGAGACCCTTGAGAAAGCTGTGGATTTGGGCTCCCATGGAATGTAAAAACAGCAACATCAATACCAACAACAACAGCAACAACCGCAGTAACAGCAATAGTAGCACGACTACAAAGACATGGCATTTACTTCATATCTACTTCATAAATAAAGCAATCTTAAAGTTGACAAGACACGGGGTGTTTTTGAAAGCGCTTTCATTGTTGATGTTTATTATATAGAAATTGTACAGACTGTATTTAAGAAAGACAGCGAGGATACGACAGCCTTTGCATTGTGCTCGATGATACAATGAAGGAGGTTGTACGATGACACATCTTAAAGACGACACGAGCTGGGATATTTCACTACTTTCGAGTGGTCTTCATGTTGGCAAGACAAGTTGCGCAGTACCACTTTCCAATTGGGGGCTCCGTCAAGCCGACACATCCATAATGGAACCATTCCTTGTCACACGAATCGTTGTCGCAGCCAACCATGTCGCCAAACGAGACCTGCTGGCAGAAGCAGTACAGCGGTTCGTTGGGGTCGATTTCCATCGCAATGGCGCCACTGCCGCGTTTTCGGCCATTGGGGCTGCTCCTCGGTGCAGAGATAGGGCCTTTTTGGCTCTTGCGATCTATAACGACAGATGGAAAAAGGTAATCAAGGTAATGAAGATGGTTAGACGGACCTGAAAAAAAAAAATGAACAATAGCGGGGTGATACGCCTGGGACATTTGAGGTCTCTTGAGGGAGGGAATCAATCCAATAGAGCGGGAAGGGAGGATAGATGTCAAAGGGAAGAGAAACAGACATCTTCAAAGTACCTCTGCTGACTGAAGGGGCATCCAGATGGGCTGCTTTTGGTTTTGTAAATCATGTAAATGGGATAAGAAGACGATTAAAGACTAGATCTGCGAGCGAGTAAAGAAGCACTGTAAAGGGTGAAAAAACGAGGAGGTTATCTACCTTTCTTCAATTCACCAGCATCCTGAAGATCGATTCCCAAACGCTGCGTTTCCTCGTCCAAACGCACGATTTGACGGTTGATCTATGACGATAATGACAAAACAGACATGTTGATGAGTGATATTGCAATAGACGGTTTTGTCCGCAGCGAAATTCGTTGAAAAATAGCAACACAGGTCCTGATCCTGAAGCCTGAAGGTCCAGAACGATGTCTCACCAATTCGTAGAGCTTCGCACTGAGGTCAATCTTTTGGTCCACCTTCCGGATAGCTGTGCAGTACTCTTTCTATCAGTGTTGAAAGTCATTTGTTGCAGAGGTGTTAATAAGATATAAGAGATCCTGGGTTTCGACAATTAGATATTCAAACTTCTTCCAGCAAGACGGCACCTCAATACTCAGACGTGCTGCTACGAGGTTGGGATCATCTCCAACCGGTATGCTAGATCGCTTGGCCAACTTGATATATTTCTTCCAATGGGTGCGGTAGCTCTCCCGGAGTTCTATAATTCGAAAAATAATAATCGAACGTTGCTTGTCAATGCACTGTGTTAAGCAAGATAGACCTGATGAGTTTCCAACGCAAGCAGACGGTAGTCATACCGAAATACTTCTCATCGGCCATTCGCAGCTCCTGAAGTCCCTGCTGCACCTCCGACGGCAAGTTCTCGAGACCTATTAGCCAGGCGGAATGGAAATTCAATGGGCGCAAGGCCGTCAGCGAAAGAGTGGCTTATATCATACGTTTTTCAGCAGACGAGTACTACCCGCTATGCTTGCGAAAAGGTTGGACAAATATGGGATGGGGTACCTACTCTCGATGTATTCCTCCAAAAACTCCCCTGCTGTCATCGGCGGGTTCGTTACGGGAATCATGTTGTATGAGCTAGAGTGTATGTAAGTGATTCAGAGGAGCTAGATGTTTGAACTCGAGAGGAGATGAAACTGGTACAAAGTGCTCAGCAAACAAGGGAGAACATTTGGAGATAGTGCATTTAGGGAAATTAATATGTCAGAAGCATCCAGCTTGCAACTAGAGAGAAAATTACACGGCTTGAATACTCTGGATTTCAGTGGTTTCCGCTCCCTTTATTTCACAACGCTGGAGTAGAGTGAGCACGCGCGGCGCGAAAGAGATAGACTATGTAAGCTGGAAAAAATGAGCAGAGAGCGTGGCGTTCGCATGGCTTTGGTATTTTATTTCAAACTGAATTGGAGCCCAATGGACATGCAAGGTCTGGATTTCCGCCCGCATTATCTGCGGCTCGTGCAAACGTGCAGGCAACATTGATGTGCATGTACATCGGTGGCGAGGACGTGGAGCAGGGTTTTAATAAAAGGGCACCATCCGGGAGGGGGCGTTTGAGAAGGTGTGCTGGTCCGCCGCACAACCAGTTCCAGTAACCAAGGAAACGACAACAAAAACAGAGACAAATAAGATTAGCTGCGACAAGTTAAAAGTAAGCGAGCTTAGTGCAGGTCAGTGTGCTACCGCAAGTCAACAGGAACTGAGTGAAGTGAAGGGAAAGGTGAAGGGAAAGGTGAAGTGAAGGGAAGTGTAAGCCGACTCTCATCATCTCGGCCTTTTTTTTTTTTTTTTTTTTTTTTTTTCCTTTTTCTCTTCTTTTCTTTCTTTAGTCTCGCTCTTCTTCACTCGCCCCTCACCATCGAGATCTCATTCCACCCATCAGCTTCCTCTGTGTGTCCTCCTCCCCATCCTTTTTGCTATTCTTTCTTGTTTGGTCTCTCCAGTTTTCCTTACTTTCTTCACATTGGTCGTCTCGCTCCCTTCTTTGTTTGAAAACAGCACTACTATTTACTAGCCATGGCTATGTTTGGCGACGACAACTCGAACCCTCTCTCCAAATACAGGGAGTTGACACCCATCCAATCTGTCCGGGACCAGACCCCTACCAACGCTTCGGGAGTCTTGAAGCATGGTTATATCTCAGTCAAGGAAGAGGGCCTCAAGGCCTTTATCTGGTCCAAGAGATACATGACCCTTCGCGAGCTCACCCTGAGTTTTCACAGAAACGAGGTCAGTAACAACGCTTTCTCTGTATTAGTCCGCCGTAAGGTCGGACGTCAGTTGATTCAGGAACGACAGGAACGGGCGCATATTCTGATTCTCAAGGAGTGGCAGCTACCCACACTCAAGGAACAGAGCAAAAGGAGCAAAGTAGCCACACTGTGGTCAATTGTGGTTTCAAGGCGTCCTCTGGCACGATGTCAAGATGGATGGTGCCCGAGTCTCGACCACACCAACTCCTCGGTCACTTATCAGAGTCAGCCCGTTGGATTTATCGTCCCTCGCCTCAATTTTGCCACTGTTCGACCCTACACTTTTTTTTTTTACGAACTGGGATGGTATCACCCTGACACAACAGCAGAGAAAGAAAAGAAATGCGAAGATGCTTAAAGCTAAAGAGTGCCTGTGTGTCATGTCCTGTTCACTGTGTCTGTGCAATGGCTACATTCTGAAAAGTATATGTTCGTAGAGATGGCGACGGCTAACCCTAGTGTCATGGCAACATTGGATATCCGTCTTGTTTGCTTTCGTAATCTCTAGTCTACCCCCCAGGCCGTCGTGTTGATTTTCCTCAAGGACATCACCGCTGTGACCCGTACGGATCTGAAGGCCTATTGCTTCGAGCTAGTGACAAAGGACAGGAGCTACTTTCTCTCGTGTAAGAACGACGAGGAGCTATATTCGTGGATGCATGAGATCTACTCAAGATCGCCTCTCATGGGTGTCTCAAACCCCACTAACTTTGTGCACAAGGTCCATGTGGGATTCGACCCCAACACTGGCAATTTCACGGTATGGACAAAGCTTACAGCTGGGAAGGGCAGATTGACTATCTGCACCGCAATCAGCCGCGTGCAATACTGACCCTCTTTCCTGCCTCATATCGGTCATTTCAATAACAGGGCTTACCCGATACGTGGACAAAACTGCTCACCGGATCCGCCATCACTAAGGAGGATTACGCCAATAATCCACAGGCAGTGTTGGAGGTCTTGGAGTTCTATACGGATCAAACAAAGCGCAATGAACAAGAGTACGGCACACCATCATTGGTTCCCAGCAACCTTCCCCTCATCCCCAGCGACTCTGAGGGCGATCGATGGGCGAACCTCATACCCCGACAGTCACCTTCACCCCCTTCGAGCAATCGTCCGGAACGCCCGGAACGCCCACAACGCCCAGAGCGTCCTGATCGGCCAGATGACCAGCTTCGACCTTCAATTCCGGAGCGTTCACAGAGTGTTGACATCCTTCCAGTGACTCAGAGGATGTCCAGCCTCGGCCTCTATGATGACAGGGTATGTGCTTGTTGTGTATATGATTGTCTTTGTTATAATTGCCATTGTGCTTGCTAACCAAAGATTAAATATCTGAATAGGGAAACCAGCAGGCAGGTCAAAGACCAAATGTTGCGCCCAGACCACCGCAGGGTCACCGCCCCGATTATGCCCCTCCTTCCCCTACTGTAAGATGGAACCCACGAATTCTTGTACCAAATGGTTTGTTACGACATAAGGTCCTAACCATCGCCTTGTTTCTCCTGCAATTGCACAGTCACCACGCGCACCCAACCATCAATTCTCCAACTCGCACTCTCACAAGTACAATAACCAGCCGTATCATCCGCCAGTTCACCAGCAGCCATCCCCATCGTCTTCGCCCTCTGGCACACGACCACCTGGTCCATACGGGCCTCCTCCTCGTAGCAACACTGCGCCCATTGCTGTCAAATATCCCGGCACTTCTCACGAGACTGGCGTCAAACCACCCATTGCACCCAGACCTGCAGTGGCCGATGCCGCTGCTGCGTTGAATGGCGACAGCGCACCCAAAGTGGTTGTCGAGCGCCGTATCTCGACCATGACGGAGGCTGAGGTGATGGAGAAGTTGAGGAGCGTTGTTTCGTCGGGTGATCCCAGCACATTGTACAGCAAGATCAAGAAAGTTGGTCAGGGGTAAGCAGCTGGCGCTCTCTTTCTTATGACTGCCTGCCATAGATCTATCAAAACGGCGCTATTAACACTTCTTCCTTAACAACTAGTGCTTCTGGATCAGTCTATGTTGCCAAGCATCTCACAACAAACAGCAAGGTTGCCATCAAACAGATGGATCTGTCTCTTCAGCCTAGAAAGGAGTTGGTCGTCAACGAGATTTTGGTCATGAAGGAATCTACCAACCCCAATATTGTCAATTACTTGGACTCTTTCTTGGTCAAGGGCCAAGAGCTTTGGGTCGTCATGGAATACATGGAGGGCGGCGCTTTGACAGATGTTATCGACAATAATAAGTTGTCAGAATCTCAGATTGCTTGCATCTGTTTAGAGGTGAGTTGTACATCTTCACGCCTGCTGCTTGTCAGGAATCAGGAAGGGGAGCGGTCATTGATATTTTGTTTTCAATCGCTATCGTTGTATGTCTATAGACTTGCAAGGGTCTTCAGCATCTGCACAGCCAGAACATTATTCATAGAGATATCAAGTCCGATAATGTTCTCATGGATTCTTATGGACATGTCAAGATCAGTAAGTGCGGCATTTCTATGACAGGAGCTCTTCGTGATTCTCGATATGTAATAAGAGTGTCGTTTTCTGACCGAAGCATACTATTATTAATCGCTTTATATAGCCGATTTCGGTTTCTGTGCCAAGCTAACGGACCAAAAGAACAAGCGCGCTACCATGGTCGGAACTCCGTATTGGATGGCACCTGAGGTCGTGAAGCAGAAAGAATACGGCGCCAAGGTCGATATTTGGTCATTGGGTATCATGGCAATTGAGATGATTGAGCAGGAGCCACCATACCTGGATGAGGAACCTCTCAAGGCTTTGTACTTGATTGCTACGAACGGCACCCCGACGCTCAAGAAGCCAGAAACTCTCAGTTCGGAGCTGAAGAACTTTTTGGCGGTCTGCTTGTGTGTCGATGTCAAGAGTCGTGCTACATCGCTGGAGTTACTGGAGGTAAGCAGAAGCTGTCTTCAGAATATGTCAGGTTCACAATCGTCGTCGGATACATATTAATCTCTCTTTCCTTTAATATATCAGCATGAGTTCCTTGGGAAATCTTGCCAGATGTCATCCCTTCGATCCTTGTTTGACTTCAAGAAGAGCGGATAAATCCTTGTGAACAGACAGAGCCGAGAACATTGGATGCAAAAATAGTCCGCGGAAACAGGCACTTGTTGAAGGAAGGTCAACTGAACATCTATCGTAAATAAACAAAGTAATCCTTTATGCTTTTAAGGCGCGCGTTGATGTTCGGCATTGGGCCAGACGAGCCGCAATTTGGTCAGGCACAACAACGTCACATCCAAGTGAAGGACGGTTAGTCCAGAACAACATTCTTTCCCTATTACACCGCACAGAAAGTAAACGATGAGAGTAAGGCGCAGTCGCTGCATCCGCATTCATGTCAGAACATACTCGCAGAATGCAAGTGACATGGACTAATGCCGAAAATTGTGTTCTTGAGTAGATCGCAATAGAGGGCTGTTGCCATGGCGAATTGGACAATATCTATAGAGAAATTGCGACTCGTGAGAGGCAAAATGGCTATAAAGTGGACCTGCTGCTGATCTGCGGAGACTTTCAGGTGTGTCGATGTTCTCTTATTGTGTATACGGGCGTGTATGAGCTATAACAGTGGCACCGATACCTGGCACTGTGGAACTAACCTCGAATCTCTACTGTTGATATTAGGCCATACGAAATGAAGCCGATCTAGAGGCGATGGCATGTCCACGAAAGTATCTGCGCTTGGGAACTTTTAACAAGTACTACTCCGGGGAAACCAAGGTGCCAATTCCGACAGTGTTTATTGGCGGCAACCATGAGGCGAGCAACTATATGTGGGAGCTGTAGGTTGCTATTTGGATCAGGCATCCTTTGAAATGATGTTCCAGTCGAATGGATAGTATCATGGATCAGAAAAAAAAACTGATACGATATTGCATCTGATCTTTTGACTGAATAACGCAGGTATCATGGAGGATGGGTCTGCCCAGGCATTTATTTTCTCGGGTTTGGAGGCGTGATCAACTTTGGCGGACTCAGGATCGGCGGGATGTCAGGAATCTACAACCACCACCACCATCAAGTAGGACACTACGAGGTCTCACCATACAATGACAACAACAAGAGGAGCATATATCATGTTCGTCAGTATGATACGTACAAGATGTTGCAAGTCAAAGAGCCCATGGATGTCTTCCTGTCGCACGACTGGCCCCGTGGAATCGAACAATACGGAGACACACAGGGTCTGCTTCGAAGGAAGAGTTGGTTCTTGGGAGAGGTAATAAGGAACCATACAGGGTCTTCATTGGACATTCTTGTTGAAAACAGGACATTGTTCGCTTGATTGTAATCGTTTAAAGTTGGATACACTACTAGGTTCAGAGCAACACTCTAGGAAGCCCGGCACATGAGGAGATTCTCAAAGCAGTCAAACCCGAATATTGGTTTGCTGCCCATTTGCATGTACGCTTCCAAGCGTTCGTTGAATGGAAAGACCAAGCCAAAGCCCAGCAAGAAGCATCGCAGGCGCAACCTACACTGCAAGAACACCCAGCAGTACAGCCTTCTGTGATTATGAACCCTGATGCAATCGATATCGAGTTGAGCGACGAAGAGGATGCCTGTATTCAATCGGCGCCGTCGACTACTATGGAGGCTGTCAAGAATCCAGACGAGATTCAGATTGAACTGGATGACGAAGATGAGGAACAAGAGTCACAGAGCAGGGGTGTGAATGAGAAGGCCGAGGCACAGACGACTGCAGTGGCCACTGTTTCGAACCCGGAAGAAATTTATATCGAGATGGACGACGAGAGTGAAGGCGAAACTGGAGGTGGCTCTGCATCAGGCACAGCACAGACAGCGCCGCCACAGCAGGGTCCTATGGACGCAAAACCAAAGCCTTACCCTACGAGCACAACGTTCCTGTCGCTAGACAAGTGTCTTCCGAACAAGAAATTCCTCGAAATTATGGAGTTTCCGAATATCAACGGTCCTAGAGAGTTCATGTATGACGAAGAATGGCTTGCCATTGTTCGGACACTGGATTCGTTCTTGAGCCTTACCCACAAACAAAATCGCCTTCCTCAAGGAGCGCGCCTGCATCAGTAAGTTACCTTCTTTATCTTTTTCTTATTTCAAGCCTTGCATTACATTAGTCAATGGTTCTTATCTCATTCGTATTTATAACCTTTGTTAGCGAATTGGCTGTCAACCGGGAGTGGGTCAGAAATAACATCACGTTGAAGCGAGGCCTTGCGATCCCTGACAACTTTCAGCAGACTGCACCGGCGCACGATCCAGTGCGAACCATGGGTCCGCAACAGAAGACCGAAGCGCGTACGTTTTTTTTTTGCATGATACCCTTTTGACTTTTGTTTTTTAGGATGTTTGCGCTGCAACTGATATGTACTGATGCACTTTTTCTTATTTTTGCTTTTTTGTGTTAATAGTCAGGCCATTTTTGAATCCTCAAACAGCAGAATTTTGTTCCATGCTCCAGATCCCAAACAAGATCAATCCTCATGGTCGTCGTGTCTGATTCTGTAAAGCAGACTAGACAATCTCAGATTTTGATACAGATTCCCTGCAGAAATACTCAAATAAACAGCAGTCTGACGATAGCTTTTCTGTGATAGAAGCTGGATTGAACTGGAGTATGCTATTGGTTCGCGGTTTGGCAACGATACATTGGTTCGCACGGTCTCCAGTTCCTTGGGCAAAGCACGAACTCTATTCAAAAGGATGTCTCCAGCATGCTTGTTCTCGCAATGAATCCTTTCTTTGTACACCTTCCATCCATCACGATTCACAATAACTAGCGTTTCTTGTCATGACATCTCGCGCAATATCCCAAGCAATTAGTCATATTCAAGTGTCCTTATGTTCCCCAAATAAAATAAATAAAAATGCATGATTAGCTTAATACCGATACGTCATATAAAAACAGTTAAACCCGCTGATGATTGAGTCGCTAGGACCATATCGGCTGGCCGTTGGAGTCCAAAGGCTGAAGTTCAGCAGGTCGTATACCCTTGAAAAGCCTATACTGGGCAGCTCGCACCATGTTTTGTGCAGCCATGCTGTCGCGGTGGAAAGGCATCTGGCAGGCTAAACAATACATGCTACGCATATTCACCCGTCCAACAAATCCATGGTCGTATTTTCTGCTTGGACCAACAGGGCCATTGAACGGACACTTTTACGACGTGTAGTATTCGTTGATACCGACCACCGCATGACCCCTGGTCCTGAACTATAAGGACAGGATAATTTGAGACTCGATTAGATTGTGTTTGCCTGTCAATAGGGCCACAAAACACAGCGTTATATCAATGCTCTTACCGCTGAAATCAACTTTGCGCTGAATGTGCCGTGCAGTGAAGTCAACCCGGATGAGGTGCCGAACTTGCCGAGACCCACAACCCACAGCACCTTGTTGGCTGGAATGGCTTTCTTCTGGTTGTCTTCTTTTACCAATTTGATAATAGCCTCGATAGCGATTCGGTCCTCTGCATCCCTCGCCTTTTTCAGATCCCAAGTATTGCGACGATGCCGGAACGATTGGTTGTAGTACTCGTTCAACACCTGTCTGTTTTTATCTATTGAGTTCAAGAACAACCGAACGTCCTCATCAAGAATGCCTCTTCTCGGCAATAGTGAACTCTCGGCATCATGGATCTCGTCGATCTTGCGCCCTTCGATAGCTCTGCGATACTTGAACTGAGGCTGCATCAAGGCCTTTTGCTTGATATTGAGAGTGCGATACTTCCCTGTCGGTGGCCAAGGTAGTGTTCCATCCGCCAAGGGGGGATCAGGGATAAAAACACTGACGTCTGCTGTGACCACCTGGCCCAGGTCAATGCCACCAATGCAGACATCCCTACCGTCACTACACAAAGGGAACTATAGAATGAGTGTTTGATATTCTAGTCCTTGAAGAGACTACCTTCAAAAAAAAAAAAAAAAAATTGCCTGCCAAACGTGTCCTGGAGTTCCTTTGTCGATCCAGAGAACTCGTTCCTAATCTCTTTCAACCACCGATCGGTTCCCATCTTGGGGTCAACTCGGCCAGGAACGGGATTTGAGGGCTTGTACCCCTTTGTGACACGCGTGTCGCAGGCTAGCAACCGCAGCTGGAGTCCGTCCGTCTGGAACGTGCCTGTGAGTACGTACCGCTTTGTGTATTGGTACACGTGGTCTTTGGGCTCAGGTTTGATGACCTCGATCTTGGAGAAGTAGCCCTTTTTCCTATTGAGGGGACATATTAGGTTGCAAAGGAACCCGCCGGGCGCCATTCTTGCAAAAGTAGCCTCAAGTTCGCTCAGTTTGTACTTCTTGGTTGAGTCCATTTTTAAAACTCCTTAAACGTCCTCGCGGTAGCTATCGTGGATAGAGTAGAACAACTCTCGCTCCGTTATAGTTATGAAACCATGGCGGATCGGCGAGATAGGGACTGCAACTGGACGTTTGGCTACATCCACCAGTTCTCGAAGGTGCGGAAATCGGACAAGAAGACTCTCCTTGGGAAGTGTCCTCTCATCGAAGAAACGTCCATCGCCTCCATAGAGCTTCTTGAGCTTTGCAATGAAGATGCAAATGACAAGACAGGTAGATTAACAAGCGTTCAAGGAGGAAGAGAGGAGGAAGAAAGAAAAAAAGAGGAAGCAAGTATTACCTGTTTGATCATTTGTTCGTTCTGCGACTCCCAGAGCATGGTAAAGTCCTTTGCCATTTCATGGGCCAGTGGTGCAAGAAAATTAGAAGTGGCCATCCAACTTTCGGGTCGCACGGTTTGAGCGTGCTTGGCTTTGTACATGTCGAGCACCTCTCGTGCTAGTTTGGCCACGCCAGTAAATGCTAACCTCTTGAGGAAGCTACAGAATTGGGACAGAAGAGTTTTCAAAAACCCCTCCAGCGTGATGGCTGTCTTCCTGCGTACGCACTTATCCTTGAATAGGTTGATGAGCTTTTTTCTGAGATTCTTGCCATCATCATCGCTCGAACTCTTAGACAGAAGATCCAGTAACGCAAATTGCGCATCCCGCTTCCCATTGTTCCAAAAATCGGCAATTCTGCATATGATGTTAGTGATCCTTTGAGGCTTCGTTGTGATATTGGCGCCTCGAGCAGGGGAACTGGCGGCGTGGGCGAGCATGATGTTTCGTCTCAGCGAACCGACATGGAGAGGCCTTAACGGATGAAGCTTCATATGAGCTCGCTTAGCAACATCTCGGTCTGACCGCGTCGCTTCCTCTTTCTGCTCAGTGGTCTTTTTTTCATCCTCCGCAGCCGCATTCTTGGCAACCTCTTTCGTTTCTTCCATTTCCTGTTCTTTCGCCTTTTCCTTGGTTACCGTCCTGTACGTCTTTTGGCTCAACTGAACAAAGGCCCCTATCTCCGTAGGAGTAACACGTTTGGGTTCTGTGGCATGGTCTTGTACTGGTATCGAGGTTGTTGGGGTTGATGGGGCTTATCTGGCTTCCAAGCAAATGACCGCAGACTTTCCATGATGCTCTTCGCCTTGCACTTCGCTTGTGCCTCGGAAGGTTCGACGGCTCGGAACTTGTTGAACGTTTGATGCCTCTTGTGCCGGATGGGATGGTCATCCATAGTCCTTTTGGCGTTTAGCAAGATCAAAGAACATTGACAACTTGTTAATACAAATGCACACAAACGCGGTATCATTGTGGTACAGTGATGTAGGAATAAAAGCTACTATGTATGTACCTTTTCAGAACTTGTTTCGATACCCGCAGCTGCTTTCGCCATTGCCGGCAAGCTCTTGAAACCCTTGTACAGATTATCGTCTCGCGTGACGTCGTCAGATTGCGTCTGCTTCCTATCAACAAAGACTCTGAGTGGAGCTTCAAAGTCCGTGTTTTTTTGGTTTAAGTGCGCGACATCATCATGGTCCAAGTACTTCTGGACCATATCACGAATGTCACCTACAATTTTTTTTTTAAAAAAAGAGGCGGGATTAGAAGGACTTGTCACACTTCAGCTCCAATAACTAGACGTGATATTCATCCTTACCAGACCAAGGAATGTCCCTTATCACTGCCAAGTTCGATATGGCTCCAAGACCAAAGATATCCTTGCTGTAGTCATTGTTGGACACGATACCGAGCACCGTGAGTCCAGAGTGTCCAATTTCCAAGTACTTGCCAACTTCGAAAAGATCGTAGACCAAGAACCGGCCCCGAGAGATGGGTCTCCAGACAGTTTCCACAGTTGGATAGATCAACATGTCGCTGTCTCCTGAAACAACAATGTCACCTGTGCGGCACCAATTTGCAATATCCACGTCTGCCTCGAATGGAGAAACCTTCACCCTCCAACCCTTGGAAACTAGGAATTGTTGCAACTCCTGCCTGTCCTCGTAGGTCAAAGTCATTGTCTTTTGAAAGGCCTTAACAAACTCCTTTTTCTTCTGTTTGGATGGCCGCTTGTCCTGCCTGCCGTCGATGTGTTTCTCGATAGACGAGTAGGACTTTCTTGCTTTCAGCAAAACATCTTTGGCAATCTTTAGACGCTTGAGGTGAGTCGCCCTCTTCTCTAAGGCTTGACGCCCATCCAGATAGATGGTAATATTGTTTGGACTGGGGAAGAGTCTCAGTAGCGCTTACTGGATGGCTTCATGCGCCTTCTCTGTGTCCTCGTATGTGCAAAAGGCCGACCGAATTGCACAAAGAGACAGGCGAACAGATCCAGGTGATATGTAACCTTTGGCTTGCTGTAGTCTGCTATCGCGATACCAGGCTCGAACTTTTTCTTTTTCAAGGCGCTCCACAGCCCCACTACGCCCATGGTTACTACAAGTAGGGGTGTGGTATGGGAGAATTTTAGTATGGGAGAGTTTTAGTAATGGCAAGTAGGAAATATGCTCTGACATGCTAGTCCTAGGACATTTGCATATATAGCTTTCCTCGAGGCGTATAGGTGTATTTGGGGATGGGTATATGTATTGTGTGTGTGTGAGAGAGAGAGAGTGGGTGAGTGAGCGAGAGAGGGTATAAGTTGTGCTGTGCGTGTGAAAGAGAGAGAAGAGTCTGTTTGTTCATCCAACCCCCTGACGATGTGGAAACGCGTTGTGTGGTAAACAAAACCCGCTGTGCGCACAAACAAAACCAGTAAGGCAAACAACATGACCTGAACTGCCAAGAGCAATATTGTGGAAATTGCCCTGATCAATATCAATGGCATCCTCTCTTTCATTGGATGGAAATTGTCGGCTATCATGCCCCTGCTGACCTTAATAGCTTAAGATCCAAAAGTTGCAAAACGACGCGTCTAAGTAGACAAGTAAACTCCTAGACATAGTTGCACTTGAGCTCTCCTGCATGCATACAGAGAGTAACAGACAGAGTGAGGAAGAGGGGGATGGTGAAAGAGACAACGAGAAAAAACATCCAGGATGGTACATGCTCGCCCACTAACACCGCCCACGCATGCCATATCCCCATATCCACATCACACAGGCACACACTTCTCCTTGCCGCACATCACATCCGAGTCCAACTCAATTGGCCCAGCTGTGAACTGCCTGCAACTGGACGACGCGTTAAAAGCCAATGGTAGGTCAATTGAGAGCCTATCTCCTCTGAACTCGTTCGCAATCGCCCCATTCTTTTCCAGTCGATATTATAACTATTTACATGCCTTAATGGCTCGTTATGGGTTTGGAGCTGAGTGAGCAACTTGACTCAATCGAAATGGCAATAACAGGCATTTTATTTCATTCAACATTGCCGTGCATGCTTGTTACTACGGCCATGGGAAGATACAACTGGAATAAAGGTGTCGCGCAGCTCATGTGTCCTTTGTCAAAGCATCCAGAACCTCCACACTTGGGTGCGGCACGTTCTTTATCCATAAGATTTGTAAATGTTGGTGACAAAGGTAATTGGCAACATTACAGGAAGACTTACCCACAAGCATGGTGAGTCCCGTCAAAACAGAAAACATCTCCCCACTTCCGCAGCTCATTCAGCTGCCATGGCGATGAAAATCCATGGTAGAGGCCGTGTCCCCGATCGTAATAGGTGAAGTAAATTTGGTTCTCAAGGTCCTCCATCCAAAGCCGAGCAGAAATGAGTGGGTCGTCATCCTTTCTCATTTGTTTGGCAGTCAACGCATACAGGAGGTTATAGACGTCGTCGTAGGTGATGTCGTCCCCGGAGAGCTGTTGGTTGTCGCCACCCTCCATTAAACGAGTGAACCTTGCATAGTCGATCGTTAACTGGTTCACAATAGCGGAGGTCGACATTCCCCTCATAACCATAGCTTTAATTCTTTCTTTCATGGCCAAGGACTTTTGCTGAGTGACAATGTTGCCTTTGTCGCCCAGAGTGTGTATGTGCTGGTAATTGTATTCGATGCGGTAAGTTTCTCCTGGTATGTCATAGCGTGTTTGTAGTGGACGATATATCCACTTCCAGTCTGCGGAAAAGCTAGCCTTGAGGTAGAATACTAGTCGGTTTCGCTTACCTTGCGTAAATACCCGATCCTCTGGGATCCCACACGCATGGGCAGTTTCTATAATGTGCGGATCAGAGAACAGGGAATCTCTCACGGCGTCTCGAACATGCTCTTGAAGGCTCGACTCAAGGTGCACTCTTCTTTTTTCTATCCTTTCGATATCGGCAGGACTGGCCTCAGGGGCGTCGTCGCGAGTAGGTGTGCCACCATCATCATCCTCATCCCCATCGATACCGACAAGGTCGTTTTCGTAATCCAATTCGTGGTCGTCGTGGTCTTCGTTGTCGCGTATGCCCTCACCAAAGGGTTCACGGCTCAAGGTAACATCGCCGTCGTTGTCAGTCATGTGAATTTCAGCCAAACGTTGTATCTGGATGTACAATTGTCGAGAAAAACATGTAGGTGTTAGTATATGGGATGGTGTCTAGTCGGAACAGGGCAAACCACTATCTGCTGCGTGTGTTGCACATCTTACTAGGGCGTCTGTTTAAGGGAACTCATCATATTTCGCATCACGGGACATTTTTCGTCAACAATGCCGGCTTTTCAAAATAAATTCTCTGGCTGCTTTTTCAGAACAAAGACACATTTTCTCTCCTGTAACGTCCAACGGCCCACAGAAATGTCGAAGCGAGGAAACGTAAGCAATGGCACCTCGCACCGCGGTTCACAGCGCGGGAGAAGGGGAGGAAGAGGGCATAAGGGCCGGGGTGGACGAGGCGGAGGAGGACCACAAGGCGGTGGCGCAAATCGCAGGGGTTATCATTCATACAGGGCTGCCAATCCATACCAGGGCGATTCAGACGAAGGACTCGCTTCAGGTACATCCATAACGACGAATAAGAATCCCCTTTTATTATCCGCAGCCACTTGCAGCTAATTGAAATCCTGTTTAAATGCTGCTGATAGATGAGATTGACGACTGCGTGGAAGATCCTCTGTGGCAGACATTCGAATGGGACAAAAAGGACCAGGATCCAAGGCACAGCAATAAAACCAGCTCCGCAGCACAACCACAGCATCTTCAGCAATTACCTATGACAGAATCGAATGTTCCCATGGAAGGCTGGGGTGGAGCATTAGCGTACTATGCGTCGTCGTCGGACTTCACCAGCAACGTGAGGAACCATGTCAGTAATATTCCTCTTGATCAGGATAAGGAAGCGGACACTTCAAAGTCCCCTAGCGCTAATTGCGATTCGGACAAATTGGACCGCGATCCAAAGGGAAGGGAAATGCTTAGACAATCCACAGCAAGCTCAGGAAAGCAGGTTGAGGATATGGCAGGAATGATCAGACAATCCAAGAAGCGTTCAGGCAAGCTAGATAATGGCGGTACGGAGGCGGTGATCGCACAACCGAAAAAGTATTCAGATACTATGTCACCATCTGCCCCAATGTTCACACATACAGCCAAGCGAGTCAAGACTATTATGACCGACATGGTCCAGAAATCTGTGAGCTCACAAGTACCAACGGACACGGAGGAATCGGGTCTGGAAGGGCTTTATCAAAAACGGCAGAGCCGGAACTCTTGCCATGGGTCATCGATACTACGCCTGCGAAGTTTCCCGTTGAAGCGGCCTCTGGAGTGCCATCGAGTGCCGACAACAACCAGTCTTCGCTGTGGGTTCTGGATACGACACCAGATGTGCTACCCAAAAGTTTGCTCCAGTCAGACTACATCGATCTCACATTAGAACACGAAGATCAGCCACCAAAGCAAGGAAGGACGGTTCAAAAGCAGGAGAGGAACAGGAAAAAAAACCGACGGCGGCGTCAGAAAGTCAAAGAAAAAACGGATCACGATGGGACCATCCTGTTGAGCGATAGTGAGGATGATGACGAGGAAGACGATGACGCAGCGGCATTGGAGGACTATTTGCAGGTAATCGAGATCTCCCAAGCTGAAAATACACTTGAAGTGAGGGAGCCATTGCACTCATCATTTTGTCCCTTTGCATACTCTGTAGAACACCATGGACTCGGAAAACGAGGACAGTATGGCGACATTCATAAGCTCATCTTTGCACGAACTGCCCGTCGGTTCTGACTTTGGTGGTGTCGATTCGGACGAGGAATATTTGGCCGAATCCATGTGGGAGAAAGCCAAGGTGCTATGGACCGAGGAAGAGATCGAGACCCAGTATATCGACAAGCTCGATTACGGCAGCATCTCCCGCATTCACCAGTAAGTTCTCTATACATTAGTATATTGCCGCATGGCTTTATAGACGTGCGAGAACTGACATATTACCTTTAACAACACACAAATAGCATGGTCCTGGACTTGCTCAATGATCCCGGCACCAGCACGAGACGACTACCGCGCATGACCAAACATGTTCGAAGTCGGGTCTACATCATCGCGGGATTGTACAAGATACGGACATCTACGGATGGATACGGAGACGATGGACATCCGATCATCTCGAAGACAGTCAACACAGCAGCTCCACAAAAACCGGTTGACTTGTGGAAGTTTCTCCCGCGAGACCAGAGGCCCGTAGGCATGCAGCCATCTTCTCCTCGTAGCCGCAGGGGTGATTCCAGGAGTGGTCCCAGGGGTAGTTCCCACCATCGAGGCGGCCGTTTCCATGATGGACGCGGGGGACATTTTCGCGGAGGTGCTGGTGCCTATCAAGGAGGCAATGGGGCCTTCTTTCATAGAGGAGGTGACAGCAGGAACGGAGAGGGGGTCAGGAAAGGTCCACCTGGGTTCGTGGTCACTGACGGTACAGTTGTTGGTTCTTCTGCATCAGCTATCTCGAGCGACAACATGGGGCATCGCATGCTCGCCAAGATGGGGTAAGCTGAACTTTTATTTGATACAACTGCCTGATATCACCGTGAAGTTATTGTACTAATAGTTTGACCCGGTGTTACTTGATCGGATAGATGGTCGCCAGGTGTTGGACTTGGTGCTTCGGGAAGCGGAATTAGGGAACCTGTTGAAGCTGTGATGAAGAGAACACGACGTGGTCTTGGGCACGATGAACGGAGTCGTGGTGGACAACAGAATTAAGTCATCTTCGCCTACCTAACGGCATTGCTCACGCTATGTACCATACCCCATGTGGGATCTGTCCTTGCAACTTGATCTAATTGCTAAGCAGCTGGACTTTGTAAATAAAAACAATAATGTTGATTTTCCTACTCCTTTTCGAAGGAATGTGAACGGAAGGGTCTTGCTGTATCTTTCTTCATTTCAGAAATGCTCCTGCTCTTTTTCTTCACTGGATACATCATAAACGAGGAAATACGCTGGTTTGAGCCAATACTTTTTTTTATCTCTGGCATGCTGTGCTATTACTAGGCCATGCCTCGCCCAGGTACTCGAGAACGGCAGCGGAGTCGATCAGGACCTTGCCGTCGCTATTGCTATCTACGAAAGCAGGGCCGGTATCGTAGAGCTTGATCTTCTTGTACGCTTCGGTTTTCTGACAGGGTTACACTGAAGATCGCTTGGGAGCTCAAAAAGCCACGGAAGCATCAATTGAATAAGCGTTGAAATACAGAACATAATTTCCTCGGTAAGGAGGTTGGTGGAGGCCCAGATGCACTCGCTAGGCACACGAGGATCGCTAGAAGGAGTAGAGCACAGGCCTGGCTATGGCGGAGATGCACTACTGCACAGAGGAGGATAGAGGGGCTGATGGCGGCGTTTTGGTGCAGAGCAGGCGGGGCGAGTGAGGACGGGAAAGGGATGCACAGACAGCGCGTTGACCTGGTGTGGCTGTGAGGAACAAGAATGATGCGCTGCTCAAAATCGAAGCCAGAGCGGCGGGTGTCTGCGTATCAGAGCTCATTTGAGGTCGGTGGCAAAACAAACTCAAAAGGGGAGGGAGGCATCGCCGCCTCGCGACAGACACTGCGTGCTCCTCTCCTTCTGTTGTGCTTCATTACCACATCCTCCTTCTCTTCCTCCCCAGCTCCATCTCCATCCTCCATCCTCCATCCTCCATCCCGCTCCAAGCACACAATGTACCCAGGCCAGTACCGCCCTCCCCAGCAGTACCCGCACCAGTATGCTCCGCCTGGGGGCCAGGCGCCTCCACCGGTCCCCTATCACCCAGGAGGGCAATATCCACCCCCGGGCGGCTACGGCTACCCACCGCCTCAGCCACAGTATGCGCCCCCATCGTACGCTCCCCCTGCACCCTCTCCCTATGGCCACCCTGCACCCTCTCCATACGCTCCGCCTGCAGCGTCTCACTATACCCCACCAGCGCATCCGCCATATGGCGCGCCTCCAACAACCTATCGACCTCCATACGGTGCACCGCCGCCTCCCTCTTCTGCTGCATATCCTCCTCCTACCCAGCATATCCCTCAGCACATGGTAAGCTATCGTTATTCGTTTGATCCCATGCCCGCATTCAATTGGATCCTTTTAGAAAACGCTTACTAACGCTCTTTACTTGTTTCTGTCAGATTGCTCCCTCCAATGTACCGCCACCGCCTCAGGGATGGGCTATGGCGCAGGACCCACGTATGTCCCATCCTGTGAATTTTCAGCTCTCCAACTGCATGGGCCGCAAACGCGCCCTCTTTGTTGGCATAAACTATTTCCGCCAACGAAACGAGCTTCGGGGTTGTATCAACGATGTCAAGAACATCAAGGCCTTCGTCATTCGCCAATTCGGATTCAAGGAGGAAGACTGCGTGACCCTTACAGACGATCAGCGAGATCCGACTCGAATCCCGACAAAGGCCAACATCATAGCGGGAATGCAATGGCTCGTTCGCGACGCCCGGCCCAACGACTCGTTCTTCTTCCATTTCAGCGGTCACGGTGGTCAGACCGAGGACAAGGACGGCGACGAAGACGACGGATATGATGAGACGATCTATCCTGTGGATCATGAGAGAGCCGGAACGATCATCGATGATACGATGCACGACATCATGATCCGCCCGCTGCCTCCGGGATGTCGCTTGACGGCTATCATGGATTGTTGTCACTCAGGATCTGCATTGGATCTGCCGTTTATCTACAGCACGACAGGACAGCTCAAGGAGACCAATGTACTGTCAGACGTTGGAAGTGGAGTACTGAACGCAGGACTGTCCTACCTTAGAGGCGATCTCGGAGGTGTGATGAGTAGCTTCGGAGGCATCGGCAAGCGGATCACGAACCCAAAGAAGAAAGAGGAGAACATGAGAAAGAAGGCTAGCCCGGCTGACTGTATTATGTTCAGTGGGTATGTTGAAGCTGCAAGCAAAATACCAGCAATTCAGTCCGAGGGTCAGCAGAAAGGGCGTGGAGCGCTGATATTTTCTGTGTTATTTAACATATAGATGTAAGGATACTCAGACATCCGCCGATACAAACGAGCAAGGGTTCGGAATGACTGGGGCCATGACTTTTTCGTTCATTACAGCGTAAGTCCCTGCTTGCTTTACTCTTGTTTGACAAAAACCCATTCACACAACATATTAATGCGTCATTTTTTTTTTTTTTTTTTTTTTTTTTTTTTTGGCTTCTTAGGCTGAGCGCCAATCCTCGTCAGAGTTACATCCAGCTTTTAAACAGTATCCGCGATATCTTGCGCACAAAATACTCACAAAAGCCTCAGCTGAGCTCCAGTCACCCCGTAGATCTCAACCTCATTTTCACAATGTAACAGAATCTGGATCGTTACTTTTGCGGAGCAATCTTGTACAACGGGATTTGATATGCACGCGACCGTTGTTTTCAATCACTCGAGCAATAGTGATATGTAAAATAAACGTTCTGTTCCTTCGACGCAGCAGTCCGTTCTTTATGCAAAACTTTAGCCATCGCAGCTATGTAAGAATTGGGCTCTCTCAGTCGAATGAGATCCTGGCCTCTGATGCCAGCTGCTCCGGCTCCAAATTGGCCATCTCATCGATGAAAGCTGCCCTGAAAGTGCCGGGCCCACGGACATCGTCACGAGCGCCAGCGTGCTCGCCAGCCAGGTTCAATGCCAAAACACTTGTATGAATCAAGCAGGTAAAAAAAAAAAAAAAAAAAATTAGGCCAGAGATCCCAGAATGTTGTAGCTTTTGCACATAATCAAACAATGTATATTTGCTTTCATAGCAACTTACCCAGCAACGGCGGCAGCCAAATGATCATTAGGAGAGATGGCGGCAAAGGAGGCAATTGAGGACGCAACCATACATCCGGATCCAGTGATACGGCCTTGGTAGGCGTGGCCGTTCTCGATAGCGACGATGCGGAAACCGTCAGACACATAATCAATCTTTCCTGTCATAGCGACAACGCATTCTGAATAACGATGATAGGAGCAGAATCAAATGTAGCTATCAGTATGAGAGGACAAAATCCTTTTTTTTTCCTTCCTTTCTTTTGTTTTGTCTCAAAGAAAAAACAACAGCGAGATGCTTACTCTCGCGCCGGGCAAGGGCCTTGACGACAGTGCGGGGGTCGGAGAATCCGTTGCCGATAGAGTCGACACCGCGCATGGCGATGGTCTCGCTGTTGCAGCCAACAATCTTGGCGATCGTCGAGATCTCGCCAGCATTGCCCTTGATGATATCGACGTGCACAGCGTTCAAGATCCGGCGAGTGGTGTCCTCGCGCAACGTGGTCGCGCCCGCTCCGACAGGATCGAAAACCACCGGTTTCGACTGCGCGTTTGCGTGTTTTCCTAGATGGGGTGAGAGCGAGCCGTTGTTCGTTAGACAGGGTTCCTTTTATGCTTTCTGACCACGAGGAGCACGAAAGGCGCACTTTGATTTTTCATTCCGATCGCTTCTTTACCAGCTTCGAGCATGCACTCGACAAACGACTCTGTCAATGTTCCGATGTTGAGCACGACCGACGACACGACCTTGGATAGATCGGCGGCCTCTGCAGCACAGGGCGCCATGATAGGTGATCCACCCAAGGCCAGGGTCGCATTCGCCGTATCGTTCATCACCACAAAGTTCGAAATATGGTGGGTCAGCGGCGACTTTTCCCTAAGCGTCGTCAGCAACTGAGGCAGTCCCGCCAAGAACGCCTGACTCGTGGTCGCCGTCTCGGACGAACTCTGTCGCTCCAAATGCTTCTTCGCCGCCTCCTTTCCGGCTCTGTATTCTTTCAACAATTGCTCTGACGCCACCTTTGCATCCACAGCGCTCACGATCCCAGTAACAACAGCCACACCGTCCACAATCCTGCCGTTATCACCTGCAGAGTGCGAAACCACCCTACGCGTGTTGTCATGTTTGATCCCGCCAATCACCACGGTCTTGAGGTCGCTGTCAGCAGGGACCGTCTCCAGGATAGTACGGACGCCAATGGGTCCCAGTGTGCGCTTGGGAGACTTCGTCTGGGTCATGAAACAGGTTCCGATCCCGATGTAATCGGCGCCGTCCGCAAGGGCCTTTTTCGCCTCCTCAGGTGTACCCGTTGAGATACCAAGGATCTTGTGGGGGCCGATCAATTTGCGTGCTTCGACACAGGAAATGTCGTCCTGACCGACGTGAACGCCCTCGGCGTCGATGGCCAGGGCTACATTGATGTTATCGTTGATCAGCAGCGGGACATTGTACTATTTGTCGCGTAGGTTCGATTGCAAAACAGACAAGCCAGTGGAAGAAAAGGTGGGGGCTGTTGAGTCATTATGGCATTTCGCGCGAGAAAAAAAAAAAGTAGTAGGATAACAACTGCGTCGAGAAGTGTTCTTTCATGATCGTGTTCCTGCTAGACGTTCCTTCCATCTACATCATCCTCGCTCTCATGGTTTCTCCTTATTATAGCCCCATATCTTTAGAGGCCAGACAGTCTGGACCTAATCAATAGATCCGGCTGTTACACTAAGCGCACACAAACAAATACGGTCCTAATGTCCTTGGTATCCTCACACCTCGCTCGCTCTCTCTCATCTATGATGAGATTGGCGGCAGGAGTTTGAAATTCCTGCATATCCCGTCTTGACTCGCCCTTCTCTGCTCTACCCCTCTGTGGTTCATGTCCAAGAAGGCGGGAGAAAAAAAAAAAGCAAGTCGCGAGAAGTTGATCATCCGTAGAAGTTGATCATCCGTAGAAGTTGTTCCTCCCGTCCATGTTCGCAAGTCCTGCTTGTATGCGCGCCCATCGGGTTGCTGTGTCATTATGATTAGAATGTACCTTCCTTGTGACCTCGTGCACCTTGCGCGCCAATTCGGTAAAGGCCGCAGTGTCGAGCTCCTTCTCACGCAGCTGAACCAGGGTCACTCCGCCCTGAATCGAGTCCTCAATGGATTGGAGAAGTGTCCTGGAAGGGTGGTTCAGACCAGAGTCCGTGACTAGATAGAGCGAGTAATCGACAACAGGCTTGGACATGCTTCCTTGCGAATGAAAAAGAGAAAGGGGAGAAGAAGGTAGGAGAAGAAGACGAAGAAGGGAAGAGGTGGCGAATGAGAGAAAACGAAGAAAAGGAATGAAAAAAAAAAGAGGAATGAGATTCACCCTTTTATGATTAAGGTTTTCGTGTGGTTTGTACGGAATCACTATCGCGCGCTATGGATCATCAATCAATCATCGATCCAATTCCTCCGCGAGGAATGGCAATTGCGAATCCGCATGGCCGCAGCCTGCAGCTGCGAGTGATAACCAACTGACACGCCAATGGATATGAGGGAGGTGTAGCCACTGCCGCACAGTTGTCTGCTGGACCTGCGCAGTGCTATCTGCATGTTGCATCGCCTATGGACGGATCAGATAAACACGAATGGAGTCGCCCCCAAAGGATGACTGGGGTATTTCACACCCTTGGGTCTCCCCCGCCCTTTTCTCGCTCCATTCTTTTTCCTCCGCTCCTCATTCCTCTCCCTCCTCATCCACCCCCTCCCGCACCCATGGCCACCGAAAGCACTCCCCACAAGCCCCATGTCCCTTTCAAGGCACTGACCATCGCAGGCAGCGACAGCGGAGGGTAAAGAAATCCCACGGCCAATTCAATCTCGTTATCAAAAACAAAGTGTCAGCATCCCATGCACCATCGCTAAACACTACCTTTAAATTCAAACGTAATGTGCACAACAGAGGAGCCGGGATCCAGGCGGACCTGAAGACCTTCACTTCCCTGGGCACCTTCGGCACCTCGGTCCTGACCTCGGTTACTTCCCAGAACACCCTCAAGGTCGATGGCATCCATCCCATCCCTGCGGATTTTGTCGCTCAGCAGCTCGAAGCCGTTCTCTCCGACATCGGCACCAACGCCATCAAAACCGGTAAGCGCGCGTTAAAAAAAAAAAAAAAAAAAAAAAAAGCAGCGCGAGTTACTTTCCTGGAAACTCACAGAAATAAACTCTGTTTTTCACACACGCACGTCCATCTCATCCGCAACAGGAATGCTGTGCAACGCCGAGATCATCGCCGCCATCGCCAAGACCCTCCGCAAGTTCTACCCCTCCACTCGCCCAATTCCTAACCTCGTCGTCGACCCCGTCATGATCGCCTCCTCCGGTGCCGCTCTCCTCGACACCGCCGCCATCGAGACTCTCATCCAAGAAATCCTCCCGCTCTGCCACATCCTCACCCCCAATGTTCCCGAGGCCGAATATATTCTTTCAAAGGCCAAACTTGAGAACCCCCTCTTTAAAGCTGAAAGCTCCAAAATCGATTCATTGGAACAAATGAAATTCGCAGCTCAAGATCTCGCGCGTTTGGGTCCTTCGATTGTCCTGTTAAAGGGTGGACATCTGCCATTCTACAAAAAAAGCGGAAAGGTCCTGCCCCAGGAACTCGCCGAGAAGATCGATGATCTATCTGTTAAGCTTGAAGAAGAAGAGTTGGAGCTCGTCGACCTGATCTGGGACGCTAGGACAGGGACTTTCACAGAACTGAGGAAGGAGTTTCTGAGGACGAGCAGTACCCATGGCACAGGATGTACCCTCAGTGCTGCTATCGCTGCTAATCTCGCACATGGTCTTAAAGGTTAGGAATCAAATATCAGCAGGGAGAGAGGGAGGGGGGTCTTTTTGCACCGCACTATGAGAATTAAGAAAAAAAAAACATTCGGGGCTAACGGTCGATCACTCCTTGCTAGATCTGAACGCGATTATCCGAGGCGGCAATTACGTCCAGTCTGCGATCCGTGACGGACTCACCGTCGGACAGGGCAAAGGCTGCCTGAATCACTTCCACCACGTCGTTCGTCGCAGCATCGAAAAGTACAGCAGCCCTCATCAACGCGTCTCCCTTTTTTTCATACTCACTTTTGTAACTGTCGACTTAACGCGTTCTTTTCATTTCTTTTTTTTCATCGCTATTATTTCTTCCTTCATTCTTTTCCCTATGTAGGCCCACGCGATTCAACCCCCACCCGCTGACGAACCACCTCCTCAAGGCCTGCGCCGACGATTGGTCCAAATATACCCACCACAAATTCGTCCAGGGCATTGCTGACGGTACCCTCCCCAAGGAGTCCTTTATTCACTATATGAAGCAGGACTACCTCTTCCTCCAGACCTACGCACGTGCTCATGGTCTCGGCGCCTTCAAGGCCAAGACCATGGCCGAATCCAAGGCCTTTGCAGATATCGTCGTCCACATCGCCACGGAATCTAAGCTGCACATTGATGTAAGGGCAACGCTACACGCACAGCTTTTTCTATTTTGGCCTTATGAATTTGCTCCGCATCTTCAAGCCTGCGTCTTATTATTTGTTCTTTTGAGACCTTTTAAACTTACCTCGTCTGTATCTGGATTATATCCTACCATGGTCTTCGTCTTCTTTCTCCCTCATAGTATTGTACCAAGTGGGGGATTACCTACGAGGAAATTATCAACACGCCCGAGAGCATGGCCAATGTCGCCTACACCCGCTACGTCCTCGACATTGGTATGTCCTTTTGACACTCTTCTCCATTCACTAGATACGATCCCCAATCCTTAGAAACCCCACATGCGCTCTTTTAACCTGTTTCTACTCTCTTCCTCTTCCTCTCCACAGGTATGACAGGCGATCTCCTAGACCTGGGTCTGGCGATCGCCCCTTGCTTAATCGGCTACGGTCAGATCGGAAACCGCCTCTACAACGACCCCAACACCCTTAAAGGCGACGCCAACCCTTACTGGGAATGGATCAAGAGCTACCATGGCGCCGACTACCAGGCCGCCGTCGACCGTGGCATTGCCAACCTTGAGCGCCAATGCAACATCCAGCAACCATCCGCTCACCGTCTCAAGCAGCTCGAGGATGTCTTTAGGACCGCCACCAGACTCGAGGTCTCCTTCTGGGATATGGCTCTTCACCGGTTGTAATTGGACATTCAATCGAAATAAGCCTTCTTGTTTCTTTCAGCAAAATAAATAAAGGAATTTTAATGGATACTCATACAAAAATGAAAGATCTCTTGAATCGCGTTTGGGAAAAGGAAGGATGGGTATGTTTTAGAAGGATGTGTGGGTCATGAATGGTGAACGTAGGGGAGACTCGCCTAATGTATATACATAATTCGCTCGGACAATATCTCAACCCTTCTCCATCCATGCGCGTTTTTTGCGCCTTATTATTATTACGATCCAGAAAGGGGGACCTCTGCCTGGTCTTTCTCTATCCGTCCAATTGCTCGCTCAGACTCTTCACGAACAGACGGGTAATCCCCGGGATCTCGCGCTCTGCGTTCTCAAATGCTAACCGAAGATCCTCAATCACATGGCGCTCACTGTCGCGGTGGCAAAGTCCATGAAGCTATTATCAGCACGAAGGAAAGAATAAAAACACATCCGAGTTAGCGTACTCTTTTCGCTTTTTAAAGTCTCCTTATCGTTCTTGACAATCCTTTTTTTTCCTTCCGAACTTTACATTGTTTAATACAGGTCGGACAAACGTCTGGTAAACTTTATCGCGGGTCATCTCGCCAGAGTTATAACGTTCCCTGCGCTCCTGAACCGCCAGGTTTTCAACATTTCGATAATTCTGCTTCCGAACCGTGTCGTATCCCGAATCTGCATGCTTCACCTGGAAGAGACAAAAGTTTCTGGTCAGAAAATCCATGGGGCACTTTCATCGCCGGCACTGGCACTCGAAGAATATGGATAGAAAAAAAAAACTTGCATTACCTCGTCGCTTCGGTGGGACCCATTACTTGCACCGTTACTCTTTCCGTTGCTGTGCTTGTAGCCCTGACTGTTCCTCTGACCATTGCTACGATACGATCCATGGTCACTCGGGGACGATGGCGGGCTCGGATTCCTGCCTGTTGGGACCTGGACCGGGGTGGGGCCCGGTGGTGGCATTACCACCGCTGTCGGTACACGTACTGTTCCAAAGTCCCAGTCGCCATCCTCTGCGTCCTCGTATCGGTTGCTATAGCGGTGAGATATTGGATGATGGTTGTGAGTACGAGAACGTTCCGTCATAATTGAATGGAAAATGATGTCGTCTGCTATGATCCATGCTTACTTTTCTGCATCGTCGTCAGAGGACTCGCTCTCGCGTGCACCACCCTCTGCCACCCAGCGCTCATGGAGTTCCAGCAACTCTGTCAAGTACGAAGACTTTTTGGCAGACTTAATAAACCTATGCTTTGCGAGTTCTTTTGCGGAGGGGCGCTGTCGAAATTGAAGAAGGTAGAGAGTCAGCATATGTGCTTTTAGCAATAACACCGACTCGAACAAAACTAAGAAAAATAAATCATGGCATACCAGAGCTGGATCTTTCTGAAGGCATGCAGCCACAAAGTCCTTGAAGGCTCTGGAGTAATTGCCCTCAAGGACTGGCGGCGTGCTCTTGGGGATCAAAAACAACACCTTCATTGGATGCATATCTGAATACGGCGGTTCGCCCTTGGCCAGCTCAATAGCGGTGATGCCCAGTGACCAGATGTCGGCCTTGTTGTCATATCCTGATTGCTTGATAACTTCCGGTGCCATCCAAAACTACATTCAATTGATTTGAACCATAAAGAGCAGGGGTAAGACCAACTGGTTGCCATTGCCCCTCCCCCCGATAGACTGTCCTTTTCCACGTCATTTTTCTTACAGGAGTACCGACGAACGTGTTCTTTTTAGTCATAGTCGCAGTAAGCTATAACATGAGAGCGGAACCATAACATGATTAGGTAACCCTTGGTGCTTGGCTGAACAAGCGACAGCGACCAGAAAGTAGCATGAGCAATGCGAAACGAGTAGCGATACCTGTCCAGACACGCCAAAGTCGGCGAGCTTGACATCACCATCGGTCGTCAGCAAAACATTGGCGGCTGTTGGTGGAGAGACATAAAAAAGGGGGTGCGCGGGGGGAACCGAATAGGAAGAGAGGAGGCATGCAGAAAATAAAGGGGCTAGTTAGTAAGGGCCGGTGTCACCAAGACAGAGGATACGGCATGGATGCCCGTTAGAGAAAGGGGGAGGGATGTGTGCGTGCGGTCCATGTTTGCCGATCCCTGCTCGATCCCGCTGCTCGGTTGTTAGGAAGGCCCATGTGCGATAAAGAGCCCCTCCCCGATCCAGGCACACGATATTTCAGCGCCTCCGCATCAGTTCCGAATCGCGCATTCGCTGTGTCTGTGTGAGGCTGAAGAAGGCCTTGTCTGTGTATCGACGCGTTTGTATGCGTGTAATCAATCATACCTTTGATATCTGTTTAAGCATCACCGTGAGTGCGGCAGGTGACCAGCGGAGTAGACGTAATAAAAAGAAAGAACCAAGTTAGAGTTTTGTGTTTGCCAGCATCGTGCCTGAGGGTCACTCCCTCCTCGCAAACCCAAATCAAGCACACCCTAGAAAAAAAAACTCACCTCGGTGCAACTTGCCCTCGCCGTGGAGGTATTCCAGGCCCTTGAGCAGTTCCCTCGCGATAATCGCGATGTAATCCTCCTTGAAGGTGGCTGCTTTCATCTATTCGGGTGGCCAAATGTTGTCGAGGTTTTTTAGCTCAGCCAGCCGCCTCACCATGCTCGTTTTTGCTGCTCTGTTACGGTCACTATCCTTACCAAATCAGAACAGGATCCTCCTGAACAGTACTCCATGATGATCCAAAGATGCGCTCCCTTCAAGAATGAAGCAAAGTATCTAGCGTAGACATCAAGAAACCAAAACGACGGACATTTGACCATTGTGAGCGCTCAATTGGCCTCAAATACCTGCTGTGCACCAAATGCATCGCACTAATCATTCCGATCCTTTTACCTGGTCACATAGGGTGAGTCCAGTTGCGACAGGATGTTGATCTCCTGCTGGATATCATCGATCTCGTCCTCTGCATTCTCAAGGTCAATGATTTTAATAGCCACCGGCTTTTTCGTCCTGCGGTCAATTCTAAATGTAGACAAAGTATGCGGAACAACAACAACAAAAAAATAGGGGAAAGGGGGGAGGGGATGAACATGGAGAATGACATACATGTAAAGCCCCATGAAGAAGCAAAGCCGAGTAGGTGGAACGTTAGAATATTGTGACCCCAAAAGTCCTTTGCTTTACATCTATCGACCCAATTATTCACCCGCCTTGTAGCTCGATTTTTTTTTTTTTTTTTTTTTTTTGCTGAAAACAATGTGAGTACTAAGCAGCGGAGTCGGGGGGTGAGCATGGTCAAGGCAAGATGACGAAAAAAAAAAAAAATAAAAAACAAGAAAAACGAAGCAGGGGAAAGAGAAGCAACACCAGCTGATCATGCTCTGTTTTGTTTGCCGTCGCAACAGCATTGCAAAGCGAGGAGTAAAGGCGGCAATGGTGTCATTCACAGGAGTGTGTACGCGTAACTCCCCCCATCCGTCGTTCATGTTCCTTGCCCACTTACCCTTTGAAGACCTCTCCGAACGATCCTTTGCCTATTCAATTTTGAGCAAGGACATTCGTTAGCAGAATAAAAATCAGGGCAAGGGCACAAAACAACCGGGCCTGTTGTGCCGAAGGAGTACAAGTGTAACGACCAATGTCCTTACCGATGCGCTCGAGTTTGACGTAATACTCTTCTGGATCAAGCTGTGTGGAGACGCTCTGCAATGCCATAGCGTACAGGATAGCAAATGTGAGCATCCTCAAAAAGCCCGGTGCTCGACAGAGAGGTCGAACAGTGGTCCGATGGAAGCACTGCGACTTACCATGGTGTACACAGATTAGATAAGTGGAGTTCGAGGTACTGTGGTTTAAATGCGCGGACAATAGTCGGAAATGCTTGTTGTTTGATATGCTGTGTTGGTGGTGGTGGCAAGCGTGGTAGGGTGTCTCCAGTAGGTTGGTGGCAAGTGTAGGGACAAATGAAAATGAATGAGAGGGAATGAAGAATGAGAATGAAGAAATGAGAATGAAGAATGAAGAATGAAGAGTAAGAATGGTGAGAAAGACTCCTTTTAAAGAAAAAGAGAAAAGGGGTGTCTGCGTCTCTGCATGGTTTCCGGCCGAACTCTATCAGCTATGCCTGGGAGTGTATGCATGTGGGTGTGTGGGTGATGGGCTCGCATCTGGAAAAAGGACGCGCGATCTCCATCGTATGCGCTTAGCCCACGTCATGCCACCCCCTCGCCCCTGCCCGGAGATCGAGTTCTCGCCCTGGCAACCCACAGACTCGGTCCCGCTACGCGTCACTGGGAATCCCTGCTCCACTCGGACCAAATGCCATGCATGCATTGGCCAATCAAATAAAATGCGAGAGCCATGCTGACTATTCCCCCCCCTCCCCCCTTCCCCCTCGGCGCGCGTCCACCTCGTGGAACCAAACGACGCGACCACATGGCCATTCGCATAAAACGGACACACTCTGCATGACGCGCCATACCACCTTGCGCCCACCAAAAAATAAAAGCGTGCAGCGTAGGATACAAAGGCGTGCAGCGTAGGATACAAAGGCGTGCAGCGTAGGATATAAAGGCGTGCAGGCGGTTTAGGGCAGAAGAATAACATGCGGATGATGAACAGTGAGTAACGAGAGGGGGAAAGAAGCAGTTTATTACATCTGGAGTCCAAGTTCGCTCAATAGAAAAAGGACACCCATATTACTATAAAACCTGCCTAGCCTCAACATCATCTCTTCTTTGAGCATCGAAAGGTCAGGAGTGCGGATTTCTGCAATGGTCGCCAAAAAATCTGGTCCCGTACTATACATACATACATTCATACATACAAAAATTACATGTCCAATTTTCGTCTCCAAGATTATGGCAACGTCCTGCGTGCCTTGGTTTTTCTTAGTGACTAAAGAGGCTGAAGAACAAGTAAATGATGCTCCCAAAGAACCTGAACAGCGATAACCCAAACACGCTCCACATGATGGCGGCGAGATATGCATTCGATCCGTCCTGTAAATCCAAAGGGGAAGAGAATAAAATGATATACGATCCGATATGTGAGTTCATGTCCACGGTGCATTGCACTGCACGACTCGATAGACAAAGAAATGGACTTACGTTCATGGTGAGCTTTTTCTCAATGGGCGCAGAGTTGATGAGAGCAACGAGGAGACCGTTAGAGCCAATCCAGGCCATAACAAGCCGGGTTCGAAAGCCACGATAGTAGTCGTCCTGCTTGGTCGCCGCGCTGCGGTGTTGGTGGACCTCTGGGACTTTATGGGACAATTCAGAAATGGCTTCATCGTAAGCCTCGTTGCTAGAAGGGAAAGAAAGACGGGGGGTTTTTTTTTTGGTTGGAAAGAGGATAACAAAGATTGCTTCGGCTTTTGTTGATACATGGGCAGACAGCTGTAGACTTACATATCTGCGGAAGAAACGGGGATCTCGACTTCAACGACTTGTCCTTCGCCCTTCTTGGCCTCTCCCAGATCCGAATGGGTCGTATTGTCGCCCTTTGTTCCCCAACTATAGATCATTCAAGCAAAGCAAAGATCCCAGAATCTAGTGTCAGACATAACCAACGCTCGCGTACTGTCAAATGAATCGAGAAGATCGTACTTGCGGCCTTTACCTGACATCGTGAGTATTGCAGAACGCGTAAACGTTCAGGATATTGACGTAGCTGGGCATCATGAACATATACTGCACAAAACTGGTAATCATATGCCAGGGATCCATATAGAGCACCGACATGATGATATAGAGCCCGTAGGTCGACACAAGCGACAAGATTATATCCCTGAAGGCCGTATTCTGAATGATCGTCAGGAACACCTGGAAGGAGTCTTGCGTAAAATCGATCCTCGCAAACGCTGTCTTCAGCGAGTTGATAGTGATCAGCGAAGCCGCGAACAACATGTAGCCCATGATCATCCCGAACGCGATCATCGACATTGTGTACGTTCCTTTGGAGCCTTGCGGACGGTTGCTGTGAAGTAAAGAGATATAGTTTGTTAGATTAACGAAGCACGTTTTACAGCGCAATTTAAAAAGGAAACTGGCGCGTAAGACTTACCCCATGGAGCAGATAAATTGGGCACAGATGAGGAATATGTACAGGTACCGAACCACCTCATAGATCCTGTCGCCCCATCCATTTCCGAAAGGATCAGTCGCTGGATCCGCCAAGGCTTTCGTCAAGAAGTAGAACGTCAAATACATATTGGCCTAGAGCGCGATAAAATGCACTTAGATCAGCAAGAGACCCAGCCAGTGCATTGCACAATAATAATCGCCTCGGCCCATTGATGATGCTTACCAGTGCAAACCAAGAAAAGAGGATACTGATAAAGTTGTAAAAGAACTCAACATGGAGCCACAGCTTCCTGAGTGTACCGTGGTCCGACCTCCAGATATTCCCAGAATTCCTCAACGCATAAATCGCAGCAAAGAACGACCCGTTCAGCCAGCGTCGTCTCTGGGAGATAAACTCCGGCACCGAATCCGGCACATCCGTCTCACCCGTTGCCGATCGCACGTATTTGAGCGTCCACTGTCCTCCACGCTTCGCGACCAGCTCAAAACACAAGATGCGGTCCTCCGCCAGGTACATGTTGGCAGAAAAGATGTTGTCCATGTCTCCAGATTGATTCTCGCCTTTAAAATACGAAGCCAGTGGACCGTTTCCTTTCGCGTCGTTCAGCAGCGCCTTATACCGATAGGCTGAGAAGGCACCCGGAAGCACCGAGATGTACCCGAAGACAGACTCCATGGGCTTGTCCAGGATATTCGACATCTTGTACTCAAAGTTCTGCGCTGCGACCAGCGGATTGAACAGGTTGACACAGCCGCGTCCCTTCATCGCACAAATCTCTCCGCATGCTCCTGCCACGTTCTTGTTGACATCAAAAGCCTTCCACAAATGATAGATCGACGTGTTTCCTGGCCGAGTTCCCACGTCCAGTAGCACACAGACGTTCGGGTTGAGGATGGGTCCGAACGCGTTGAAGAACCAACGATGAGAATTCAGTTTCTTTTTGTTTTTTTCCTTCAAGCAGAACAAGATCTGTACCGGCGGGATCTTGCGGTCTGCGGATTTGACTTTGAGATCCGGATCAATCGAGATCTGCGCCGTGTACTCGTACAGATGCGCGGCAACCTCCTTTCCTCCCACAGAATTCTTGGCAATTCCTTCCTGGTAGACGCCCATCATAGCAAGCACGCTGAGCACACGGCGACTGCATTTGTAGCGACCATCGGCGACGATGCAGACGACGACCTTTTTCCAGCCATCGGGACCCCACATCTTGGAACGGTCGCGCGCGCACAGATGGGAGATGTTCTTCATGACGCCATGCATGGTTCGACAGAATAGAATTTCATCCTCCTGAGAATATTGGGTGTGGGTTGAGAGCGGAAGAAATGCAGGAGGTGGTGAAATAAATAAAGGCGCCGCGTGTGAAAACAATTCGACACAGACCCCCCATTGGCCATGACCGGATGATACTATGACATGCCCTCATGAAAGCACGCAAAAACAAACACAACAAAGCATAACTCACATTATACATGGTCATGACGATAAACAGCTCTGTCTCTCGGTTCAGCATCTTGGGACGAAGGGTATAATTCTGCCTCGAAAATTCATTTGGATCGCAAGTAACGGCGGTGTAGCGCATGGTCGTGAACTCGTCCCCGTTCTTCCTGGGCAATACGTCCAACAACTTTGTCGGTACCGGGCAATCGAGCACTAGGTTTCCCTCCGTGAGCGTGACTTTCTTTGTCGTCTTATACCGTCGCGTCTGCCGCGGTGGTGCGGGGCCGAAATGCAGTGTTGGGCTGCTGTTCGATGGCTGCATATAATATGGAGCTGGCGGTGTTGGCAGGGGTAGATGAGAGCCATATCCGTTTGCGAACGGGTAGTGCGGGTCTGTGATTTGAGACATGGGCGGGGCAGGCGCTGGCATGGGCATTGGTATCGAGAAGGACACATTCTGGACGCCTGCGGGGGATGTCTGCTGGTAGAGTTGCGCCTGCGATCGTTGACGGATAATCTGGGCCTCATCTGCAGGGCTGGGCAATGGTCGTAGGCTCAGATTGGAAGGAGCTGTCGGCATGGCTCCATTGGGTACGCTGGAGGCCATAGGCGGTCCCGCGATATACGGCGGGCCTCCTCCACCGGGGCGAGGCACTGCGGCGCTGGAGTGAATAGGTAGCATCTGCAAGGAGCCGTCGCTTCCTGCGCTCTGCCCGCTCCGAGTGGTGGAGCTGCTGGTATTGGGGATGAGAGGGTTGCGAAGGGGGTTGGACGAGTTGTTGCTGTTGTTGGAGGGATGGAGGAAGTTGTTGTTAGAATGGGAGGGCGCTGTAGCGTACCCGGTGGGCATGCCACGGTTTGGGGCGGCACCTGGAAGGGTGTTTCCACCAGGCGCTCGAGTGTTGGCATTACTCTTCATTTGACGGTGATATGTGAAATAGACTATACAGTGCACGGCTTGATGTGCCTTGATGTGGGAAATATGGGTGTTATCAAAATTAGATGCTTATGGCAGGCGGAGATTGTTCGGGAGTGGATTAAAAGGGCGTGTTTTTAAGGAGAAGACAAAGGAGGGAAGGGCAGTCTAGGGCGGTTGTTCAGCAAGGGACGGAGACATGTGAGAGGGGGATGGTCATGAATGAAGGATCGTCAAAGGCCAGCACCGGATAGGACGGGGGCTCGTAGCAGTGTGGACACACGGACAGCCGGTGTGCGAATGGCGTATGTGTATGTGTGTGCTTTTGACTTTTAGGCGGGCTGTTGGCGGTATAAAGGGGACAGACAGACAGACAGACAGACAGACAGACAGACAGGCAGAAAAGGGCCCTGGTTCTCTGTTGCTGTGCGGGTGGAATGAGAGGAGGGATGGGAAGGGCGAGAGGGGGAATGGGAGGAATGAGAGGAGTGAGATCGAAGAGTCCTTCCTGGAGGGCGTTCAGTATTAAGCAATCGGTCCTTACTGCAGACAAGGTTTGGGCGGGGTAATTCAGGTGTCAGGTCCACGCTTTGCCATCTTCTGCAGGGGTTAGAAGTTACCACTGTTACAAAACGCATTTGCGCGTGCATGCATTGTACTTCCTCCATGCCACCATCAATCTCGCCGCCGCCCCTTGCGCACACGGCTGTGGTGTCTGTCTCTCCAGATATAGCAGGCAAGCGGGCGGCGGCGGCCAGAGAGCACTCTTGGCGCGAACCAGAATCGTCACTCCACTCGAAACAGCCCTCTCCCCGTCCGTCCATCCGCCTGAGCACGGGCGTTTCCAGATCGAAACTGAAATCCAATAAATCCAATAGAAACAAAATAATTCGACCCTGGGGCCCTTCTTCCAATCAGAATCAATGGTTCATAAATTAACGCTTATTTTTTTTTCTGACGCGCTAGACCCTTGTCCTGCTCATTCGTTTATCGCAATCTTGCAATAAACTAAGCTTTGAGAAAATGGACAGGACTTTGTCTTCAAAGTTAACGATAAGAGATAAGGTCTCGCTGCAATGCTTTGCGAGGTCACTGACGATACCGCCCTTGCAGCCTATCAGTCTTTTCACAGGCGACATCGCTCCCATCGCACTCTTTTTTTCTCCCCGAGCCAACAGAGTCCGGGTCTGTGCACAATGCACGGTGAGTCACCTGTCAGGACCAGAAACCCGCAGTCCAAGCTCAGTCCGTTTGTGAATATATATCGCCCTATTCAACTAATACGATATCTTTGATATCTTTGTAGTTCAGCGGAAGCGAAATGTTTGCGCCTGATGATACGTACAATGCCCGAGACCATGCATCACCCTCTCGATTCATTTCTTTTGCTACTAGGTTTCTCTGTCAAACCCAGTTAGCCAGTACTCAGCGTCGAATATCAATAGGATGTTCATGATGCACATATTTACTGCCGCGTAGACAGACTACTGAACAAAGCGAACCCTATTACAAAACGTGACTTTAAGGTACAGATCGCCCTCCAAAAGAAGTAGAACGCACTGGTCTACACTGTGCGATGATCTCCTTGGGAGCCTAAAGGCGAAGGTGTCAGGTACGATATGCTAGTGGAGTCGAACGCCTTTTTTTTTTTTTTTACAAAAGAACCATCTCTGTAAATGAAACGATGTTTCTTTTACAGAGAGCTGACAGTGACGTGTTCAAGGACTATAAATGTCAGATCCATATCGTTATCTTTATCTCTTCACTCCTCCTCCCCCACCCTCCACTTCTTCACTTCCCCAACAACAACCCGCTCACTCACTCAACCATGGCCATTACCAAAGTTCACGCCAGACAGATCTTCGACTCGCGCGGCAACCCCACCGTCGAGGTCGAGGTCACCACCGAGCACGGTAAACTAACACGATGCATTACTGCATTGCCACCGCCCTTCGTTCCATACATACCTTCCTTCCACTTGACTTCCTTGCGCATTATATGTCAAAGGGACGACAAATCCCCCCTGCACCGATCAGTCTCTTTTTGATATCGTTGCGCTTCGCCTCCCTCGCGTTTTTTCTTTCTTGGTTATGTAACGCGTAGATCAAACTCGCGCGTTTCGATCCGCGATCCCGCTCTAAACAATATTATTTTTCTTGCTCATTCTGCATAGGTGTCTTCCGCGCTGATGTCCCCTCGGGTGCCTCCACCGGTATCCATGAGGCCCTCGAGCTCCGTGATGGCGACAAGAACGCCTACGTTGGCAAGGGTAAGCGCCCCTTTTTCCCCAACAAACATGATTGTTTTTGAATGCTGAAGAACATCCACGAAAAGAAATGCAAGTAAATGGATTGGACGCGATCACAGGGACGGGAACTGAAGCTGGAGAAAAGGAGAAGAGAGAGATGACACGACAATGATAACATGAACCATAATGCAGTACCGATGGGAAGGGAAGGATGAAGGATACCCAAGCACTTGTTCCCGAGTTTTTTTTTTTTTCTTTTACTCTTACTTTTACTTTTACTTTAATCGCGTCATGAACATGGCGGAAAGCGGGGGCGGAGGAGACTTCATGTGCTCTTTAAACCATGGGATGTCCTTTTTTGGATGCACCATGGATCGGGGCCATCGGAAGAAATAGGTGGCGACAGCTTAAAAGAGTCCATCGCAGGCCAGACGACGGACTATGAAGACAGGATTCGGGCGTGCTTCTGTTTCCCACGCCGACTCTATCGAAACCAAACTAACCCGTCTTATACTCTGTAACCAATCTAACTAAAAAAAAAGGTGTCCTCAAGGCCGTCGAGAACGTCAACAAGCACCTCGGCCCCGAGCTGGTCAGCGCCAACATCGACGTCCAGAACCAGACCGCCGTTGATGAGTTCTTGATCAAGCTGGACGGAACCCCCAACAAGTCCAAGTACGGTGCCAACGCCATCCTCGGTGTCTCCATGGCCGTCCTCAAGGCCGGTGCCGCCGCCAAGGGCGTCCCCCTCTACCGCCACATTGCTGACCTCTCCGGTCACGGCGACAAGAAGTTCGTCATGCCTGTCCCCGCCTTCAACGTCATCAACGGCGGCTCCCATGCCGGCAACAAGCTCGCTATGCAAGAGTTCATGATCCTCCCCACCGGCGCCTCCTCCTTCGCAGATGCCATGAAGATTGGCTCCGAGGTCTACCACACCCTCAAGGCCGTCATCAAGAAGAAGTACGGTCAGGACGCCACCAACGTCGGTGACGAGGGTGGTTTCGCCCCCAACATCCAGGATAACGCCGAGGGTCTCGAGCTCCTCAAGGAGGCCATTGCCAAGGCCGGCTACACCGACAAGGTCGAGATTGGCATGGACGTCGCCGCCTCGGAGTTCTACAAGGATGGAAAGTACGATCTTGACTTTAAGAACTCCGAGTCTGACGCCTCCAAGTTCTTGACCGGCGAGGAGCTCGCTGCTTTGTACAAGGAGTTCACGGCCAAGTACCCTATTGTTTCGATCGAGGATCCCTTTGACCAGGACGATTGGTCTGCTTGGTCCCACGTTACCGGATCGACCGACATCCAGATCGTCGGCGATGATTTGACTGTCACCAACCCTCTTCGCATCGAGACCGCTATCGAGAAGAAGGCCTGCAATGCTCTCTTGCTTAAGGTCAACCAGATCGGTACCATCACCGAGTCCATTAAGGTAATAATAATAACTCTTAATCGCAACACGCCACTTCAGCGGCATGATCGCTGCATCTCAGCGAATGTAACATTCAACAACCCTGGACCGGGCTCATCCTCTTTAGGCAAAAGGAAGCCTCCTATGACACTTTGTTCTCTCCCTAACCTGTGGAAACCTGTGGAAACCCCCCACCAAAGCGCGCCTTCATATGATAGTTCATACCTCAAACCTCATTCAATATGCAGCTGATACCTATGTGTGCTCCCCGCTGCTCTGCTCATTCACTTTACTAATCTATACTTCTATGCTGTCTTTTGACTTCATTAGGCTGCTGTCCTCTCTCAGCAGTCCGGATGGGGCGTCATGGTCTCTCACCGCTCCGGTGAGACCGAGGACCACACTATTGCCGATATTGTTGTCGGTCTCCGCACCGGTCAGATTAAGACCGGCGCTCCTTGCCGCTCCGAGCGCTTGGCCAAGTACAACCAGCTGCTCCGCATTGAGGAGGAGCTCAAGGGCGACTCTATCTATGCTGGAAAGAACTTCCGCAAGGCCCATCTCTTGTAAATATCTCCCCGCACACAAACATATATACTCACATACAAAAAGTAATACAATCATTGCATAGCAATAAAGAAGTCGGCTCCCATGCTGATTTGTTCTGAACTCCATCCACTGCATTGGGCCATTGTCTTTCTGTTTTTTGTGAATTGGATGGTTTTTCATTCGGATTGGGATTCGGGACGAAAATGCTAAACTAGACTATGACTATGACCATGACCATTCTTGTTTGCTGTTTGTTTTTGTTTGTTTGTTCTGTTTCTTCATTGAACGGATACAAGTCGAAAAGAGAAACAGCTCAAGATGGAAATACAAAAGATGCAAGGGGCAAACAAAAAGAATAGGGAAAACGAAAAAAAAAGGTTTGTTTGTACGAGAAGAAAGTGGGCTGTTGTGGTCTGAACCTGTTGATCTGGCTGTGTGGCAAAGGTTTCTGACAAATGCCGGCAGTCAATGGTATTTTTTTTTTTTGCTATTCGCAAATGGACTGTATGCCATTTCTTTGCTGCTGCTGCTGTTTTGTTGTTGCTGCTGCTACATGATCCTGCCACTGATGGTTGATGGTAACGTTATTGCTCCTGTATTTATGAATGAACACCTCGCCCTTTTTTCCTTCCACGCTGCCTTGGTTGTGTTTCCATTTTTATAGAATGCTGCATTTTGACTTCTTCTTGGCGGCCTTGGCGGGTGCGCCACCATCGCGGGCTTGACGAATCATGCGGACGACATTGTAAAACGAACGCTCGACATTGACGCAGGTCTTGGCTGATGTTTCTGTGAACTCGCAGCGCAGCTGCTTGGCCATCAATGCGCCTTCATCTCTCGAAACCTCACGATCCGTCAACTTGTCACACTTGTTGCCGACTAACATCAGCGGTACGTTCTCCGAGTCCTTGACACGTGTGATCTGATCCCGGAATCGCTTTATCCTCTCGAACGTTGAACGCGCTGCAATAGAATACACCAGCAAGAACCCCTCTCCGTCGCTATAAAAATCATATTATGTACAAGAAAGGGTAGTTAAAAATGAGTAACGGTTACAAATCACAAGGCACAAGGCACAAGGCACAAAGCACTGCACATAACGTAATTGAGTGAGGTACCAATGGCGAATCCAATACATACCGAATCCATTGGTCACGTAGCGCCGTGTACTCCTCCTGACCGGCTGTATCGAGGACTTCAAGGACGCAGGACTGATCATCGATTACGACTTGTTTTCTGTAAGAGTCCTCAATGGTGGGATCATATGTCTAGATATGTAGGAACATATGGAGTTAATACAGATGTTCACTAGAAAAAAAAAGTTGGCCAGTTGAAGCAAAGCGCATTCATTAGACCCATGCTGTGCATGCATTTCGGCTGCCCTTACCTCTGGAATAGCCAACAGACGTTCACGAGACGAAGCAAGGATACAAAAGTAATCAAATAAAAAGTGTAAAGGTTAGAAGTCGACAGCAATAGAGAAGCATGCAGGTGCAGGTGCAGGAGGAGTGAGATCTTGCTGTCTGTCACATTCTCAGGCATGTCTGCCTTGGAGTGACAAATAGGCCGAGGGTACGGCACAGGACGAGAGCAGCCAATGGACTGTGTGCAAGAGCGTTCCCGTCCTGCGTCTGAGAATCAAAAAACAGAATCATGCCCTGAGAGCACTTTGCTCAGACCCAGAACAGGTGAGAGTGAAGACAAACAAGGTAGCTCAAGCACATACCAACAAAATGATTTAAACACAACTATTTGAGCACAAGATGGGCCCCGATAAAATGAAATGAAATAAAAGAGAAAAGAAAAGAAAAGGTCAGTTTCATGGGTCAATGTTCAAATGGGTTCATATGTTCTTGCATAGCAATAAGTTGAAGTATTAAACATTAATGTGCACTAATGCAGTAGCATATGGTAGTATGCATTCATTGTGTTTGAATGGGGGTAGGCTAGGCGAAGCATGAAGACGCCATAATGTTTTCTGGCTATACAGCCAAAACGGCCTGAGCCCGAAACCATCGGCCATTGGCCTTGTTTCCATCCGAGGTACAACCTTGCTGTATACGGGAGAACAATTGGGGACCCAGCCTCCGCATTTCACCCTTCGATACCAGGACCGATACTGGGTCAGTGGAGTGGGGAAGCGGCAAATGTGAAGTAGCCATATGTTCACATCCAGTGTGGGAACGCTGTTATTGGAAAGAAGGGCGCGGACCCATACCATTTTCTGTCGGCAGGATAGGTACAATGGCAAGCACGCATATTCTTTGAACTGGCATGTCTGTGTATCATGTA